GAATCATGCAAAAATCTGTGTTGCATGACTGCCAAAAGCTGTCCACTTTCGACCAAGCTGCGAGGGAGTTTCTCATGCAGCATTGGCATGATGGAGACCTCACAGAATCTCTCATGCTAGGTTCTGCATTCCAGACCTCGTGGGTCATACAAAATGTGCATGACAAGTGTTGCAGTCTTCCAGACCCAGACATATTTGCAATGCATAGCACTCGCGCGACGTCCTCTAGCGACATGAGATTGTAATTCCTCCCAATAACCCCATCGGGCTCGGGCGGATTTTTCTCGTCCGTTGCAACTACAGAAGCTCGCTTGCTGCTCTTGTTGTTCCCATTACTATTCTTTCCACCAACGGACAGCTTTGAACTGCTTTTCTTCGCTTTACTAGTACTACCTCCGCCAACATGTGACGATGTGTGCACAGACGCTGTCGACGTCGCATTCATCGCTGCCATCTGACGATCTAGGGCGAGTCCTGATGGCTCGTTGGTATTTTCCACGTCTTTCATTTTCTGCCGGTGGACGGGTGACGGGTCGTCCAGAATGGAGTGCTTTTCTAAACTCTTATCCTGCTCGGAATTTAACTTGACGCTTGTGGTGCTGCGACCCCGGGTTGTCGTGCTCTGTTGGTGCGCTGCAGGACCGCCTGCACTTGTATCTGTCGATAGTCCAGGTAGCTGCACCTGCGAGGTGTTCTTGCTAGCAGTCGACTGCTCTCTATGCAAGAAAAAAACTGTGTAAATGTAACTTTCATTTTGGAGGAACAGCATCAGAAGTTTGCTCTCCATGACAGAGAAAACCTGTCATGCGCAGCTAGCGCGTGAACACACGTACGAAACGAGCCCCTGACGCATGTCCAGCATGATAGTTGTAAGTGTCTTGCATCGTTTGCAACACAAAGTTACACTTGAACAGTTTTCTTGTTGGATACTCTCCGAGAAACAGCACGTCTGGCATGGGCGTGCCGTCCACCATCACGCTCGTCACGTCGTTGGACATCAAGCTAAGGTTTGGGCTATCCTGTGGAAAAACATCCCCATCCCATAGCTGTCGCGCAAATCTGCACGCTTAAAATGTCTCTCATGCGGAGCCCCATGAGACGCGTTTTTTCGTCGTGTTTTGGAATTTGTGATGCTCAAATAATTTAAGCATCACAAATTCCAAAACACGACGAAAAAACGCCTCCAGCTTCTCGTGCTAATTTGAAATTAGCACGAGAAGCTGGATTTGTGATGCTGTTGCACTAGCTAAACACGGACAACACTGCGAGCCCAAACTTGTCATGCGTAACAGCCAAAGGCTGTTGATTTGTCTTGCAGATTTCCCAACTTGACTATGGGGTGGGGACGTTTTTACATACAATATGGGCTCATCAAAGTCGAGCTCATCATACTCTTATTTCGCATCGTAGATCCGCTGGGATCGTACAACGTGGCGGCCTGTCGTGCGGCCGCGGCGTAACTCTTACTGCGCTTCAGGTGTTGGTGCCTAGGAAATTATAATTTTACAGAGTTTCTTTGCGTCTCGCATCGAGGTCTTCGCTTTTTCGTTGCGTGTAGTTGGAAACGTGTGTAGCTCGTATCATCAAAAAAAGCAAAAAATAATACTGGTGTCTGCTTTGCACGTAGAGCAACGGCGCGTGCAGCGTCTTCGTCGTGAAAGGTTGGTATACGTGCTTCGAAGCCCGGAAGTTTCCGCGCCCTCTCGGACCACTGGAAAACGAGATGGTGCGGTTGAGAAAATCTTCCATGGCCATCGCCGGGGTGGGCTTCGTGGTTTTCGGGTAGAGGGGAAACTGCCGCGCACGGTAGTAATACTTTCCAAACTCCTGCTGGTTCAGCGCACCATTCGGAAGAAAACTTTCCCCCGTCGCCTGCTCGTGGTTCGTTTCCAGGTTATAAATGTCCGAGCCGCGGGCATCCTGTGTGAAGATTTTTTGTATGACGAAGAAAGATCACAAGATGACGTACATTTCCTTGTTTCCCAGTGTTCTTCAAGCATGACAACCATAAACTGCTCACTGCCTCATGCACAGCGTCAAGCTTTATCAAATTTTACTAAATAAAACCTGTGTCCAGTGGTGTTCATTCTTTTCGGCGTCTACTTCAGCGAACTCTTTTTTATCGTTGTTCCGCACATACAGCCCTTTACTTCTGTCCAAACTCGGAAATTTTTGCGGGTCCCGCTTTCTCTTCACCGGCCCACCCGGCACGTAGGGTAAACTGTATTTCGTCGACAAATGCTGCCGAACCGTTTCCACTTCGGTCCGTGTGTGCCCATCCTGGATCAGGAAGATCGAATCTAGCCGGCTGGCGTAGTTCGGATCGACTAGATTCGTGCTGTCCTTCATCCTTTTCCTAGTACTGTGCTTCGTTCGTGGAGGAGAATGCCCTCAAATATCAAACCAAGACGTGGTTCTTTTGCTGGCCATTTTTTGTTTTCCCGCGCAACTGGAGTGAAGCGCTTATTTACTGAAGGTCAAGATACTGCATTGAATTATCAAAATCAATAATAAAGTGCCACCGAAGCTCTACTAGCGATGGTAGAAAAAAAAAGCCCAGACTGTGACTCGAAGTGGAAGTTTTTTTTTTTACGACGTGAAGATGATGATTGATGTTTGTCGTGACAACGAATTCAGTTGCTTCACGGTACACGACGTGACAGACGAAGAACGAACAGAGGCACGGAAAATTATTAGTAGATTACGATGGGGCAACAGACCGTAGGAGAAGTGGAATCAATGTCAAGCATGTACAGTGGCTAGTGACGAAGAAACGAAATTACGATGAAGCTGTGAGAGTTACAATGCTCTATGGTCTTCATGAAGTTTTGCTTTTCCTACCCACGACACGATAACTTTCTTCTAATTTGGCGACGCAATATCTATATCAGAGGAAAAGTGTAAGACGATGCTTTAGAACAACCGACAGCGAGCGTCATCCCCCGCCTGTCCCTGCTAAGAAAAAGAATGCTGAAAATAATAACGGCCAAGAAAGTACACATCAAGCTATACGACTTCATCTGCAAATCTTTGTCTTGTCGAACAAAAAATGCAACCCCGACGAGCGGCAGAAGTGTGTGATTGTTCATTGATTGTTTCACAACATCGTATCCAAATTACACAGGCGCTGAAGAACCCACGTCGCTACAATCACTTCAGTTTCGAGACTTTTTCCATCTCTTCTACCCGTCTGGCCAGCAGTTCCACGGTTTTCTGTGCGAGTTCTATCTGCGAGATGAACAGCGGATCTTTATCTTTACCACTTCGTTCTCTTTCGCCTGCTCCGTCTCCTGCTGTTCCCCCTGTCGGCGAGGCAACATGCTGTCCCTTCGAATATATGGGTAACCGCGAGGGACTCGTGTCAATATCCACTCCGCCGGTGTACTGCAATAGCAGCAGTTCTTCCTTCAACCGGCTCGCTTCCTTTTCCAGGTCTTCCAACTGACCCGCTAGCACTTGATGTCGCCTGCTTCCCGTTTTTATCGATATGATCCCCCGTTGACTTTTTCCTGCCACGGGTTTTGTAGTTCCGACGTCTTTTTCGATTGTAGATTTTTGGCTCGAATGCTTTCCGGTCCCCACGTGGCCATCGTCCACCCTCGCAAACACTTTACTCAGAGCGCCAATCTCATCCGTTTTTTTCCTCAATTCGAGCAACTCGTCGGTTGCTTCCTGCGCCAAGATTTCCGGCGATTTTTGCCGCTGCCCTTCGACCGCGTAAGACTTCATTTTGTTCCCATGGCCACGACGACTCGGGTGAGCTTGCGGCTCATGGTCGTTTCGGCTAGCGCCCGTGTGGTCTATTTGAAACGCAGATGAAGCGTTCTCTTGATGTGTTGAAAAAATCCCCTGCAGCGCCCGTTTCTCTGCGACTTTGTCTTAGGGGTGAAAAAAATCCATTCCGAGCCCGGTCCCCAAAATGTTTGCTGAAGTAATTCTTGCAAGGGATGAAAAGTCGGTAGGGCCCCGCTTCGCATTCGAGGAGCATCAAAAAACACGAGCTGCGACCATTTTGACAGCCTTTTCCTACCTTTCACCGTTTCGCGTAAATTTGCAGGCATTCAATTTTTTGCTCACATTTGTTTGCTCTACTCCTTCAGCGGTGTCCGACAGAAGTCCGGAAAACGCCAAATCCTATTGGAAATTTGTTTGTTGGGCCCACTTGTGGGACTAATTCATTTCTTTCACACTTCAGCTGAAGTTCAAATTTGACTTAAAGCTTCAAGTCAAATTTGAACTTCAACTGAGTTTTGAAAGAAATTTGCAAGCTCTGCAAGTCACAGAGTCTTGCGAGAGAGCGGGAAACGATGATAAAACGCTCCCAGCTCCTTTTCCGCCCCGAAAGGCGCACGATCACAAATGAAGGCCCGCAAAAAGGTTCAAAAAATCAAGTCGCTACTTTGCAGCGCGAACGCGCTCACAAAGCCGAGCGTCACAAACTGCTGCGCGTGTCTTCTATCTTGCGCAGATGCCTTTTTTCTGGCCAGGCTTCAAACATTTTGGGAGCCGTTGAGCGGATGGATTTTTTTGACCCTTAATTGTCGACTAGAATCTTCACCAAGCCTTATCCTGAGTAAAAACGTACCCACACCAGAGTCAGGATGAGGATTTTGCAACACAAACCTAGGAGTTTTGTGAGTCACGCATGACAAGTTGCGCTATGCAGTGTAGTGCAGTTTAGCAAGTGCAGCCGCGTCACAGATTCATCTGCTCATCCTGTTCACAGCATCACAATTTCCAAAACACGATTCGGAGTGGCTCTCATGGGGATGCGCATTACGAGTCTTCCTGTCTTTGCAAATCTGCATTACAACTCTGGTGTGGGTACGTTTTTACTCAGGATAAGCCTTTCTGAACTCTTTCGAACTCGCTTTCCTTTTTCTTCTTTTCCCAGACGTACTTCGCGACTTTTGCGCGGAGCTTGTTCGAAAAATACGCCCGCAGTTCCTCGACCGTGGCATGGTCTTCTTTTCTCTCCAAAATCGTCTGTTGCGTTTGCAACTGCGCCTGCCGTAGCAGACGGGTGTTCTGCTCCAGAAATTCCGAATCGTGCGCGAACCAATCCATCTTTCTTTCACAACTAGTACAACTTCACCCGACTTTGTTTAATATTGTTCCTCAGAAAATAGCCGATGCGAAGATGTCATTGACGTATGGAACTTTCCCTTTGATACCGATGGTCGTGACCAGCATCTCTACTTAAGTAAAGCATCTTCTGAGCCAGAAAGCCAATTACTGCTGTATTTCAGAAGCCCTTTTTACGACCTAAGAGTAAGATTCCTCCTGCGGAAAGCACGGTGACCGAGGCCGCGAGAGCGACGTATTAATACTTTGAAGCGGTACTAGGCATGAGCATCACACAGCGGTCGGCAGCGCGCCACCGAGGAATAAATTGGACACTGTCAAGCGCTGGCCCTCATGGGCTCCCGCCAGGGTGTTGGTTCCTCTTTGCATGTTGATGTGATGTCCTCTATCGACATTTCGATAAGTTGCACGTTCTTGTATTGAAATGATTCTATGTGAAGAATTATCCGCACGACCCAGCATGCGCATCTTCAAGGGGAAAAAACGAAGAACTTGTCTGCAGCAAGTACGCCAAACTGTATAGAAAAAGGATAAGGATCTGCAACTAACCACAAGTACATGGCAAAAGAGACCCCTGCTAGTACTGGGAATTCCTTATACTCATCCTGCGACCCTGAAATTATTCCCGTGTGGTGCCGCAGTAGTTGCAGTCTGGCGGTTTTGTCCACTGCTTGACACCGCGGTGCAGTTCGGTTGCAGCAAAGAGGATTCCGACACGACGAAGTTTATTTCATCCGCCGATGTTCTTTTCGCAGATAAAGACATTTGCGGGTCGTGGTCTCCCACCGCCGCGGCAGCTGCACTTGTTCCCATCTTCAGCTGCAGCCAGCAGCTGGCCATGAGCGCCGAGTAGCCCAGCACCGCGGCGGTCTGGCTCAGGCGCGGGCGCGGGTCCTGGAGCAAGTGCGTGTCGAAGAGCACAATCAGCGCCGCGGGGGTGACCAGCCCCACAACCGCGAGAACCGTCGTGCCGTAGAGGAAAGGAAGGATGAACTGGGATTGTTTAGAACAAGAAGAAGTGCTGTTTATTTTCGCATGAAGTGCCGATTCATCTGCGTCCACTCGATAATTCCGGGAAGACAACAGCGAGGCCGTCAGGGATGATGATGAATTGTTGGACGCCATGAAAATGCCATTCGTCCCGTAGTACCGGCTTGTTCCGTCGTGCTGTGGATCATCCTGCATCACAGACAGTAAAACAGCGTCTTCCCCACCGGCTGGCGGTGGGCGGTGGAAGAAGTTCACCTCTCCAGGCTTCGTCGTAGAAGTCGTGGTTGGAACATTGACCCCGGTCTCGTCCGAAGAACGAGATGCGGGGATCAAAACGTTACCACAATAATTGTTCAACTCCTCTTGTTTCGCAGCACTATCGCCCCCAGAAATCCTCGTCGTCCTACTTCTAGCGCTGTTGGTGTAGACCAGGAACTGCACGAGATTCGTGAGTAAAGTCACCAGCAGAATGAACTGCATTCCGTGGAAAAGCAGCACGTTCGTGACGTTTTCATTCCCGAGCCAGTTTGTGTCCAACCAAGAGCTCGCACCGAGGGGGAAGGGAAGGCACAGAACCGCGATCAGGAAAACTAGGGCGGCGACGACAAACATGATGACGTTATTGTCTATTGGGAACGACTAACCACTACTTACCGCGTTGTAGTTCTTTTGATAAAGCGAGCTCTGTTCTGACGACTGCTTTTTTACTTCTAGCTCTAGCTCCCTTTATTTCTCTTCGAGAGCGAGGTTGCTCTACCACTGCAATGTCGGTGCAGGGAAAAACTTCCAGACTCTCAATTACAACTAGTCCGCGATGCTATCATGGCTAATATGCTGAAGCTAATCTTCGTTTTTTGTTCCTTCTCTCCCGAAGTGATGAAAAATCTGAATCTCTCGTAAAAACGACATCGTGTACTTCATCCCGCTTCAATATTCTTGTTCTCTCCTTTTGCGCGTCAGTTTATTTCTCTTTTTCCTTTTCGTCAAAACAGTTCGAGGAAGAGGGTATCTAAGTACCAGAGGGCAGCAGTGGAAGGCGCAGTAGACACACAGGTGCTCTACTGCGACTACTACGACATCGACGTTTTGCAGTTCAAGTTTTTCTGGTGGAAGATGACAGAAGTTATTTTTTCGGGAAAATCCAAACAGCTCGGTTTTCAACCGAAGCATTCGATTTTCAAACTTCATCCGCTTGTGGTATCAATGAATAATACGTGGCAAATTCTTGATGTTCATCTAATCGTCTAATTATACGTGGATCTGGATCAATCAAACGCTTCTTCTAGTTGTACTTCCTCCCAATGAGGCGGTTTAGTACGTAAACGCCAGTTATTTCATCTCAGGTGGGGTAGTAGATTCTTACACGACCACCCTAGTGGTACAAGGAAGCAAGCCTTTAACTACCGACGACGCGGAAAATTACATATTTTCTCAAGCAAAATGGCAAAGAAGCAGAATTCTTAAAAGCCTCTTCTTCCTTCCCTAGCTCGAGCACCCTTTCTCAAGAAGCAGCAACAACAAGTCGTGCCTGTTTATATCGTTCCGGCTCTACCAATCCTCCAACTTCTGCCCATTTTCGTCGGTGCCGTCGAGAAAGGCGAAGACGTCTATGAAAGTGTACAACTACTGCTCCCCCTCCCATTTGTCATGGTAAATGCTAAATCCTATAACGGCACTTTGCCCGCATTTGCGTGACAACTACCGAAAAGACTGCACTGCAGTGCTGGCTTGGATTTGCCATGCGAATAAAGCTCCACTTCGCAAGCTGACCTTATGTAGTTGAGAAGAGCATGACCATGATCACAATCACATCAATAAGAAGAAGGGGGACGTCGACATGTCCACTCTCATAACGTCCTCAAAATCATCTGCGTCCTGTCCCCCCTCTTCCGCTTCGTCCTCGTCCTCGTCGTCCGAAACAGCCGCCAAGGCGGCCGCGGTGATGTGATGGTGCTCATCTGCGCCATCGTTGTCGAGTAGTCGGTTTTCCAGCTTCCGGCGCTTCCGCTGGTCCCGGGCAAGCTTTTTGTAGTACTCCCGCGCGTCCGGTACATCCTTCATTTCGGCCTCCCGCCGCGCCTTCCTTCTCTCGCGCTCCGCCTTTTCCTGCCGCTCCCGCTTCAGCGTCACCTTCTTGTTCTTGGCTTCGTTCTTCAGGTACTCGTGTATCCAGGAAAAAACACCCATCCCCATCCATTTTTTGCATGGCAAACAAGGGAGCTTATGCATGGTTGGCATGACAAATTGGATGGGGATGGGTGTTTTTTTCCTGGATATCGTGCTTCCACTTCGCATTCATCTCGTGCCGCCGCTCCGCGTTGGGGCTGTTCCACCCGAGGTCCTCGTCGCTTTGTTTGTTCGAGGTCTCCGAGTCCGACCCTGTGTCCTCCTGGAAGTTGAACTCGTTGAACCGGGCAAGTTGCTTATCGAGCACGTCGGACACCAAGGGCGGGGTCATTGACTCCTTGGCCAGAGTTTCGACCGGTCTCGGACCGTCTAGCTCCGCTTGAATAAGTCGCAGCATCTCCGGATCTTCTTCCTCCTGAGCGGTGTTTTTTCCCGCTGGATCATGCGGTGCCTGTTGCTTCTTTCGCCTGGTGGCACTTATCCTTTTGGAGGGCGGCGTTCTGGGAGCGGCTTTATCATTGTGGTTTTCACGATCCGAACCGTCTGCTTTCGCCTTCGAAGGAGGCGAGTCATTTTTCTCCCTCGCAAGAAACAGCAGCTCCTCCTTCTTCCGACTGCTCCTCTTCAAACTCTTCAAACTGCTGCTGATCAATTTCCTTGGCTTTCCCCCACTGTCCGGCGCCTCCCGGTTCGTCTCCTCGTCGAAGTAACAGATGCTGGAGGTGGAAATCACCCCTTGGGAGTTGATGCGTTCCCGACTGTTGAGACGTATCCGTCCGAGATCGTCTAGTTGTAGTCCTACTCCGTCGTCTTTGTCGCCGTCCGCTGCTTGTAGTCCTCTTCTTTCGTGAAGATCATCGTCGCCCTCGCCGTTTCTTTTTGCCTCGATAGGACGTCGTACATCCTCTCCCTCCACGTCCTCCATGACGACATCCTCTTGCGGCGCCAGCGTTGGCGTTGGGTTTACACTGGAACTACTAGCGGGCACCGTGTTCATTCCGCCTCTATTATCAAAGTGAAAAAAGCCCCCACCCCATATCGAAAAGGAAATCTGTGATGCTGGATTTGCGTACACAAGTCAGATTTGTATTGCAGGAAGGCATTGCGGCCAGATCCCCGGGCTAGGTAGGGGCGTATGGGTCTAGTTGCTCAGCATTGCAAACGGCTGACGTTTAGGCCCAGCAGCATGACAAATCGCTTCCACAATGGGGCGGAAGCTTCTGCCCTTGTCTTCTTGCAAGACAAATGTGATTTGTGAACTCAAATCAGCAACACAAATTTTCGGAAAGATACCTTTTCGATATGGGGAGGGGGGATTTTTCCTGACGATATCTACTACTGGAGGAACTACTAGCGGACCCATGGTTGTTGTCGTGGTGGGCCCCCGCACCATGTAGAAGATGATGCCCACGAGGACCACCCCCGCAAGAAAAACTGTTGGCGGTGTGGAAAGAATTCGCACTGTTGCTGCCATCTACTTCCTGAAGATTCCTTGTCATCGCCCCATAATTACTACCACTACTGCTGCTAGCACTACCTCCAGCTGCATGATTTGCTGCTTGTATCATTTTACTTCGGTTTCTCTTCCCGAACGCCACTCCGTCGGTTTTCGGGATGAAAACGGAGCTGCTGCCGTTCGACAACTCCTTGTCTTCCAGGATGGTTTTAAACGGGTCGAAGAACCGTTTCCGGCTCCTCTGGTCCTGGCGCATCAGCAACTCCACTTTCCGCTGCTTCGCCACGCAGTCCCCCATCTTCTCGACCTTCCGCGCCTCCAGCGACATGATCTCCTCTTCCTGCTTGCGCTTCGAGTTTTTCTGCTGCTGCTGCAACTGCTCCTTGGTGTTCCGGTTTCTCTGCTGGTCCAGCGCCTTCATCAGCTCGCTCTGGCGATGGATCACCTCCGCCTCCTCCAGCAACGCGGTCGCGGTGAAATCGAAGTCGGTGTCCCCGTATCAAATGCAAATGTGTGGTCTGGGTCTGGAAGGTTGCAACTTGTCATGCTAAATCTGAATCATGCAAAAAATCTGTGTTGCATGATTACCAACAGCCGTCCTTTTTTACCAAGTTGAGAGGGAATTTCTCGTGCAGGATAGGCATGATAGAGATCTCACAGAATTTGTCATGCTAGGTGCTGCATTGCAGACCGCGTGCGTGGGCCATGGAAAACCTGCATGACAAATCTGGCATTCTTCCAGACCCAGACACTTTTGCATTTGATACCCCGGCTTTTTCCTCCATCGCCTCGCTCTCCCGCTGCAGCACCTCGTTGCAAACCTGCTTCCAGGAGAAACTCGGCTTCACCACCAATTCCGGAAGGGTCAGCTTCAACAACAACTCGTCCAGCTCCTTCGTCCACACGAACGTCCGCTTGGTCTGGTCCAGCATCTTTATCCTCCGCTGGTTGCTCAGCATCGTCCACGTGTCCAGGTTGAGGGGGAAAAGAACGTCGCGGGACGGAGCAGGGTAAAGTTTATTCGAGCTACTACTGCTGTTGATTTGGATTTTTCCGGACGAGGTGGATGAAGAAGTCATCTGCTCCGTTTTGATCTGCAATACCTTCACCCATAGTGCCGAGTTCAAAACGAAGCGCGCACTGGTGGCTTCCTCCGAGCTCGCAGTTTGTGCAGCAGCTCCCGCTCCTTTCACAATGAATTCGTCCACACTGTTCCACAGTTTCCCGGAAATTAGAGGTGAGATCGACGACGATCCGCAAGCAGCTCCTTCTCCTGCTTCAGAGCTAGAGCAGCTGGAACTAGTACAGTCAGCGCATCTAGTACTTCTTTCCGTCTCACTGTCGTCCGCCAGGGCGGCCGAGAGAATGCTGGTCATTTGGGTCGAGGAGGAGGAGGATGCTGATGGTGCAGGACTTCTATTGGTCCTGTACCAAAACCGGACACTCTTCCCAAGTTTCCGTTCCCGGTTGAGACTCGTGATTTCCAGCAACACCTTCTCCTGATTGTTCCACTGCACCTTGAAGCGCGACCCCAACTCGATTCCCGCACTGAACAAACAGTACTGGCGGAGAACTGGTGCCTGCGAAGAAGAAGATGCTTGGTTTTGCTTCTGCACCGGCGCAGATGAAGCAGCCGTGCTTTGTGCTCCGGGCTGCACGTTTTTCTCGGCGAAAAAGCTTTTGTCCGGGCAGAAAATCCCTGGTGCAAATGAACCAGCAGCGCCGGTGATCAGGTGGTCACTACCCGTGCATTCGTAGGGAAAGAGTTTGTGGGAGGCGAACGAGGTCCAGACCTGCTGCGCGAACGAAACGTCCTCAAACGACGCCTGACCCTTGAACAGGGACACCGACTGCCGCCGCCGATCCACCCAGGGCCGCGGCTTCACGGGGGGGACAACGGAGTAGTCCGGGTCGTTCGGGTTCACCCGCCACCACTGCTTGAAGTACTCCTCCTATCGCAAGAAAATAGTGTTACAGTATAAACACTGCGCTGCAGATCAAGCAACAGAGACTTGCTCTGTCATGCGGGATAAATACTTATGCACAGGAGCGAAGTTTCATGATACGTGTTTTCCCTTATCATCTCTCCATTACATCAAGTTTTGTCGGTCATGCCAAGCAAGTTTGTGATGCGGAAGTTGTTTACAACAAATATGTGTAAAAACTGTAACAGTTTTTTCTTGGATACCTCCATCTTGCCACCCTGCTTCAGCCTGTCCGCCAGCCGCGGGTGCAGTCGGTGGTGCGTCACCAGCTCCGGAAAACACATGTCCAGGATGTACCACTGGTTTTCACCTGCAGACAGGCGTAGAAGTTGCGAAGATTCTCATACATGCAAATTAGGGTAAGGAAGAATAAGAATTTGATATTGCATGAAGCGCATCGTTTGACCAAAATCGCATGTAGTCGTCAGTGCCCTGCAAAACGAAACGCTGTTGAATGTATGATCCCTAACACGATGACGCCATGGCTAATGAATCAAAATTATGACTTCGACATAATGGATTATCGCACCATTCTCACGGGAAAAATAAATTCTTACTGTCGCGCACGTGCCACGCGTCTTTCGGGGTCTTGGGCTGGTTCTTCTTGAACTGGCAACTGACGATCCCGCGCGTGATGATCCGGCCGCCGGTCTTGCTCAGAATGCCGTGCACGTACATCTGGTAGCGGTTGCTGCCATTGCGCTTGGCAAACTCCACGCACCAAAGCCGCAGCACCTTGGTCTTCTTGTATTACGATGAACAGTGCCCCCTCTCCGGAAGTTGAAAATGAAATAGTTTCGGATGCATAAGGTTTTCAAATGCGAAACTCTTTGTCTATGCGTGACAGGACTATAGGCGCGCTCGGCTCGCGGAGGCGGAAGGAACCCTCTGCATAACACGTTCGGCTGTCGTCGAGCTCTTTAGCAACACAAATTTTAGCTATCCAGCATCGAAAATTTTTGATACTGGTAGCTGCAAGAAGGGGGGAAATGCTTATGCTTCCATGGAATGAAAGGTTCGCAATACAAATTCTTCCAAGTTCTGGGTCGTTGGGGGCAGTTTTCATTGTAATATCTTGAACTGGCACTTCTTGCAGTGCTTGTATGGGTCCAGACAGGCCGGGTGGAAGTTCCCCTTGCACTCCGCGCACTGCCGCTCCTTTAGCGGGGCGCCCTGGGGGATCTTCTTCGTGCAGTGCAGGCAAAACAGGTCGCATTTGCGCCGCGTGTTGGGACAGATCTCGCAGGTCCAGTGGGGCAACTTCGTCTTCAGGTCCGTCTCGGAGAAGTTGACGAGGCTCGGGAAGCAGCACGTGGGGTGGTACACGTCGCCGCATCTCTCGCACGTCACCGCAATTTTCGGGTCCACGTGCTCCCCGCACCGGTGGCACTCCAATTCCGCGGACCGGCAGACTAGTGTGGAGGGCGCGGAGGGGTGTTGCTTCTTTGCGACTTCCATGTTTTTCTTTTTTGTTTTTAGGACAAGCGGGGGATGATAATTGAGTGGGAGGCGGGAAAATCGATAAATTCAGTTATGGTCCGATTTAATATTTCTCGTTGCAGAACAACCCACAAATTTTTTGGCTGTCCGTTGTCCAACAGTATCAAAAGGTTGAGGGTCCCATGACAGAATGACAAAATAAAGGAATGTTTTCCCAGAGAAGTTCCTTCTTTGGATATCAAGTTGTACCCAGCCGGTCCAAAACTAGTACCCTAGCCCGGCCAAAAAAAAACTAAGGATTTGAGGAAAACAATTTCCAGGTCGAAGGTTGTTCACGCACAGTAGTAGACAAGGTGACCCTACTAGCTTCTGCTTCTTGTCCTTGTCGGCTACATTTGCTAAAAATTTTTAAGCAGCAGGACCGCAACATCTACGACTGCAAACTACAGAAGGACCTAAAGCCGAGAATCAATTCACGACGAGCTGTGGTAAAACAACTAAGGCTGGGGATGACAATCATTGTAAAGAGAAGAGAAAAAATGTGTGGCCAAGAATTTTGAGTGTAATCGAGCAGGTGGTCGAGGTTTCTAGCGATCTTTGCACCGCTCAAAATAACATGGAGTTTCGACACAGCCAGATACTACCGAAGACGTCAAAGCTGCATACATCACTAGGAATATTGCGTAGATCTGCGGAAAATGGATGCATCTCTCTCGCTCTCCCTGCAAAATAGCTGCTGCGATCTATCATGTAGGAGTTCTTGGGTTCTTTAATTCGATGCCAGTTCTTCCAGTAGTGATAGATTTAGATGCTGTCTCACAACTGTATTCATTTGAACAACGAAACTGAAGCAAAGATGCATCTTCTTCCCGGCTCACTGACGAAACCGACACCCAGTTTCCTTGACGACGAAAACTCGACGCGAAACGATCTGCTTGATTCTTCTTGTACAAAAAGGCAAGACGCTCTTGCTACAAGCAGCGCGCATTCTTTCCTCGCTAATATCTTCGCCTCTCATAGTAGCGAAAAAGATTTACAATTTGGACGAAGTGATGTGCGCAAAAGTTCATTTCTGATGATCCCTTCTCTTAATTTCAGATAGTAGCTCCTAGCACGTCGCTATAATACCAGAATGATGTATAAAATCGTACGAAGAGCCGCAGCACAAGAGTTTTTGCATAATATTTTCCTCTCGATGTTGAAAATACTGAATCATCTAGAACCATAGCATCACCGAAAGTTATTTACAGGTACATAGGGCGGCGTTTCGATTTCTCAAATTTGCACAACTAGTTCAAATTCTGTATTCTCTTATCATAGAAGACGATTATCAGCTGCAGCTAACAATCGAAGAATAGGGTACATTTGTAGTAGACGAAAAGCAGTAGAAAATAACTACTTTTAGCGAAACCAGACGGGAGCATTTCCTCGCGTGCATTTGCGTTATAATCGAATAACATCCTATAAGTGTAGTATTTTCCAGAGGCCGCCGTCTCTCAAGATGAATACCTCCCCGCAATTGCGTGCTCTTGCCCACGGAGGTTGCATTTTTTGATTGGAAAATGGAACTGCCACTTAGAAGTAGCATACAAAATTTCGTTAGATTTACTAGCCACCGAAAAAGTGACTTTTTTGCATTTCGCAAACTCTAACTCTTGGTTGATGTTACTAATACGGATAATTATTGAATACCGCTGCTTATTGTGGCGCACAGTACGCTAGGGCACCACAAGCTATTGCAGCGTTTGCTAATACCTATGATATAATACGGATTGAAATTAAGAGTCTTCTCTTTGTCGTTTGCTGTGAAATGGTAATTGAAAAAGTGAAAATCTGCCTTGTAGCCTTGCTTCGAGCAAATCTGCTCTACGGATTGATGTTGCAATGGCTTGTCTTTTCGATCCGTGATGGCTAATATCATCACGTGAGGGAACTACCACTTGTACTTTCTACGTCCTCAAAGTGGTTTATTTTCATTAGGTTTTATTTCGCCTTTTTTCCTCCCCACCTTGTTTTGCTCCTACCCGGAGGTGACTGCCCCCGGTGCGCTATGATGCCGCACGTCCTCGTAGACCTTATCTGCGGATTCCGGCGTCTCGCAAAAATACATCATGCTAATAAAAAGATACGCGTTCAGCAACATAACCCCCTCGAGCCTGTTGTGAAGTAAGATGACGGGGGCTTGGTGTTGGAAAAAAACTGTTCCAAATTTCTTTCCGAGTGACAGTGACGGGATCAGAAATATAAGCACTGCTTTCTTTCAGCTGCAACGCCCTCGTCATGCAATTATATATCATATCAACGTATGTAGTACCCTGTACCAATTTGTCTCCCCGTTCGCTAATATGGTGTTTACGATCAGAACCGAGAGCAGCAGCACGGCAACTTGAAAATATGGAAAGCAAAACTTCTCGTGGTCTTCTAGTGCTATGCCATTCTCCTGCAAGTTCGTCGACTACACAGCCCGGTGCGTGTCTCCTACCAACATGCACACCGCGCAAAAAAATTACGCCGCATAAAAAAAATTCAACCAGCAGGACATGCTTGTCCTCACGCAGAGCAGCATCAAAAGACCACTCCCTAGAATAAAGATCACGTTGATAAAAAAGGATGGAAATTGAGCGACATGGGCTGGTCTGCAAACCACCCGGCAAGCACGCTCAGGGGCGTCACGAGCAGCATCATTTGGCACCCGGACCCGACCGCAACGCCGAGACTCAGATATTACAGTGAAAAATGCTCCCGCCCCCAAAGTCGCAAAAATTTGTGATGCGAAGTTTCCAGATGAAAACTTTTTGTCATGCATGAAAGAAGTATGAATCTTTCTGATGCAGTAGAGTCTAGGCGTGTATTGCGTCACTTGCATGACAAGCGCCGCTCTTGCAGCTGGGGTCTTTTGCAATACAACTTTTTGCTATTCACGATTGGAAATCTGTGATGCTGATAGATGCAAGAGAGCGAATGTTTCATTTAGAAAGGTTTGCAATACAAATGCTCCGAAGTTTGGGGGTGGGGGCATTTTTCACTTTGATATCAGATCCATTTTGTTCTTCCCGGCCATTACGATTGCGGTGTAGCCGGTATGGAGAGGGGGGGCAAAGAGGGAATTATGACAACGCATGATCTACTTCTCGGTGTTTCATTTCTAGTCTTGCTGGTTCACCGACCTCAAGTGACGACAGGTCAACGACGAGCAAGAGTATTGTAAGCAAGAAAAGTACGAAATACTACTACACCCTTCATAATGCATCGCGAAGAAACTTAGCTATCAAGAAAAACGTAACTCCCCTTTGTTTTTTCCAGCATAATGCTCCGCTGCGTTTCCGATTATAGGAAGTATTATGATACCTGTTTATGTTTATTGAGGTCAACATACATCATGGCCGTACAAAAGAAAAAAAATAGCATGGTTGCGCCACCCTTTAGTACGTGCTGAAAAAATAAAAATGAAAACTGTACCTATGAATTCCTTACTCGTCCCGAAGGACAGCACGGCCGGTTCTATGCTCTGTATCAAGTAGTCGGACAGCATCGCGGTCACTACGGTCGCTACCCCGAGGAGCGATATGGCGCCCCAAAATCCAAAGTCAGCCTCGTCTTCTTCGGTTTTATCAAGTGGTTGGCGAAGAGCACATTGTTTTGATTCAGCACCGCTTCTGGACTGTGCAAGTTCCTCTTCGTGCTCGCATCTCCAATTGAAGTACAAAATTTGCAAAATTCTAAATCATGGCGCTCCTGTGCATCAGAAAAATAAGTTCGCGCATGCTGTATGTTGCTTTTTTTCACACTTACTTTTAGTACCTTAGGGTTAGGACACAAACCCCTGCATTAGCACCATGACAAATCCAGAGCCGTCACAAAAACATGTGATGATCATCGTCATTCCATAATCATCATCGCCTCCTTCGAAGAGCTCTTGGTGTGATATTATCTGGAAGTATAAGTACCTGTAAAATATACGGTTTTGCCTTTCTGTCAGGATGGTGCTGCAAATGGAAAAAGCGCAAAAAACCTCCATCATGCTGCTCCCGCCGGCTATGTATTCCAAAATAAAAGCATAAACACATAGAATACTGCACGTAAACGCCGAGCATAAGAATGCTGCCCTGCCTCGACATCGACAAAACTTCCTTTTCGAAGGTATGAAACTGCAAAAAGTAAAAGAGTGTAGTCCATGTCCCGCTAGTAGGTGAGCTTCTTGTACTCAAGCGCACCACACAATCAAGGTTTGGTGTTGCCAGCGATGAACATGCAGCTCAAGCAAATTTTCTGCTCTTCTCGACGCATGCCACCGTGCAAGAGGTTCCTCATCATGCCTGCTTCGACTACTTAGCCGAGTGCTCTTCACTCTTTCAAATATCTCCATTTGCATAAGACGTGGTGTCCTCGCTGGACAGTGTCGAGTACATCATTGGCAGCGCCAGGGTGAGCAAAGCCAGCAGCAGGAGCGACGATTGGACTTTTGCGCCCTCTTGATTGAAAAACTGTCGCTTGTGGTAGTAGCCGCCGTAGACGAAACTCGTGCCCATCACCAGCAGCAGGTTGGACAAAATCGACCCCAGCAAGGTGCACTGCACCACCGTTATTTCGCCGTGTATTATGCCGCTGCAGCCTGTAGTGCTAGTGATGACGTCGTGCGAGCAAAGGCAAACATTTTTAGCCTTCATGCCCATGCGTTATAGTGATTGCATGACAGAGTACGCACACGCCGAGCTCCCCTGCAATAAAACTTCTAAAAACAGAAAACCAAAGAAGGATCTATACACAAAAGCATTTCCACGACGTTTCCAAAGGTTGCGTTGACCAACCCGCCCAGTTCTGTATCCTGGAGAAATCATTCGCTCGTCTAGAATAAAATCATGACAGTTAGTCGTTTGATGGAGAGTCTTCCTCAGTACATCCTCTGAACAAGACGAGATCAGTACATTCATTCTCATGCAGAATCAATTCTGAAAGCATTCACACGCTGCACATCACAACACGTAGAGTCTTATCGCTGCCACGAGTACTATTTTTCTCCAGGATACACTTGATTTGTGTGCGACGCCAGGTTATCAAATGCAAAAATGTCTGGGTCTGGAAGAATGCAAGATTTGTGATGCTGTTCTTCCATGACCCATGAGGCCTGGAATGCAACACCTAGCATGACAAACGCTGTGAGGTGTCTATCTCTATCATGCCTATCCTGCATGAGAAACTCCCTGTCGAACTGGTCAAAAGTGGACATCTTTTGGTAATCACGCAACACAGATTTTTGCATGCTTCAGATTCAGCATGACAAGTTGCATTCTTCCAGACCCAGACATTTTTACATTTGATACAGGTCCTCCGTTGTCTTCCCTATCAACCTGAGAAAAAATTTTTTCCGTTGACACAAGTTGTGGAGAAGATTTTTCGTCACGAGCTGTCACTAAATTTTAGAAAAACTTCTCGAACGTCTTCTCTCAGTTGTAACAGCGGTCGTGTATGTTGTGTGGAATAAGCATACACATAGCCATAAGCTGCATATACTGTCGTGCATAAGGAGGAGAAAGAGCAGAAGGTGAAAAAAAAGTGCTCTATACCATGCTAGCGGCAATATCCCCAAGAAGGTGAGCGTGAAGATCCATGCGGCGGTATTGAGAGTATAACCCGCTCAGGTGTTACAATCTCAAACGTTACAATAGAATATGGAAATCTGTGATGCAAGACTGCATGATCTAGCCAACTCTCATGAAATTGCGCATGACAAGTTCCGGAGCCCCAAACCCCACTACAATCTGGCCAAGTTTGTATTGCATAAGGTGGAACGTTGTGCGAGTCTGTCATGCTCATCATGCAACACAAATTCCAGATTCTATTGTAACGTTTGAGATTGTAACGTTTGAGCAAGTCATAGAGAGAAAAGGGCTTTTCTTGTCACGGTGCCGGTGCTTCATCTCCGTCAGTCTCTCTCTGCAGCGCGCAAGAAAATTGTAAGCACTTCTCGCTGGTGGCGGGTAAGAAAGTCACCACATGCAACATGAATTATATGGGATCCAAATTACCACTACCATTTGATGTGCCATTCATAAGAAATATCAGAGCAAAACCGTACTACTTACACTAACACAAGACCAACACAGTGACCTCCGGGTGGAGGACTAGAAACAACTAGCCACTCTCCCCATTCATAGTCGGCGAGCTGTGCGTGGTGCGCGTAAAATCCCAGTGGTACGAAGATGAGCAAGCTGCTCAGTATCGGGTGCTCTCTTCTCACGTTGCTCCAGGCCTCGAGGAAAGGCTTCGTGCTGCCGCTGGCCTTCTCCTCTACCGCCGGTGTCAGCGGTTGCAGTTCGATCTCCGTCGGCATGATCTTGCAGTCGGTCCGGGCCGTTGAAGGAGGTGTTTATCTTTGCAACGGGCGAACTTTTCTCTTCGCCGGAATTTTTCAGTAAAAAAGCCGTCCTCGTCCCGTGCTCGACCGCGACTGAAGAGGTGTCTTTTTGTCTGTAGTACTGCACTTATCTAAAGTTCTTCAGCCACTTCTACACGAAGCGCCGGTGCTCAGCCGCGTTGTGTGGTCTTTCGTCGTCCGCGGCCTTGGGTGTAATTACTTTCCGCTTCTCGACCGTCTTCGCTTGCTCTTGCGGAGCGATGGACAGCTCGGTTTCTTTGCTCAGGTAGCTTTGTGGTCCTGTCGCTCTTCCTGTTTGTCAGCTGGAGCTGAGTTTCCGTCGCCGCGACGATCTTTCGGAGGACTTGCAGTGCCCGCACTTTTGCGGTCGCCAGCTAGTATAGACCACAAAAGTAGAACCGCGAAAGACGTGGCCCAAGAACCACTGGGAAGTGAACGAGTCTGCTGGAACCGACCCGGACTCGGAAAATTACCGTCCGATCGCTTCACTTCCTGTTCCTTCACGTTCACTTGGCTACTGGCGCTAGCTGAAATTATGGCACAAACCGTTGACGCTCTGACGTCGAGAAGTAGTACACCGGCTGCGATTTTTTAAATGCGCCGGCGGAAAATCGCTGCCACGGATGTCTTAGTGCCTGCCGACTTGATTTGGTTGCGCACTGAATATCTTTTTCCGAGACTAGTTCTACGCGGCAGGTGCAAGAACGACTACGACTGACTCTGCCTCACACTATATTGATTCATAAGCACAGTTTCGTCACCAGTATTGTACGCTTATAGGCTCTTCTGGGACATCTACTGGATGAAGTTGCAGTTAGTTTTTCGCTGTTGTAACAGCTGCACCGACTGACTGCTTCCACTATAAAAAACTTTCTCCATAACCACACAAGAACATCGAGAAAAGTCATCTTCACGCTCGCTCATACTAAACTTCACGACACAACCTCCACTTATAGAAAGGATGTGAACTACTAGCAGCGGCTCGTCCCTCGAAGCCGGGAAAAACCACCCCCACCAAGGCGCACTTCACAAAGAAACCGGGTCGTGCCCAAATTCGCCTTTTGCAACGCCGGTGCGACATAGCCTTTTGCAAAGCGGCTGACAGATGAACAGAAAACTGCGCGAAAAAATGAAAATCCGTTTCTGGACTCAAAAAATGAATGCAGTTTGCCTGCACTCTCGTTGAAATAATTTGAAAAGTTTAGTAGCAGGTTGTTTCAAATTGCTGAAAATATTTCCTTTGCGTTCTTCTTCTCTTCGGTGAGATCATGTGCCGCTTTCAAAGAAATTAGGAGTGTGTACGAAAGAAAGATGACGGTTGCTTGCATTGATGGATAAAAATTGACTTTCGAAAAAATGATGAAGAGTCGCAGCATGGTACTCTAGAAAACCTGGATGCTGACCTCTGTCTGTTCGTGAATTTGAAAATTCTAGCCGACAGTGCACGAGGTTCTTCACGTTGCTGTCATACTATTCATTGCCGCAAAATGTTTAACATTGCCCTTCACTTTGCAAAGAAAAATTCCTTATGCGCTCAGACTTCGTTTCCCCGGTCCATCCTGCCTGAAACAAAACTGCCCTTCCTTTCCCTCCCTCCAACCTCCTCGTCTACGCCGACCCGGCCGGCAGCGACAGGGCTCCCGCCTGCGCCAGCCTCTGCGACTGTCGCCGCGGCGCCGGAGACAGCACTTCACCCGAGTGCTTCAAGTGCACGTCGTAAAAGGCTCCGCTCGCCTGGCCCTGATACCACTGTTCCCGTTCCTGGTGCGCCTGGACCCGCTGCATTTCGTGGATTACCTCCCCGTCCTCGCGGGTGAGCAGTCTGTCCTTGCGCACCCACAACGCCAACTGCGATCCGTCCGGCGGAAAGAGTGTGGGAGAGAAACATACTACGATTTTTCACTGGCATAACATACTTGTAGTTGTGTCAAGCTGCTGCAACACATGTAAAGTTAAGTAAGTGAGTAATTACTTATCTGTCAGGAACAATTGTTCCACCTACGCCGTGCATTTTGCTTTTGAGCTGCCTTGCAATAAAGAACCTTCGTCTTGGACATCATACCTTTTGAGGACTCAGTGCCTCACTTTGTCTGGCAGCACCAAACAGATAAATGCCATGCCAGGCGCAGCATAATCTTTTGTAGGTGATAAACAGCGCGGTGGAACCTCCAGTTGCGTCATAGCGGCGAAATTGTTGCCACTCCCGAATCTGCTTCTCGGATATCCAACGGAAATGAAGGGTTCTTTCTCTTTTCCTATAGAGGTCGGGTGGTCGTGTGAACGATGAGGACGATGTCATATCCATTCCAACGCAACTTCCTAGAAGTACACATGACACGTATTTCCCGCAAGAACAAGAAACAAAAACTTCGCTTTTCGTTCCCCTGAGCGCATTTTTACGACCCTACAGATTCAAATTTGTCCTGCTGTTTCATGTTCTACGAGGTGAAAATGAAATGGTGTGTATGCACTCCTTGCGAAAATAGAAATCCTTCCACCCGACTCCATTGAATCAAAGAAACCGTTTCTCAAAGTCACTCTCCTACCGCTGTGATCCACGAAAATTAATCGCATGTCCGCGTCTACGTTCTGCGCCACGTTGTCGACCACCACGACGTTCCAGCCCGCTGCTAAAGTCGGCCCGGGCTCGGTCGGCCTGAAGCCCTTCCACGTCTGAATGGCGGTCGTACCCCCGTCGGATGATCCGCCCAGAGCGGCAGTAGCATCCACGTTTGTTGAGCTGCCCAACGTCCTGGGCGCGAAGATCGGCTCTGCGCTGTCCAACCTCGCGACGCTCGGGCTCACGTTGACGATCTTTTTCACCCGCTGCGCCGCGGCCACGATGTTCACTTGTGGGGTGAAACGGGGATAATTGGTGAACTGGATGTATTTTCCAGTGTTATGGCCACAGAAAATGAATAAAACACACGTTCGAACGGGGCCAGGAGCGAAGTAGATGTAATAGATTCTTGTGCCTTTATCATGTCACTCAGTGGGTATGTATCATGGCGGGAATCCAGCAGCAACTGCAGAAGGAAATGATCAAGAACGAAATGCAAACGTAGTCGTCTTCTGCACTGCATATATTGAAAACTAAACTCCCAAAGGGAAGTTTGAAAAATTGCACTGTAGCATAGCGAACTGCACTGCATATAAAGAGCAACTGACACGGCAAGCGCGGGCGCTGCAGAGGCCACGAATAAAGTGGCCCTTGTCTTTTTTTTCGAAACACAGTAGAACTACTTCTGGCGCGAAGAACTTGTGAGTACTGGCTTCATCAATCGCATACATCTCCGATGGGCGAGACTTCTGGGGCTTTGTCACTGCCGGCGGATCGCTCCACGATGTTCGTATCCCGTGACACAACTGCTCCCGCCCCGGCGGTATGATCGTGGTCCACAGTAAGTATATAGAATCCTAGTTCGCAGTGTCATGAAAACTAGTTCATGCAACTACAGGAATCAATGCATCCCTGTTTCTGCGTTCCGTCTCTCTGCCTGAGAAGGAGAAAGAAATGAATTCGTTGTTGCATCGTGCAGTTTGGTCAAAGCGAAATTCTTTTTTATCTCGAATGATTGACCATGAGCCGCACCGTTCTTGATGGCAGTGCAATACAACCTATCCACCATCAATACAACCAAGAACCCGCAAGACCAATCATTCCCGTAGATGGCACATAATGCAAGCTGTGAGGACCGCCCACGCGGGGGACGAGAAGCTGTTCGAAATGGATAGCTGGACCGCTGACTGACGCAGACACGAACGAGGAGCCCCCGGCGGCCGTAGGCGTTTCGGCGTCCTGGCCGGCAGGCGTAGTTTTGGCGTCCTGGCGTACTGGCGCAGCTTGGACCGAAGAGGGATGTGCAGTCGTGCTGGCGAACACCGTAGCAGCAGGAAAAAGAATCCCCATGCGTGGTCGTGCTGCAGGAACAGAAAAAACACCCCCCATGTCGTACGACCTCGACGTTGCTTTGCGTTTCCAGAAACGGATTAATTCCACAGAGAACAAATGAATTTTCGGCTCGAATGAGGTAGGTTTAGTTTACTCAATGTAACGGGAAGAAAATGAGAAAAACTCCAGTGCGGGGACGTCGGGTCAAAAAAATGGGTTGATCTCGTCTGGCAGGGGTCGGTTGTTGCCTGTTGCTCTTGGTTATTCTAAGCGTAGCTTTCAGTTTCAGACCTGCTGTGGTGACCACATATCGCCTCCGTATTCCATTGTCTAAGAATGTCCGCAAACAAGAAACGTTTATTTCTTTCGCACGAAGAAGTAGAACCGACCTTCTTGCAATTTGCCACGGCTTTGTTCCTTCTAAGATTTTTCGCAGCCACAGCCGGAGTTGAGTTGGCACGATGGACGAACGTATTTTTCAGCCAGAAGCACGACGATAACGCCTCTTCAGTATCACATGAGTACGAAGAGCAAGAAGTTCAGTGCTTGTATTACATTTTGTACGATGCACGCAAGTAGAACGTAACCGACCTCAACCATTGCACCTCGGAAACGGCAACGAGCAAACAGGTGGCTCTACTACGATGCATCGAGGGCGGCGCTCTAGCACGATTCCGATTTTTAGAGTAGTTCTTCGTACTGCCTATTGCGCCACAGAACTGCATGCAACTTTTGCGAAATGCTTCTTGCCCGAATGCTGTTGCTCGACGAGAAAGAACCGAATAGCTTGCGTAAAATAAGTACGAGTCTACTGTGTAAACAGACTCATAAAGAGAAACCGATAGAGCGTGACGCCGCTCTCAGAATTGTTCCGCACGTTCAAAAGTGGGTGACATAAGGGATTCGCGCAGGGAACCATCCGCACCTGCGTCTCGTCTGCTGCAGTTGCTCACAAGCATCACATACCCACTGCTTCGGTTGTTAAAGTTGAAAGTCACCTGTTGGATGGTCAGAAACATAATTCTGAGGAATTGCGCAACTCCAGATCATGCTATTTCAGTGTCCTTCGCACAGAAACGGTTATCACCGAATTGAAGAGCAATCTCGGCAAATCCCCCAGTGGTAATGCAGGAGAGTACCATCGTGACTCATACATTTCATGATCATCGTCCGGAGGCACTGGCACAGCGAGAGGCATCAGCACATCGAAGACGGGCTCTTCGTCTTCCCACTTGCCCAACACTGCCCCCATCTCGCACGACCTCGATGCTTTGCGTTTTCAGATACAGAAAGGGGAATTCCGGAAGGAACAAAACTAATATAAGACTTCAACTACAAGTTGGGAATGGGATGGGCGATAAGGAAAAAAACTTCTGTCCGGGGACGAGGCAAAAAAGAAGAAAAGGATGAATTTTGTTTGTCATGTGTTGAGGTTGAAGGTTGCCTGTTGTTTTCTAGTCGATCGATTAGTCAATCTGAGCAAAGCTTTCAGACCTGCTGTAGTATCAACAGCATAACGCCACCGTACCCGTAATTCTATTCAGCACGCACGCAAACAAAAAACGTCATTTTTCTCGCACGAAGAACCGAACTTCTTGCACTTGCAACGCACGACAGAAAAATCAATTTGGTTGCTTGTTACCGAGATTTTTCGCACCCAGAGCCGAAGTTGAGTGAGGACGATGGACGAACGGATTCAGACAGAAGCACTACAACGTCTCTTCAGTAGTTCAGTGTCTATAACTTCATTTTGTACAAACGCAAGTAGTACGCAACCGACCTCAACCATTGCAGCTCGGAAACACCAACATACATTACAAGCAAACAGGTTCCACGAGGGCAGCACTTCAGCACGGTTCCGACTTGCAGTAGTTCTGCGTACTGCCTGTTACGCCACAGGACGACATGGAACTTTTGACGCAATCCTTCTTGCCAGAATGTTGCTGCTCGAGAAGGAAGAAACGAATGGCTTGCATTGTAATATACGACTCCGTAAGGACAGGGATAGAGATACCGCCAGAGTGCGCAGCCGCCCTGAGAAATGTTCCGACCGCACATTCAGAAGTGGGTGACACGAGGAGGCCGCGCAAGAAACGCAGTAAAAACGCGGCTGCAGTTGCAAATTGAGCGAAAAAATTATGCGTCTTGTCCATATTCAAGAATGTACTTTTTACCAGTATAGAAATACTCAAGACGAGTCCAGCGTCCTTGTTCTGCCAAATAATGTTTTTTCGCCAGGAAAACAACAGCAGACAAGGACTGCACTCGCTCATCGCGTTTCGTCTTTCTGTGCCTTCTCGTAGAGAGAAGTTTTCACGGTGTAGATTTACTTACCAAACGACAAAAGAAGTTGAAGTGTAGAGGATTCGACTCCATCTTTGTGTTCTTCCGATGATGTTACCGTTCACATTTTGGCTACTCACAGGTTGGCTAGGAATTTTCGGCCGATCTGGCTACCGCCGTTTGAAGATTCTTTTGCCTTTTGCAAAAAAAACCGCGGGCTTTTAGCTACCAAGATTTGCATCTACCATTCTAAAACTAGGCTATAATTAACATTGTGCACCGGTTTGGATTTTGTTGCACTGCATACAGCATGCAGTTCCTTCGTGAACCACAGAATTGTCACCTTTTCTGTCGTCGAAAGGGAAAGTTGCTGAGCACCAAAAAAACAGCCGATATAATACCGAAAAAATCGGGTTGTTTCAGCAGGAAAAAAAAACTCAAGCTTCGTCCCCGAGGAAGAGCACGTGCCAGCCAATGTGCGCCTGGATTTTGTCGATCAATCCGTTTAAATCGTTCTCGTCCGGGTTGTAGCGCAGAATCAGCTTCGCCCGCCCTTTACACCTGTTCGCTGGTATGAAGGGAAATAAAATCAGCTGGTGTCGAAGGCGTACTTACGATGTTGTACTACTTAAACACTTCTTGTTCTTTTCTGTCGTCGCGTAAAAAAAGCGCAATCGCCTTTCCACAATTTTTTTTGTCATGACCAGGAGACCACAGCTGCAGGCACGTTGTAAGTAAGCACACCAGATGAACTGATTTTCTCTTTCCTAAACACAGGATCCAAATCCAGCATCACTTTCACGATGTGGCACCCGAATCCCCGGCATTTCCTGTCAATAAATGGATTTCAATTTTTCTTGTCAAGCACTGAGGCGCCTGAATCTGAAATCAATTTCAAGCGCGGGCGTGAGATCTTCATCTTCACACGTACTTTTACAAATCATCCTTCGCATGACAGTGCTCATCTCTCATGCACAAAAGAGCATAAGTACGTACATCAGTACACAAAGCATGATTTTTACAAATTTCTTTTAGTACGTTTTCACGGTCTGCTCGTCCTCGTACGGATCCAGTCCGCTAACCGCAACTATGAAGCTGAAATCTCCTTCCTCGTCCTCGTGTTGTGAAAAATCTTGGTGTGTACTTGTGCATTTATTGCATGACAAAAACATGATGTCGCGATTCAACGAGAAGAACGAGGAAGAACATGAAAATATTTTTCAATGTCATAAACAGCTCTGCAACTTCCCAGGCCCGGGCGGACGCGGCACGCTCGTAGAATGTGTCGCGCACGAGGGAGCTCTTCATGTGTTTCTGGTGCATCAGAGAACCCGGCTCCGTAACGTCGCCTCTGTATTTGAATTTGTTTTCTGTTCAATAAGCTAAAGTTTACTTTATTGCAAAACGCAAAGAAGTTCCATTATTTTGTGTGTGGAATTATTGCTGGCATCGCCCGGCAAGTGCGGGGGTGAAGATACTTAGACTTGTGGAAGAACCTCTGTCAGCACTGAAAAGCATAGAAGAGAGAAGGCGTTTTTCCATTAATCTTTGTTCCTCGAACGACCCCCCATGGTTGCAGATTGATTCTTGTAGCTGTTGGAGAAAGGAAGAAGTGACCAGCACAGGCTCGTAGAGGAGGTCGCTGCTTTGTTGATTGTTTCGCCGGGCTAGTTTTCGATTTCTGGTGTACCTCCAGCAACATCGTTCATAATTGCTGTAGTGTTGAAAAAACAAATCAACAGTAGATACGGCCCCGTGAACTGGCCCTTTTCGACGAACCGCGGTGACCGGAGGATCGAGAAGTGGGTATGCACTGCAAATACGTCTCCTGCATCTACATCGTTACTTTGGATAATTCTCCATGATCATGATGCTGCCTTTGGATCATGATGCTGCCCTTGTTTAATTCTCCAAAAATCTGTATTGAGTGAGCAGCAACAGAAGTCGCGTTTTTGTCACGCAGAGGGGGCATTTCCCATGCAGTATCGGCATCAGCTAGCCCTCACAAAATAAATCTCTGATCATGTTTTAGCTATGCACTGCCGACATCACGGGTCTTCATCCAAAACGTGCATGGAAAGAAGTGTTGTGAGTCAGTTTCCGGACGCAGGCTCATTTGCAGTTGATAGTCTGGATTCTTCGGCAAATCGCGGTTGGCTGTCAGCTCCTGGTCGTGGTACCGGGTGAAATTCAGTGCGTAGCTGGATTGATGTATCCCACAGAAAAAAGCTGGCAGGTCACATTTGTAATGCAAAAATAAATACACAGAAAGATCTCCCATGGGTGGCCCCATAGCATGCTGTTTCGGGTATGCAATACAGATTTTTTTGCGTATTTATTTTTGCATTACAAATACCAGCCATGCTCCGGCTAACGCCGGAGCGCAAGGCTGTTGTGGCGGGGCAGGACAATGCGCGGGCTGGACCGCAGCGCCGGAGCTTTGGACACAGCGCAACTACAGACCGAGGGAGCTACTGGCTCGGTTTTCGCCATGTCAACCCGCAGGGCCTCCTGCGCGCTTCCCGCGCCTGCAGGGGCTATGCGCAGAGAGCAGCTGCAGCGAAGCTTGGGGGCGAAGAGAAGCTGACTCGACATTCATAGGCGCCGAAGGAAGCAATACGGGGGCCGCGCTGCCCTTTTTTGATCACCCACACGCCCCCGCCCTATTTGCTTCCCGGCGGAAATCGTTGGCGCGAGAGGGTAGCGCGAGAGGGTCGCGCGAGAGGGTGGCGCGAGAGGGTAGCGCGAGAAGGTAGCGCGAAAGGGTGTGGGCCTGCGCGATGAAAAGGCCCAAACAACACCGGTCGCGTGCCGGGGGGATTCGGGTTTTTTTGACCCTCTCGCAGACCCTCTTTTTCACCTCTCCCGAGAGGTGCTGCTAATAGTCCAGCTATACTCGCCAGTAGAGGTCTACAGAGGTGGCCGAGAGGTGGCCAGGAGGGTGCGCGAGAGGTTCGCCCTTATTCGCGCAACCTCTCGGCACCTCTGTCCCCCTCTCGCCTACCCTCTCGGGACTCTCTCGGCCACCTCCGGGCCCCATAGGCGCGGCTTTAGGGTGAACGGTTCGGCTGGCTATACCCGCGCCACCTCTCGGCCACCCTCCCGAACGACCTCCCGCGCCACCTCTCCACCTCTGTCGACCTCTTTTTGACCTCTGTTGACCTCTTTTTGACCTCTCGGCCACCTCCCTTCAACCCTCTGTAGACCTCTTTTTTCGCATGAATATAATAGATAGTAATGCCCTGCCAGCTTTTTTCTGTGTGATATGATGAAAATTATTTCTGCCGGCCGCAGCAGAATCATGGGTGCTCTTAATCGTGTTCATCTTCGTGTAGTTCCCATCATCCTTTTTTGCCGCAGCTTCTCCTGAATTCATTTTGCTGCTTGTTTCTGCATCTTCGACCTGGCCATTGCTACCACCAGTTATACTAGATGAAACGGCATTGAGAGAAGATAAAGTCGCACCCGTCGTGGTCGTCTCACCATAATTCTTAGTACAACTACTACCGCCCTGTGGAACAAGTTGCCCTCTGGGACTAGTATTGAGAGGAAAAATCCCCCCTCCCCATATCAAAACGGAATTTGCGACGCTGGATTTGTGTACACAAATCAGGTTTGTATTGCAGAGAGGCACTGCGGCCAGATCCCCAGGCTAGGTAGGGGCGTATGGGTCTAGTTGTTCAGCATGGCAAACGGCTTCCCTTTAGGCCCAACAGCATGACAAATCGCTTCCATAATGGGGCGGAAGCTTCTGCCCTTGTCTTCTTGCAAGACAGGTGCGATTTGTGACCTCAAATCAGCAACGCAAATTTTCGGAAACGTGCCTGTTCGATATGGGGAGGGGGGATTTTTCTCTTTGATAACTAGCCGCTCGACTTCCCGAGTTGGTCCTGATTTCGTAGGGGGAGAGCAGGTCCGCGTGTGCTATGGGATTCTCAAATGTTACATTCTCAACTGTTACATGATTTGTCATGCAAAACCACCATGAGCCACCAGACGGTAAAGCTACCTCGCATGGAAAATCCCTGGAGGGCCAAACAACATGTAAATCTGTGCGGAATTTGTAATGCAATAGGAGCAATCTTCCCCCTTTCACTTTGGCCGTTCTTGCATTACAAATTCATGTAACAGTTCAGAATGTAACATTTGAGAACTCCATATGTGCGTTGTGCAGGATTTGTTTTTTCGCCGCCACGCTCTTCTGGTTCCACTCTTCCACCTCCCTTCTGCTCCACGGCACGCCCAACCGCGGCGGGCTCCCCCCGCTGCCGTGCCGCGCGGTGTTCTCAGTCTCGCTTTCTTCAGGACGTCGAGCCCGGTTGTTTTCTTGCATAGCGAGACCACTTCTGACCTGCAGCCCGCCGAACAACATGCCCCGCGTATCCTGTGTAAAAACGTCCCCACACCAGAGTCAAGATGGGGATTTTGCAACACAAACCTGGAAGTTTTGGGACTCATGCATCATAAGTTCCAGTCCATAGTGTAGTGCAGGTCAGCAATGGCAAACGCATCAGAAATCCATCTGCTTATCCTGGTTACAGCATTACAAATGCCAAAACACGACTACAAATTCCTTTAATGGGGATGCCCATTACAAATGTTCCTGTCATTGCAAATCTGCATGACAACTCTGGGGAGGTGGGAACGTTTTTACAAATGATACCGCGCCCGCTGCTCGTCCGGCGGCGGCGATTCGCAGTCCCGCGCGAGCTGTGTCGCTATCAAATGCAAATATGTCTGGGTCTGGAAACTTGTGATGCTAAAATGTGGACGATCAGTTCCGAATGCAACCCAGCATGACAACTTTCCAGAACGCTTTCTCACAGGCAATCCGCATGAGAAACTGCGTCTTTGCATGTACAAAAGAGGTTGCGACTTTTGTTGGTTATGCAATACAGATTTTCTAGGTATGGAAAGCTAGCACTACAAGTTCCAACCATCCAGACCCAGACATTTTGGCAATGCGTAGTCGCCCGGCCGTACCAAATGGGCAATCGCTGGGCGGAGGTTCCGGTCAGCGGGTTGGTGTGGAAGGGGTACGGGTGCTGGGACGTACAACCAGCCGGCAGTTTCTCGTCGTTTTGGTTAAAGTTTTCAACATCGGTAATACAATAATTATCGAAATCGCCTGCGCGACCTGCCGCTGTGGAACCCACTATCAAATGCAAAAGTGTCTGGGTCTGGAAGATTGCAGGAGTTTGTCATGCATCTTCTGGATCACGCAACTGGTCTCTAATGCACGCAAAAGCATTAAGTACAGGATCTGCGCAGGCCTCCTGATGTCTATCCCGCATGAGAAATTCCCTATTTGCGTAGCAAGAAATGGGAAGCTTTTGGTGCTTATGCAATACAAATTTTTGCCTATTCCAGAATTCGCATGACAAGTTCCAACTCTTCCAGACCCAGACATATTTGCAATCCATACCCACGTCCGTGTTCTTGCTTCGGCTGGTCGCTTTGCTGTTGCTCGCTTTTACTAACGCGCTTGTTCTGCTGTCGACGTCGAAGGGAAACTGTTTCGGCCGCTCGTACTCGCTAAACTGGGCCATGTTGGAGGGCACATTGCCGCAGAGCTGCGTGCCGTAGGTCCCGCACAGCCGGCTTGTGCGGTGGTAGTCGCGGTCCGGCAGCGTCTTCCGGGACGCATGGTGGTGCAGTAAAACACCCGGCGCCGGGACCATAGCTTATTCTGATTCTTCCCCGTTGTTTAGTCGTGGCGGTTGGAAGAAGATGAAGAAGTTGTCTTGATATTATCTCAAGAGATGATCATTTTTCCGGGAAGAACATTCGTAAAAAACTGCTCTGATGGGGGGATATTGTACACGACTTTTCGTCAACATCGGGTGGGGAGGGGGAACTACGTAAAAAACATCAGTACTTATGGAGCAGTTGTGGACTCTACATACTGTACCTGGATGAAATTATGAGTGAAGTGGTAGAAGTCTTCCATGAAACCAATACAAGTACCTTTTGACTTTGCTCGAGGTGTCGGTTGCAATAGGTGCAACCTCGGAATCCACCGGGTTGTAGTCTCTTGCGCCGTATCAAATGCAAATATGTCTGGGTCTGGAAGATCTTGAGATTTGTCATGCTCGTCTGACATCACCAAAAAGTTTGTGATGCGTGTCCAAGAAGAGACCCTTTTGCCTGTCATGCAAAAACGCAGTTTGTCATGCGAAAAACGCAACACAAAGAAGCGCGGATACTTCTCATGCTTGCCTGTGCATTGCAGAGCATTCACACACTATCCCCAACGCAGCATTACAAGTTTCCAGACCCAGACACTTTTACATTTGATACCCCGGATTCTGGCACCTCCGTGCGGTACAGCTCCCGAAATTGCCGCTCCTGACAGAGGATAAAATTCAACACGCTTTATCTTTGGCTGCATGTTTTATTTCATTTGGGGCTTTAGAAGTACCACGACGCCACCGAAATTACATATGAAATCTTCACACTTAGTCAACATCACGACGCACCGAAGAGGCCGCTTACGTGGCCGACGCAACCGAACCTTTTGGAATCAATCTGGAAGCAGCAGCCTCTGGCACGCAGTGGTGCAACTACGGAAGCCTCTGTTTCAGTTTCAACCGACGAAGACGGTTTCTAATAAACCGACTGTTGCCGTTACTGTCAGCATCTTGTGTACAGTACCGAAGTCGTGGTGCCGTGAGGCTATCTTTTAGGTTTTGACCGACAAAGCACTAGCACTTGGGGTATCCGAGAAGTTGTAAACGCGCAAACTGAAGTCGAGAATAAATCCACACGACAAATTAAAAAGCCCATGCGTTTTCAGCATCACAAAACCGTAAATACCTTTGCCGTCATGGGTCGCTCGTCGGACCGCGCGTTTGTTCGAGCATCGCACCTATCGAGAGAAATAAAATTCATTATCACGAGGACGACATCGTCTAGCTTGCATAGCTGGGCGCATACTGCTGGCAAGTCTACTTTACAGGAATGTGACAATGCAGAGATCTATGGAACAGTCATTGCAGTAGCTGCACAAAAGCAGGATCTCTGTCTCTGATAGTTCATCGCATGACAAGTTTCTTCGGTGATAATCTTTCCCCCTTCATAGGTCCACTCCCCGTGCACTGCGATTTTGGCTTCAGGGCTCGGAAGTTTGGAAGAAAAAAAGTTATTGTGTTGCAGAAAACACTAAACTCTTTCTCTTACCGCTACGCTTGCCCAGTAGCGACAACGAAATGAAAACACGCTCCTGTTATGCAATGATAATGAATCAGTACTAGTGCAAGCTCTGCAACACAAATAAACTTTTTCTTCTCATAGCGAGCGGCTTCGGATGATACGCGGCCAGAGCGTCTTTCCCTGTTGCCGGCGTTTCTCTGCCGAAAAGATCCGAGTAATACCTGATGAAGTTGTCCTGCGCATAAATTTTTATCCTTCACGACGACAACCACGAACAGTCGCAAATAAATTTGTCATGCACAACAGCCAGAACCGTACAAGAAACACGACAACATCGTACTGATTTGCTTTTCTTCTTCTCAAATCCTCGGACTCTTGAGACATTGCCGCCGGGTATGCAAGTGGAAACCGATTGCAGTAGCGAGTGTACCAGAGCAGCTTTGTTCTGCTCCCTCTAGCACTCTACTGTGGCTAGTAGCGTCACCGGATCAAGTAAGTACTTTTGTCGTGCCGGAAGAACGCTGCAGCTTCTGATCATGTGCACCACAACTTTCTTGAGGCCTGTACAAGTATTATTGCGTTCTTGTCAACTACAACATGAACATGCACGACATGCTGATCGATCTGCTGTCCATCACAGCTACACTGAGTCCCCGCCCAAAGGTATCCTGAGTAAAAACGTACCCACACCAGAGTCAAGATGGAAAATCTGCTAGACAAATCGGCCAACTTTGCTTGTTTCGCATGACAAATTTGGACGCGTAGTGTAGTGCTGTTTGAGCTAGTTCAGCAGCATTACAGATCTAGTCTCTCATGCTGATTGGAGCATGACAAATTTCAAAACACCCTTAGAAAATGCTTCTCATGGGGCTCCGCATGACAAACATTTTAAGCATGCAGATTTGCATGACAACTATGGTGTGGGTCCGCTTTTACTCAGGATAAAAGGTTTCATTTCCACAAAAGGTAGTTTTCCCGCTGTGATTCCATATGAACTGCAAAAGTATCGTACTCGTATAAATGCATTACAAATTTTCTCAGCATGAGAAATAAAATTTGTAATGCTGATTTGCCTTAACAAAGAAATTTGTAAATGCAAGACCTGCATTTATACGAGTACGATACTTTTGCACAGCATATTCCAGCGAGGGCGGCAATGGCGTCTCATGCTCGAACAGATGACTCGCCTTCTCGGCGTAGGCCCGATCCTGGTGTGTCACGGAACTCGTGGCGCTGCGGTGGTTTGTTTTTGGCGAACTATAGAACTTTTCAACAATCGATTCAACATTTTCGATTTATGACATTGGAGATTGACATGACAATTTTGTTCAAGCTAGTGAGTGCGCATGACAAAATATGAATATCCCCAAAAAAAAGTTTTCCTATAATACCCGCTTGGAGGTGGCTTCGCAACGGGCTCGCTGTTAAACCAGTTGAAGCAGTGCGGCGTTATCTTGTTGTTCTGGTACTTGCCCTGATGTTAGTGACAGTGAGATAGTAGTCGAAATGGTGCACCACAACATGATTGGTGCCTAGCGAGGAAAAGGACTACATCTCTGTTTTTCACGCAAACTACCTCGCGACGGGGACGACACAATAATAAAGTTTGTGACGCGCACAAAGAAGTCCGCCAACCAAACTGTGTTTTACGCATCCTTTTTCTTCAAGCATCACGTACCTGCGTTTCCTCCGCATTTACTTTGGCGTGGCTGGGAAATATGTGGCTCTCCAGCTCTCAGTATGGAAAGGAAAACCTCCTTTTTCATGATCTTGCTGCTACGTTAGTATGTAGCCACGGTGCTGTAGTCCTCTAGTTATTAAGCTCACACGGCCGTCGCGGTGGCAAGGTATTAACAGGTATGAACTGTGCACGACCAGAGAGCGCAAGTACATGCATCACTCGCAGTTAGACCTTGACGTACTGTTGGTATGCAGGAGAAGGTGATTTTATTTAGCAACCACCAGAATCAGTGCCATGAAAAACACTTTTTTCCCTTTCCCACCTGATGTCTCCTTACGACAGGATGGCTGCCGTGGTTCTTGTTCGAGAGAAAAATTCTGAGTCGGCGGGTTTTTGTCATGCATGAAGCGTTCTTCAACTAGACTATTTATATCTGCCATCGGTGACCAATTTTAAACCATTCCTGTGGATAGAACGTAAATCGGAAAGCACGTAAATCATCATGACAGACACGATGAAAACAAAACCTTCCGACTGAAAAGAACAACTCCCTCTTGTTCCCCGGGGATAGCAATATGGTCCGTGTCGTCGGTAAACCCGACCTGCGCCCGGCCCTGCCCATACCCTTGCAGCCGTTCGAAGTCTTGCTGATTCGTTTCGGGCACGGAGCCCCCCTGCAGAAAGTGCAACTTTTTCCTCCTCGGGGACAGCGGATCCGCCCGCGGTTCGAAGGTGCCCTGCTGCTTTTTCAGGTCGCGGGCAAATACCTCCTCGCCGAAAAGCTCGGCCGTGTTCTGGTCGCGGCGGTAGCCCGCGGGGTAGGCTTTCTGCTGCTGCCGGGCGGGCGCCGCGAAAATGTCCGAGTCAAAGGCATCCTGGTACCGGGCCTTCGCAATCTTGCCCGGGGACCCAATCATGTTATGTTCTCGCTGGTGGATCCGCGGGAATAAAGCGGTGTTTGCGACGTCCCGCTTAGGCGAGGAAGCGAATCAGGAAAGCTCGCTTCTAAACAACCGCTGCGTCGTCCTCCTTGGGGGCATATTTTTCTCTCAGTTGCGAGTTTGTAGTTCTTCAACTCCCGCGGCCAACTAGGTAGAAGTAGACTTCGAGATCAAGAGCGATAGAGGTTTTTGCAGCAATCGACCAGAACTATTGAAGAATTTATAACAACAGCAGAAGTTCTTCGCGCTTTTTGTGTTCCACACTGGAAAGAACGCGCTGCACTCTCGGAAGTAGACTTTGAACCTTCATCGGCCACTTTTTTTTGCTCGGGTTTATTTGTCGTGCTGTGACAACGACGACGAGATGGCACGCGGCTGTTGAAACACGATAAAATTATACGCGCTGTGTTCATTTTAAAAATAGAAGAAAAACCACAACCGCGGTGCGCCCGGGAAATAAATTCTGAACAACAAAACACCGTAAAATCTGTGCACCGTGAAACAAACCGGCGTGTGATTCAACGGTGTTGAAAATTCTTCCGACGGATTCGAAGTGTTGAGCGTATCAAATTATCGTGTGAAGTTGTACTATCCTGCGATGAGATGGTGAAGAAAATCTCATTTGAGTTTGCAGCGTAAGTTTGCTTGGTGAAATAAAAGTGAAAAAGTTTGATGTCCGACTGTGAAACAGTCTCTGTGCTCTTGATAACTCCATGGTCGTGTAGTGTTCTACTTCGTATAAGCAAAATAAAAATATGGGTTATTCTTCATCGCATCAGACGAGCCGACCCCTTGCACAAGAAAACCTACGCAAGAAGACTTCTCCTCTTGACACATAATTTTCGTCCTTGTCGCATCGCAAAACAGCTAGCTCGGCCGAGAGCATTAGAAGAGATGAACCGCGCGGATCGTTTTGGCTCTTCCTAACGATCTCTTCATGACTCCGGCTGCTTGCTTTAACAGTACACTTCCTGCTTGTTGAGACGGTCGTGGGAAGACGGTGTGGTAGTTGTCAGTGTCATCTCCGATTGTCGATGATGTTGATGTTCCTTTGGAGGTCGCGTCGAAAACGAAAAGTGCTTACTCATACTCTTCCGTGTAGAAATTCACCGTTAGCCGCGCCATCTTGTTCAAGAAGCACTTTTGAAATTCCCCTGGTGATGTCAACATCTTCTACTGAGAGGACAGCACGACCAGGGAAGATGTTGATCTGACCGCAACTTGAATTTCTTCTTTATGCGTCGTCATCTATCCTGAGTAAAAACGTACCCACATCAGAGTCAGGATTGGGATTTTGCAACACAAACCTAGGAGTTTTGTGAGTCACGCATGACAAGTTGCACTATGCAGTGTAGTGCAGGTTAGCAAGTGCAGCCGCGTCACAGAATCATCTGCTCAGCCTGTTCACAGCATTACAAGTTCCCAAACACGATTGAAAATGCCTGTCATGGGGTTGCGCATCACAAATGTTCCTGTCATGGCAAATCTGCATGACAACTCTGGGGTGGGGACGTTTTTACACAGGATATCATCCGACGCGTCCTCTTCGTCCTCACCATCTTCCTCCTCCTCGTCCTCCTCATCCGGATCAAAGCACCCGTCCGGCACGGAGTAGAGTCGCAGGATCGGTTTGTTCGGGTCCTTCAGGAAGATAAACGAGCCATCCTCCTGGTCCCGCAAAGTGTCGATGATGTGCCGGAGAATGCCAAACGCGTTGTTTAAGGAGAGGGAAATCTGGGACGCCAGCTGGTTGGTCGGCTGCGCCTGCACGCACACCAGCTCGTGCAACATGGGGTCGGACTCCCGCTGCCGCATGGCGTAACCCAGCTTGATCTGCTCGCAACCGGCGAGGATAGCCTGTATTCATGTCATATATGCAAGTTTTTGAGTAATGCCCACGGCATCTAGCTGTGGTAAAAAGATCCCGCATGTAATTAAGTACAGACACGGTCCACTGGTGCCAGACCTACTTTCACTGTGGCGATACATTTTTGTAGATTGATTATACCTGCGCCACCCATCTTCCGAGTTTGAAGCTGTTGTTTTTCAGTTCGTTCGCCAAGACCGCACCGGGCTGCGCCTCCAAGTGTTGTCGCCACGTGATAGTGGAATTCTTCGCCTATCCTGAGGAAAAACGTCCCCACAACACAGTCAAGATGCGGAACGAATCTGCTATAACAAATCCACCAGCTTTGGTTGTTTCGCATGACAAGTTTGTCCTCGTAGCGTAATCCTGTTTAGCTGGTTGAAAAGCATCACAGATCTAGCACATCATGCTGATTCTAGCATCACAAATTCCCAAACACGGCTAGAAAATGCTTCTCATGGGGTTCCGCATGAGAAACTTTTTTGGCATGCAGATTTGCATCACAACTCTGGGGTGGGGACGTTTTTACTCAGAATATCGCCTCGAAATAGTTCAGGCACTTTGCGGACACGTACTGGCTGGCGGTTTTTCCGCTCACTTCCGCGCGAACCACCATCGCCACGTCCTGCTGTCGGAGCGGGTCCGGAGATTTCTTGTCACCTGTGGTTTATTTTCATATTTTGACACAACTCGACGTGGCTATTTGTTGTGTATTCTTGTGTGCTTGAAGATCGTCTCGTTGAAATTTCATCCTCCTGCACAGCGCCGGTCGTCCGCAACTCCAAACATAATTGTCACAGCAGCTTGTAGTGCTGCTGCGAAGAAAAGCCAGCAGGTGGTGAGGTGCATATATGTCATCAAATCCCAGTGTTGAAGAAGCACACAGTTACTTTAATTATAGATACCTGGCAGGGTGAATTTTCTGTATCGGTAGCAGATTGCCGACACTTCCTCTTCTTCGTCGTCACCAAAAGGGTGTGGCTCGTGCTCCTCCGGGTCGATTTTGCGATCCACGACGCACTCGGAAAAGTTCTGGTTGACACCTGTTTTTAGTTGTGGAATTTGTAAGGCCGAAACACATACACAGCACTATGATCAGGAATTGTCATGCACACGTGTTCTTGAAAAATAACTTTAGTCACCAAATCAGCCACGAAAAAATTTTTCCAAAAAATAAGTACGTGCGGCTTCCCGGGACAGCTTGGGTGGTGCGTTGATGCTGTCCTTGTCTTCCGGGTTGTAGCTGGGCGGTTCCTGCGCGGTTTCGTTCACGGTCGTGAAATCGCACGGCGCGCCGTCGCGCTTGTCGAAGATCAATTTGTTGCCGATCTTCTGGACCAAAACATCCCAGGAGTACACACTTCTCCCCGCGGCCATGAGACAGGCGAGGATGTGATCCGTTCCCGCGACCTCAATGCTGGAGTCGTCGGTCATCAGAGCCTCAATAGTCTCGTCTTGGGTGGTGGTGGGCTGTTGTTGGGAGAAGGTTCTTGTTGTCATGCGTAATTTGACGTGCTTGATGTTGATCTTATTTTCCACGTGACTTTGTTTGTGCATGCAAATAAACACTGGTGTAGCATCAAAAGGATAACATAATGTGTTTTTGTAAAAAGTGAAATCGCAACATATCATCAACCAGAATACGTTGTAAAAGTTGACGTCGTTGGCGACCGGCAGCTGCTTTGCCTGCCGAAAATTCACCCGGTCGAAGGCCTTGCTGACGTGGTAGAGCTTTCCGCACCACACCAAGTCCTCGGCTTTCACCTGTCTTGCGTCCAAGCCCATCTTGACAAACCCGGTCAAAGGGAACTCCACCAAAGTCTCCCAATCGTTCTTGACGGGCACACTCCAGTCCCGGAAGGTCGGCGCCTGCATGCCCCGGCGGTTGTTGAAGCCTTTTCCCTTGCCCTTCCCCTTGCCCTATCAACTGTAAAAGTGTCTGGGTCTGGAAGAATGCAACTTGTCATGCTTCGTCTGCATTATCCAAAAATCTGTATTGCATGAACAGCAAAAGAGGTCTGGTTTTGGCCCCGGCGAGAGGGCATTTCTCATACGGTATAGGCATCAGAAAGCCCTCACAAGATCTGTGATGCTAGGGCATGCATCGCAGACATCAGGAGTCATGCAAAATGTGCATGGCAAACCTTGCATCCTTCCAGACCCAGACATTTTTGCATTTGATATGCCCTTCGCCGCGGCGGCCTTCTTCGGGTCGGTGGGCTTGGTCTTCGCGTTTTTACCCAAAATACCCTCCTGGTAGTTCTGCTGCTTAATCGCGTTCTGGTTCACTGTGGGCGTGATTTTGGTTGGAGGTTTTGACGGAACAAGGATATCACGCTAGACAGCACAGGTTCATCTCATTCCGCTTCGCGCACGACAAGTTTTCATACACGACTTCTACTTCATCTGCAGCTCTAGGTCTAGCTGTATTTTATTCTAATTCTATTTCTACGCATTACAAATAAATCTGACATTAGCTTCTCTACTTTGCTGATAATTCGGTCGGCTCCTCTGTGCGTAGCCGCTGTTCTGCTTCTTCCGCGCGCTCGCTTTTGTGTCCACCAAGTTATAGCCGTCCTCGACCACGAGCGGCTGCTGTTGCTGCGCCCAGGTGTTCTGTTTTCGGCCCTGCATATTGCCGCCCTGTGCCGCGTCACGCGCCTGCATCTGCCGAATGCGGTCCTGGGTGGCCTGGGTGAAGTCGCAAGCTTTACCCACGCGCGCCGGGGGGTATCTGGGGTGAGGAGTTTGTGTTTTTCGGGAAGGAGACCACTTTTGCGTAGCGATATCACGTACATGGTATATCGTCGTTTTTCGCATGCAAAACAACTACAAAAAAATCTTTATTCAATACCTGTTGATGTTCTCGATCGGATACTTCGGCAGGGACGACGACGACTCGCCGCTCGGGCCCCAACCGGCACCGGTATCTTCTGGCAACACGAACAGGCCCATGTTTCTTTTTTAAGAGTTTTCCGAGAAAGTAAAGTAGAAAAATTCAAACTTAATTCTACTGTTGTGCAAAACGCAATCGAAAACAAAGGGTGAGACTATCTTCGAAGTGCGACTTAATTTTGAACCTTGTTTCAGTGCCCTGGGATGAAATGCAGAAAACAGCAAAAGAAAATCATTCAACAACCAAAACAGACATCTGAATTTTTTGTGATCCTGCCGTGATTTGTTTCAGTACTACGGATCTCGTCAACCGCGGATGAAAAAGGTTTTCGACTCTGTCACTTCAGGATCGCAAAAGAAAACTTGTTGTTCACAAATGGATTCCATCAGATCTTACTGCGAAACATTTCTCCAGCTCATTTTGCCGCTGGAGAAGAAGCCTGCAGGTTGACTGCTTATTGGAACAATATCAGTTGTGGAAACATGTAGAAGCATGAAGCGCATACGTAGCAGGATTTTTTTGATAATGATTGGGGAACAATACATAAAGTCATTTTGTCGATTTTATTCGTTTTCAATAATTATACCCACGGTCTTTCACGAGCATAGAGAGCTCGAGTGGAAATAAAGGAAGGGAATCTATTGGAGTCGATTTGAAAAGTGACTGTAGGTCTCTAAAATCTTCTCGGTCAGCGCCGTTCTCTGGTAGCACTGGGTCGCTTTCGTCGCGCATCAGTTTTGCACTACAATTTTCGTCCTCGCCGGCGTCCCAGAAATCGCGTGCCGCTGTTGAGCCGGTAGATGCAGCATCGTCAACCGAAACCACGCAGTTTTCGCCCTCCATACCTTCTTCATCAGAAGCGAAAAATTCCTCTTGCTCGCAATATGAAACAATTTTCTCCTCTTCTGCCGGAAACGAGTCGCTTCCTGTTTCCTCCACACGGGTAGGAATCAGCACAAACGGCGAAGATAATCCGCATTCCACCTGCCGCTGCAATGCCTCTTCGTCGCTCCCTTCCGGCAACCGAGCCAGTGCATCCGTTGCACCAGCCTCTCTTCTGTGCAATTCCAGCGCTTCAAAGTAGCCAAAAAGATGCTCGTACTTCCGATCCACGACCGCGAGTTGTTCTCGAATCTGCCCCGCCCGCGACCGTATCTCCCGGAACCGGATTCTGTCGGCAGAGGAAACGAGAGCGGAGATAGAAGCATCATGTGCTTCATCTACTTCGGGGACGAGGGTACTATTTTCACAAACTTCGTCCCCGCCTGCACGGAGGTCTAGCAGGTACAAGTTCTCCACCAGCGTCTTCTTCACCTCCGTCTCCTGCCGCTCGCGAAGCCAGGCGCTGAACGGAAGGGCGGGTTGCGGCGTACTGAGAACACAGCGGGATGTTATTTCCCCTCCAGCATCAGCTTGGGTGGTCGGAACACCATCAAGGGACGAAGTAGACCCCTTTTGTTCAACATCCCAGCAAGTACAACCAAGCGCCGCCACCACTTCGACCACCCCGCCGCCCCAGCACCGCTCCGCCGCTTTTTCGCAGCAAAAATCAACCATTGCCCAGAATCTCGCTTCCTCGGTAGCAGAAGTGAAAGAGAAGGCCTTCGAGTTTTCAGATTTCGTCTTACCCACTTCATCGTCGCCACCGCATGGACGTTTAGTTGTCTTCACCGAGTTTTGGCAAAAGCTCCGCGTCTGCGGAGAAGCGTAAAAGGTGCGTACCTGGTTTGTTGACGCGTCGACGTCTTCATCTTCTATGACCCCATCGGCAAGTGTGATGTTGTTCGCAGGCGTGCGGTTCATCGTTCGTTGCACCGGGACCAAAAAGCCTCCGGGTGAAGAACCCAGCCGGTCTATCGGAATCAGCAACAAGTCGTCCCGTGGTCCTACGTCGCCATATAATTTGGCTCCCTTGTTAAAATAATCCTGCTCAACATTCGTTTTCTCCAGCACCAGGGTGAAAGCCAGCACAGCCTTTTCATCGAATTCCTCCACGTCGACGAAATTTCGCAGCACCGGTCCCCACTTCGCTTCGTCTAGTTCCCAGCGGCACAGATGCACTTTCCCCGGCGAGAGGTAACGGGTGAAGCGGTCACGGAGTTGTTGATCATGATTTCTGCGCATGAAATTGCAGCGGGTGCTTGATGTCTCTACTACTCGCGGGTCCTGCAGGGGGGCTGCAGCGGCCTGTTTGGGATCATCCACTCCGGATCCTGACGCGGAAGAACTGTGGTTACCGCTACAACTGCGAGTTGTACTATGACCTTGGGTAGCTCCTCGGTGCTGCTGGGGAATTTTCTCGCCGTGGTCTACCGCATCTTCTTTCCTCGCCCGGAAGGAGGATTTTGCACCGCGCAAGTGCTTCCGGAGTTCCTCGGAGAATCCTTGCCCACCGGACGAGCTGGAGTTCTGCCCCTCGTGAACGAGAATTCTCGCGACACCCGGCGCACCCCCGACCTCGCAGCGACCGCGGTACAGCTCGGCGCAGTCGAAAACCGGGGATTGGGCAGCTGCACCTTGACCGTAACACCCCGCCAGCGCCTGTCGCAGGATGCGATGGTCGGTCCAAGGCGCGGGAGTTGTATACGGAGAAGTCTCGGGACAGCTACGGTCTTGTTTTGGTTCTGTCGGGTCGAATCTGCGAGGAAGATGAACTCCTTCTGCGCATACACGCGAGGACTCTTGCAGAACGAAAAACTTCCGCTCGTCCTCTAAGCCGCACGCGGACGCGTAAACCGCCCGTCGCTCCTCCAGGTGGGCGTCCCGAAGCGCTTCCAACCGCTCCACGGCTAGCTTTTCGACATCCTCCAGCGTGCAAAGGTGCCGTTCTTGCTGGCTGCTGCGAAAAGAAAAAGTATCGGTTGGACGTCGTGAGGACGTAGGGCAAAAATAATCTTCCGGTAGGAGAAGTGTCGCTTCCGAGCGCACTTTTTGCGCGCGCCCGGGGCGGGTAGTGGTCTGCTTCTTCTCTTGAGCCTCCTTCCGCACGACTTGCGCATGGGTTTCCAAGATGGGATCGCCCCCGAGAGTGGCGACGGTTACGGTGGTGCGCCGGATGCGCTGATCGAGCGCACGACTCGGCGAAGAAGGCATAATGTGAAAAATCAGACGGAAGCGAGTTTCATACAGTTTTCGAGCGCGAAAAAAACCACCTGTTTTGGTATTTTTAATCTCCGCGGATAATTTTTTTCAACACTGCTTTGCGCGCACTTTCGGCAAATCTTCTTGACAAGATTCGCGATTGGAATTTCATTTCTGGAACGATTTTACTTTGCACGATCTAGGGATCAGCTGTTGGAAGATTTTGATCACGCGGTGACAGAGATACGCATTTGAAACCGAGACGCTCTTGTTACTCCAGGACCGACACACTTTGCTTCGAGAGCGCCATGCGAGCTGCGCCGCCCTGCTGGTCGGTGGGCTACCGCAGATACGGACGGCCGCGCCTCGGCCAAGCCGAAGCCCACGCCCGTGCGCCATAAGAAAGCAGCAGCCGCGGCGCGGACCGGCGACGCTAGCATGCGAACCGGCCGCGATCCGTGCGGGCCACAGGATCGCGATCCGCGCGGCCCGCGGGCACAGGACGGCTATTGCGATCGGCGAAGCTGACGTAGAACAGGGTCGCTATGGACGAAGCCCGCGAGGAGCGCCGCGCAGCGCTCGCGACGAGCGGCGCCGCGGTGGGGGCACGGCACCGCGATGAATCGGCGGCTGTGGAAGATGGGGCACAAAGCTATAAGCCCGGCGGTAGGCGACGGTATCCGGCACCGGATTCCGGGCCCGCGGGCAGCTCTTTCAACGCGTTTGGCAGTGCGTCAACGGATTTACTCCGCTCCCGGCAGTGAAGAAGAGGCAACAGGCCTCAGCGGAGGTGCAAGGGGGAGGGGGCTTGCACTAGATTGGAGGTGTGGGCAGTTGTGGAAGTATTTTTATGATTTTTTCACAATTTTCCAAAATGGTCAAGAAACCGAAAAGATCAGGAGTGGCAATCCACTACATACAAAGAAAACACTCTCTGAGATAGTCAATCTCTAGTGCGTGTCTTTTGGTGGTGAAGACATAACCATAGTCATCCTCCTAGAAAATTTTTTATTTTTGAAAAATTTTGAAAAAGCCGTCAGCTGTGCGCTATATTTATGCAGAGGGGTAAGAAAAAGTGCACAAATGTCAATAAATTGGATTGCTATTATTCTCAGAGACCATGCATTATGTATCTGCTGGCTTGTCTCAAATTTTCTTTTTTTTTAAGTTTTTTCTCTTTGAGGCGGCTAAAGTTTGTCCTGACGGACCGAGCTCCCCCCTGGGATGAAAAAATCATTTTAAAGCTTGAAAGTGCTGGGCTGCTTGTCCTGACGGACCGAGCTCCCCCCTGGGATGAAGAAAGCGCTTTAAAGTTTGAAAATGCGAGAATGTTTGTCCTCTGGACCGAGCTCCCCCCTGGGATGAAACTGTGAGAACCAGTGGTTCTTTTAGGAAAACAACATCTGGTTCTTTTGGTGGTCCGGATTTCGATCCAACTCCAAGAGTTTGGAGTTGTATCGAAGCCCGGACCAGCAAAAGAACCAGTAAATGTGACGCAGATTTGTCATGCAGATTTGTCATGAAGATTGGCTCTCTGGGCCAATCCGCATGACAAATCCGGAACCCCCAAAAGCAGGCGCCCGACTGTTTGAGCCAGTGGCTCTTAGCACAAATCAATTGGTGGCACCAGCACGGAAAAGATCTTTCCGCGCGTCAAAAAGTTTTGACGCACGGAAAGATCCGTCCCGTGCCGGAACCACTGGCTCCAGCACCGACAACTTGCGCTCCCCGGGAGCAAAGTTGCAGCTCAGCCTGGAGGCTGAGCTGCAACTTCGCGATGGCCTCCGTGCGAGGAGGCGGATTTGCGATGCAACCTGTCATCGCGGGCACCCGCCCAGCGAGTTTGTCATGCAAATTGCCCGGAAAGGGGGTTTTGCATGACAAACTCGCCCATGGTTCGAGGCGGCCCGCGGGCTGCCGTGCAAATTGGCCCGGGTGGCCCCGGTTGGCCAATTTGCATGACAGATCTGGCATCATTTGCATTGCAAATGCGCCCGATGCCCAAATCCGGTCGGGTGGGCAGGGGCAGCACAAATTGCCCCCAGAAAGGGCTCCCCGCGGGCGGGCGATGCAAATCGGCCCCGGGTGGCCATTTTGCATGACAAATCTGGGCAGATTTGACTTGGGGGCTTCCCAAACTGCGAGGGCCAGTGGCTCTTTTGGGAAAACAACACCTGGCTCCTTTGGTGGTCCGGATTTCGAGAAGCCCGGACCAGCAAAAGAGGCAGTAAATGCGACGCAGATCTGTCAGGAGGATTGGCTCGTTGGGCCAATCTGCATGACAAATCCGGCAAATTGGCCTCATCTTGGCCAGTTTGCATTGCAAAATTGCCTGAAACTGAATCCGGGCAAGCCTGCAATGCAACCTGGCCTCATCTTGGCCAGTTTGCATTGCAAAATTGCCCGGAACTGAATCCGGGCAAGCCTGCAATGCGACTTGGCCTCATCTTGGCCATTTTGCATTGCAAAAAATGCCTGAAACTGAATCCGGGCACGCCTGCAATGCAAATGGGCCTCCTCTTGGCCAATTTGCATTGCAAAATTGCCTGAAACCGAATCCGGGCCAGCCTGCAATGCAAATTGGCCTCATCTTGGCCAATTTTCATTGCAAAAGTGCCCGAAACTGAATCCGGACAGGCCTGCAATGCAAATTGGCCCAGACCGAGACCGAACTGCTCCGCGTTTGGGGAGCCCGTTTCGCGATGTTTCTCCGCGCCTTGGGGCCGCGGGCGCCTCTCATGTTTCTCCGCGCTTGGGGGCCCCGTTTCTCAATGTTGCTCCGCGCCTGGGGGCCGCGTTTCTCGACGTGCCTTCGCGCCTTGGGGGCCCCGTTTCTCAATGTTTCCCCGTGTTTGGGGGCCGCGTTTCCCGATGTGCCCCCACGCTTTGGGGGCCCCGTTTCTCAATGTTTGCATAGTTTCCTTTCCGCGCGTGCCAACATTGAGAAACGGGGCCCCCAGGCGCGGAGGCACATCGGGAAACGCGGCCCCCAAACAAGGGGAAACATTGAGAAGCGGGGCCCCCAGGCGCGGGGCAACATTGAGAAGCGGGGCCCCCAAGCTCGGAGAAACACCGAGAAACGCGGCCCCAAGGCGCCGGGCAACACGGGGGAACGGGGCCCCCGCGCTCGGAGAACATCGAGAAACGCGGCGAAACGGCGCGGGGCAACAATGAGAAGCAGGGCCCCCTGGCCCTGGGGAGCGTCGCTCGCAGTTTTATCGAACGGGGGCGGGAGCTTCCGCAGCCTTGAAGCTGCGAGCGCTCCAGCTCCCGCTCGACAAAACTGGACCCACTGCAGCACTCCCAGTCTTTTCCTAGTTTTGTCGCGCGGGGCCTGGAACTTTCGCACCCTTCCAGCTGCGTTCCAATCTATCTTTTTCCAGTTTTGTCGAGCGGGAACTGGAACTTTCGCAACCTTCCAGCGGCGAAAGCGCCAGCCCCCGCCCGGTAAAACTGGAACCACTGCGGCGCCCGGCAATCTTTTTCCAGTTTTGTCGAGCGGGAACTGGAACTTTCGCAGCCTTCGAGCTGCGAAAGTGCCAGCTCCCGCTCGACAAAACTCGAAAAAGTGCAGCACTTTCCCAGTTTTGTCGAGCGGGAACTGGAACCTTCGCAGCCTTGAGGAGCTGCGAAAGTTCCAGTTCCCGCTCGACAAAACTCGAAAAAGTGCAGCACTTTCCCAGTTTTGTCGAGCGGGAACTGGAACCTTCGCAGCCTTGAGGCTGCGAAGGTTCCAGCCCCCGCCCGGGGGAGAACGAAACACAGCCCCTGCGTTCTCTAACGACCGGGGGCTGGAACTTTCGCCGCCCCGAAGCTGCGAAGGTTCCAGCTCCCGCTCGGCAAAACTGGACGCGCTGTCTTTGTTGGCGTGGTCGCCAACTTGTGAGTGAAGAGGTGCGAGAAGGCCACACCTTTTCAAATCCTGCCCCAGTTTTGTCGAGCGGGAACTGGAACCTTCGCAGCCTTGAAGCTGCGAAAGTTCCAGGTCCCGCTCGGGGGAGAACGAAAGACAGTTTTTGCGCCCTCCAAGAGCTTTGCGGGCGGGCAACCGGGCCGCGAAAGCCCCGGAAGAGCCCGAGAAGCAGGGGCCAAGAGGCGCCGGGGAATTCGGGCGGCGGGCCTCCGGTCGGCGCCGGGGCAGCGCGGCGGCACCCGGGGAAGCGGGCCCCCAAAGCCGCCGAGGCAGCTCGGCCCCGAAGCCCACGCCCGGCCCTGGCTCTCTACGCAGAAAAAAGCCAAAAAGTCGCATTGCTATGCGATTGCGCTCCACCAATAGCGTCGAGACTTCGCCCCGAATGACGGCGCTGTTCTGGCCGCGGAAAGGCACGGCGCACGACACCCACTGCCGCCTGCGGTTGAAAATGTGCCATGGAGCAAAAATGTGACGTGTACCCACGTCACATTCTTACCACGACGGTATGGTCCAAAATGTGCCATCTGCCCAAAAAGTGTGACATTTCGCTAACCACCACGGTATGGTCCAAAATGTGACGCCAAAGCTGTTTTTCATAAAAAAGAAGAGAAGAGATATTCTTACTTCTTCTTTTTTATAAAAAGCAGCTTTGGCGTCACATTTTGGACCATGCCGTGGTGGTTAGCGAAATGTCACAAATTTTGGGTGCATGGCGCATTTTGGACCATACCGTCGCTTTTGCTCCATGGCGCATTTTCACACATTTTTGCCACATGTCACATGTGGCGCCAAAAGTGGTGGCGGCGTCAGAGTCTCGCCACAAAAAATCTCGTGGAATTCTGCGCCGCGCGCGCAAGAATTCCACGAAAATTTTCCTGGTTTTGGCGCGAGCCCGCGGCCTAAAAGAGCCAGGTATTGTTTCCCCAAAGGAGCCATTGGCTCTCACAGAAAGAAAAAGGCTTGAAAGCATGTTCTTTCGGACCTATCTCCCCCCTGGGATGCAAAAAGCAAACTGGTGGCGCTTTGGGCAGGTGGGGGTTTTTGCTCCCAAAGTTTTCTGTAGGCTCCAGCCACCCCGTGTAAAACTAGAAACAAAACCCGCGGCGGGCGCCGGTGCTTTTGCCGCCTTAAAGTCCGTCGGCGCTACTTGCATTTTCCTTTGTCAGAGTTGCACGCGCGTCGAAAATCGTCGCTCTCGGCCTATTGGTTTCCGAGTACCTCGTAGAGTTTTACTCACCCCAGAACGAAAAAAAAAACTACAGAAGCTCTCTGCTTTAGTGCATATAGACAAAAAAAAATACTCACACTCCACAGATTTGACGATATAGCTTGTCTTTGCAAGTGCATAAGCATAATTCTGATTTTTTTGATTTTTTCGAAATTTTCGGGCCTGCCCAGAGGTTGGGAGTTGCAAAGTAATTAAGTGCATACAGGTCAAAAAATAAAAAAAAATCATGCAATAGCACTTAACGTCCGGAGGCTGTGGCGTATTCCTGCCATTTGTTCAATCCTTCGCTGCGGTCGTTTGGTCACGGTGCTGAAGCTGTTGAGGGTTTGGAAGAGAGTTGTGGAGTTTGCTGGTGTTTGCTGAGGTTTTTGCGAGTTTGGGAGTGCGTTTGAGCTACTCTGGGAGATGTGATGGCTGTTTGCCGTCACGGAGATGGCTGCTTGCCATCTGCTAGTGAGGATTTCTCCTGCGGAAATCGATGCGGAACTTCAATGAACCTGTTTAGAACTTTGGAAATGAGAAAAGGAAAAAGATGAAGAAACGCGACAACGCGGTCGCGACTGGATCGCGACCTTCGGGCTTCGGTGTTCTTTCTGCCCACCTGTTCGTGGGTTTTGGAGTTATGAGCCCAGCGCACCACTACTACACCGACCGGGGGAGGATGTCCTACTCCTCCTATCCCGACGAGTTGCTGGACTCGCCGGACCACCTACGGACGCGCAGCTACTCACCGCGCAGAACTTCCAATGCGGACCGGGCCGCGGGGGAGCATCTGCTGCGGAGCGAGGGCCTGAACTTAGCGACCGGTGTCATGCAGGCCACCGGCATGGGGTTTCGGGCCGTTGCGGGTGAGGTCGCGCGCACGCAGAACATCACCGAGGGCGCGGTGACCAACCTGGAGCAGCGCCTGTTGGCGATGGAGCAGACTAACTTAAACCTGGCGGCGCGCAATGCGGAGCTGGAGCGACTTCTGGCCGGCGGGACAGCCTTTGCGGGGCCTACGGTCGCGGGGACAGCATCGGCGCCGGGGCCGAGTTTTGCCTACACCGGGATGGACACCAACGGGACAGCCGCCGATACGCAGATGGTCGCTGCGGGTGCGGAAGTTACTTCTGCGGGCGGGCACAGCTTCCAGTCCGTTGCGTCTCCGCAGCAGCAGCCTGCGGTGGGAGGGTCAAGACTTGCGGCTGGGGCGGCACCTTCGTCGCCTCTGCGGGAGAAGATCCACCAGGACATCGGCAAGGGCGTTCAGTTCAGCCTGAGCAAGCGCAGCACGGTGGCCACGGAGTGGCGCAGCATTGAGTGGATCACGAACCGCGCCGGGGTGACTAGCCGGCGGACCTTCTGGCAAGCACTTTCCGGGCTGCTTTGCGGGCTCGGGTTGGAGATGTGGAGCGGGATCGACGAGGACCACGCCGCGACAACGGGCGTGGAGGCCCAGGCCTGCGTCGACCTCTTGCTGCAGCGCATCAACAAAAAGTTTAACATCAACCTGGCACGCGGGGCGCAGGACCTTGACTACCTTTGCGCTAGCTTGCTGGAGCGGGTTGGCGGTCGCTGGGTCGAGAACCATGCGGCGGTGTACTACGTCACGGAGCGGATCCGGAACCTGGTGAACAGCGCCAGCAAGCGGAAGACCATCCACTGGTCGCTGCAGGACAGCAAGAACAGTGCCGGGGAGACCCATCGTTTTTTCAGGATGATGGCAACTTGGTCGGGGCAGAAGGCTTGCGACTGGCTTAGCCACCACACCAGCGACACTACGACCTTCGGCGACTACCTCGACGCGCTGGACGACTACGCGCGGAAACGGTTGGAGGAACCGAAGACGGTCGGTGAGCAGGACGACGCCGCGGACAAGTTCACGCGATTCCTGGCTTCGGGGGAGAGCAACAGGGACGCTGTGTACGCTTTCACAGGCACGGGCGCGGGCGACGATTCGCGCAACACCAGCGTGAACCGGGACCCCAACGCGATGATCCCGCTGTGCGGGTGGTGCGGGAAGGAGCACTCCAACCCGGAGAAGTGCTCCTTCGGCCCGGCTTACGAGTTCGGGACCTCTGCGGAGGCACAGAAGGCCATCACGGAGCGGAAGATGTCCATCGTGCAGGACAAGGCATTTTTGCGCAAGAAGATGCTGGAGGTCTCAGCGGCAGGCGCGGGCAGTAATTCCACGGTCGGGAAGTTCGGCCGCAAGCCGGGCGACTGGGATTGCTCTGTGTGCGGGCTCGTCAACTTCAAGTCGCGCAAGTCCTGCCTGCGGTGCGAGCAGAAGGCAGGCCGGGCAACGGGCGGAGGCGGGAAGGGAGCTGGCAAGACGGGCTACAACCTTTCGGGGCCAGCAATTCCTTCCGGAAACGCGAACCAGGCCGACCCCACCCATTCCGGCGTCCCTACCGGGGGAGCGCAGCTGCAGCTGCAGCAGCAGGTGATGCCACAGTGCGGCGACACGGCTTTCGGGAACCAGCAGCACGGATTTCCAATGCAGCTGGCGGGCTACGCGCAGTTGCAGATGCCGACGGGGCAGACGAACTTGCAGGGAAACTCGCAGTTTGGCGGCGTCGTGCCGGCTGCGATTGGCCCGCGTGGCAACACTGCGATGCCGGGCTACAATAGTCTCGCCACGGGCGGGATGATGCAGGCTGCGGGGCCGAGTGTCCCTCCGTCGCTGGCGCGACAAGTTGCGCAGCAGCAACCGGTGATGCCCCCCACCAACAGTCTCATCCACCCTTCCATGCAAACTGTGCGACCGACTATGCAGAACCAGCAGCCGGGATTCCACTACATCGGGCCGGCGGTTTATCGGTCCGGAAACAACAGCGCGGGACCGATCTACTGTGGCGGGAAGGTGATCCAGGATGCGGGGGAGGCAAGACTCCTCAATGCGATGCTGGACCAGCAGGCGGCGAAGAGTAGTTTTTGCACTGGCTACAATGCAGTGCTTTCCGGGTCTGCTTCCTCTTCCTCTAGCCCAGCGAGATCCTTCGGTGGAAGTTTCGGGGCACGGAGTGACTCTTCCTGCGGTTCCGGCGGGCTCGGGTTCTTCGAGGATGCACTGGATTCCTTCTAGGTGCAGATGGGGAGAACAGAACACATCGACTATATTTTACAAGTGCAGCAACCTTCATCTTCCAGCGGCGGAAGATACCAACTCGCGTTGCAAAATCGTCACTACTTGCGTTTTCGGGTCTACCAGAACTTTCTCTACTTTCTCCTGTGATTTCTATCGGTATTTGGCGTTCGTGGTGACTACAAATCCAAGTTGAAGCTGTTACAACTTTCTGTACTGCCTGTTTCGATTTTTACAACTATTTCGTGCTCGCGGCGTTTGCCGGGTTTCAGTACCATCTGCACAGCAGTACATACCTACACTTTTGGAGAAGGGATTTGCGGTTCAAGACTGCGGTGAGGGGAGATTGCGGCCCAAGGCCGCGGTGACATGCGGGAGTAAAACGGTTTTTGGTTTTTCGACGTGGCAGTTCACGACTGCGGTGTACGGAGCGACTGGCGCTACGGTGTTCTGCAGAACGGTTTCGGCGACGGGGAAAAATAGTGCTTTCAGCAGCAGTACTTATCGGGAAACGGCCACCCCCGAAAGTGCGCTCGGGAGCGGTGTTTGCGATACAGCTTCGCGGTGGGTGCTACAAGCGGAAATTTACAAGCGGGCGCCATTTCTCTACTCTTCAGCAACAGCTACACGCGTCGAATTCCGGAAGACCTCGCTTTCCGGAAATTCGAGGGGGAGTCCGGAGGCTGTGGTGTATTCGTGCCATTTGTTCAATCCTTCGCTGCGGTCGTTTGGTCACGGTACTGAAGCTGTTGAGGGTTTGGAAGAGAGTGGTGGAGTTTGCTGGTGTTTGCTGAGGTTTTTGCGAGTTTGAGAGTGCTTTTGAGCTACTCTGGGAGATGTGATGGCTGTTTGCCTTCACGGAGATGGCTGCTTGCCATCTGCTAGTGAGGATTTCTCCTGCGGAAATCGATGCGGAACTTCAATGAACCTGTTTAGAACTTTGGAAATGAGAAAAGGAAAAAGATGAAGAAACGCGACAACGCGGTCGCGACTCGATCGCGACCTTCGGGCTTCGGTGTTCTTTCTGCCCACCTGTTCGTGGGTTTTGGATAGCGTCAGACTTTGTAGGTATAATCAGCAAGAAAAAAAACGCCCGGTCTCATTTTTTGGATTTTCAAAGGGTTGCAAACTGGAAAAAATCCAATTCAGTGCACTTAATCTTGCAAAATTCGGACAGTTTACATCCAGCGACAGTAGTGACAGTGGAACTGGCATCCTATGTGCAATATATTGCAGCTAATTTGTCCACTTTACAACTTTGGAAAAAAATTAAATTTTTCGCATAGTCTGTAGACACTTGAAAAACGAATTATATCAGTGCAATTGATGACGTAAAACAAGTGAAATACCATCACAAGCCTCCGCCCCTACTGAATTTGTTGATTTATTGGCCATTTTTATAGGTCAGCAATTTTTTGACTTTTTTCGACACATGTCAGGAAACTACTATCCTGGCCTTGTTGGGATGCATCTCATGGGACGCGGATTCCAGACCCTAAGGAAGGCGCACACTGTGCACAATTTACCATAATCGCCACCAGTGAAAACAGGTCGGCACTATAGGCCCTGCATGGGGCTCCGGATTGCGATCCGCGAAGGCCACAAGGTGCCTGATCACCGTCCGTGCCGGCCGGCCCGCCCAAGCCTGTAGCGGGCAGCCAGTGCGGTGGTTGAGGTCCGGCGCAGCAAAGTGCGTAAGGCCCAGAATCACGACCCGCGAAGCCTTTACTGTCTAGGGCCGCGACCTGCGGAGCCCGCGGCGTTCCTGGTTCGGGGCAGGATGCGGCGACGATTTGGTATCCTGTTCTTCTTCGTGCGGGCCCATCTGTGAAGGAGAGAAGAAGGCGACTCACCTGCGCAGATCAGGCCGCTCGGCTCCAGGCACAGTGGTCATCCACCGCTGGTGCTAACCACGTAGCAAGCAGGGCGGGCCCTTATGTCTTTCTCGAGCGCGCTACTGCAGCCGCTGATCACTTTCGCAGGCTTTCTAGTCGCCACCTTGCGAAATATGTTTCAAAGGCTGGCCAGCCGTCTCGTGCGTGCCACCCCCTCCGAGGTCGCGAGCAGCTCCGACGGAGTAGGCCCGCCGGGGCGGGAGACAACAAGAGCGGACGACGACCCGAAGCACGCCTTGCGTGGACTAGACGCCACCGGCTCGTCGATACCAGCGGCGCGCTTCTTGGACTGCGAGGACCTCGTGCTCAAGGTGTGCGACTACCTACCGAAGAGCGAACAGGATGTCTTTTCTCTGACCTGTTTTCGTTGCGCGGACACCGTTTTGCTCCGTCGCTACGGCTACAAGAAAACCGCAGTAGATCTTCCGGAACAAGCACCGGATACGCGATGTGCGAAGACCGGCCAAAGCCGCGATGCGGCGGACCGCGGCAAGGCCCTTGAATTCGACGGTTACCACCAGCCGCTTTCGGAGAAAGACGTCGAGCTCTTTTTGCGGTTCCGTCCCGCTGCGGACCTCGTCCACTGGGACCGCGGCTGGTTGTTCTACCTCGTGGCGCGCAAGCGCAAAGCGATTGGGAAGAGGGATTTTCTGCGCGGCAACTACGTCACCGCATTTTCGCGCTTCGGCGACGCACTCCGCGTCCTGCCCAAGCCACCCCCCGGCGACGCGGAGGTTCGGCGCGAGACGGAAAAATTGGCCGTCGACTGGCGGGACCTCCCAAAGGTGCAGAGGGAGCAGGGGCCCTACTTGTGCGGTATCGACGCGGAAAAACGCGATGACGAACACCGCCCCGAAGACCGGCAGCACAGCGTGCTGAACGGGCCCGAGTCTGCCTTCTACCGCCTGACGCGCAACCTGTGCTTCTACAAGCAAACGGTTTTGAAATACCTCTTTGCCGCGGCCGCGCGGGGGGCCGGAACACCTGCCTCCGCGGAAGTTTTCTCCTCCGCGGAGCCCGCGAAGTTACTGTGCCTGGACCTGCGCGTGCTGCTGCACAGCAACCGCTCGCTCGCGGCGTTGCGGAGCGCGCTGCCCCTGTACGCGGTGGCGGAGGCCGGGTACGCGGTGCAGTTCGCCGAGTTCGCGCTGCGCGAACTGCTGGCCGTCGAGCAAGCGAGCCCCGGCCGCGCCGAGTTTCGGGAAAGCATGCGCGCTATGCTTTGCAAATGTGTCTGGGTCTGGAAACTTTTGATGCAAGAAGAGGAAGAGTGAGCGCACAATGCGCTGCCCGGCATGACAAGTTTTCCCGTCTGTAGTTGCGTACTCCGCATGAGAAACTGCGTTTTTGCATGACAGACAAGAGGAGCTCTTCGCGGCCACGCAATATAGAGTTCAGAGTCATGCCGAACTAGCATGACAAATCTCGCAATCTCTCAAACCTAGACATATTTGCATTTCGTACGCGCCTGGTGGTTCAAGTGCCGGCACCGGCTGGGGGAGGCGTGGCTGCGTATTGCGAGGAAAAATCCCCCCTCCTCATGCTGAACGGGCACGCTTCTAGAAATTTGTGATGCTGATTTGTGACCACAAATGCTCGTGCAAGAGGGCAAATCCAAAGAGTGCGCCGCTTTGTAGAGGCGGTTTGTAATGCTGCTGCGCCTACACGGCAGACCTCTGCTATGCTAAGCACCTACACCAAAACACCCGCACGCAGGCTGAGGCTTTGCCTGCAGTACCTCACTGCAAGACAGAGCTGATTTGTGTACACAAATCCAGCAACAGAAATTTCCTTTTCAATATGTTGGGGTGGGGGCTTTTTTCACTTTGATACTGCGGTTGGGCAACCCGCGAGCCATGTACGAGGTGCTCGGCGCCACGATGATGCCGGACGGCACGGAGACGCACATCAACGACGTGGAGCAGAGGCAGGGCATCGCCTGCTGCGCAAAGGACTTCGACAACCTCGAGAGCTGGGTGAGCACCGGATTCCGGTCGTGGAGTCTGTATTCGAGTCACGAGGAGGCCGACCTCATGATGCAACTGCTCGGGGGGCCGAAGTTGCCCGGCGCGGATGGGAGGGCGAACGAAAAGCCAAAGTCCCTCCACGCCTACGCGGACGCGGTGCTGCAGGAGCTCTTCTCCACATCCGCCGGGAACAAAAATAGCCAGCCCGTGACGGAGAAAGCCATCGTCCACGCGCTCGCAAAGTGCCCATTACTGCTCATCGCCGACGCGCCGCGGCTGCGCAAGGAGTTGCGGAGCTGCCAGTCCCCGTGTCTCTGGAACCTGCGGCGGATCCCGGACGTCATCATTCCCGTCAGCGTGTACAACATCTCCTCCATGATCGCCGGGGAGCTCCGGGCCATCGTCCGAGACTGGAATGACCAGCAGCAGGGGCGGGTTGAGCGCTTACTGCTGACGTGGGGCCTCCTGTACATGGAACTTGACGCGCGGGAATTCGCGAACGCGCAGACTACGTATCAGATGCACATAGGTGGACGGATCATGCGCGGTTTTGTCATGATGCATCTCGTGGTCCACACGGTTGCGTTTGGTCAGAATCAATAGACATAGACGGATGATCACAGAATGTTCCACAAGAGCTTCCTGATACCTATTCCGCATGAAGATTTCGCCCATTCTGTGCAGAGAATTTGGTAATTTTTGGCGTGCATGCAACACAATTTTATTTCTGTGCGACTCAGTCGTAGACTGAGTTCTAAACCTAGACATACTTATTTGCAATGCATACCGCCGTACAGAAGCTCATTTACGAAACCACGGCGCCGCCGGACGCGAAGCCTGCGTGCCCCTGGCCGCGCTACTTTCTATCGGAGCTGCTGTACCTCCTCGCCCTCGCCGAGTTTGGGCTCAACGACGCTGCCGCGTGCGGGCACGCGCTGCAAAGCTGGAAAATTTTCTCAAGTTGCAAAACGGACCGGAACTACGCGGCCGGCATGCGACTGGAAATCTGGGCGGACGCAGTGCTGCGGCGAGAAAGGGGCGGACCGAAGTCAAAGGTACCTTTGCAAAGATTTTTAGAGCAGTAACTAGTTCTTCTCGCTGCTTCAAACGAAGTGAAGAATTTATGTGGTTTCACTAATCTACTTTTTGGATCCAAATATTAAAACAAGGTGGACGGGGCCCGGATCCACGACGCGCTCAACGAGGAGTCGCTGGAGAAAGAAGAGCTGAAGATGATGGCCCACTTTCGCAAGAAGCTGCAGCGCACCAATATGGCTTGCTCAGATGTTACAATCTCAAACGTTACAATAGAATCTGGAATTTGTCTTGCATGAACAGCATGAGTACCATACAGAGACTTGGGCTTTTCGCAATACAAATTTCGTCAGAATCAGAATCTCATGGGGTCTGGGGCTCCGAAACTTGTCATGCGCGCTCCTTTGGGAGTAGGCCAGATGTTGCGGATTTTGCAACACAAATTCCAAATTCTATTGTAACGTTTGAGATTGTAACACCTGAGCGGGTTATAACCAAGGCGTTCTACCCCGTGCGCCGCGACAACTGCTTTGTCCACGTGTATATGGATTGTAAAAATGTCTGGGTCTGGAAGAATGCAAGATTTGTGATGCAGGTTTTCCACGACCCATGAGGTCTGGAATGCGAGACCCAGCGTGACAGATTCTTTGAGGTGTCTATCATGCCTTTGCCGCATGAGAGATTCCCTCTCAACTTGTTCAAAAGCGGACAGCTTTTGGCACTCACGCAACACAGATTTTTGCATCATTCGGATTTAGCATGACAAGTTCTAATCTTCCAAACCCAGACACTTTTACATTTGATAGTGTATGAAAGAAGACAGGGGTGCGGCTCCTGCAGGGTCCAGGCCTTTGGGTGGCATTTTTGCAGCTGCTGTGGCACTTAAGTAGTCGGCAAAACGAACCGAGGTTTGCATCGCTTCATTTACATTTTCCCGACACGAATCTTCGGCAATAAAGATTCTGAAAAGTACGCGCAATCGATCAGAAGTTGTTCGCTCATCTTTTTCCTCACTTACTCGCATCTGCAACCACAGCCCAAATAAAAAGCCTGTGGAACTCACAACTGTTTGAGAAATGTTTCATACTGTCTCCATCTACGACGCTTTGGGTATCAAAAACAGCATGCCGGACGGCATGGAGGGCGCCTACGCTCTTTGTGACGTGATGAAGCAGAAGTTCGGGAAAAAAGACGACGACGAGGAACCTGACACGTCGAAACCTAGACGAAAGAAATCCAGCAAGTCGGCGCAGAAAAACTCGTCTGAGCATGAAACTGCAAACAAAAATGCAGATGAAAAGAAGTTTCGCTACTGGCCCTTGAGCAAGTTGCAGCGGGCGCAAGACGAGAAGAAGCATGCGGCGCTTCTGGCAGATGATAGCGCAGCCGCAAAAAATCGGGAAGGGTCGTCGTGGTGGAAGAGTCCCTTCACGCCCACCACGGCGGATTTTCTCCTCGCTTCCCAGCAGTACCGGCGAATGATAGGAACGGATTTGCGCTACGACCTCTACCAGACGGATGCCGACATCCTGACCACCTACAAGAGCAGCCCGGTATGGAAGGAAAAAACTGCCGATCATTACAGTCACTAGTATTCTCTCTACAGCACGTTTTGCATGAGAAATCTTTCTGGCATAATTACGGCTTTGGTTTGTACTGCGCAAGAAACATAAAGGAAAAAATCACGTGTGAAGAAGTTTGGCTGTGGTGCGTGTAGTTGACACTCGAAAGGCGTGTTTTGCATTGCAAGAGGAGTGGTCGTGCAAGGCTTTTTTGTTTGATACCGGGAAAAACGGTTGCAGTACGGAGTGGAACTCAGCGACTTCCAAAACTACATCGGGCACATTATGGCCTGCTTATTTGGAACACTCTCAACTGGAATGATTTGTGATGCAAAATGTGAATCATTATCTGTCGAGCTGTTATGGGGTCTGACATGAACAATTAATTTCGCTAAGTAGCATGAATCACGAAATTTGTACATGCAATTAACATTCGCACGAAATTTGTGATGCGAAGCTGGGGCAAGTAAAGTAACTCCGCTGTTCTTGTGTCTACATTGTTCCAGTTGAGATTGTTCTAGCTGCCCAGGGCATATGCATGTACGGCGTCACGCAGCGGTTCCGGCGCGAGAAAAAAGAACAGAAAGAAGAACTGGAGGCCTTCGTGCACGGGATGGGACCGCAGGGAGTGTGCGTGTCCATGATACAAGGCTCCGCGATAGATATGCTCATGAAAGACTAAGATGATAGAACCATGAAAAGCGCAACAGAGCACGCGAAGCACGTGGCATTCACTTCGCCAACAAAAAAACTGTATACTCGTCCGCATCAAGAACAGGATGGCGATCCCTTCCATTTTAATCGCTACGTGGAAAGGGTGACTTGCTATTCTTGTCAGCAGCGGGGAAAAGCAATGGCAACGCCTAGCACTGCTTGAGTGTCTTGCTGCAGTTGTCCTTTGGTCGTAGCCTTTCGTTGTTCTGGAGCCCTCGTCTGCTGCTTTTGCGTTGTCTGAATACAGCGAATAAAGAGCACAAAGGATGAAGCTACGATCGCAACTGTTCTCAAGTACTAGGCTTGGACCCTCTTCGTGAAAGAAAACAGAATCAAATAGCTTCACGTCAAGCAAATTCGCTTCGTATAAATTGTTCGTACTCGTCGGAAGGGGGTCTAGGACCAAAATTAGATTTAGTACAATCTACACAGGTCGCAAAGCATCGCCGTCGTTATCTCCATACGTAAAACAGCAGAGCGTGAGCGCGGGAAACAAAGTGAGAGAAACTCAGGTGTAGAGAGGCCCCTCCTCGTAGACTGCGATTGAATTAAAGCTGCACCCGACACGTTTGATTGAACATGTACGAATCCCGGGCAAGCTCTATCTCGCCCTCATCCTTTTCCCAGCGCTCCTCGAGCAGCTGGCCCAAAAGATAAATGTTTTCCTGGTATCCTCTAGGAATTTTTGAAAGTATACTACTGAGAGGGGAAAAATTAACGACAAAGCAGTTCTCTTCCAAGAAAAGATGTCTGTTACCCAGAACAAGGCGGAGAAGAAATGCGCCTCGGGCTCCTATGGCATCGTGAAGCGCGGTTGCGTCGGAGCCCTGGCCGTTGGTGCCGACCTGGGAAGCATCCTGGGCGCTTCCGCGTACGAGCAGTCGAAGGAGACCGGGGGGGGGGGGGTGGATTCACCCTGACCCCCGAGGGGGAGACGGAAGGCACCGATGTGTCCACTGCTGATGCCGAAGACGGTATTCATGACATCCTCTCGCAGTTGCTGTCTGAAGATGGTTTGTGTTCTCAATTCGTGTCTGTTGAAAGAAGTTGCATGAATGGCGTCTCTTTATTGGAACAAGTGTCAGCTTTTGCTTCTTTTAATCAGATACGTCTGCCGCGGCGTCTGCCTTGCAGACTTCGCACGGGTACTTTTGCGGGATACCCCACCAGACGGCCACACACTGCATCCTCGTCGCCGCCGCCGGCACAATTCCCGGGCTACCTGGCAATAATCCCGTCCCCGCGGCACATGGAGGACCCGACGCCGCGGCAGCGTGTTGCATCTTCGGCCGCACCGCCGATCCGAAATGCCAGTGGGAGAATAATGAAACTGATGACTGCAGAGAGAAGATCGCCGAAACCGCGGAAAGCATCCGCAAAGCCGTGCGGAAGGAGTTCCCGACGCCCCCAAATGAGGGGACACCGGTAAACCGACAGCAGCGCTGGGGCCCGCGGTTGATTGCGGCCTCGCCCTGAAAGCTCTCCGAAGCAAATGTCAATTTAACGACGTTCACCTATCTTTTGGAATTGCAATTAGTGTCGCCACTTGTAGTTTAGCAGCATTCTTTGCACGCATCTCGTCTAGCATCAATATTCGTCAGATGCTGATGCTGTTGTTACCGGGTGCCGTCAGTCGGCTACGGTTTTTTTGGTGTAGAAAAATGAAACCGCACCTAGCCGAGTGTTTGGGGCGCCGCCTCTTCGCTGCTTTTTCGTTGTGACTGCACATAGCATTCTTTCCAGGCCAGCGCTTGAGAAGATAGGAAGTGCGTACCTTGCTCCCCGGACAGTATGTTGACAATAGCCACGCATTGCCAATGTTTGTTTGGACGAGATTCTTTGTCGGAAGCCAAACTATAGTCCAAAACAGGCTGTAGTTGAATCCGATGTAAAATAACTAAGCTCAAAGAAGAGCTAGTTAGAAAACCAAAAAAAAAAGATCGCTGCTCTGCAGCCCCGTTCTTGTGAACAGTGTCAGCTTTGCCTTCGCAGCGTCGTGTCGAGCTGTGTGTGTTCAGGTGAGTAGTTTGTTTTAAATTTGCAAGAGAGTACCAGGAGCAGGTCTGGCACCAGATTACTTGAGCCAGATACAACCACCAAATCCGGAATGACTTCTATCTTTTACCACTGATCTTCACGCTAGTTGTGTATAGAGCGGGTTGTTGCAGGACGCATGAGCGCACCTCCCACAGCCCACAGCAGAGTTCGCGAGCCGCGGGGGCGGGGAGGATTGGTGGGTTGGTCTTATTGGGGACCTTCGCAGCTCAATCTCGTGAGGAGCGGTGAAACATGTTGACGTTGATGAAAAAACGGGGCTGGTGAGAGACGTGTCAAGCAGCAGGCGAGAGATTATCAGCGAACTTGTTGTTGTCGTTTGCTTTCTTGTTGGCTTTCGAGAAGTACACCTGTGATCACACAGGAAAAACGATGGCGCCACCGAAAAATTTTCGCACTCGACCCTTCGCCCACCAACAGTGCCTGGGTCATCTGTGGATTTGTTTAATCGTCGCCTTTTTCCCGACCCCCGCCCGGTCCCGCGGTTTTCTGCTGACCCGCAGCGACACACAGAACAAAATTTTCTACTCGCTGTTGCCCAGCTTCGATGAATCCATCACGCATTCGCAACTGGACAGCACGCAGCTGGACCAGGATCCGGGGAGCGAGCCTCTGCCGTTGGTAGCAGATCTAGACCGACCCCGGTCGATGGCGCTCTGGTCGGACACCGTGAACCACTGGCTCTACGTTTGGGACGCAACAACACAAGACTTGTACAAGTACGAGCTCCTCGCAAATGGGGATGAGTTGACCGCAGCTCGCGGACTCCAGCCGGTGGCCCAAGGTTTAGACGTCGGGGGGATCGCGGTCGACAACGCACAGAACGTGTACTACTCCATATCAAACTGAAAAGTGCCCTTGAAAGTGAGAAATGCCTGCGCAGCCGTCTAGGTTTGTGTACATTTACATGGGAAAAAATAACTTCTTGCATGAAACGAATGCGACCCATCTTGCTTGTCAGAATCTAGGTATCTTGCCACACAGCTGTAGAATGACAACCGCATAAATTTTATTATTGCCGAGATGAAGTCTACTGCGTTAGCGTTTACGCATTTGCAGAACACAGTGCGCTGGTGTTATAACCAATTCTGGGACGAGGACCATTCCTGTTCTTGCGGCTGATACCTACTTGCAAGGAGGTAGATGTTTTCGCAAAAAGATTATTTCGCAATACAGAATGTGAATGACAAAAACCCACCAGTCGTTCTCTCCGCACTGGGGCGCTTTTCTTTTCGATCCCCGAACGAAAACGGGGGCTCCATCACGAAGCTGCCCTACACCGATCGAAAAAAACCGGAGCAGCTGTACAGCATATCAAATGCAAAAGTGTAGTCTGGGTCTGGAAGATTCTGTGACTTGTCGTGTATGTTTTGCATGGCCCAGGATGTCTGTAATGCACGACCTAGCGTCACAGATTTTTAGAGGGCTTCCCGATGCCTACTCCGCATGACAAACGCCCTCCCCGCGTAGCACAAACGAGACTCCTCTTGCTGGTCATGCAATACAGATTTTTTCAGAGTCCAAAGTTAGCATCAGAAGTTCCAACCTTCCAGACCCAGACACTTTGGCATTTGATACAGCAACAATTTCAACGTAAACGCGCCGCGGGTACTGACCACGGACGCGCTCTATGTGTACTGGGGAAACCACGCGACCGGAAAGGCGTCGGGGTCCGCGGTGAAAGCGCCGGCGAAAGTCCTCAGCTTGACGCAGACCAGGTAGGATGAAGAAGATGAACGGGAGGGGTTTTGCGATTTTTTTGTTCTGCAATAGTAACTACTCCTCCGCCCGCTTGTTGTTCTTTTGCAGGCGTCAACATCTTCAAAGTATTAGTGCGATATGGAGCTGCGCGGAAATGAATTTTGAACACTTGTTGAATGCCTTTTATGAACTACTTTATGCACAAACCAAAATCAGTTATCCGCGGCAGTTGTCGAAGAATGTGGTCGTGACAAACGGGGTGTGCGTCACGCCCGACTTCGTTTTCTACACCGGTGGCACAGAGTATCAGACCGCGATGGATTCATTGAATGAGTCAAGGAGGGATGTTTGCTCGCAGAAGTTTTCTATGTGCAATGTCGCGAGTAAGTAATTTTTTCAAAAACAGAATCGTGCCACCAAGCACCTGTGTACGTTTGTATTATGCAAAAAGTACACCACGACCACGAGAATTTATTACCGGCAACACCGACGGGCCCAGCGCAGAAAAGCACCAAGTCAGCACTCAGTAGTTTTCTACTAGACACTGACACTTGTCAGTTCCAAGGATTCGTCACTTTTTGACTATGAGAAATGAATTTTGCCGTCCATACCCCCGTTTTTGCCGTGCCAAAGGATGCGCTCCTATCCCAGAAAAAAATTATAGTGTTAGTGTAACTTTTTTGGGTTGACAGCATCGTAAATTTGTCCTGCATGACACAAAAAACTTGTCATGCGTCACTACTATGTGAAATCCGAAAAGAGGCTATCGTGGTTGGCTGGCCTGACTGTACATCTTGCACTTCTGTGTTTGCAAGAACATCTTCAGAGAGTTCTTTTGTACCAACACAGTGTTTCTTCTTTCTTTCGATAGCGCAACCCAAACGACCAGTGGAGGTTGATCAACAACGGCTTTATGAACGCCGCCGGCTGTATGACGGTGCACAACTCCCCCTCGTTCTCATTTGTATAGCGGAAATACAAGCGCCAGCGAGAATGCAGGTTTTGCGTGACAAATTTGCACGGGATTGTAGTGCTATTTGGGCTGCCAGAACTTGTTATGCAAACGGTGCCAAGAGGCACAGCCTGGATAGGGCATTTTGCATGACAAATGAGGGGGAGGGGGAGAAGTTGTGCACTGTCATAGGCTGCGCCGCCGACCCGGCCCGCGGAGCGATCTACGTTGCGGACGAGCAGAGGGGCGCGGTTTTTGAACTGGCAGTAAATTTCGCGCTATCAAATGCAAAAATGTCTGGGTCTGGAAGTTTCTGACACTTGTCATGCACGTTTTGCATGAGCCATGACGTCTGTGCTGCATACCCTAGCAACACAGATTTTTTGAGGGCTTCTTGATGCCTATTCCGCATGACAAGTGCCTTCTCAGCGAAGCAAGAATTGCATTCCCTTTGCTACTCATGCAATACAGATTTTTTTGGAATCCAAATGCCGCATCACAAGTTGCCATCTTCCAGACCCAGACATTTTTACAATCCATACGCGCAGCTCCGGGAGATCCGGGCGCAAACGAAGATCACGACCGTAGACGGCGCAAAGCAGCTCGCGGTACTGCGGAGCGGTGCGTTTTCAAACCTGAGGTCTTCTGGCGTGGTGTTACAATATCCGCTGCAAAAATTATTCGTTCTGGGTCTGGAACACTGTTGCGCGGGTTCTTCTTGTCATGCTCGGCTAGCGTAAATCTCAAGTCTGTCATGCGCAATGAAGCGGAGTGTTTCATGATCATAGTTAGTGTAGTATGTAAGCAAGAAGAACGCCTAGAAATAACTCAAAAACTTGTCATGCTCGACCGGTTTCCACTGAGTAAAAATATCCAATCAGCGTCACAACATGTTACCAGAGGACCCAGACATGTTTGCATCGTGATATGCAAACGAGTTTTCTGATCTGCGCGAGCGGGCTGAGCGTAGTGTGGATCTTGTTTGCGACCACCTAATATGTAAAACGCGCATTTTATTTTCCATGCAATATAACATACTGAGGTAGTTCCCAATAAATGTGTACATGAGACGAGCCGACTATCTGACGGGGAGGCCGTCTATCAATTTTGGTCCCCCTGGTACAAGTGAGCAAGAGGGCAACTTCTACAGGGCGTCGTTTCGATGTTCATCTGAAGCTGCAGTAGTGTAGCCTGCTAATTAAAAACCTCTTCCAAAGCTTTGATCGTCACGACTCACAGTGCCTGTCAGCGGCTTCCGTTAGTCTACTGCATCTCTCTGTTTCCGTCACCGCTAGCTGGGAGTAGTAGATTTCTTTTTTTTACAGGTTGTACGTAGATTTAGTTTGTCAACACCGTGCGTGTATTTATACTTTTGACCGAGTCAACTACATCCGAGCGTCTCAATTTGCTTGCCTGAGAGCAGTAGTACTAGAGGGAGCATGTTCTTCAGGAGAGCCGCTGTGCATACTGCAAGCACATCAAATAGCGCTACTTGTATTTTCACATCAAGAACAATCGTTAATTATTTTGTGTTTTCAAGACAAATCCACTCTCGGCTTTTCCTAGCTCTGGTTGATATTCCCCAGCTTTATTTGATGCGAGATCGCGGCCGACCTCATTCCATTTTCAAAAAGCGACCACCGGCGCACCAGCCATTTCCACCATTTTCATCGAGCGCAAAAACGAAAATCACCACCTGTAGCCGTTTTGTAAAAGAGGAAATAGAAGCAGTTTTGGTACAAATTGGAGGTGGAAAGGCAACACTGTCCTCACAGAAGAAGGCTCTAGTACTTTGCAGCGGGGGCCCCAACAACACCGAGAAATTTTTGTTGAAGCGGATCTCCGTTCTTGCCGGTTCTACTCCGAATCTTTGGCAGATAGTACAGCCAGTTCTGAGTATTATGCCTGGTGCAGCAGTTCCGGGGGTGGAGGACCGAAGTAGATTTTTGGGGAGACGCATCAACTACACTGAAGACGAGAAGACCTCCTCTACTGCGAGCACTAGTGGAAGAACTACCACTGCAAGAACCACGACCAGGACGAACACTAGTAGCAACTACCCCCGGCCGCACTTGATATAAAAGTTCTGCCGTTGCATCTTGCGTTTCTCGAACATGATGTTTGGTACGCCTCCTGTACTAGCAGCTGCGACGACCACCCCGGCCGGCAAACCACGGAAGAGAAGCTGACAAGCTATAAATAATTACTTTCCGACAGGAGCATCGTCTCTACTTTTTGTCACGGCACGCCGCTGCAACAAACTCTATCACGGAAACAGTGGCGCAGATTCTCCTCCGGTTGAACTACAAGCAAGAGTGAATAAAACTTCTTCCGTAGAAGACCGAAGTAAGTGTAGTCTGAAACAAGAAGAACAAACGGGCTTCATCCTCCTGCTAGAAAGCAATATTTAAAGATGGCGTCCTCCAGTACCAGCTTCGAGCAAAAGTACAGCAAGCTGGACCGGAATCCGCTCGGGGAGGGGACGTACGGCGAGGTGTTTCGGGTGCGAAACTATTGAGAGGAAAAATCCCCCCTCCCCATATCGAAAAGGCATGCTTCCGAAAATTTGTCTTGCTGATTTGAGACCACAAATCGCGTCCGTCTTGCAAGAAGACAAACGCAGAGGCTTCCGCGCCATTATGGAAGCGATTTGGCATGCTGTTGGGCCTAGAGAGCAGCCGTTTGTAATGCTAAGCACCTAGACCCAAATGTCCCCCCCTAGGCTGCGAATCTGGCCGCGATGCCGTATTGCAAGACAGCGCGCATTTGTGTACACAAATCCTGCATCACAGATTTCCCATTTGATATGGGGTGGGGGCTTTTTTCATTTTGATAGAAACACGGTAACCGGAGAGACGGTGGCGATGAAGCGCATGAAGTTGCAAGATGAGGAGGAATATGCATTGTAAAAGTACATCGTACTAGTATGACAACTCGCATGACAAATTTTGCCAAGAAGAAGAGTGCAATTTGTCCTGGAGATTCAGGTTAGAAGCTAGATCTGTCATGCATTGTTGCGATTAGTACGAGTGCGAGGATACTTTTGCAATGCATAAGGAAGGGGTGCCCAGCACAGCGATCCGGGAAGTGGCCATTTTGAAGGAGCTGGATCACCCAAATGTGGTGAAGCTTCTGGACGTGTGCTGCACGCAGAACAAGCTGCTCCTGATCTTCGAGTTCGTGGATAGCGATCTCAAGAAGTATTGATCGACTTTTTGATATTTAGAAATTCGTTTCCTTTGCATGGAAAAGGAATAGCAATACAGATGTTTTTTGAGGCTACGCTATGCATTGGGAAAAAAGTTGTGCGAAACACTCAAGCAGAATCGTTCGAAAGTGTTAAGCACTGCAGCATTTGGAATAACCCATTCGCGAATCACTTAGGCAAAACCGACATGCGAATTTGTTAATAAGCACCGCAGGAGCACTTCTTAGGTCAACAAGTCGTGCGAGGAACGTACTAGACAGACGAGTGCTTCTGCAAGAGCCTGAAAATCTTCGACTGCGTAAAAAACAACCACAAATTATCTACCACCAGGTACATGCGCAAGAACGGCAGTGGGCCACTACCCTCCGAAACTGCGAGGAGTTTCGTGCAGCAGATGCTGAAGGGGATTTGCTTCTGCCACGAGAGAAGGATCATCCATCGCGACTTGAAGCCGCAAAACCTCCTCGTAACGCACAACAACCAATTGAAGCTAGCGGATTTCGGACTCGCCAGGACTTACTCCGTGCCGATGCCAAAGTACTAGATGATGCGGGGCAGCACTAGATAATTTTATTTCTGATGCGGGGCATTATATCCTAGTGCAGTTGCAGTTTACCTTTACTCTGTCATGCAGATTTGCATTTGACTATGAAAATCCAATTAATACGAACTAAGTGTAAGTACACATTCACATCAGGTACACCCACGAGGTTGTCACGGTCTGGTACCGATCACCGGAAATCTTGCTCGGGCAGGAACCTACGGATTGCAAAACATCTCGTCGGGACGAGTAGTCTGGAAAGGTGTGATGCTATAATTGTGGAGAACTTTTGTGGAAACATAAAGTTTCAGTTTGTAAAAGTTTGAACTGCAAGATCGAGCGTGAGAAGTTCTTGTGCGTATAATGTACGCTCGCTGCTGAAACTTGCGGATGACAAGATGAAACAAATGTCCCTTGTTGCATGAAAGAAAGTGTTGTGCTTTGCTGGATGGCACTGCAGCTTTCACAAAATTTTTTTCTGCAAAAGAGTTGACCATCTGAAATAGTACTACACACAAAGATTATTTTGCATTTGCCGCTTTTTTGCTTTCCAGACTCCGCCGGAGCGAAGAAGGTGTGTGCAGTTGATAAAACTCTACGCGTTACCCGTGGACCTCTGGTCCGTCGGCTGCATTTTTGCGGAAATGGGGTGTGGCCAGCCGCTCTTCGCCGGTGACAGCGAAATCGACACGATCTTCAAAATTTTCCAGAAACTCGGCACCCCGAGCGAGGAGGAGTGGGCGACCATGTACGAACTCCCCAACATGAAGAGCACATTCCCGAAATGGAAAAAGAAGCCGTATTTGTTGATATTAGTTTGGGACGATGCAATCCTATCTTTGGAATTTTTCATGTCTGATTTGTTTGCCATTTTCCATACTTATCCGTTGTTGTGATGGATGTCTCTGTATCGAACAACAAACCGCTTGTTCACAGATGGCCACAAATACGCGACTTGGGCACCACCCTGGGAATGCAGGCCTGCGATCTGATCGAAGACATCATGAAATATGACCCGTATCCTGAGTAAAAACGTACCCACACCAGAGTCAAGATGGGAAATCTGCTAGACAAATCAACCAGCTTTCGCTGTTTCGCATGACAAGTTTGCCCTCATAGTGTGATTCTGTTTCGCTAGTTCAGCAGCATCACAGATTTGGCAAATCATGCTGATTGTAGCATCACAAACTCCAAAATAAGAGTAGAAAATGCTTCTCGTGGGGGTCCGCATGAGAAACTTTTTTGGCATGCAGATTTGCATGACAACTCTGGTGTGGGGACATTTTTACTCAGGATAACCCGATGCAGAGACTCAGTGCCAAGCAGTGTCTGCGCCATCCGTACTTCAATAGCATCCCTTTCGCCTGTATGCAATGTAAATTTCCCGTACATGTACAAAATGCATGACAAATTTCGCTAACTTGCAGTGTCCAACTTGTCATGCTAGACTAGGATTGAAGGCAAGTTTTGTCATGCAGAGACGGCATTTGTACGTGTACGGGAAATTTACTGTGGATAGCCTGACCGCCTGACGCGCTGGTGCGTAGTAAGTAAGAAGAAGAATGAAGAGCGTGGTCGTCCGAGCTATCTTATGCATGGCTGCGTGATGCTGATTCTGATATTGACAAAAAGTTTAGATTCGGGAGATAAAAACAGTGGGTGTTTCGATTTGTCATTTTGGATTAAAGATACAATAGTTGTTGAGCCAGGGGATCGATGATGTGCAGGGAGGTGTAGTTGTGTAAAATCTAATCATCTACCTATCGTCGACGCCGTGCCTATGCAGTAGAGTACGACAAATTTTGACTCACACGACTTTCTAGGCTACTTATGGGCAGAGCATCTTACTGTTCACGGTTGCTATGCAAGTTGTTCATGTGGATAAAATAAATTAGAGCAAACCACAAGACGATGTTCCCCTAGACCCTACATAGCAGACGAAACAGAATATGACTTCTAGAAGAGAGAAAGGATAAAAACCTGCACCAATTCTCTTCTCGGCTAAGTAACTATCGAAAAGAACCGTGTCGCGCCGGTCGTGAGCGGCCTCAAGAACGTTGTCGCAATATCAGCGGGTGGACAGAAATATATAATAGAAGTAGTCCCGCCCTGACTCATCTACTTACTCTGTTACACATTTCTTGTGTTGACGTGCTGCTATTTCAACTCCTCGGGAGTGAGGCGGCGCATGACCAACCACAGAAAGCAACGCATCTGCACAGGCTTCAATTTTCATCTGAGATTTTCCTACTACTCGCAAGGGAGCTCTACAGTAGGGTGGGTAAGGTAGACGTAGACGAGTACTACGCAAAAAGAAAAACAACTGGCGTCCCGAGCATAGATTCAATATCAAATAGCAAACTGCATATTATGGTGGCATGGTATTGTGCCGACTGTCTTTCTGAATGAGACTAAGTACGTTGTTGACCCTCGTTTGCGCTATCGGGCAAATGCGGGAGCATAACTAAATTCTTTTTTTCAAATTAAAATTATAGAAAAGAATTTGCTCTGCATAAATCTTGCGCTTTGCGTAAAAAGTCTTGCGCGGCTCCTCATCGCGGTCGAGATTTTTCCATCGTCACTAGGTTTTTGTGCCTGGAACAAAATAATAATGACAACTCCGTCTTCAACCTGACGCAGTCTATGCATATGCAAAATCCCCCTGCTCGAACAAGCGTCTTGAAAATAGAATTACGCTTGCTAGCCCCCCCAGCGCAGACGATGCAGATGAAGTTATCTCGCCTGTCACTAGTACACTATTCGCAGAGCAGAGCATTTTTTTTATCACAACCTCGTAAGTGCTGCGAGCTTCCTTTCTGAATCTTTTGCAGTTTGTTTCCCCCGCAAAAGGCAGATATGGAAAACGGATGAAGCAGATGTCAAAAGAACTACCTCTGCCTGGTGCGCAGGTAGGTTCTTGGGAGTGGAAAATGATGTGCCCAAAGAAAAGGCTCAGATACTAAAGATTCCTTGTGCAAGATCATTTGATAAGACTCCTTCCAGTAGACTGGATGTCGACCTTTAAAAATAAGTATCACGACGACGAAAACTGTATTATCTAGGTACATTTTGCGATTTTTTCAAATTTTTTCTTTAACAAGGATCGTCTGAGCCGTGATTTTTTACTATTCGCACCGATAACTAGTTCACCTACTACTGTAACTGTTGACGGCTTGTACGTAAAATTCGCTGGAATGAAGATATGACAGTTTGGGAATGGCTCGTTGTGGACCTGAATAAATCTACTACAACCGATGCAATGAGCCACAGGACGGAGAAGTCATTGCGTAGATGAGCAAGAACGACAACAAGGGCATAACAAGCTGGAGTCCTCGTCGATAAAGAAGCCAGACAAGAAGTGCAGCTCCTGGAATGGATGATTCCACGAAGTGTCCTCTGCAAGAACGTTTTACAACACGATGGCCAGCAGGTCCTCTGCGCTTGTCTTCTGCGACACCCACTCGTTGTCGTATCGCTTTCAGTATTCTCGTCGTTTCGACTCGATCGTCTGCTAGCATTTATTCGTTTTCAGGAACAGAAAGAGGAGGGAGGTAACAACAGCTGGTCTTGATTTCGATTGAATATTACCATTCGCTTGTTCGCGGCTATTATAATCATGAATACGCAGTCGTTGGTGTCGATATCGTGTGCGACAGCGTCGTGGTCAGAGATGACGCTGCAGATCGTGTGCTAGGGAAGGTCGTTATTTTGCGCAACAAGTTCACTTTGTTGAAGTAGTAGCAACTAAAAAGCATAAATTAGGACACTTGAACTTACGGTGGGTGTGGAAACTTTTTGCTTGACTAATTTTTAGTGGTCCTCGCTACTGAATAGAATAAGTAGTACGATGGAAAATTGATAGATACTACACGCATCTTCCAGCCAAATAGTAGAACATGGGACTGTTAACGTATTTGTTTTCTGCCGGTCCTGTGCCCGACGACCCGGAAGGGTTTCACGGCGCCTTGAACTACGCCAATCCGACGTCATTTTACTTCCAGGATCGTGCTGGTCTGCCACGGTGGAGTAGAACTTCTTCTATCGGGCGGGACCACCAGAGGACGAATTTCGAAGTAGTAGACCCTGACGAAAGTAAAATGAATCATCAGGGTTTTTTTTCTAATCTGTTGTCCAGAATTTTCGACGCAAAACCAGTTCGAGATTGGGCTTCTTCTTGTTCCTCTGTTCATCCACAAGAACTACAACAAGTGAAGCAACGCAATGCGATCACGACCTCCTTCGCCCACACGGACTCCGCCCCGGCGGAACCGGCCTCCTACATCGACCGGACCGGGTTTTTACCAACCCGCCCGATTAGCTGCAGCAGCACCGGGCACGACTTGCAATTCGACCGGAACATGGCCCGCGTGGTGTGCCCGGCGCACTGCCAGAAGGACCAGGCGGCGCGGGTGATCGGGCTCTCCGTCCACCCAAACGAGTCCGCGGTCTGCTCGTCCGCGATCGCCGATGGCGTCATGCCGGTGCAAGGCGGCGCGCTCGTTGTTACCAAAGGCCCCCCGCAGATGAGTTACGAGGGGAGCAGTCTCGCGGGCAACTACGTCGGGGTGGAAGCCGGAGCGAACATTGTGTCGGACAGCTACAAAACGTACGCCGTCGACACCATCGACCAGATTTCCTCCAACGTCCGCATCGTGGGGGAAGACGGGTACCTCTCCGCCATGGGGCGCCCGGAACTGCGGACGGACAAGGGCTGGGGCAGCATCTTACGAATTGCAAATATGTCTGGGTCTGGAAGGATGTAACTTGTGATGCTGCGTCTGAATTCTACAAAAATCTGTATTGCATGACCAGGAACCGAGGTCCAGTTTTTGTCAGGGCGAGAGGGCATTTCTCATGCGATATAGGCATCAGGATCAGGAAGCCCTCACAAAATCTGGGATGCTAGTGCATGCATCACAGACATCAGGAGTCATGCAAAATGTGCATGACACCAGACCCAGACATATTTGCATTTGATACATCTGCGGTTTGAACCACCACACGGCGCAGCACATCTGCCGGGAACTGGGGTACCGGAAGGGCTATCAAATGTAAAAATGTCTGGGTCTGGAAACTTGTGATGCTGTGTGGCGTATCATGAGGAGGCGACAATTGCTGGCTCAGCATGACAAGTCTCTGAGCTTCTAGGTGTTGCCTATTCTGCATGACACACTACGTTTCTGCATGACAGAAAAGTGGGGCTCTTTGGGAATGTGCATGACAGATTTAGGAGTCATGCCAGACAAGCATGACAAACTTGCATTCTTCCAGACCCAGACATTTTTACATTTGATAAGGGCTGGAAGATTCCGACTGCGCGTTGCGGGGCGCTCTGCGGCCCGCGGGGATCCGTCGTCGCCGCGAAGAACCTGGTGTGTAACGGGGAGGAAACGTCTTTACAGTCTTGCACGCGGTTGGAACCCGATGAGGAGTGCCGGACGCACAAACACGACAGTGTCGTGTGGTGCAGCAACAAGAATTACCCGTGGGACATCGAGGACGGGAAGTTGCGGTTGATCGACGACGCGGGCCAACCGACGGCGGACGGGGTGGGCCGCCTGGAGATGTGGCGGGCGGGGCAGTGGCGACCGGTGAATCGGGAGCAGTACAGCGATGGCACGGCGGCGACCGCGTGCCGGTCCATGGGGTACGGCGGCATCGACCTGAATTACCCCGCGACCCCCTGCGACCAGTTCGAGGGCGGCGCGAAGTCCTACTGCGGATCTCGGGGGCCGGGGATCTCGCAGCTGCAGTGCTTGGGGAGCGAGCAGGACATCTCCCAGTGCTCCTTCAAACTGGTGCGGACGGAGTTCATGCCCGCGGACAAACAGCCCTCCCCCGCGAACAACCTGGTTCTGAAGTGCGTCGGGTACGGCGGCGACCCGTCCGGTAAGGCCGCGAAGGAGCAGGCGCCCAAACCCGACCCCGCGCCCTTTGTCCGCCTGGATCTGGAGTGCTCGTCCACGCTACCCACCACGAAATTAAGCCAAGGACCGCCGGGCACCACGGTCCTGGCACACTGCCCGCCCGGGTGTGGCGGCCCCGCGGGGAACAAGAGCAGTGGGGATGGGACGAGCGGGGTGTTCGGAACCGGGATCTACGCGGAGAAAACCCCGATCTGCGCTGCGGCAGTGCACGACGGGCTGCTGGACAAGAAGCGGGGCGGGGACATCGTCGTGTCCGTCGCGCACCCGCAGGCGCGGTACCGCGGCAGCGACCAAAACGGCGTGATTTCGGAGGACATGGCAAATCCGGACAAAAAGAAGAGTCTCGTCGTCGCCCTGCCAACCGAGGACTTGTTCGCGCGGTACGCGAAGGTGATATCAAAATTGGAAATCTACTTCTCCCTGTTTTCCATACTCAAACCGAGATCTTCTGTGTAGCACGAATTCTTGCGCCGTTACATGAATCAAGCTGTTATGTCAGAAGCACCAGGCAACAGAGGCTAAGTCCATTGATTGCTCTCAGGGATGGAAATAAACACCCAAGGGTTGACTGTTCAGTATGGCAGGAACCAATTTTGCATTGCACGACGAGGAGTCGGTCTCTTCTTTGCCGCGCCTAGGAAACCACTTCGAGTTTGTCGTGTAGTACGCAAATCATGCGCGAGACGTCGCCTTTTGGGTATGGGAAGGGGGAATGTTTCCTCGCGATAGGTAACCAGCAAAACGTACGCCGGCGCGTCCGCGATGGGTTCACCGCTGATGCCGAAGCTCCTGGTGGGGTGAACAAACGACCTGCGATAGTACTACTGTACTGCGATGAGTTACTCTATACACTAGTAGGCACGCTTGTTGTCAGAAGATAGTATTAGATTTCGAAGGACCTCCTCTTAAAATAGAACTTCGTTCAGCTTCAAAGAAGTGCTGACAAAGGCTGGATCGTCAGTCAACCATAGTGGACTGCCCTATGGAAACAAACAGCACTTATGATACAAAGCTGCAGTTCGTCGTGAAATTTTTTGCGCCAGGCATCATTTCGAAGGGAGACAGTCGCGGAGGCAGAGGCGCTGTCTGCGAGATCATTTCCAGCATCGCCTCCAGCTTCTGGATGTGAAATGAAAACAGCACGTACTATCACTATCGGTGTTTACTTACTTGTATCAAACTCTTATGCAAGCATCGGTATCCGTACTGTCGCGATTGCTATGATTTCGGTCGTGCGCTTTTAAAGATTTTTCGGTTTCGCAGAGAATTACTCGTCCTTCGTTCAATCATAGGTAATCGTCGGGTCCTGTACTACGATTGCGCGGCAAGCTAGAACAAGTTCGGTACGGTTGGATGGAGGTTTCGTGCTTGAAAAAGATCGTTCATCGCTTCGGATCTTCGTGCGTACCCGACTCCTTTTCAGGAGCCTATGCTCTGGTGCTCCGTCGTAGCTCGCTATGGAAATAGCTTTCCTGGTTTTGATAGGAGAGGAAAATAAAATCTTCGCAACAAATAAAACTCTTAACAAGTAGTACCCCATGCTTCTTCACACTCGTAGCTACGGTGGCTCTTTTTTCTGCACTTTTATTTGTGAAATAAACTAAGTGTAATTTTTCACTTCTCCACTAATCTTTTATTGCCAAAATAAATTTTGTTATACATTTTCATCAAACTCCCCAAGAACTACTACACATTTCATCTTGTACTAAACCCACCATCAACATGGCGCAGCCGCCACAGCCTTCCGGCGCTGCGCCGGAGCGGAACCAAAACGAGCCTTTGCTTTTGACGAAGCAGAACAAGGGCTTGCTGCGCGGGAACGGGTCGCACGTGTACCTGGCCAAACCCGGCACTACGACGGCCGGCCAGAATGGCAGCCTGCTGGCGGCCAACACGCGCACGGAGCAGCTGGGGATGTGCTGGTCGATCTTTATCACCATCCCGATCCTGATGCTGGGCTGATGCTGGCCGATCTTGGCCATTGGGGGGATCAACTTCCTGCTGAACTTTTTTGCCAACGTGACCAACCCCTGTTTTGGGTACCACGACCACCCCATCAACGGTTCCAACACGAAATTCATCGACCTGGAGCGGGCCACCTTCAACCACCTGACGCGAACCTCGAGCGTCGTCACCTGGGCGCTGAACATCACGGTGTATACCAATCTCATCCAGTGGATGTGGAGCAAGGTACTTTTGCTTTTAGTGAAGACGAAGACCGCTGCTATGGAAGAGGTCGAGGCATCATGCATGGTCCTCGGGCGGCCGTAAATTCATCATTGTGGAGGTCTCCGCCGATCGTATGAAATATTAATCCATGACAATTCTATATCTAAAAAAAAAACACCACCCAGGGCACTCCCGCCACCCCGAACCTGCCGAATCGTTTCGCGGGACCCTGCAAACTGCTGGCCTTCGGGATGATCATGATTCTCATCGAGAACACGCAGGCGCTCTGCTACGTTATCGGGTGGGACGTATCGCCCAGGTACAAACGAGGTTACTGCTTTATTGAAAACTTGTGAAGATGCAGATAACCACGCAGCACCCCCTTGCTAGTACACATGCAAGATATAATTTTTCTTAGCTGAGTCGATCAATCTTCACGAAATTATAGGTACGAGTCCGTTACTGACCCGGTGACGGGAGACTCGCACCGGGAGCGGACCGCCGCTTACTGGACCGTTGTGATCACGAGCTTTATCGGTATGGTGTCCGCCGTGTCCGCGTTTCTGTGGTACTTTCAACTGTCCCGCTACTACGCCACCAAAGACCGGCTCTATGGCGCCGGGGGCGGAACAAACACCCCGAAACAACACTCCTGGTCCTACACGGAAAATAGTAACTGCGACGACGTGGAAAGCGGTTCTTGTAACAGCGGTGGCAACAGGTCGGCGTCCGCGGGAACTTGCTCGTACGTCAACAACGTGAAGGTCTGACATTAAGCTTATGTATGGCACCTTCTTTTAATATTGTCCCAGCGCCAGCCTGTCAGTCGATACGAAAGAGGACCTAGTAGTACCTCGTTCCACTTTGCTACACGAGACTGTAACGAACAGGCAGGTTGTACTGGTACAGGAGGAGCCGCTGCGACAATCTGTTACTATTATTTCACCACCCACTCTACTCATATATAAATTCTGTGTTGCTTCTAGAGCCACAGCCACTACGCTGGTCAGTGACAGCTATATGTTCTTTATCTTTTGTGATGCTTTTCTCGCCTTGTTTTCTCGTCACAAGGCTTTGCAGAGCGGATTTATTGTGTACCTCATCGGCCTAGCTGCACACAGAACAACAACAAATAGTTATCCCGAAAAATAACGTGGTCCACAGTGGAAGTTTTTTTTTGCACTCAACGCCGCGAGCGGAGTAGGCAAAATTCCAAGAGAGAAACTCTGTACAGGAATTATCTGTAAAGTGGTATGTGCAGTGTGATTTTTGCGATTAGTAGGCGATTATAGCGATAGAATTTACTTGAGCAAGGTACTATGGTTTATTTCGTAGATCATCGAGCATTTTTGTTCTGCGACTATAAAAAATCCTGTGACTGGCGTCTCTGCGCTTGCACTTTTCAATGAAGCCTCTTTCTTCATGTTCGGGCTTTTTTTGAAAAGACAGCCGGCGTGCACTCAGACGGCCACGATTTTTTTTCACAAGTTTACCTCTGTAGTTTTTCTACAACGCATCAAACTGCTCACGTTTGCGGCACTTCCGGCACGGAGTTTCAGTGCTGTGCTTACCCTGTGGTCCACGTGGTTGATTTCGTACTTTTCGTATTATCCACCCTGCCCTCAAAGAAAATTCGAGACGAAATTGAGCCCTTCGAAGTGGAGGTAGATTTTCACTGGATTTATTCCTCTTCGAAGGTCAACTACATAAGTGAAGATTGTTATAGTGAATTCACTGGACGACGACACGACGACCAGGCGGATATTACCTTGTCTCTATTGCCAGATTTTAACAACATCAGTTGCCTTTCATTGTAAATAGACCCATATTTTACAGCACGTATTTCCTACTTTTGATCACTTCCTTGAAAAAATCAAACATCGTCAGGAGGCAAGGCGCGCATCGTACAAGCGTCGCAAATTAATATAGGACCCGCGCACGAGCAGCATTGTTTTCATACGTGTTCCTCGCACAACATCAAGAAGAACTCTTGCCTTTCGTATTGTGCAAAAGAAAAGTTGTCACGGCTGGAATCAAATCGTCTCGTCGTTCACGAAGTACATTCTCTATTCAGTCAGTTTTGGGATAAAGGTCGATCGAAATGGTCGCGGTCGCTATTCTCGTTTTCTCGTCGAGGAGGCCTCGGCAATCGTGTGTCGTTTCGTGATTTGAACTTCGACTGCTCTAGCGGATCTACTCACTTTTTGAAAGTAAAAATTGTCGCACTGCTGCCCTCCGCGCCAACTTACAAGTGCTCAGCTCGCTGCCGCTCGCAACAAAGCACAAGCCTCTGCCCCGCCTTTCCACCGGCGGAGAACAAGGCGCGCCATTTTTACTGCAGCCCATGGGAACAACGTGGTCGTCGCGCCCGCGAACTCGAAGCAGCTAGGCTATCGTCGTTCGGGTACTGGTGGTGGGAATAAAAGTACTTCAACTGCAATTGTTAAATTGCGAATGCACCTGGAAACCACCTAGTTGATTTTTAACGTCATGAAACACTTGAGAGCTACTCTAGTACTTGTGCCTAAAACGCGTAAAGATCAGTAGCGTTCTTGCATCTTCGGTATGATCATTCTATGTTGTGGTTCGGCTCGTGATAGAACTCCATTTATCAGTAGTGCATTTTTTTAAAAGGAAACGAAAAAAAAGTCGGAGTCAAGAATGGGCAACGGGTACGGCAGCGACTACTCGCAACCGCGGGGCCCCGGCGCACCGCCGCCGCCGCCGGTAGTCACGAATACGTTTGTGCTGCGCATATGCAATGCAAAAGTAGCATAGACTACCGATAATTTAGAATTTTCATTTTTTGCATTACACACACTTTCATTTTCTGCATGTCGATTGTATCCAGCCGCAGATACTAGCGACGGGGGACTGCTCCGACTGCGACGGAAGAAGTGTATTTTCACGTCTGTTATGCAAAACTTCTAGTATGTATGGCACTTTTGAAACAAGGAATTCCTACACCGTTGTACATTTTTCCATTTACATCGGCTCGCCTCGTCTATTTTTGCAGAGCATAGCGCAACGGACGCTACGAGAGCCAGGCGCTGATGCCCAACGCGTTTGACCGCGACGCCACGGGCTTCGAGGGCGGGTTTCCCGGGGCCAATGCGAGCCAGGCGCGGATGTGGCGGCCCCTGCACCCGCCGGACCTAAAGCAGACGAAGCTGATACAGTCGCCGTTGCATCTGCGGAGGGCGTTGTTAAAGGTAAGTAACGAGGAGGGGATCCTCTGGCTAGAGATCGGGTTTGATGCGTCCTGCCCCGTGGTATTGTCACTGAAAGTGGCAAAGGACAGCGAGGAAAAGTTTCCCTTTCCCGCAATAGAAGAAAAGAGAAAACGAGGGCTGAAGCAAACGGTAAGAAGAAGTTGCAAGTGACGTACGTATTTTTCTATGATTCGATGTGTGACAACACCCATGCGGAACTTTTATACGCATGACAGACTTTCTTGTCCTTGTCGAACCTTCTATCATTAAATGTTCTGTAGTTCCGCACTTCCCTCGGCGCGGCAGAAAGAGTCACAACAGACGGGATTCGTTTCGTTGTCGCTCTACGGCGGGACCTGAGTCTCTGCAAGCAGGCCTCGGTCATCAACGGGCAACGGTCGGAAATCAAGATTTGGAAAGACGCGGGGTCGGGCAACTTCAAGGTGGACCTGGACAAGCAGGCTTTGCAGTACGCACCGGACCTAGAGAACACGTATCAAGAAGGTTTTTCTCGTCCTCGTCTTCGCAAGATGAAAAAGAGTCTGGTTTCGCAAGGATGAAAACAAAGCGTTCATTTTCTCAATGGTGAAACTGCGTAATTATGTGATTGTGAAGAATTTTGTTGCTGCACCGATATCATTTTCATCCATCCCGATCTACAGGAACGACCTTCCCCCTGATATCGAGAAAGCTGACTGCTGGGACATGCAGGAGGTCTACGGTGTGAAGAACCACGACGCGGCTGAGGAGGCTGCCACGGGACCCAACGTGGCCTCGGCCGCTGATTACGACGAAGGTAACACCGAGTGCATCATCTGCATGTGTGAGCCGCGGGACACGCTCGTCCTGCCCTGCCGCCACATGGCCTTCTGCACCTACTGCGCGGGAATCATGCGACACCAGTGCGAACGGTGTCCGATTTGTCGACAGGCGGTCACGAGCTTGTTGCGATTTGAGAAGGACGAGGACGAGGAGTGCGACGAGGTGTTGAGCAACACTATTCTCAGTAAAAACGTCCCCACCTCCTGCTCCCCATAGTCCTGAAGATGATGATGCCGCTAGACATCAAATCAAGAAGCTTTAGGACTGTCTCATGACATGATCAAATTTGGAACAACTCTGTAGTTTAGTTGAAAATCAGCATGGTTGGGCTCGCTTGGCCGCATCACTAAGGCACATTAAGCTACTTCGGGTATAATAAACTCCAAAACGCGACTAGAAAATCAGAAACCGTCTCAACACGGAGAGCTGGAAGAAAAACATCCTGAGCATGCGTATTTGCATGACAGGAAATCTATGGCGGGGACGTTTTTACACAGGAGAAATGCGGCGGGGCCTGTCTTGGGGAAGTTGCCCGTAGGGAGCAGCAGTTCCAGTAATGTGGAGAAGGGGTCTACCGGTACGGTGACGCAGACCACGACCGGGCTGCTGCCGTTGAATTAAAATTGTTTTTATTGTTTCGTAGTCGCTACTTCGAAAGTGTCATCGGCGTGCTATAGAAGCTACTTCGAAAGTTAGATCGTAGAGCGCTGCGGCGCTTGACCCGATTGTATGAAATTTGTATGAATGTATGGCAAGAAGTCTAAGGAAATCACCACTACATTGTACAAAGTACTCATTTGTATTTGTCGTAATGCTGTATTAATGTCGTCCCTCTACTTGTATTCTTCCGATCTGTACGTGTACTCACTGTAAAATCATTGTACAAATCAAGCCGTAAAACTTCTACTACCCAGTATCCATCTGTGCGCGACTTTTGTTCGTTTGGCCTCGTCTCACTAACGAAGGAAATCCAGAAGAAGTCTCACATCAAAGCAACTTACTAACCACCCGCGTGCTGGATCTGACTTCAGATCATGAGCGGGGGTTCTCGGATGTAGTTCCAGGGGCTCTGTTTTCGAGCCTTGCCAGGAATTGTTCTTCCGGGCTCTTGCCCAGCTAGTGTTTTTTTGGCTACGGTGGACACTACTCGTAAAAATCCCTGAGTGACAACATCTTTGCCATTTTAGAGATCGGTTCTTTTTTTCTGATTGCTTTCGTCTCGTGCACCAGATGAGTATAAGTCATTTATGAGATGTAGGGCTAAGGTCCTCCATCTTCGAGTTCAAACGTCCAACCCCGAAAAGAGAAATTATCAATTCGTGCACCTACGTGAAGAAGCCTTGCGTTTTTTTTCTCGCTTCGTCGACGTACGTACAATTTACGGAGGAACAGAGCCTTCGTTTCGTTCGAATGCACGGGGGTCGTTTTTTAGTGGTCGTTCTCCTCGTAATTTCTCCTCGTAATTTCGATGAATCGGGGAAGATTCATCGAAATAGCTTACAATCTTCAAAAAAACCCGAAAATCACAGACTCAGATTGCATTCGCCACTTGGAAGATTTCTCCTCGCAGAGAATCTTCTTTTTAGCGTGTAGAAAGTCGTCGTGTCTTCGGATACAACAAAAGAACAACCCGCAGAAACTTCCTAGATAAAGTAAAACAAAAATCACACCCAAGCAGACTCTTTTTTTTTCCGAGTTTATTCGGGAGGACTAGAAGTGGTTTTGTTTCACAACAATCAAACCAACAAAAAAAATGGATATCGTTGTTTGCGATGCGGGAAACCTCCCGGAGAAGACCTACGTCTCCATCCGTATTGGGGAGACCCGGAGGCAAGGGCCCTACAAACAGGACGAGACCTTCCACTTCTCCAACAGTCAGCATGCCACGATGAAGGTCGACCTCTTCCAGTACCTGGGCGGCGCCAGCGTCGGAATGTATCATTTTTCGTCACTCAACTTACATAAAGTGAAAAGTTCTGTCGTGCTGCGAAGCAAGTATGATGCCGGCGTGAGTAGTAGAACTTTGTCATGCGGTGCGTGCACCATTTGATTGTAGTAAAATGTGTAATTATTGTTCGAAAGTTGCAATCACAAAACAGGTACAAGCTGAAGAATGACGCCGAGCACATTGAGGAGATTAACGTGAACGGTATGCAGCTGAAGTGCAAGTGCGTGTACCCGGAGGACTCCCCGCAATCCAAGAAGCGCCAGTCGCGCCACGAGGTCACCTTGAAGGCCACCAAGTACCTGGATGAGCACAGTGTGCAGGCGACCCTGCAGAGCATGATCCGCGGCCTGCTGGAGAAACAGTAGGAGATAAATATTTCTTGTCTATAAATGTTCATCGAAAATTTGTTGTTTTTGCTTCACTGTGGTGTTTTTTTGCAGCAAAACCACAACGTGGTCGTCCCTAGATAGGAAGCAGCAAGGTCGGGTCTTGCGTTTGCGTTCTGTCTTGTGCATAGGGTTCTTGTAGCTGTGTAATGAGTTTGACAACTACAATCTAAACAGGCCGGAGGACGCGTTGGGCTACATGGTGCAGTACATCGAGGATCAGCGGGGCGTGAAGCGCGTCTATCCTGTGTAAAAACGTCCCCACCCCAGGGTTGTCATGCAAATCTGCTTGCTTAAAATGTTTCTCCTGCGGAGCCCCATGAGAAGCATTTTCTAGTCGTGTGTTGGAATCTGTGATGCTCTAACCAGCATGATGTGCTCTACCTGTGATGCTGCTGGACTCCCTAAATAGCACGATGCTACAAGGCCCAAACTTGTCATGTGCAGCAATCAGAGCTGGCTGATTTGTCTAGCAGATTGCCCATCTTGACTATGGGGTGGGGATGTTTTGGCATAGGATAGCGGCTTGGCCAGCACCAAGGAGGCGGATGCCACCCCATCGACCAAGGCCGACGAGACCTCGCCAAAGGCGGTTGTGGACGAGGAAGTCGCAGCTCCGGCGGCCGTGGAGGCGCCAGCTGCGCCGGCTGCGGTTGAGGAAGAGGCCCCGGTCGCGGAGGAAACCACGGAAACCCCGGCTGCGGCGGAAGAAGCTGCTCCGGCCGCTGCGGTCGAGGAAGCTGCGCCGGCGGCGGCGGAGGAAGTTGCTGCCCCGGCTGCTGCCGAGGAGGAGACGCCAGCTGCTGCGGAGGAGGCCCCAGCTGCTGCCGAGGAAACAACACCGGCTGCTGCGGAGGAAGCTGCTGCCCCGGCTGCTGCGGAAGAAGCACCGGCTGCTGCTGAGGAAACACCGGCTGCTGCGGAAGAAGCACCGGCTGCTGCTGAGGAAACACCGGCTGCTGCTGAGGAAGCACCGGCTGCTGCGGAGGAAGCACCGGCGGCTGCGGAAGAAACACCGGCTGCTGCGGAAGAGACCCCAGCTGCTGCGGAGGAAGCTGCCCCGGCTGCTGCTGAGGAAGCCCCGGCTGCTGCGGAAGAGACCCCAGCTGCTGCGGAGGAAGCACCGGCTGCTGCTGAGGAAGCTGCCCCGGCTGCTGTTGAGGAAGCTGCCCCGGCTGCTGCTGAGGAAGCTGCCCCGGTTGTGGCGGAGGAGACCCCAGCTGCCGCGGAGGAGACCCCAGCTGCTGCGGAAGAGGCGCCGGCCGCTGCGGAGGAAGCTGCTGCCCCGGCTGCTGAGGAGACCCCGGCTGCTGCGGAAGAGGCACCGGCCGCGGCTGAAGAGACCCCGGCTGCTGCGGAGGAAGCACCGGCTGCGGTAGAGGAGGAAGCTGCTCCGGCTGCCACGGAAGAGGCCGCTCCGGCTGCCACGGAAGAGGCCGCTGCTGCCGTTGAGGAGGCTGCTGCGTGAGCAGGGGGTAAGCATAGCTTAGAAGGATTGTTACAGTGATTGGTGCTTGTCACGAGCAGGACTTGTCACAATCAGTAATATTCAACATCCGGGAAATTATTTATATTAAGCAGCGAGAAAACCATTTTTACCAATTTGCAAATCAGACAAAATTTTTCTGCGAGGAAGAGAATATACGTTTTTTACGGTAGCAGAACAAAGTATATGATAAAGTCACAATATCCTTCGAGTAACAATAAACCTGTACATTTTATTTGTCCAATTTCAATTTCACAATGTCATTCTGTTTTCCTATAATTCTAACACAAATTTTTCTTCTTTCTTGTACACTTCAATTCTTACACTAACAGTTCTATCCAGAAGTACCACCGCCCGAAATAGTTGCCACACAACAAAAATCGATGCACTACACTCGACCTCTATTGCTCCAGAAACACGATCGTTCGTCGCGTGGAAGTTTTGCCCCTTCTCACGTTTCGCTCGATAAAATTTTTGTAGCTATAGGTACAACAAGAATGCCTGATGTGAATCGTTGCAGAGGCGACGCCGCTGCATACTCCTGCACATATGAACAAGAAGAGGGCGACATGCTAGTATCCCTGTGGTCCTAATCGCAACGTGAAGACATCGGCATGACATTAATTTTCCTCAGTTTCAGCAACTTCCGAACATCGTGCACGGAAGATAGGAGAGCGCCCTTCTGTGTATGAAGTTTGGAGTTTACGAAACTGCAAATTTGTCTTTTTCGTCGACGTAGCTGTAGTACCATAGCAATTTACAAAAACCGTCTACCCTACCTCGCAACCTCCGCAAATCTTTTTTTGCAGAACTTGTTGCATAATTATACTCCTAGAAGCACCTGTGCCTGTCCCCTAGGTCGGTTTTATCCAGAGCCGCCTGTCCCCACCTCTAGAAGTAGTACAAGCCTTGTGCAAAATTGTTGGACCACCACCTTCCGTTGTCCCCCAACAGATGCACAGTGCATGTCATGGGATTATTTTCGAACTACGGTAGTTGTACACATGATCCTCCACACTACATGGAAACGCAAACGAGCGTGTAGCAAATCATAGTAGGTCCTCCCTGTTCTGAAAGATGATTTTTCCAGTGCTGCGCTTCCTTCACTCTGATGGGGATCGGATGCATATGCAAAAGCGATCCAGAAAAAATGTTGATCCGTGCACAAATAATAAATTGGAGAAGCAGCAGCTTTGGTGCGGCGCATCATGATAGATCAGAAGTACTCGCGAACTGCAATGATCAAAGAGAAAGATCCAATGACAGATCGAGTTGCAGAGGCAACATAATTTATACCCTTCCAGAACTGTGAAAAGAGAAGGAGTCTATGTTTGGCAGATCTGTGTTGAATTAGAAGAGGAATACTACATTTCCTCGCGGAAGAATTCTAAATTGTAAGAATTACTGTTGGCTCCGGGTAGTTGCAGTATGCAAATGTTTCAAGAAGAAGAAGTCGATCCATTTGTTGGCGTTCCCTGAAATCTACTAGCTTGAAGGTTTTGCTTACATTTTCCCCTCTTCTGCAGTGAGAAGTCATGATGTTGTTGCACGGAACTAGGCAGTATTGATTCGCTTATCGAGGAAATACACGGTACACATTTATTTTTACTTCTGCACAAACGCGCGCTCTTGTACTTCTCGTCCATACCGTCGGCGTTGCGCTAGAAATTAACGAGAATCGACACTTCGAAATTCAAAGGACCACGTTGGCATCGCTTTCCCTAGTAGTCGTTGAAAGAATATTAATTCTCCACCATGTTTACCCTCCGCGAGCTAATTGTCAGCAACTCTGCTGAGGGCAACGCCGACGCGGGAGAACAAGCCGTGCCCCTCCCAGCAGCAGCAGGCTCCTATGCGGTGTTGGCGGGGACGTCAACCACAAAATTTGTCTGGTATGCGGACCAGAAACTGGTGTTTTTCGACGCAAAGGAAGCTGCTGGTGTCGTGCGCCAGAGTGGAGGACAGGCAGCCGGAAGTGGTCAACATCTCGGCATTACTACACTGCCGTATTTGCAGCCGTGTCAACGCATTCTGTACTGCTCGCCAGTGAACCAGTCGAAAAAAGCCGGGATTCAGGTAAACTTTTGTATAGTAGAGTTTGATATAATTGAAATTGTGTCTGGACGATTCCTTTCTGCGCTGCCTGCTACAACTTTTTGGGCTTTTAATCTTTGTTTTACCCGTTTTGATGCATGCGTGCTTCACGGCCTAAAACAAGTCGCACTCTGTCCATAAAAATCGGCTGTTGACTTCAAAAAAAACCACTTCGAAATAAACAAAAAACAGCTGCACCTCCTGGAAAATGCCCGGACCGTGGTCCACCTCCTGCTTCGCAGCAACTTTTCCCAAGTGCTCGAGGTGAAAAGGACGGCTTTAACGGGAACCTTCGCGGCGATGGATGGCAGTTTACTTCTGACGCAAGATTTCAACCTGTACGATTTGAATTCCGTGGTCTACTTCTCGACGACGACGTCCACTCCTTCTAGTGAGGACATCGTTTCCACCACGACTTCCAGCGGCAGTCTTATGCGTGCGGATGACGTTCTTGCGAGTTCAGGCGGTGACGATAATCTTCCCACCGCCGCCTGCAGGAAGTGCTGCCTGCGGGAGCTGATGTGGGGCGAGGGCTCCATAGAAGCGGATGTTGAACAGCAGGAGCAAGAGAGCAGCGATGAATTAGTATCTTCCACCAGGCTGTTCCTCTCTACACTGAATTACAACTATGCGGAGGACGAGAATGCTTCTACCACAAGTGGACTAGGCTCCTTGTCCACTACAGCGACAATTCTCACGGTCGCCCGCCACACCGCTTTTTGTGTTTCCGTGGACTTTTCGACTGGAAAAGCGGTGTTGCTGGAGGAGAAACGCCTGCCGGAAAACTGCAGCACTTCCGAGCTGCTGTTCCAGGAACACAGTCGTTTAGGCGGTAGTTCTACTTGTGCAGGAGCTGGTACTTCTCGGGGTTCTTTGTGCTTTGCCGCAGCAGAGGACGAGCAGAGGAGATCATTAGTAAACGGAATATCAAACGAGAAAGACGGAAAGAGCGGAACAACTGCAGACAAGACAGCTATGAAAAAGATCATAGCTGCGGACAGAAAAACGACGACGACGACGAGGCCAGCGTATTTAGTGCGGGCCGACTCGAGCTGCAGTACGAATTCCAGTGCAAGGACGACGCAAGGTCTGCGTCACGCCAGCGTGACACCAAGAAAGATGATCTCGGTGCAGCAACTGACGGTTTCTGAGAGTGCAGAAGCAACAGGTTCAAGCAGAAAGGTCCTCTTCGCCCCGTTCGCTGTGAACAACAAGTCTTTATTGAGAGCAGCGACACCAGAACAAGCAGCTGCTTCTCAAAACTTGCTTGTGGAGATCATTGCGTCCTCAAACGGAGTCGTCGAAACAGCAGCTGTTCCTACGTCGACAACAACGAGCAGCCCACGACCTCCCAGTCAGGATGTAGATCTGCAGGTCGTGGACGAACATCCTCAGCACCACCTCCCAGTCGAAATCTGCGTCCGCAACCCCGCGGTACAGGGGCTGTGCATGTGGCGCAGCAGCAGCAGCATTCTTGATTCATCGAACAAGATGAACTTTACCGCGGTGATGCACTCTGCAGACTGCATCCTTCTGCTCGCTGAAGACGCGTTATCATCCTCTTCGGCCACAACAACAACTACAAGTCGACGACTCTTCCAACTGGTTGCCAACGTCGACGGCTCGTCCTCTTTGTCCGCCTTACACGCCACGACCTCCGCAGTGCCTTCTCTGCAGAGCTGCGGGTTGCTCAGCGCGCTGATTGGACGGGCGACGGGGAGTTCTTCTGCAGGAGCTACTTCGGGGATGAAAAGACCAGTGTCTTGTTCGGAGGGTGGAGCAGCGGAGGTACTAGAGAGTTGTTTTTTCATAGTTTCGAAAGTTGTTGTTCGGGCCTTTTCTCTATTCTGAGGTGTTGAAAAATCAAAATCTAAGTCAGTATATGCGTGCATTGATTACGTCGAAATTTTCAATATCCGATTCTTGGAAATGACTATCACAGGCGCGACGACCCGCCGATGTTAACCCAGAGTTGAAAAAGCGGAGGAAGTTGACCACGGAGCAGGAAGTCCTTTTGCTCACGAAAAATCTCTTCAACAAGGGGAGCCGCCGAATCGCGGAGAGAAAAGCTGTGGAAATCGTGTTGAAAAACAAAAAGTTGTTTCCAAAATTCGTGGAAACCTACGTCTATAACGCCGACAATTTGATCCAAAGCCTGCGAACGCAGCTCTCCGCGGAGGTCGCGAAAGTGTGGCTGAAAACGCTGATCAGTTACCTGAAATACCACGAGCTCTTGCTTGTGCCCAAGAAAGTGGGCGGGAGTGGCGTTGTTGGTTGTACTTCTGGCAATAGTATTACCTCTTCTCGTGCACAACAAGGAGCTGCAGCAGCAGGAGGAGCCGAAGGGGCCGCGCCGGGATCCAGTACAACTTCCAACGAGGAACATCTTCAAGATGAAAAAAACAAAAGCGCCGGCGAAAATAAAATCGACATGGTCCCAGCAGTGACGGCCACGGGCAGTGTGCGGCACTTTCTGGGCACTATTCCCTCGATCGAGAAGAGCGCCAAAATGCTGGAGCTGTTGCTGGACGCGAAGTTCATTGAGTTTGCGTACTTCAGCCCGATCGACCGGGAAGATTTGCTCACGTTGCAGAAGTTCATGCAGAAGAAGCAGAAGCAGCAGAAGCAAATCCGCCACATGCTGCCGTTCGTGAAGAACATTGTGGAGCAGCAGACGGCGAAACTGGCTGAGAGGACCATGGAAGCGGGCGGCGGCAGTGGACAGAATTCGCTCGTCGGGGATTCCTACCGGGTGAGCGCCTTCGAAAACCGGGGGAGGAACCTGTGCGAGTTGTTCTGTCTGGATCTGTGATTGCTACAAGATGAATTTCCGCTGCCACGAACAGGAATTTTGATCTTCGAGAAAGGATCTCGCTGAGCAGCTTCTCGCAAAGAAGCTTGGAGAAGAGTTTATGCTGTATGCGGAAGGTAGAAATAGATGTCCGTCGTGCATAATGATCTTCGTCACGCGAGTACTTCGAAAAGGCAAGCAACGAACATAATGCACGACAAGAGGCACAAGCACAACTCAACTGCGTCTGTGCCTGTGGTTTGTTTCAGAATTATTTCTACGTGATCTTCGCGCGCCATCGAGATTAGAGCAGTTCAAACTCCGCGAAAAAAATTGAAGGCAAAACCTCTTGCTATGACTTGCAGCAAGATGTTGACTAGGTTGTTCGTTTTTTTAACTCAGCATCGAATCTCAAAGACCCAGAACGAATTCAAAGGCGTACAATTCGTGCTTCGTTCTCGTGCTATTGCTGTCTCTGTTGCTGCGTTGTCGACATGAGTCAGAAACTCGGTTGTACACTTGAGCTGCAGAAAGTAGAGCAACTCTGTCGGTAGTTCGCTTTGATTTTGCTCGTTGTCATCGTACAAGAGGAACAAGTGTCGGTTTCGCTCGTGCGTGGTTTTCGTCGGTGAAAAATTTCTGCCTGTGGAATGCTTCGCCTTTGTCGTGGTTTTTTGTCTCATTTTTCGCGTCCAACAGTAGAATTTCTATCGGTCATTGCGTCTGTTCGTTTCAGAACTGCAACTCGGACTTTTCGTGCAGCCTCATCGCTTTCGTTCACACCACCACTTCGTAACTCTCCGTTGTAGCTCGTGCATTTCTTTTGCTAGCTTGTGATTCTACAACTGCCGACTACTTATGTATGCCCTTTCCAATTTTCCTCGCCAAAAAAATCGCAGGGCTTTATGCTCGCCCCCTTCCCCAGCTATCTAGTCACCCCCCATGACATCATGAAACACAACTACACTAGCCGACAAAATGAACCCCATAGCATTGTCGTGCGTCAGAAATTAACCCTGTAGTATGTTTGTAAATTAACCCCACCACATGAAGCCTTTACAACAAAATAATCCGGCCACTATGGGGCTCGTGTCAGCGTTATTTCTAACGGCATGCGACAATAATTTTTACACCAACCATAGCTATGGTCGTGGGCCTCCGGATTGATGAAATTAAGGCACGACGAATTTACAACCACTTTTCACAAGCATTAGCATTATCCCCCTTCAATCATCATTTTTAGAAAAATTAAATCTTATCCCAAAATGAAAATGAAACATTTACTCCTCTGCTATTATTGTGGCCGATCAGGATCTGCAAACGCGACTTAACGTGATATAATTTCACAAGAAAAAGTAGTATCGCAGCCCGCTGTCGTGCCAGCCGCAGCCCTCCTGTAAAGTTCAGCCGCGCGGAACAGCCGATGTTAGAAGTTCCAAAAATTGTTTTGCGAGAAAAAGCACGGCGAAGAACTGCGACACCATCTGGCCTGATGGGACGAAGTAGCTGCTCCTGCGAGATGATGCAGAGGCCTGGCGATAGAAGCAACGGTCTTCTCGCTAGAAGCGAGGAGCTGCAGGAGAGAAGGCGCTGGAAGGAAAGCTACAGGCGTCCACATACGAGAAGAAGGGCAAGGGCTCCGAGTTCTACAACTTGCAGGAGAATAAAAGTTGCGGGTTGCAGGAACACGTCGCAGCAGGCAGCGAGGACATCGAGGCCTTCATCGAAGTCACAACAAGCCTCTCCTCCAGCACCACACCTCGAGCGTGGCCTCGCAGTAGAGAACGATAGTAGAAAAGCCTTGCAGTGTGGTTGGTGGGTTTCATTTCCCACTCTCGCCGCTATGCTGCTCCGCCTGCTTAGAAGCTGTTCCGCAACTACTTCTAGAACACCTTCCACGAGGTTCACACCTTGTTCCACGAGGTTCTTCACCTCTGGAAGGTGCTCTCGTGTTTCCGAGCTTGTCGCAGTTCTCCTATTGCCGTTGTTCTTCGTGCTACGAGAACATCACGACCCGAGTCTAGTTGAACAAGGTCACCCTCCACACCCCGTATTCAAGGGAGTTCTCGTCTCTGGTCTCGAGTTCCGAACGGTGGGGCGGAGGAAAAAAGGCCGGGAGAACAAAATACTCGGGAAAAGGACTGCGTCGATTATGAGGAAGAAGGTAGACCACGCGGACAACTACAACATCAGTGTGGACCACGACCAGCAGCAGCATGACAAAATATCGTCAACAAAGCTGGACAACAAAGACCACGCTAGTGGTCCTTCATCTTCGATGTTGGCCACAAGTTCGACGACGTCCACTGCCCTCGCAGCAAGAAGGTCTAGTACAGCTACGTCTTCCGCTGTTCTTGAGAGTAGGAGAAATAGTAGTCCGACAAGTGGTAAAATACCACCAGTACAACTACCTGGAGAGCCCCCTCCACCGGGCAGCGTGGCGCCGGAGCCGCCAGATGGAAAGTTTTATCCACGGACGAGCCAACATGATGCTCATCCTCCGTCACAGCAGGAGGTAGTAGAACATCAACACGACCTGCAGCCCCCCGGAAGTACGACTGAGTTCATCTCAACGTCTGCTCACCTCACGCACGACCGACAGCGGCCGGCGCGGGGTACTACTTCTAATATAGGGCAAGAAGAACTACAGCAGGGAGATGTTATTTCTACGATGCAGCGGTTCGTCGTGCCTGGGCCGTCGGAGGGAGAAGGACCACCCGACGGCACTTCTTCTTCTGCTTCTGCTGTGCTGGAAGTGAAAAGAACAAGAACTACTCGACGAAGTGTACTACGGCCAGAAATAAAGGTGGAACAAGCAGGAGGACAAGCTCTACGACCTCCTGCTCTTGTTCCACCAAAAAGACCGCCGGAAAGAAAACCGCACGGGACAACACGAGCGATAGCAAAGCAACTGCACCAGGGCCACGAGGATGTTGATGAACAGGCTCCACTACTCGTTCCAGGGGATCAACCTGAAGATGCTAGTCGTGCAGCGGTGCCCTTCATGTCAGAGGCAGTAGATGAAGGTGTATCTTCAGTCGACCTTGTGCAGCGCCCAGGAGAAGGCGGATATGTTGCTGGAATACTAGCATCACGCCGTCCTGCAAGCGTAATATCGGTAGTGGAGAAACAAGCGGAGAGTAGGAGACACAAAAATTATAGGTTTCTCGGCCATCCTCAAGGTCAAGACCCTCAAAAGGATTCAGTCTTCGAAATGGGAACCAGCAGAAATGGGGTGATGTTGAAAATACCTAAGAACAACACTTTCACGTCGACAAATAGAACAGCCGGAAAAATAGCAGAGCTGCACCAGAGTCTCTCAGTGGTGGAGCGACACAACCAGCACTTGGGGGGAAGAAGAGCAGCATCAAACCACGAGGTGGCCTCGTGGTTGTCCGTTGAAGATGGTGGTTCGATCGACTTTCAGCAGTTGTTCGGGGACACGCTGCCGCGTCACATGACCTGGGAGCACTTGTTTTCAAATCCAGCGGCGAAGACGGTCCAGGGACAGCCGACGGGGCTGCTGACGCGTTACTTTCAAGCGCCTCAAGGTAATAACGAACTCGACGTGTCGAATGAGGCGGTGGCGGCCATAATTCAGCAGTACGGGCAAACGTTGTGCTCGACGCTTTCGTTCAATTCCATGCTCGCGGCGAGCTCCCTGCACAAGTCGCCCCCACACGGGGACGGCGGAAAAGCGTATCAGTGCAACGATGACGGCTTGCGTTCGGTGTTTTATCCCAATGGAGTAGGAAGGGAGTGGAGCAAGATGTACGGGGCTCCGGACGATGCGATTGGTTATGATCATCAGGGAACAACGCTGCTGGGCCGGTGGCAGCTGCTCGTCACCCAATACGGAGAACACGTGGCCGATTCGTGGTTTGATGGCAGTGACCAAATTTGTGAACGAGATTGTAGCCTGTTGTCCACGGCGACAACTGCCATAAGCGCGGCGCCCCGCGTAATCACCGAGGCCGCGCTGGTGAACATTGTGCTCCGCTGCGTGCAGATGGATTTCGGGCGTACTATGTGGGCGAACGGGAAGGACGTTGCTAATGACGGGACAAACGGCGCCATAATGTATGCCACGGCTGCGAAACCCGATCCCTCATATGGAGAGGACCAGATGTTCCACTACCCATGGCTCGAGCCAATGGGGGACCAGGGTAACCCCGAGTACGACTACGCGCTGGTGTACAACATTACGCAGACCAGTTGCAAGACGCTGCCCGGGTGGTTGTCGCACGAGGAGCTGGCAGCGCGCATTCAGGGCTACCTCGCGGGCGTGTGCATGACGTCTTCGGTGAACGATTGCACATCTGCGGGCGTGCGGCCGCGCGTCTTCCCACGGGACGTGGCTAAGGACGCAGAGCTCCCGGGAGGTGGAAAGTGGTTTACGAGTGGCGCGGTGTGCGAAACAGCCAGCAACAATGCTGCAGCCTACGATACAATGAAACAAGCGATGCGACTCGACCTGCAGTCGCCGGACGGGGGTGGCATTATGTATTTTACGAAGCCCGCGTATCCGGGCCTGCTCGCGGGGGAGGACCCGGAGGCCACGAGTTGGCGATCCACGTGCATTCCCAGCACGGCAGATGACAAAGAATTGGCTGCAGACAATCTTGAAGGCCTGATCGAGCTGCACAACATCTATAACCGGCTCCAGGAGTATTGCAAGCTCGTGATGCTATACGACGGGAATGCCGACGATCTGCTGTATAAGGCCCAACTGTTTGTCGTGTACGGAAAGGTAGAACCGGGTGAAAGCGCGGGTGAAAACTCGGCCCCGCACAACGCAGCCGAGACCGCTTTCGCTTACCACGAGCACCGGAAGAACGGATGTAGGGCGCTGCTCTACATGGACCGGGCAGAGCCCGTGCGCCACACGGACGGCAGCGTGCGCACGTCAAAGGGGGTCACGGGCGTGATGGACTCGTGGCAGCAGCCGAAGGGCTACGTGATTCCGGGGGACAACCCGGAGGGGCACGGGCTGTGGGAGGGCCACTTCCTGTACGCAGGTCTAGACTACGCGGAGGAGTTTACAGAACTGTCCCTCGGGGGGCCCGGAGGCGGGGACGGAAGCAGCGGAGATGCAACATCGACCGGCGCCAACAGCACGGATGCGGGTGACGCGGGGAGTACCACACCCGCGCCTGCGCCGTCCTCAAGCACGGACGCCGCGGGTGGGGAAGGTGACGCCGGACCCACGACTCCTACACCAGCGGCACAGGGGGAAACCGGTGGCGACGGGTCGACCGGGGACAGTGGTGGGAGCGCGGAGGGGGATGAAGGCAACAAGACGATATCCCACAGAAAAGTAAAACCCAAATAATTGCCAGGAGAAAAGCATCAAATTTGTCTTGCGGTTTTTAGGTGCAGTTCACAATGACAATTCACACGCACATCAAGGTGGTCTGTTCAGCATTGATATTATGGCAAAGTTCTTTTTCGCTATTGGTGCTCCATAGTGTCGCTAGACCGTTTGATAATTAGAAATGGCACTGTGTCGATGTGACAGAAAGCCACCTCTCCTGTGCTAAGTACCTCCGCTTTGTTACAGGGCTACTTGCCGTGGTGCCAATCCCAACTCAATAGCAACACAAATATATTAGTATACCTTTTCTCTCTGGTACTATGGGTGTGGTTTTCTGCGTGATAGAATTCTGAAACGGAGGACGGCAGCGGCGACGAAGAAGGAAGCAACAACGGCCTCTTGTTCGCCTCGCTGGGCATCATCACCGTGGGAGTTTTGATCGCGGTTCTTGGGGTCTTCTGCACGTGCGACGACGACGACAAGGACAAGAAGGATAAAAAGAAAGACAAAGAGAAAGACACAGACGCGAGCAAACGGTCCAAGGAAAACAAGGACAACCGGAAGAAGAAACAAGTCACTAGCTCCTCGAGTAGCAGCAGTAGCGACGGCAGGAATAGGAGTAAGGGAAAAGATAAGGCTAGCTCCCGCGATCGGGATCGACGCGAGAAAGACCGGGCGAAGGAAAAGGCGGAGCGGGACAAACAGGAGCGCGAAAAGCTGAATCAGCGCGTGAAGCAGATTCAGGCGATGACTAAGGGCGGCAAGCGGAGTTCCAGCAGTAGCTCGGAAGACCGACGGAAGAAGAAGAAGGATAAGGAGGATACTCCTTCGAAGTCGAAGGCGAGCTCCAGCATGAGCAAGAAGAAAGACAAAAACAAGTCCTCTTCCAGTAGGTCCGCGGGGCTGTTTATCGAAGGAAAAAACTGTGTTAGTGTAGGTCTCTTGGGAAAACAGCATGACAAGTTTGTCTGCCATGACAGGAAAACCTTGTCATGCGCAGATAGGACGGGAAAACACGGAGGAAGCGAGCCCACCATGCATGTGGAGCATGACAAGCGTAACTGTTTTGCATTTTCTGCATCGCAGACTTACACTTACACAGTTTTTTTCTTGCATACTGTTGGCGCAGCACCGCGAGAAGGATGTAGACCCCGACGACAAGCCAATTAACAACCCGATCCCGCGCAACCGCAGCAAGTACGGGAAGCACGCGATCGTCAACGTGTTCACCGCATCCGGAGCCGACGCCGACGTGCCAGTCACGCCCTTCACCCAGCCACGGGGCTCCATGCTCGCCGACGCCGCGCGCGCCGAGTTCCAGGCCAACCGGGCCTCGATGCGCCCGAGCGGCTTTGCCGCCCTCGTCGCGTCCCGGGACATTAACAAGCGGTCCGGGGGAGGTGGGGATAAGAATAAGGAAAGTGATAAGGTGCAAAGGGGCTTTTCCCGCGAAAAGCTCGCGAAAGACCAAAAGTCATCGAAAGGAAAGAAAAATAGGCGCGGCGACGACGACTGACAATAGCGAGAAAGGTCGTCGAAGTTGTCGGCGGCCGAGTCAGATAGAAATTTTCTTGCATCAGTACTTTATTTTCGCATTTAGAAGGTTTATTTCGCACAATTTTTTTACAATATAGGATTTACCAATAATTTAGGCAAGAGAAATCTTCGTGTACAATATCTGTAGAAGAAGTACAAACAGCGTACGACGTCCCATGGTAATTTTAAAAAGATAAAAGAATCAATCTATCTAACTGTTCTGCTCTCGAGAAAAAAAAAAAGTGCCGTTGCTGGGTCTTTCTTCCCGTTTGAAGCGAGATGCTCGCGGTCCACCTGACGCTGCAGCTGTTCTTCTATGGGGTCGTCTTTTTTTTTTTTCGAAGGAGAGAAAAAAAATGAAAAACAGCGCAGTTAAAAACGCTTTCACATCGAGAGAGTCGTTGGAAATCAGCGAGCAGTTTCTCTTTGACTACTCTGAGAGTGCTGCTGCAAAAATTTTTGACGAGTCGTGAAAAGATGTCAATGTTGCTCAAACTTGCCGAAGGTTCTTGGCGTGGTTTCGCCACATGCAAGAAGAGCGATAAGCAAAACGGAGATATTAAAAAAGGATCAGGCGGATAAGGATTTTTTCCGTAGCTGTTGTAACATGAAAAGGGAACAACAACCATAGGAAGCGGAGCAGTAGATCTGAGCGATTTGAAAAAACAAGAACCTCGGAGAAAAGAACCCCTGTGGCGTGTCGTCTGTCGTCGGGTGAGTAAATCATTCGTCGCGTCCTCGCGCGCTCTCTACTTCATCTACGCACGTGCTGGACGGGCGAAGCGAATAAGAACGAAGCCGACCGTTTTCGTCAAGGATCAGCATGCCGTCGTTCTACAATAAAAACGACTGGGACGAGAGCCACGCGTCGCTCGGGTACTCGGATCGCAACGGCCAGGGCCGCAGTCTGAAGGAGCGCGACTACTTTGACCCCGCGATAGCGGCGCGGCACAAAACCGGAATCGACTACCAAGACAAGACCGGTGTACGCTTCTCGGAGAAGCGCCGCTCGACCCGGCATTTCTCGGTAGACGAGCACCTGCAAGCGAAGACGAGCCGCCCCAAATCCCGACAGCACGCAGAGATGTAGAAAATAGAAAATTGATGGGAGAAGAACATATGTTTCATGGATTTTTGTGAAGGTCATGGTCTTGTATAATTTGTTGTGCTTGCTAGTAAGTTGTCCCTGATCTTCGAATCTTTACCTCCACAGGTCCTGGGACGGCCGGTGGCATATCAAATGCAAATATGTAGTCTGGGTCTGGAAGGATTCGAACTTGTGATGCTTGTTGCGGATTCTACAAAGCTCTGTGATGCATAACGTGCAAAAGGTGCCCACTTCTGGCCATGCTGAGAGGGCATTTCTCATGCAGAATACACATCACCAAGGACCTGCAGAACCTGTGATGCTAGGCCCTGCATTCCAGACGTGGGGGAGCTTGGAAAAACTGCATGACAAATCTCGGAATATCCCAGACCCAGACACTTTTACATTTGATATGGCACGTGTTTGGGCAAATGGCGAACTCCGACAACAGAAATCTGAATCCGAACTGCTATTGACAGGAAAAGTCCCCCCTCCCCATATTGAAAAGGTATGTTTCCGAAAATTTGTGTTGCTGATTTGTGACCACAAATCAGGTTTGTCTTTCAAGAAGACAAGTGCAGAGGCATCCGACCAATTGCGGAAGCGATTTGTCATGCTGCTGGTCCTAGAGGGTAGCCGTTTGCAATGCTGAACAACTAGACCCAAACGCTCCTACCTAGGCTGCGGATCTGGCCGCAGTGCCTTACTGCAAGACAAGTCGGATCTGTGTACGCAAATCCAGCATCAGAAACTTCGTTTTGATATGGGGAGGGGGGATGTTTCCTTTTGATAACTGCCGCCACTACTTCAGCAGGCCGGGGTATGGAAGGGGAATGATTTAGATAAGTGTGTCTTTTGGAGGTACTGGTTTTGTTCGTGCAGTACCTTTTGTAGCGAACTAGAGGGTCATCTCGTAGTTAGTTGTAGTTCTTGTTCATCTTTCCACAGCAGCCACCAGAGGCGAAAGTTTACAAGGTCGTTCGACAGAAGATGCGCTAGACATGAGAAAGCTAATTATACAACGACAAGCTAAGATTTAGGGGACAGTGATGTAGTTCTAGTAGATGACGTATTTACATCAATTTGCCTTCCGCGTCCATACTTATCTGGAGACTTCGTACCGGGTACGCGAGCTGCCCAGCCCGGCCCGGGACTGGACCCCCCGCGGCGAAGCCACCTCCATTTTCGCGCCCAACTCCAGCTATTTCAAGGCGGAAGGCGGTTCTTCCAGTTCCATCATGAATCAAGGTACAATTAATTTTCTGTACTGCTGGACGATGAAGCCGTCTTCTTTAAACAAAGTCTTCAGCAGGACTTTATTCTCGGGATAGGATCATTTCTTGATGTTTGAGTTTGCATCGTTCGCATGTAGTTGGCAAAGACCACAGACTGACGGGTGTAAGAAGTACTTAGCTCTCTACAACTTCTTCGATGTCGGCTCCTGACTGCGCATCACAAAAAATCGAGTCGAAACTTTTGAAAAGTGAAAATAATATCGAAAGGTTCCGAGTCTCCGTTGTACCGAGCGCTGCAGTATCAAATGCAAAAATGTCTAGGTCTCGAAGGATGTGAAGTTGTGTTGCGCATTTCACAACACACAGAAATCTCTCATGCAGAGGCAGCAAAAGATGCCCACTTCTTGTCACCAAAGGAAGCGCGGGATTTGTCATGCGGATTAGGTATTGCAGGACCTTCACCTTCTCGAAATCTGTGATGCTAGGGCTACCATGCAAGACCTTCTGTGTCATGCGAAAACAGCGTGGCATCCTCCAGCCCCAGACATTATATTTGCAATGCATATGCAGAGCAAACTGGCCGAGAACACCAGCACCTACAGTCAGCAGGGCAAGTATGGGGGTGTCAGGATTGAAATCGTCACAGTTGAAATAGTTTGTGATGCATAAAATCGATACCAGTTGGAAGCCCAATTTCCAAGCCGCGCATGACAAATTCGGGTAGAGCCGGAATCCAGTTTGTGTTGCTGTTTGGGTAAGGGGGACGCCTTTTGTCATGCTACTTTAGCAGCTCTATTTCTTTTTTCAGGCTCACAGTCTGCCTGTCTTGCCTACTCTGCAAGACAGGCATTTTGTGGGTTGCATTTTCTGCATGACAACTTTGACGATTTCGATTCTGACGCTTCCATAGCAAGAACTCCTCGCGTTCCTTGAGCATCCTCAAGCCGCGGGGCAAGAAGAAGCCGTCGTGGGACATGTCGTTCGCGACGCGCCCGGAGTCGCGCCTGAACGTTTTCCGCGACCCGAACACCCGAGTGTATTTCGGTGCGTTACCGACCCGTTACTCGAAGGAATGGTTCCAAGGAGACGACTCCAGGTGAGTATTACAAAAATGAAATTATTCATCTGTAGAAGTGAGCAGGATGCAAAAATACAAAAACACAAGTTGGGTAGTTGTTTTTTCTGCATCACAAAGAACCGTGACAAAACCAAACCATAGGTACACGTCCCAGTACGCACCAAAGGCGAATCCGTATGTGCCGCGGCGCACATATGCGAGGAAAATAGACTTCTAAATCGTCTGATTTGCTATCTGCGAACGAGACCTACATCCAGGCCTTTCCAGTAGTTCGATATTATAACTTCTCATTTTAAAATTCGACGCATGAGGGTCAGGGTCGTGATGAAGCTCCTAGTTGTGTAAGTATCATGCAAAAAATAAACTGGTCATGGTCTAGATCTGTAGAACTAGAAGAAAAGAAGAGCAAGCCGACCCTCGGTCGCTTGTTTATTGCAACTTCGCAGCAGCCACTTACAGGATGAGGCGGTTTGTTTTTCCTCACTTTCATAACAGCCGTAGTTTGGATATGGAAGTGTCAGGTTTGAAATCGTCAAAGTTGAAATACTTTGTCATGCATAAAATGCAGCCCACAAAGTGCCTGCCTTGCAGAGTAGGCAAGGGAGGCAGATTGCAAGCCTGTTGAGGGGTAGAAATAGAGCTGCAAAGTAGCAGGACAAAACGCGTCTTCCTTACCCAAACAGCATTACAAACTGGATTTAGGCACCACCAAAACTTGTCATGCGCCACTTGGAAACTGGGCTCCAACTGGCATCCATTTTATGCATTACAAGTTATTTCAACTTTGTCGATTTCAAACCTGACACATCCATATTGGACAAGGCGCTGCCAATGGAGGGATCCTTCACCGTGACAACCACACTTATGTGGATGAAAAAAAGTAGCTGAAAGTCGGAAAATTTCAATTTGTCATGCATACACGGTAGAAATCTCTGATGTGAAAATGGAGAGACACGCAATACAAATTTCCGACCTCCTTCTACAAGTTGTTTTCACCCCTATACCCGCCGGAGACTCTTCCAGCTCCAGTCCGGAGGACGACAGCACGCTGGGCGGGGGACAGACGGTATACAGAGTATATCTTTGTCATGCGGAGCTGCGTGAATTTTTTTTTTGTGCTTTCTCTGCTTGAACGATAGGAGTTTCTCTGCATGATCCTATTTCAGGCTACATAGCATATGGCATCAAAAAAAGTATAGTGTGTTGAAACTCCATATGACTTATCAGGACATTTCGCGTTTTGAGGATTCCCGTTCCGTGCTGGTGACCACGCCCCCGACCACCGCATATCGCAAAAAAAAAAGTGCTACAGCTAGTACCCATTGTGATGATGTTGCAGGACCAGCAAGACACTTGTCATGCACAAAATGCTCCTTGCAGGCCTCGTTTCGTACGTGTTTTTCCTTGTGATCTACTCTGCGCGCAACAACAAGAGTTGTTGATAGGTTCCAGGAGCATACTCAGAAGTTGTGTGTCACTGTGTAGTACACTTTTTTCGTGGGATACGCATGGACAGCAGGGGACCTCCACCAGCAATCCCTACATGCGGAAGAAGAAGTCCAACCAGATGGACCGCAGCCGGTCCGAGGGGTTTGGCGAGCCGCACTGGCACGTGCACGGTCTCCTGTCCAATGACAACCCGCGCTTGCACCCGAACAACCGACACTACTTCTCCCGACCGGGACTCGCGGCGGGCTACCGCCAGCGGGGAATCAGCCGCTGATAGAACAATATGCAGAGGATCGGAGAAGTAGAGTGTCGTGCTGTGGGTCTTCATCGTCGATTACTAGTCGGTATGGGATCGAAGTAGAAATGGTTTCTTTTCAATTGGAGGTCAGAAAATAATGATAAACCCTGATGATATAGCGAACTTTTTTTGTAGAATTTATGTTTCGAGAAATGCTTTTATCATTTTCGGCCCGGTGCTATAAGATTTTTATGGCTCTTGACGTCCCACTACAAGAGGCATATTTACGACACTGCTAGCAATAGCTTCCAAGAAAGAACTGCTCTAGTACTAATATTAAGGACGCTTAACAAAGTTGTCGCTCCTTAGATGACAACTCAAAGATGAATGATTGAAACTCACTCCTACATCTCGTTTTCCATTCGCCTTGATCCACAGTGAGAGTCATGGGTTTGTTTTTACCTCATGATTTTTGCGCTTCCGATTTGGAACCCCCTGAACTTGAATTCCTTTTGCAATGAACTTTATTACGGCAAAGCACAACAGCAGTGTTATAATTGTTAACTTGCAGTGATGCGATGATTGAATCCAGAAGATACAACCAGATGAATCGACTACAAAACCAAGCCTCTATACTACTATTCCAAAAGTTGTAACAGAACAGAAATAAACGACTACAAACAAACTGCTTATTTCTTTCCTTTTCTCGCGAACTTTTCACCACTCTTTTTTCGAGTTGTAAGCCGTGTCTCGCGAATCCTAAATTTGTATCGCACCAGAATAAAACCCTTCCTAGCTTTTCTCCCACCTTCCTGAGTTTTTCTATCGCAGGGGAGGAGCACTGCCGAAGCAAGAGAAGTATTACCGACGAATGCTATTCCTATTGCACAGGAGAAAAAAAATGCACATACTAATCGTGGTGCCCCGATGAGCTTGGCGCCGCTTTTTTTCGGTGACCTAATTTGACAAATTTATTGAATTTTCTATCTTGACTCTGCAATTAAAACATTTTAAAAACCCGCGCAGGGCGATATACTGCTCATCTAAGTATCTTTTCCGATACTTACGCGCGCCAACACTGGTTTATTTGGATATTTTTGTTTCTTTATTGAAATGCTTGCCTCTGCGCTCGCTTGCTACTGCTAGCACTTGAAAAAGAACTTCCTGCTGGCATCGACTACTAGTCCACTCTATGGAATGTTTCGCGCTTTCCTTTGAATGAAAAACCTCGATGCAACTGCCACATGGACGGACGCCACTGCTGCGGCGCTGTGCGGTCCTACTTCTGTAGGGACGGACCTAAACAGCTTTTGGCTGTGAGAAAATTGTTTCATCTCCGTTTTCCTATCTTGCTCTTGTGGCATCGTTGTGTCGTGACTTTGTCGGTCTCAAAATTTCTCGGTTGAGGTGAGTTTTGACAAGGAAATATAAAGTATCTCCCGTGACAAGCACAAGCAGGATGTTGAGAGTCCCATCGGTTGAGGAGCGACAATTGCAAGAGTCGACTTACTAGCTCGGTGCTGAGCCTGTGAAACAAGTGAGAGAATATGATCACATCGGTTCTTCGTACTCGCTTGATTCGTCAAGAATTATGGGGAAAGAACTGCGGAAAGTGAGGAAATAGAATCGTCTTTTCGAAAAATCCATGAGCAGCCACTCCAAGAACGTAAGTATTTGCTTTGTCGCATAACCACCTCGTTGTACTCTACTACAAGAAGAACCCGTCATACTAACGGAATTCACCGCCGTCTTTTCTGTATCTGCATCTTTTCGTACTGAATATTTTTATCTCGTCCTGAGAAACGAAACTACATACGTACTCAGTCACCAACCGTGTAAAAAGGCCGCAAGCTGCCCTCTCGTAGTACAACGTCCACCTGAGTGCAGTCGTTTCGAGCAGATCGCAGGGATTTTCATCGGGCTCTTCGTCCTCTGCGCTATTGAAATCGCTTGAGTTGTTTGCAGACGTTGAAGTACTATAATTTACGAGCAAAAATTATAACTACCCGTGTGAGGTTAATATTAAAAAACTCGTTGTACTGACGTCAATTCTTCTTCTTGTGCGAAACACTACAGCTTGTTTTTTTCGTAGTGAAGAACTCACCTCTACGACGAAATCATAACACGACCCACCAAGATTTCATCCACAAACTACGATTTTTAAGCTCATCTGGGCTCCGGCTTCCATCCCTCGAGGGCTGCGTTTACAACTATCGCAAAGCTTAACACGACTACGAAGAGCGTTCTGAAGGATTTGTGTCCCGGTAGCTTTCAACGTCTTCGCGAACCAATTTTTACCTTGAAATTTTCACCACACAACAAGAACCTTCATAAAAAATTATCACTCTAGCTGGTGTGCCTTCTACCGGACGAGTTGTGGGCACCCGGAGCTATACAATTGGTTGCGGGCTGATTCATTTGACCATTATGTTCTTGTAAAAAACAAAACTACCACAACATGGCGACGCTTACGCAAACCATCACCAAGCAGCCCAGGATCTGCAAGGAGGGTGGGACTGAAGGTATAGATTTAATACGATTTATTTTCGTAGAACTAGAATGATACAGACAAAAGTTGGAGGTTTTGACGCCCTGGTAGAAGACCACGTGTGAAATTTAATAAGTAACTCAAGTAGAATAAGATGTTGATCTTGATGCCTGGGTACTGCTCTCGCATTAATGCCAGTCTCGCATAATGTACAGGGAGGTCGTTGGGGTTCCACTTCCACCTTGGAAAAATAAACAATAAAACGCTATATCATATCAGGTGTCTTCCTTCCCTTCAGCGACGATGAGCACGAGACGGATGACGCCCTCCGGGCGGTGCTCTACATCTTCTTCCTCGGGTGGCTCTTTCTGGGGGTCGCGATCTCCTCGGATACGTTTATGTCCGGCATTGAAAAAATTACCAGTCAGAAGAAGCGGGTGAGGCACCCGACCGACCCCGCAAGAATGGTCACGGTCACGGTTTTATGGATTGCAAATATGTCTGGGTCTGGAAGAATGCATGTTTGTCATGCTTGTCTGGCATGACTGTTAAATCTGTCATGCACGTTACCCAAGAGCTGCGTTTTTCTGTGATGCAGAAGCGCAGTTTGTCATGCAGAATAGGCAACACCTAGGAGCTCAGAAACTTGTCATGCTGAGCCAGCATTTGTAGCCTCATCATGAGACGCTACCCAGCATCACAAGTTCCCAGACCCAGACATTTTTACATTTGATAGGTTTGGAACGACACGGTGGCGAACCTGACCTTAATGGCCTTCGGATCCAGCACGCCAGAAATTTTGCTGTCGATTATCGAGCTCGTCAGTATAGAGATATTTCTTTTCTTTTTTTCGAACATACTGTATATGCATAATGATAGCCCGTGCTTGCCGTACTTGCACTGATATTAAAACTGCATGACAAAGAAAGTTTCTATTGGCTATCATCGCAATAGAATATGCAAGAAAAAATTCTGAAAAAATCATTACCATGATCATTCCCTATAGGTAAGGACTTCTTCACGGGTGACCTCGGTGCGAACACCATCGTCGGGTCCGCGTCCTTCAACTTGTTTCTGATCATCGGGCTCTGCATTTCCGTGATTGGGTCGCACGAAGTGCGGATGATCAAGGACATGACGGTCTTCGGCATCACCGCGTTTTTCGCCATTTTTGCCTACCTCTGGCTCTACTTTGTGCTCCAAATCGTCACGCCGAACATCGTGGACATCTGGGAGGGCGTGGTCACCTTTCTCATGTTCCCCGGCCTCGTGCAGATTTGCTACATGGCCGACAAGGGCATGTTTTCCAGCTCCCGCGACGAGGTGGTCACGGAGAAAGTCACCTACAGCGGTATGAGCGAAGACGAAATCGCAGAGTATGCCGAAAATCTGCGGGCGAAATTTGGTATTTTGATAGAGATTTTATACGGCGTGGCTGGCTCTGGTGTTTGTTAGAAGAAGGGCAAAAATTATTCTTGATCCGACAGTACCGCATGTTTGCTTTTCAAAGAGGAAGACGGAACTACGGGCAGCACAAATGGTCAATCTCTTCTTAGTGGCTGCAAAAACTACAGAATTTTAGCTATAATGAACTGATAGAATACGAAAAAGAAAAACACGGCATCGAAATAAACTTTTTTCAGGCAAGGAACTTCCTGAGGATACGATTTTGAAGCTGCTGGAAAAGGAGTTGCGACCCAAGAAAACACGGGCGACCTACCGACAGGAAGCCGTGAAGGGCATGAAGCGTGGGTCCGCGACCAGCGAGGGCAATCCAAGTTCCAAAGACAGTGCCGCAACAAACGTGCCGCACGTCTTTTGGGACGTGCCGGACAACCACTTTGTCTGCCTCGAATGCGCCGGGACGGTGCAAATCCCAGTCAAATGCTTTTCCTCGACAAAAACGGTATTGATAATAAGAAGGGATATTTTTGTGCTTTTTTCTTTTTCATCAGTTGCTTTACGAACACAGCACCGGTACTAGGTTGTTGTAGCTCCTCTACCTCCTGTAATTTTCAATACCATCATCACTACACGAACACGTTTTGGTGCGTATGTTTTCGGTCCATGTAGTTGTTGACAGTAGACCTAGAAGCCTACTTTATTCAAGTTGGAGGTCAACAAGAACTACCTCTGCATCAAGAAAGCTATGACCCTAAAAACTACTATCAGGCTGTGCTCCACTACGAAACGCGCGATGGCACGGGGAAAGACAAAACGGAATACGTCGCGACGAGCGGGAAGCTAGAATTTTCCCCCTCCACCAACGAGGAAACACAGTATGTCTCCGTGCAGATATGGATTGCAAATATGTCTGGGTCTGGAAGAGTGGAACTTGTAATGCTGTCTGCGGATTCTAAAAAAGTCTGTGTTGCATGAGCAGCAAGAGGAGTCAGCTCTTGGCACGCAGAGAGGGCATTTCTCATGCGTAATTAGCATCAAGAAGCTCGCAAAAAATCCGTGATGCCAGCACCAGCATCACAGACCTCACGGGCCATGCAGAATGTGCATGCAGAATGTGCATGACAAGCCCCGACTCTTTCAGACCCAGACATTTTTGCAGTTGATAGCAGATTGTTGACGACGATATAGTGGAACCCGACATGGACTTCTACATTGACATCTTCCCAGAAGCGGGCACCTGTGAAGTCTTGTACTATCAATAAAAGATATTGGTTTTCGTTTTTTAAATTTGGTTGGTAGATATTATGTTCCTGTTCCAAAGGAATTGAAAAGTCGTGGTGCCGTGATTGTTCAACATCAGACGTCGCATGTAGTCGATGAAACAGAAAGAACCGCGAGAGCAACATAGTGAAAATACAAGAACTACCCTAAATTAATGATATTATTAAAACAGCGGTCCCACCCTCCACGTGACCATCATTGACGATGACTTCCCGGGGGTGCTGCAATTTGAAGCCGAGGAAATCAAGATTCCCCATGGCGCCCAATCGATCGAGGCGAAAGTGGTGCGAAGGAAGGGCGGCAACGGGGAGCTGAAGTGCAAGGTGAAAACGGAAGAGGGCAGCGCGAAGGAAGCCGTGGACTTTGACCCCATCGAGGAAGACGATTTGGTCTTTGAGGACCAGGAAATCGAAAAAACGATCACGGTAAATCTCCGACCCACGGCCACACGCGTAAGGGACAAATTGGAATTCCGTCTCTCGCTCACCGACGGACCGTTCAACCCGGATACCGACGGCGGCGAGGATGCATGTACTACTGATTATTGTTTTTCGGATTTTTTTTTTGTTGTCGGGTAATAAATACTTATTGCTTAGACCACTAGCACGTCGATTGATAAAAAAAAATCTGCGTGTTCTTGCAGCGAAAGGCTGCAATATCTGTTTACTGTACCGAAACGCTTTATTGCGTTCATTTCAGCAGCATGCAGAAGATGTTGGTATTTTCAAAAATAAATCCCATTTCCAACACCATCAGGCTTTCTGTCCTTCGTTTTCGCTGCGGAGGGCGAAAAAACGGACATGCTCTTGAAGGCGAAGTCGAGGCTAAGTGGAACTTACGACCGCATGTATGCATTGCAAATATGTCTGGGTCTGGAAACTTGTGATGCAATAAAGGGAATAGTGAGCAGACTGTAATGCGCTGCCAAGCATGTTGACAAGTTTTTCCGTGGTTCTGAGTTGCGTACTCCGCATGAGAAACTGCGTTTTTGCATGACAGATTATATGAGCTGTTCGCGGCTACGCAATACAGAGTTTAGAGTCATGCCAGACTAGCATGACAAATCTCGCAAACTCCCAGACCCAGACATTTTTGCATTTGATAGCATGTTCGCAGGGACAACCTCATGGGGACAGCAATTTGTGTCGGCGTGCTACTGTACAACTACTATTTATCGAAAATAATTTGATTTTTGTTCCTTGAGCACAACATCGTAGTACATGAGTTGCACTATTGCAGCAAAGAGTTGTCCGAAGAAGTTCGTCTTCTAGGTACCACATCGCATGATGAAAAAAAGTGCACAGTAGAAATCGGATCCAGCACATAATTATTCGCGATTATCGAACCAAATCCTTTCAACTACATCTTCATCACAGGCGGCGGCAGCAAGGAGGAGCAGGCGGAAGCGTCGTGGGGCGAAATGGTCCTGCACGTGTTTTCCATTCCCTGGAACCTGCTTTGCGCGTGCGCCCCGCCACCGTCGTACGGAAACGGGTGGGCGGTGTTCTACGCCGCTCTCGGGATTATCTGCTTCCAGACCGCGATAATAGCCGACGTGGCCGAGATGGTCGGGTGCACACTGGACATTCCCGATATGGTCACCGCCATCACCCTGGTTGCGCTGGGAACTTCCTTGCCCGATACCTTCGCCTCCCGAACGGCGGCGCTGCAGGATGAGTACGCAGATTCGTCGGTAACCAACGTGACGGGAAGCAACGCAGTGAACGTCTTCGTCGGGCTGGGTGTCCCGTGGACAATGGGGGCGATTTATTGGTCAATCGAGGGTAAAAATCCTAAGGATTTTTTTTTGTTTATCATTTTTTTAGTTGACAGAAGTAGCTGCTTCTTACAGTTGTTTTGCACTTCTTCGTTGTATCAATCTTCATTCGGGTGAAGATCCGTAAAAGGAATAATTTTGTTTGCCATGTCCTAATACACTTCATTCAGTAGTTTTCTGTGTGACTGATCTAGATCTTGATGTGAAAAAATAAAAATCTCTACCCCCTCAGGTGTTACGTGTGAATGGATGCAGAAGATTGCGACCGTGAAGTCCGGGCTTCAAATCATGAAAGATAACCCAGATGGCGGTCTCGTGCACTACGGTGAGGAGCTGGGTTATTCCGTCATGATCTACACCGTCGGCGCTTTGATCGCGATCGGCGCGCTCCTGTACCGAAGAAAAGCGGTGGGTGGGGAGTTCGGCGGCCCGGCGGGACTCAAGTACGGCGTCAGCCTTCTGTTCGTGTTCTTGTGGACCACCTACATTGCGCTTTCCTCCTGGGTCTCCATCGAGGCCGACAACAGCCGGCCGGCTATCAAGGTCCTCGGAGGACTGCCAGCTTTGTGTATCCCTTCTATGAAGGCCGCGGCGCTAAACACTCCGCAATAAGTAAGGTACTGAAATGAAATTGAAAAAAAGTAGTACTGCTGCTCAGTGGGCAAAGTACACGACGACGACGATCCGTAGTAGTTTTTGAAAACCGTCTTTCTGTTCCCCGGCAGACGACATGTTTTTCATCAACCGCGCACGAGGTAGTTGCTAAGCATAGTAAAGGAATATCAACACAAGCACGACTACGAGAGTAGTAAGTTGTCAAGAACGCAATTTCTAAGTGCCAAAATAAATGTCACCGCTGCGGTAGAAGATGAACAAAACTCAGAAGCATACTAGTCCACCCAAGAACTACATGCGAGCTTCGGAAGAACTATCATCCCCTCGAAGATGTTACTTTATTTGAAGAACTAGGTTACAATATGCGGCGTGCGTGAACTAGTTCATCACGTCGGCACCGTCGAAGGATGTGCGATGAGCTTTCTTTTTTGTTGAGATGCGTACGAGCAAAGTATTGTGGCAAGAACATCTTGTGGAATTGTTTCGAAATAATTTCTATGCTGGGCTAGATCATGGTCTTTGTTTTTTTGCAAAACAAAGTGATGAATGAAGACCGGTCTTTAATCATACACAGTTGTGATGAGGCTCTGCTTGGAATGAAACCGTTATGTTGCACGAGCTCTTGCGGTTTCGAGCAGTTTTACCTATCGAAGCGCAAAAGAAGTCAAAAAATATCATTGGCGGAATGAAACTGCAGCGCACATGATTCTTGCGAAATAGAGCAGAAATGGTTTAGTAAATGTGCAAGACTAAAATGGATAGTTAACATTTTCATATTCATTTTGATGGCATCTTCTCAGAATACGACAACTTCTGCATGAATCAGACTGGTAAATGAACCGACTCAAATGCCTTGTATACAAGAATCAATCTTCCCTGTACATTTCGAAAATTTTCGCGGTAGCTCCTATAAAACGAACTCCTTGACAAGACCTCATCCTAGTATGCCGACGTAGAAATAAGCCTTCTAGGTGGACCACGGAACTAGTAGAACTAGAACTACGAGAAACAAAACGCTTGCATGAAAAGCAAGCAGGTGAAGACAACAGTAGTCCGCGTTTGCAGCTTCTGCCCTGCCTCGTCCCCGCGAAAAGTAGGGTGGAAGCGAAATGCAAGTAATCCAAAATTTTTTGCAGTGTAACACCTAGTCTAGTGCGACGATGAGTAGTCTACTTAAAAACCAAATTTAACAAAAATCATGTCCTCGTCCTATGCAAGTTTCAAAAGTTACCCAATTCGTTATTTCCTGTCTGAATGATCACGAGAACAACGTGGAATGATACTTATTATATGGTCAAGCAAGAGCAGGTCCAACGGCCGCGCCTGGTCGTGAGAACTAGTAGACGCTTGCTCTGAGCTGACCACAAGAATGCTTACAAACGAACACTTGCTCGCCCTTCAACTTCGCCCTCTTTAGGTTCCCCATGCTACTTCCTTCCGCTCTTGAAAAACGAAATAACCAGCGATCTAGGTGTGCTTTCCATATTTTATTTTTATTAAGTTTTAGATTAGTTTACTTTGCTATGCTTATTGTTGTACTTCTCTTAGTAAGCTTTTGTGTAAAAAGGTAGTGTCAACACCGGGTGCTACATGGAAGATTTGAGAATTCAGCTGCATTTCACTACAAGTGTGCACGAATTTACAGCACAGTTGAATATTATATGCTTTTGCACTACTTTGCAGAATATATGTCATCCAGCACCTCGTCAAGAAATACAAATGTGAATAATTTGACAACGGAACAACTTTTTTGCTGCGCGCGAGCAAGTAAACGTCCTCCCAGGTTGTCTTTATTCAATATATGAGCTGCTACATTCGACTGGTGTGACGTCATCTTTGAAGAGCGGTCGGAAATTTTCCACTCACGACCCGGGGGTAAAGCGTAAAGCGGCCGGCGGGGGAAAGGTCGGAATTATCGTGTTCCAGCGAGTTGCTTTGTGTTTTTTCATTCGGCCGTGGTCGTCTTTGCGTGGTTTTGTGTCGTCTGAAAAGTAGCCCGCTGCGGGAAATAGGTCGTGAAAATTTTCATCGTAAAAACATTGGAATTATTTCAGATAGAACCTAGAAGTAGCAACAGCCTTTGTTGTCTGGAAAGCTAGCAGGAGAATTATGCACTCTTTAGTACGACGTGGTCTACGAAACAACTATGTTGCGCATTTTCCTAAGTAGGAATTATCGCAGGAATTATGTGAAGTGTCGCACAACATCAGATTTTGGTTTTTCTGATTTCCTTCCAAGTCTTCGGTTATTTCGGTCATTTCCGATTGGTACTTCTAATATCAAACTTTGTTCACATCAACCAAGATCACTTGGTCGCGCTTGTACTCGGTCAACTACATTGGACCACCTGGTCCATTGCGGAGGTCGTGCTCGAAATTCTTGTAAACCGAATAAAGTTACCTCGCTCACTGCGGTCTTGGCCTGCGTTGGGCTGTATCTGCTTGAAACGAAGAAAGATGGTCGAGGGGGACGAGGCCCGACACGAGGAGACTCCCTGCGCGAGCGCTGTGCCAAGTTGGTTTACTGGAACTGGTCGTCTTGGCAGTTCCAGCCCTACGCCGGGTACTATTTCAACCTCCAGAAAACAAGCCGGGGTCGAAGCAAGAAAGAGCTTGAAGTTGTGCCCGCCTGCTCGTGCTCCCGACGGCACTTTAATGATTGGTGTCGTCAAGCTAGAAGTTTTTCCTCTATTTCGTCCCCACGAGGACCACGACCTAGCTGCCGCTCAAAAAGGACCTCGTGGAACGGGCGGACCCCTAACGGGTCGCGGTTTGTGTGCTGTGAAGAGAAGAGCAGCAAACCAGGAGAAGATCTTTATGACAAGAGGACAGACTACTCATCACCGCCATCCTCCACCCCGCCAGAGACCTCTACCGCTAAGAAGCAGTTCCTCCGAAGAACCCGCAGTGGTCCTTCCGACTCCGTTTTCGTTTCTCGGAAATCAACAACGCTGTTTGCCCATGAGCCGGAGAATGTTCAGCTTCCCACCCGGACGGTTAGTAAAGTCGCGTCCCTGTCGATCACGGAAATTTCGGATGGGGATGACGAGGAAGGGGAGGACGCGGACGATGACCAACATCCAGTGGGGTATAAAAGGCGAGAAACCATTGTGTCCTCATCCTCCACCGAAGGCGTAGTTGATACAGAGCAGGAGCGCCGCGGCCGAAAACACGAGGACGCGGGGGCGAACATAAATGATCGCAAAATAAACACGACGACCCTCCTCCACTACGAGTACCAGGGTGACTGCGCCTCATGCAGGTGGCTGAGGTTGGGCTCGGGGTCTGATCTAGAGGCGGTTACCGACCCCCCGCCACCTTTCTCTCGGAAGTTGTGTCCGATGGACGGCGCAACTAACGTGTGGGTGGCTCTGTTCGCTCGGGCTATGCAATAAGGGTTTCCCTTCACTCATACTAGCTTCGTCTCCGTGTTGGGCATTCGGGCCAAATGCAAGTCGAAGGGGTAGCTTCAACTCGGGAACTTCTTTGTTCAGGTGCCTCACGTAGGCAGGAGATAGGATCAGCCTGGGTTTGACAACCAGCCGACCGCACTGTAGGCTTGGTGCTCGCTGGATCAGTGCACGGAAGGAAGCTTCCGAGCCCTCACTCGGACTCGGAATGGGTGCTGATGCTCATCATTGATAGAGGCTGTCACTATGTGTGGCTTGCTCCCTTTGGGGTGCGCCATCCACGTTTCAAGAGGGGGATAGCAGGTTGGCTACAGTTACAGAATAAGGAAGCTGGCAGGCGGCCACGCCACTTCTAAAGCACTCGAGGGCGGGTTTCCCGGGGATGCCTGCATGTCGGTCTGGGGCGGGCTACGAAGGCCGCTCCCGGCGCCCGCCGAATCTTTTCGCAGCAGTGGTCGGCGCGGTGTTGCACTATGCAGGAAGTGGCGCTTTCGCTTTCTCTTTTCCCATTTTTGGTTTCGGTGGGTAAGGGGAGCGCGTCACTATTCTTTTCGCGGACGGGGTTCTGGGCAGTCCATGGTGGCTTCGGTTGGTTCAGATTGATAGGACGATAGGAACGAAGCGAAATACGGATGCACCTCGGTGCATCATTTTCGAGTAAGTGACGGAAAGGACGAGACTCCTAAGGAAAGGGCTAGCAGATCCCTGGTAAGCTAATGCAAGGTGGCACGACTGGAGCCGCAAGTGAGGCGGGGGTCGTGCCAAGGTTGATTTTTTCTTTCGATCCCACCCACCCACCCGGTGCGCTGTTTCCTCGTGCCCACGTGGTATTCGTGGTGACAGAGGACACATCTTGGGAGGGGCCTTGAGGCATCCCTGCAGGCTGTCTCTACGGTGAGGGACCGAGACGCCCTTGCCCTCTCTCCTCCGTTCACGCCATCGAGCGTGTCGGGTGGTTGGTTCAGATTGATAGGACGATCGGAACGAAGCGAAAATAAATCGCAAAAACACGACGACCCTCCTCCACTACGAGTACCAGGGTGACCAGCGGTTTCTGTCCGTGGTCGTGTGGTTATAACAGTGCACAACTCCCCCTCCCCCTCATTTGTGTAGCATGAACGGCAGTACAAGCATCAGCAAGAGTGCCGGTTTTGCATAACAGATTTGCACTGGAGTATAGTGCTATTGGGGCTACCAGAGATTGTCATGCAAACAGTGCCAAGAGGCAAAGGGTGGATTGGGTATTTTGCATGACAAATGAGGGGGAGGGGGAGTTGTGCACTCCCGTAGTGGTGGGTCGTGATCGGGGGCTGGCTACTCGCGTCTCTGGTGCCCTTCTACCTGTTCTTTGAGCTCTCCGGCGCGGTCTTGCAACTGCTGTTGCGGGAGTTAGTGGAAACGCTTTTCGGGTACAACGAAGGGATGGAAAGTGCTGCCGGCGGGACAACCAGAAGTGGGAGCAGTTGGGTGAATTCCGTGAAAGATCTCCTCCGTTGGCTCATCACGCACACTGTTTTGCGGAAAGGGGCAACATCTTCGACATCAAGTGCCGGATCTTCTTCATCTCTTCTAACTACCCGGCAAACGGACATGCTCGATATCCCCCCCACCCGTCCCACCGAAGTGCTAGAACTCGACCCCGAAGGGGGTTCGTATTCGCCCGAATTAACCGCGGTTTTGGTCTCCTTTGCGAAAAATCTTCTCTACCACGGAGCCGGGCCGGTCCTGCTGCAGATCTACCACCACCTGCCGACGGCGAGTCAGTCGGTTTGGAAGAAGAATATCATCTACCCGATGCGGGAATTCATGTGGCGGAAGTTGCTGAATTGGTTCCCGAAGGTGGAAATCACCATGCCGAAAAGCCTCCTGATCGGAAGAACGACAACATCGGACAACCAGGATCATTTTGAGGAAGATGATTACGAAGAAGAAGATCACCAGGAGCGCGATAAATTAAATCCGAAAAATAAGTCCAACCGTCTCTACTTGATACACCCCCACGGCTGTCTGTGCGTCGGATTTCTCGTCTTTAAAGCCCACTTGGAGCTGCAGAAAGTCGAGCAGGGGAGCAGCAGCTCCCTCTCGTTATTAGTCGCACCCTTCTTGACGAAATTCGGCGGGCCGGTGATTTCGCTGCTGCCCCGGTTCGCCGGGCTCGACGTCCAGCCCGCGAGCAGTAAGTTTTTCCGGGAACGGGAAAGGATAAAGAAGGTCGACGGAGCTAGCGACTTATTGAAGCCGATCGCGATCCTGCCGGGGGGATTTGAGGAGATCGGGCTGAACAGTAGCGAAATTTACTTCAAGAAGCGGAAAAGAATCATAAAACTGGCACTGGAATCGGGGTTGGAAATTGTGCCGGTCTACTGCGACGGCGAGGTTTGGGACAAAAGCTTACCATATGGAGGTGCATAAATGCAACTATGTTACCCGCCGTCCCGTGGTGGACACTCATTGTTGTTTCACGCGAAATCAAGAACGTGGCTCTAGGCTGGGAATTATAGGCGTATATATACACCCTAAGTAAAGTCGAAGTTGTCGTGTCAGCTTCGCTCTTGTCCAATTGCTTCTTGTGCTTATGCCAGACAAGTTTGTAGTAGCCATCAAGTTCAAGGGTGGACCATAGTTGCGTGGCATAAACAAGATCCGGATGTTGAAATCTCCAGCAGCAATCCAGTCTCTCCCTACAAGGGCTGCTACTACCAACTCTCCCCCTTCAAAACCTACTTTCCGACGCTGAACAGCTTTCTCGCTCGAAAACAAATCCCGACGGCTGGTTTTTTCAGCTCCTTTTTCCCTGCGCCGAACCCCGTGGAAAGGCTGAAGATCGCGATCGGGGAACCCATTCGTCTACCGGACCCGGCGACGTTGGCAAAAGACGGGAATGGAAGGGTGAAAAGAGAAGTGGTGGATTACTGGCATTCGCTTTACGTGGAGCGATTACAGGAGTTAGTACGGAAAAATAAGCTGTGCGCGTCAAACGGGCATCAGTTGACGATACTTTGATATTAAAGGGTGAAGTTTTTTAATGTAGTAGTTTGTTGACGCGCAGGATTGATGAGTTGTGATCGCATGTTAGCATGTTAGCATAAGTTGTACCCCTCCAGCATTTCGGTAATGATTTTTCGTATTCTATGTAGGGATTCTTCTTGTTCGGGGGTGATTTGATTTGCGTTGGGATTTCAGGACTACTTCGGTCTGCTCAAGGTGTTGCTATTAGACGAAAGTTCAGCCAAAGCCATGGATTGTTGATGATGTTGGACAAGATCATGACTTGATCAGATCGCATGCCTGGATCGAAAACCCGGCGGTCTAAAATTGCGCGATGATCTGAACTTTCTCCACTGTAGTGCTGTGCGCCGGTAGGTGGTAGTTGCGATTATATCGATGTGGACCCACTGCACTTCTCCCGCGCGAACAAAGGCGAAAGCCTTTTTCCTCTTGTTTCAGCGAGCGCGCGCGTGTATTTGTGAATTTCTGTCTAATATTTTGTGTGAAAGTAGTTAAATCATGTGATCAAGCTTCATAGGCACAGCGAGTTGCAACCGTGCCAGTTTTCTGAATAATTGCCACCCTTTGACTAATTTTGGTTTCATCTATTGCCCTACCTTGGACTTCTTGTTTCCTGCTCGCTTTGTTCATTTTGCCTCTGTGTAACATTGTCACTAGTTTTCTTTTCCGCCACCTAATAAAACGTTTCCTGAATCAGTATTTTTCCCACCACCGACTAAGAATAAAAATTGCACCCTTTTTGATATTGATGGTGTAAAAAGTTTGTACGTGTTTTTCTATATACTCTAACAACAACAAAAATTATACGTATGAGGGTACTAGAGGGTCGTGCACAAGTCGCGAAGACGAACCCCGGTGGTGGTCCGCGGTGGTTTGGTTTATTTTCTTCCCGAGGAACTAGACTGGTGTCATCTTGCTTGATGATTATACCCGGCGTCTTCATTTCATCATCTTCCGGTGCGGCGGGAGTTCGTGTCCACGCGCTGCGGCCCATATTTCGCGGAGAGCAGGTTGATGCGGAGGATTGCTCCTTCGCGCCTGGTGGGTCTACTTCTAATGGCAGTTCTGTAGAAGTCCCGTCCACCTGCGAAGAGGTTTCTGCAGGAGCTCCAGTTGAGACGAAACACTATAAAGAAAGAACAGCTCCATTCTCGAGACAGCATATTCACCAATGCCGGGAGACGAGCATCCAAAGCTCTGGTCCTCCACCTCCAAGTGCAGGAGCCGCTGGAGTAGACCACAAGAAAAACGGTCCTCCTGGTACTATTCAAACTCGACGCACAGAAGAGAACACCGTTGTTGAAGACAATCGTGACGATTCTATGCTTTCTGATCAAGGAAATTATAACTATCAACTGTAAAAATGTCTGGGTCTGGAAAAATGCAAGTTTGTCATGCTTGTCTGGCATGACTCGAGAATCTGTGTTGCATAGGCACGAAAAGGCCCTCTTACCTGTCATGCAAAAACGCAGTTTGCCATGCGGAATACGTAAGACATGGCAGTCAAAAAATTCGTCATGCATAGCTGCGTATTGCAGTGCGTCTACCATTCATTTTTAGCATCACAGACCCAGAGCCAGACACTTTTGCATTTGATAATAACCCCGGGCGTGCGACTGGAAGTAGATCCTCGACCACTCGCAACGGTCCGGAGGATGTTGATCTCCTCGACGGCGCAGAAGGGGTGCATCAAGCAATTAGTGGCATAACTTCTACGTCCGACTTGGGAGCAGCAGGTGGCGAAGAACAAGAACTAGATGCCACTTATAATTTCTCGCCTAGTCTAGGTTTTTCTTTTTACAACTCCGAGTCGACGTATAGCAGCAGTTCTTCGGACCATGAAGTTGACAGTGGAGATCATGCCCGGGACCATGAACAACGGCTTTACAACAACCCGCCTGGGCGAGTAAACAATCCAAGGCGACCCGGAGCTTTCCGAGTCGGCTTTGAAGACCGGGAAGGGGAACAAGAAGACTGTTTCTCCAGTGTCAGTACGGCGGACTCCATTCTTCAATTGGCCGATCACCTGGACGTATTTGCCGCCGCGACATTTGATCACGACGAAGACCTATCAAATGCAAAAATGTCTGGGTCTGCAAGAATGCAAGTTTTTCATGCCTGTCTGGCATGACTCGAGAATCTGTGATGCATAGGCACGAAAAAGGCCTCTTACCTGTCATGCAAAAACGCAGTTTGCCATGCGGAATACGTAAGACATGGCAGCCAAAAAATTTGTCATGCATAGCTGCGCATTGCAGTGCGTCTATCATTCACTTCTATTAGCATTACAAGTTTCCTCCAGACCCAGACATATTTGCAATCCATAAGACCACGAGCTAGACACCGATCTAGAGCTCGACCGCTTCGCGAATCCGGACAACGCGCAGGAAGTTGCGAATGTGAGAGCCAAGCTGGACGCAGAGGTGAAACAGTTCTGGCACGAATCCCGGTTCGACCAAGAAGACAATAGAGATTATACCACTTACTCCTACCGCCTACGTTTATTCCGGAAGTTTCTGAAGGAAATTTTTTACCTGAGACAAGCGAAAAATGACGGGGTGATGAGGAAGGCTCAGACTGCTCTGTCGAGCAGAAGAACAAGAAGAGCTACTGTCTCGTCAATTATCCCTCGCCTCTACGCAGAGCTCGCCGGAAGCATGCAGTTTCGAATTTCCGCGAAGCATGCGGTCGAGGAAGTGTGGAATGCGGGGCTGTTCGAAGAGCAACAAGCGGAAAGAAGCACGAGTTCGTGCTGCTATGATATTTTTACCGGCCTCCAGAACCAGAGTCAGATGATGATTCCGTTTCCGACTTCTACGGCCAATTGCGAGGCCATAGACGGAACAACTTCCAGCGGTACTACTGTTTCTGCTGCACGACCACCAGAGCTGCAGCTGTTTGAGCCAACCGACACAACCTTTCCCTGGATAAAAACGCAGGAAGAGGGACACCTTCCGACGGCCGCGTTTGATATTTTTCCGCTAGTGCCAGCGTCTTCCAGCACAATAGAAGATGAACAAAACGATCTCAAGCTCCCCTCCGCCAGTTTTTTGGCGCAGCATCCGCAAGCAGCTCACGATGATCGTGTGGAAATAAAGACAACTAGAGCAGCTACCCCGTTTTTCGATAAAAAGCCGCTTTTGGAATTGACGGACGCCAAACTTGTGTTTGCTTTCGTGGTAGACCCGTGGAATCTCTTGAAAGAGATGCTGGAATTGTACAATAGACTGAAGGCAGCTTCGTCCTCTTGTGGTGAGGACGACACGTACGTTAAAAGAACAAGGAGGCATAGCAGCAGGCGACGCCACATGACGACCAGGAAGAACCATTGCGACCAGGGTCGTCATCCTCCGCCTCGGTTACCCACTGCGGAGATGGTGGACTTTTTTGTCCAACACGGTCAGGAACGAATGGTGAGGATTTTACGCTTAATCCGCACCCTGAATCGCCGCGCCGCGCGCCGGGCTGCAGCACTGGAGGATGAACCGGAGCGACAGGAAGGTGGTACTACGGCATTTACAGAACAAGTTGTTCACGACCGCCGGGAGGAGGGCCGCACGACTAGAAGATGGCATGATATGAGAGCAACGCTACACAGGAGGAGGAACTCCTTTCGCGACCCCTACCACCGGCAACATCTTCGGGAGGCACTGAAGTCGCAGACGCGCGACCAAGCGCGCGATATGGAAGATCATGCTGACATGTTGGCTGAACAGGCCGACGGTTTTTTGTGAGGATACCGTACTATATTGCGAAACTGTAGTTGTACAATGTGAACCAAGTGTTCTATGCTTTTCCCGAGAAGATCGCGTTTTTTGTTGTGATGTGAAACAATAAAGAAACATCAAGACCTCGACCTTTGGTGATCATTTTCACGGACGATTTTCGCAACTAGGCGCCACGACATTGACTTTGGTCCTCCTTGATTGATTCAGCTGTTTACAACCGCAGACGCGGGATGTACTGTCTTCACAATCTTGTTGTCGATCATTGAGAGAGGCCGTTATTTCAACATGATGTATAGTAGCCGCACAATTGTGAAGATGCGTGACACATTGATTCGAGGTCGTCCTCGTCCGGTTCTAACACTGTTGGCCTTCTCTTTCTCTCTGTTGCAGATCTGTCTTATCTTTCGCGCTTCCGCGGTACAGCTACGGATCAGATCCGCGGCGATTGGAACGACGTCAAACGTAGACGAGGCTGAGGAAGGAAAAGGTGCCGAGAAGGGCGATTATGCCACCGATCCTCACTCCGACGAAGCCATTGTACCTCCGCCCATAGCTGCGCACAATTCGGCTCTGCGTATCGCGTCCGCGCTACCAGAAGGGGAACAAGGTGCCAACCTCGGAGCTGCACCAGCGACCACCAGGGATTGCTGTCTGTGCCTGGAGCCGTTGAATGGCCCGCCGGGCTTGGAGCTTTCGACAGCAGACCGGGAAAAAATTTTGCAGTCCTCTCGGGACAGACAACAAAGAGGAGAAGAAGCTGTGTCTATCGCGCGGACACTCGTGTTTCCACCTGGCCTGCGTGGCGCTGCATCTGCGGAAGTTGTTGCCGAAGGAGTTGGAGCTGGTCGATATTGAACTCCCAAAAGTTCTTTGTTCCTCTTACCCGACCGGTGGAGGTGTCACCGCAACCATTTTAGAAGAAGTAGATACTGCGCCAAGTGTTGCCGGCGCGTGCGTGGAGGAAGGAGGCAGTAGTAGCTCGACCAATTATATGTAGTGAGGTCACCGAACGGTTCTAACCAGGGAGTTTTTTTGACACCTACCGTGAAAAACGACCGGCAGTTTTCAAGCGGGCGAAAGTGTTTTTGAGCATAAAAAATTTTCAATTATCAAGCGGCTTTGGCTGTGTCGGCACCGAATCGCCAGCGGATTCTATCGATCGCCGCTGGGTAAAACGACGCAGACAAGCCAGCAAAAGGGGCGCCCTTCTGAGGCGCCCACCGCCTTAGTTTCTGGCGGTTTGGGGCGCCCAAAAAGGGGCGCGAAAAAAACGCGCCCAAAATCAGAACAGCGAAACAGCACGGCACGGCCGCGATTTCGGAGCATTTTGGGCGGCCGCGAAAGCGGCCGAGTTTTCGCCTGTTTCAGAGCCTGGGAAGCTTTGCAAAAAGCGCCGGCGCGAAAAATAAAAACGCAAAAAAGCAAAAGCGCGCCAGACGCGCAAAGCCAACCCGCATGCTACGGGCCCGATTTCCCTTCGCTTTTTGGGCGCCCCCCGTGGCACCCGGATCGGCCCCATAGCATGGGGGCTGGCTTTCGGAAGGGAATATCGGGAATTTGCCAAAATTTGCGACGTTTATGAAGCGGCCACCATACCGTGCGGCCTAACGTTACTCGCGACGGCATGGCGAACCCAGGAAAAGCACAGCCGCGGCCAAAGCGACGGCCGGCAAGAAAACGCCCACGACCTCACTACCTCCGCCCCGGCGGCTATATTTGGTAATCCTGCCTCCTCAACGACTGGCGCTGCAAGAGCAGGACCTGCCACAGCAGACGTGCCAGCCACTTCCTCTGACCACTCACCGTGTGCCGATGCAAGCGACCAGGATGCTGGCTCGGAAGAGGTCGAACTGGCGACCGTGCAGTACCCCTGTCCGATGTGCCGACAGACCACGGATCTGAAATTGAAGGTAAAGGTGAAGTTAAAGTCTAGTACCGACACGCTGTTCAGTCAGGAAGGAAGTGTCGTTTCGGGAGACGGAGAACAGGGGACCGCATCTTCTGAGCACGGCGAAAATAGTACAGACAACACCATTTACACGACCACGTCACGACCCGTACAAGTTGTCCCGGAGTATTTGCAGAGACTCCGCCGCGGCGAACCGCTGCTGCTCTCCGGTGCGCCGCGGTTTCCGGATGTTAGCGGGGACGAGTGGGTGGTGACCACGATGCACCGCCTGTTAGACACCATGATTTTCCGGCTGGAGCAGTCCCCCCTCGGCACCGCCCGGGAGTGGTCCGCCTCCGAGGTGGACGCGATGTCTCCGCTGCGGTCGGGCCGGACAGCGATGCGGGGGGGACAGCAGCAGCGCGACCCCTTGATGTCACCGCTCACGAGCCAGGCGGTCATGTCGCAAGATCCGTCGGTGCAGGAGGTTGATCTGCGGAGGAGGCGCAACGCGCTGGTTTTGCCAGATATCCTGACCGGACCCTACGACGAGAATAATCCGGACCACGTCAGCGGCGCCGCGTTTGCGCCCTTCGTCGCCGCGGGGGTAGCTGCAGTCGCGCAAGGACAGCAACAGCAGAACCGGGGAACTGCCGCGCGCATGTTGCTCGGCCGTATCCGGCAGCTTGAGCAGAATCCGGTTTTCGTGATATCACAATGAAAAATGCCCCCTCCCCATGTCAAAACGGAAATCTGTGATGCAGATTTGTGGTCACAAATCAGCTTTGTGATGCTAGAAGGCAAAAGATGCGGACTGTAGTGCTGCCTAGCGTGGGAGAGCCTTGCAGCTCCAGGATGACAGGAGGCAACTGGAAGTGGGAAACCGCATGACAGATTACCTGCAATTTATGCTGCAGCTTCGTCTCTTGGCCTTCTAGCAATACAAGTCGATTTGTGTACTCAAATACAGCATCACAAATTCGCGCATCTTCCGTTTCCGATATGGGGTGGAAGCTTTTTTCACTATGATGCGTGAACCTCATGGACGCCTCACCCTCCACGCCGTATTCCCCCTGGACCGCACGGACGCACGACAGCATCCTGTCGCCGGACCCGCCAACGGAGGGAGGTTGAAAGGGAATCGATTGTTTATTTTCCAGGGTGCCGTAGTTGTAGCACTTGCAACGATTATACGGATACGATAGTTGTTGTGTGAGCTGTGATGTCACTACCACTCTAAACGTACAGTAGATTAGAATAGCAAATACAAGCAAAGGCTCTTTGCTCTTGCTGACTTTTTTGTTTCGCAGTGAAAGTTATGCGGCTTCATTGATTTTGCAAATAAAATGCCTCTATGGCTGATGGGTCTGCAAAACTCACAGGCTTTCGTTTTTGGTCTTGCGTACATTATGCTACGAAGTAGAATCAATTCTCGTGATTATCAGCATTATTCCAGAGCTGTCCGTATCCATTGTGCTTTGATTGTTTCGTGAGCACTGCGTGTGCGTTGTCGTTTTCTCCGTTTAATCGCTTTCCGTATATGATTGTTTGTGTTGTACATGATTTTCGTCACTGAGAGCGGGTTACCGAGCGGCGAGTGGGTCTTATTTTGTTTCAGAGGAGTTGTAGAAAGTGAAAGTACTACATGTGGGGAGCAGAAGAGCGTGCGGGCTGACAGACAGAAGCAAATTGCACACAGTAGTAAGCAGCCTCCTATTTTACAACAGCAGCGCCCGCCGGGAAGCTGCGCGGTCTTTCCATTGTATTCACAATTTTGACGAGGGCTTCTTTATTTCTCATGTAGTCTTTCAGAGGATGTTTTGCAGGTAAGTTTTTATTGAAAGAATAGACGCAATACTATTTTGATTTTCCAACGTCTCCCGTGGTCTTCGGTGATTTCGCTGGAAAAGTGCAAAAATTTCTGCACAACGACGGAACAAGGCCGACGTTGTCGTACTAATTTGCCCGACGTGGCGAACACGAAACCGTACCTGCAGCTGCATCCTCAGAAGTGCCTTGGCTCCATGTTTTGACGCGCACCCGTCGTCCTCCTACCTGCAGCAACAGAAGTACCTACAGAAATAACGTAAAAACGCAACAAACCCTCGCCGCGGAACAAGAATCAATTCAAGAAGACCTGCAAATGAAGCTAAAGCGGTTCCTGCTCCGCTACTACCCCTCCGGTGTGGTGTTAGAATTCGTGAGGAAAAGCGGGGAAGTGGAAACGAAATCGATTGACTTGCTGAACCTCACTCCCGAAACGGACGTCGATGTACTGATTTCTCAGATTATCAGCGAAGAGCCGCTCATTACCGAGTCGAAGCGGGGGTTGCTGAAGAAGTTGATTCTGAAACTGATAGAAAAACTGCAGCAGGACAAGGAAGGCGACAGCCGGTTTAGTTTGTACAAAGTGCTCCGAGCACACATCCTCCCGCTGACCAACTGCGCGTTCAACAAATCCGGGTCGAAATTTATCACAGGCAGCTACGACCGAACCTGCAGAATATGGGACACGGCCACCGGGAGCGAGCAGTGTGTTTTGGACGGACACAAAAACGTGGTCTACGCCATCGCATTTAACAACCCCTTCGGGGATAAAGTAGTCACCGGGTCCTTTGACAAATCAGCAAAAATCTGGGACGCCGGGAGCGGGAAATTGCTGCATACGCTAAAAGGTATTTTTTGATAGCAGTTTTCGATTTTATGTGTAGAAGTCTACTTTGTTTTTCGTCGGTGGAGGTCAGATCCAGGGTGATGCGTTCGATTTAGTACATATCTAAGATCGTAGATAGTGAAATAAACTGTTATGCTGTTCTTAAAGACCAGTAGAAGTTTTTGTTTATCGAGCACGAGCACCTCCAATATTAAATCCGTTCTAGGTCACCAGACGGAGATTGTCTGTGTGGTGTTCAACCCGCAGGGCACCCTCGTTGCGACGGGCTCCATGGACAACACGGCAAAACTCTGGGACGTAGAAACGGGTGTCTTGGTGAGCAGTTTGGAAGGCCACTCCGCGGAGATTGTGAGCTTAAACTTCAACACCGACGGGGACCGACTCCTCACCGGCAGTTTCGACAACACGGCGAAGATATGGGACTCCGCCACGGGGCAATGCATCCACACCTTGGCAGGACACCTCGGGGAAATATCGTCCACGCAGTTCGACTTTACAGGTGAGAATACTTTTAGTACGCTGTTTGTACAGACTTCGAATTTATTGGTATCATGCGTTTTGAAATGGAAAAAAAAGCTGTAATTCATTATACAAAGCTAAAAAGCATCAATGTTCCTCTAAGGTGACTACTGCGTGACGGGCTCCATTGACCGGTCGTGCAAGCTTTGGGACACCCATTCTGGCGAGTGCATCGAGACGCTGAAGGGCCACTCCGACGAGGTGCTTGACGTCTGCTTCAACATGACAGGAAACCGATTAGCCTCCGCTTCAGCTGACGCAACGGCCCGGATTTATAACGTCATGACGGGGACTTGCATCTCAATCCTAATCGGACACGAGGGAGAAATATCAAAGGTATAGGAAAAACAAATTTGTTCGAGTTTTGTGTTTCTTGTCTGCATGCAAAACGTGAAAATGCAACTCCGTCTACGAATACAGATATGCAAGTTCTCAACAATCCCATTGTAGGTTCAATTCTCTCCCTCCGGTGCGAAGGCGATCACCGCTGCGAGCGACCGGACCTGTCGCGTTTGGTCCATCGAAAGTGGCGAGTGCCTGCAGATTCTCGAGGGCCACACCGACGAGATTTTCTCTTGCGCATTCAACTACGACGGCGATACAATTATTACCGGTAGTAAGGACAACACGTGCAGGATTTGGAAGATCGGGGACAAGGGGGAGCAGTCCGTGGAGGAGAGAAGCTACAACTGAGATAGATCGTAGTGGAGGAGGAGGCAGGGTCTTTCTACTGCGGGTCGAGAAGAAGTTGTTTTGGATCATGCCATAAATTACATTGTAAAATGATCGAAAATCGACAAGATTTCGATCATCTTGGAAGTAGGGGGTTGGAGGTTTTGTGGATTGGAATAGATTGTTGTACATTTTTAGTCTTTGAATGCTTTGCTGCGCAGAAAGAAGAGTTGAGAATTTTAGTCAGGATCATGCACAGGGCCGGCTACTTGGAAAATTCCGGACCGGACCGCACCGTGTGATTATGTTGACATCTTGGTGTTCAGCTTCAATTTGCTATATATAATTCGCTTCACACTACTTAGACGCTATGATGCAATGGAGGTGATGAGAGAGATAGACCATCATGGCGCGGCTTTTTGAAATGTCTCTGGTAGCCGGACCGGCGGACCAGTTCGAGCAGCCGGCCTGCTCGAGCAATTGGTCGACGGGCCAGAGATTTGGCGAGGGTTTTCAGTGGGAGGGACAGGCTGCATATGAGTTTCGCGCCTACAGCCGCTACACGCAGCAGATGTTTCGCGCCGGGTAAAAGCGTGCCTCGTTGCAGCTGGCGGGAAACTCCCCCCTGCCGGCCTGGCTAGCGGCGGGGCCCGGGGGCTATATGGCGGGGGCTACACAGCCATAGGCGCTGAAGTACCCCTGGGCGTGCGCTGATTGCTGGGCTGGTGTTGTTTGCTCTCGGCTGTTGGCCCAGCTCTGGGAAGCGTGGCGGCGCGCGGCGGCCGCCGCGGAAATTGGCTCCCCTGGGCCAGGCGGGCGGCGCGGACGGGCCGGGAGCGCGGCGCCCGGCGCAGGGCCTTGAAAGCGTGCCAGCGAAGCTGGCCCGCCCGCGCGCGTCGCGTGCCCCAAAACCAAACGGGGCCCACCCATGACAAGGGGGCCGAAGGTCCAGCGCGGCCGTTCCCCGGCGGCCGCCGGCCCGCGTGCAAAGCGCGAGAGGCCTGCGCCGCCATCTCGCGCGATTCATTTCATGCGCCCGCGCCAGTCCCGGCAGTATATGCCGCCGAAGGCGTGCCGCGTCTGGGCGCAGTGCTGAGGCGGGCGCGCCAGCAGCCGCCTGCCCAAAACGTCCACAATACGCCCGGCATGAGTGCCGGAGGCCCGCAAGCGGAGGGAGCCACGGCCCGCACCCTTTTCGCTGTTGCCGCCGCGCCTGGTGCGCTTGTTTGGGGCGCTTTGTTTGCTTCGCGGCCCCGCATTAGCTGCCGCGCCCTTTTTGGGCCCGCGCCGGGCGCTTTTTTGGGCCGGCAGGGGCGACCAGAAACCATGGCGGCGGTGCGCGTGAAGCCGCCCGGGCTCCTTCGCCTCCCGGCCCCAGTTCGGCCCACCGAGAGCGGCGCCCCGGGCAGGCTTGGAGCTTGCGGGCCCTCGGGGCTCGGCATGGGCCCTCCATTTGGTATGGCCGGGGAGCCAGATCGCGGGGCGCGCCCGCGGTCTATGTTGTGGGCCCCCGCCCCGTGAATTGGGGCGGGACGAACTGCCGCGGGCGCAGGGCCGGGAAGCAAGCGGGCCGGCCGCGCGCGGAGGCAATTCCTGGCGCCGCCGCCAGTTGCTCGCGACGCTCGCGTAGGCGGCCTTGCAGATGTGCCGCGCGCGCTTCACTTATATGCAATCTGCGCATGGTTTCTCTCGGGCTGCCGGTTCACGGATTTTCGTCTCGCTACAAGAGGGCGGCCACTTCTTTCGTTGGATCGATTTGGTGATGTTCGGGGAGAAGGGCTGCGGCGAGAGGATTTGCAAAGTCGCGGGCTTAGACGAGTTCTTGATGAGAGCAAAGCTTTTCGTGTTGCTGTGGTCGCTCTGTTCTGTGAGGAACAAGAAATTGGATTTGCCGCCCGACAAGACTTACATACGGAGAACTGGCTTCTCATCTCCACATTGCGATGAAAATCTACGGTGAAAGTTGCCGTAGTACGACTTACAGACAGAATAGGCACAGTGCATGGGTAGAATAGTGCGGAGAACTCTGTGTCGATCTTTTGTAAATATCACGGAAAAAGTCTTGCTTTTCGTATTGATATGTAGTGAGGTCACCGAACGGTTCTAACCAGGGAGTTTTCTTGACACCTACCGTGAAAAACGACCGGCAGTTTTCAAGCGGTCGGAAGCGTTTTTTGACAAAAAAAAATTTCAATTATCAAGCGGCTTTGGCTGTGTCGGCACCGAATCGCCAGCGGATTCCATCGGTCGCCGCTTGGTAAAACGACGCAGAGAAGCCAGCAAAAGGGGCGCCCTTCTGAGGCGCCCACCGCCTTAGTTTCTGGCGGTCTGGGGCGCCCAAAAAGGGGCGCGCAAAAAACGCGCCCAAGATCAGAACAGCGAAACAGCACGGCACGGCGGCGATTTCGGAGCATTTTGGGCGGCCGCGAAAGCGGCCGCCCTTTCGGCGGTTTTAGAGCCTGGGAAGCTTTGCAAAAAGCGCCGGCGTGAAAAATAAAAACGCGAAAAAAAAAAAGTGCGCCAGATGCACAAAGCCAATCCGCATGCTATGGGCCCGGTTTTTCTTCGCTTTTTGGGCGCCCCCCGTGGCACCCGGATCGGCCCCATAGCATCGGGGCTGGCTTTCGGAAAGGAATTTTGGAAATGTGCCAAAATTTGCGACGTTCCCCAAGTGGCCGCCATACCGTGCGGCATAACGTTACTCACGGTGGTATGGCGAGCCCATAAAAAGCAAAGCCGCGGCCAAGGCTATGGTCGGCAAAAAAACGCCCACGACCTCACTACCCCCGCCCCGGCGGCTATATTTGGTAAGATACAACACTCACACCATGCCAACTGCATCTTCTTCTTCAGCCAAGTGCGCCATTCCGCCCGCGAGCTACGGCGGTAAAGTGCAACCCAAGGTGGACCCAGTCGGAAGTCACGCTAACTTCCACTCGCAGAAGCAACCCGCGTTCACCGAGAACCCCGTTTCCGCGAGCACCAGCCACCGGTTTTTTCCCAGATACGAGCGCTCTGAGTTCCACACGGAAATCCAGAATTACGATCTTTTGCAGCAGGCCAGGCAGGCTTCTCTCTTCACCGCAGGCAGCTGCGGAAGCAGTGGCACTGCACTGGGTAGTACCCTTGGGGGGTTCGGTAATAAAAGTCAAACCCGACCTGGACAAAATGATGCAGCTTCCTCAATCCTTCGGTCGCAGATCGGACAGAAGGCCGTTCTGCAAACGCTTGAAGGTCTGTGGAAGGAGTATCAGCAGCGGTTTCAGGAGCTGCAGCACGGGCTGCGGGACTTAAGTAGGACTCTCGTGGAGCAGGAGGATCTGGTTCCGCTGGAGCAGAGCGCTACTTCTTTGTCGAACCAGTCTACTCCTGCAACGGACACCATCCTTCTGAACGATGTGGCGGCCATTCTGGAGCGGTTGCGGGACAATTTTCCCGTCGCAATCTGGTCTCAGTTTCTCGTCGACTTGGGGGGCAGTAGAGAAACGGAAGAAGTTCGCACCACAGGACGGACGCCCAGTAGTGGAGCAAAAGCCGTTCCTGGAGTTTCAACCTCTGCGCCGCGTGCTGCTGCTGCGGATTGGTATTGTGAAACCTTGGAAACCGTTCTGCAACACGTTGCCGCCATGACTTCCTCGCTTCCTACTTCTGCGCAAGGGGAAGCAAAAATCGGAGCTGGCGCGGAAGAGGCTCGTCTCGGTTCTGCAAAGGTTAAAGCCGCGTCTGACCCCGCTGTGGACACTGGAGCAGACACTGCCGCTACTGTGCTTGCCGGATCCGGGCGTGTAGACGTTGCTGCGCCGCCGGCGGAAAATAAACAAGCTGCCCAAGAACCCGAATTTCTTGCAAATGTAATCGAGGATTGCGACGGCAGTCCCGACGACGTGGGCCCGAGTTCGCAGACCGAACGAACTGCTGGTGCAGCAGACAAGCGAGAAGCCGATGACTTCGTCTCGATGTGGATGTGGCTGAACAAAGCCGCGGGGAGAGCACCGGCACGCGAAGATGACAACGGCAACGGTGAGGAGAAAACTTTTTCCTCACGGCAGGAAACTTGCGAAGCGGAGCATCATGCAACGGGACAGAGCGAGAGCCGGGAGCGTGCGGTAGTGGATAAAGACCTGCTCATGGTGGATCGGAGCATTTGGATAAACGCGACGTCTGCTGCGGAAGAAGATGGAGGATTGCATGTCCCGAAAGACGTGTCAAATACACGAGACCCAGCTCCGACAGCACCTAGTTGCGCTGCCGGGCGGGAGGAAGGAGTTAGCGGCGCCGAGGGTGGCCCAGTCCAGGACGAGCTAAGAAGTCGCGTGCTCCTGGTCGGGACAAAGCTTCTTGCGCAGCTGAAGAAGGTGGCTGCTTCTACACCATCCTCAAGTACGACGGCGACGACTAGCGACAGAGTCGCCACGAGTGCAACGAAAAGCGGCACTATGGATCTCTCAGCAATCGCAACTGCTTTGGAGGAGCAGATCTACCGCGATTTACTCGTGCTCCGAATTAGTACAACGAACGACAAAAGTGGTAAAGCCGGGAAGGGTTCTTTGCGGCCGGCCAGCAACACTTCTACCGCGACGCAGCAGAGGAACGCCGGTGAATTACAGAAGCAGACGCAGTTGGAATACCGCCAGCGCGTGGCCGAGCTTTGTGAGAAGATGAAGAAAGTGCGGTCATTTTCTCTCTTGAAGTTCATCGAAGAGTTTACAACTACTACTTCCCAGGCGAGGAGTTGTGCTGTTGGGAGATCGAGATCCGACAGCCAAGACACACCCGTGCCACAAGTGGATTCTTGCGACGCCATGGGCTGTGGTCCAGCAGGATCTCGAGGTCTTGCAACAGATGACGCTCATTTGATACAGGATCACTTGGTGAAGCGATTCTTGGATGTGGTGCTTTTTTCGTCTGGTAAGGAAAAGGAATCGAACGCGAAGAAGGTCGTGCAAGAACTGCCGGGCGTTCTTCAAAAGCGTACTGAAGGAACTGCAGCGGCAGCTGCAAATCGAGTTGATGGCAGAGTCAAACAAGGTCTGCTGATGACGTCTTTGGTTCTTGCAAACCCGAAATCCACGAAGAGCACCGTGGGAGAGGAGACGACTGGATCTTCTACTGCAAAACTGCCCCACGGTGCGTCTGCGATTTCCTCGAGCAGTGATCATTCCACACGGCAGGAGAACAAGAACGAGAAGGGAAAACCGCCCTGCTCCTCGTTGCTGTCGCTGTTGGGGGGACCTCAAAACAAAACCAAGACAAAAGCTAGTGCGTCACTGACTTTAAAGCACCCGCTCTGTCATCAAAACGGCAGCTACACAAAAACAGCTCGCCGTAGACTAGACGAGGACGAGCTCGAGCTGTTCGGGGGTGAGGTGTCGCCAGAGAAGGGTCTCGATGTGGTGCAGGAGAGCTATGAAAAACGGGAGGATGTACGGAAAAAAAAACGTGAAGCGGAGGCGAAGAAACACGAGCTGATGCAGCAAACGAAGCGGGAAGAGGCGCAGTTGAGTGATAGTTTGAATGCGCGGGGCTCCACTGCTTGGTTTGTCGAGAAGATCAATGACGGGAGCATTTTCCTGCCGGCAAAACAGAAGACGAAGACAATAGGTTTCGCAGCCGGACAGCAAGCTCATTTCGCGACGGGCTTGGTGGCGCCGCAGCTAGCTGCGCAGCAAAGGAGCCTGCATGCGGAGAAAAATACACACCGCGGAGAACAGGCCAGGAACCATTCTCAGATGAAAGCTGGGCCGACTACTTCCTTGAACTCGAAGCCAAAGCAGCCGCCCCCAGAGTTTGTGGCCCGGATCAATGCGAACGGAGAAAGAGAAGTTGTGCGAGCACAAGACTTTTCCGAAGGGAATTGGCACCCAAGTTTAGGCGCGAAGCGCAGGAGGGTCTTTTCAGGGAGTTTAGATCTGGAAGATTGATTGATGAAGTTGCACGCCTGAATGAAGCCTAGGCGCAGCGTTTTGATTCTGGTTCCATAAGGCAACTGAGCAGATGAACACTTGCGACTCGCCGCCGTGGAAGTAAAACTTACAACCCCTTTGGAGTTAATAGATACCGATTGCGTAAGACAGCAACTCGGTCTGCAGCTTTGCTGTGTTCGATTGTCTCTGGTTAGCTCGTGCGCAGATACTAGCATGCGCTTGCGGAGAGTGAGTATCGTGGGCGACGTCGATATGCCGACTAAGAGCCCGCTCGCGGCAGATATTTTTTCAGTTACGGGAGAAAGTTGCCCGACGGGCTGCGGCTGCGCAAGCAATGCCCGCGCCGGCGCGGCCGGCGCCGGGGCCGCCACCGCTGGCGGCGGGCGGGGCGTTTTTGTGCGCGGGCCCGAAGGAGGCCCGCAGCGGAGGCCACACAGGGCGGCCGGCGCGGAAGAAGGGCGAGAGCGCGACCAGGCCGCAGCCGCAAAAGTCTCGGCGCCTGCGCAGGTGGCGCGGCCCTGAGAGGGGCCGAAACCCACCAAGCCCGGGCCCGGGTAAAGGCCTCCGGACCCTTCCGGGCCCCCGAATGCGCGGGCTTTGTTTCGGCCGCAATTAAAGGCGGGACGGAGGGATGGGCAATCGGCAACAGCAGGGGGGTGGCAACTGGATTGGCGAGGCAGGCCGCCCGAGAAATCCGGCCCCCAATAGGCCCCGCCGAGCCCGCCCCGGACCGACCCCCAGCGGGCAGCGGCGACGGGCCTACGGGGGCGCCTCCGCCGGTATGCAAAACGCGGACCCCGGCGGCCCGCGGTTCCGCTGCCCGTACGCTTCCCGCGTGCTCCCCGCTGGAAAGTTCTTGGGGGCACCCGGGGCGCGTCGCGTGCGATAACGGCGCCGGCCGGGGCCTGCTTCATTCCCTTGGGGCTGCTTGGGCCGCGCGCTCTCGTACATCGAGGGGACGCGGCCGGAGGCAGGGCCTTGGGGCCACGGAGGTGGTCCGGGCCCTGGTGCCGAAGCTTCGAGCGGCGTTGGTCGTGGAGGGCCCGGGGCGCGCAGCAAAGGCGCTGCGGAGTGGGCCCCTGTTCGACGCAAGCCGGAACGCGACCGCAGACAGCACCTGTTGGACACGGCGCAGCCCTTGCGGACTTGGCTCCGCAAGCGGTTCTGCGGCACAGTGCCGCGCCGAAGCCCGGGGGCTAGTATGGCCGGCCCGCCCCGGACTTTCGTCCCAGGCGGGCAGGCACGCCGAAGGCCCTTCAAGGTAGGCCGCCACTGCCGAGCGGGGCCAGCTCCCTCAGAACTGCCTACCAAAATTACGTAGCTGCCCCCCGGCGAGCCAGCAGACCGAGGCGGATGATTCTCCCACGCAGCCAAGCAGGTAGCGCCGCGGAAGGCCGGCGCCGCCGCCATCGCCGCCGCCGCTCCTTGGGCGGAGGGCAGGCCGGTCTCGCGCGGGCGGTTCGGTCGGAGACTCAACAGGCTCAAGGGGCGGCCGCGCCCGCTGCGCGCGCGTGGCTTCAGTTGTGAGTCTGCCCCGCGGGGCAGGAGGGTGCCCCTGCGCGCAGAAGCCACACCCCGACCGCAGCCCGAGCAGGCGCGCCAGGCTGCGGCCGCACACTGGCGCGTTGGCCGGCGCTTGTTGGTGTTGCCGGCTCCGCTGCGAGATAGATTGCCCCAGGGCGGAGCAACCAGGCGGATTGCCCTCGTGCCTGACGTGTGCCTGGCACCGTTTGCAGCTTCTTCCCGTTTTCTTGTACTACCGGCGAAGACTGCGAGCGCGAGGGGCGTGGAAGTTAGAGCACATGTGGCACTAAGTTGAGGCAAGTATCCTTGCTTTCGTGGTTGTTCTGTGTTTACAAATTACTCCAGAATTCCATGTTGGGCACGTTGTGCGTGGTCGAATCAAATGAAATGCAAGTGGTTTTCAGAGTTAACAAGAAGGAACCTTGGAAATTAGTATTCGATCAGTGAGAGTGGTGCACTAGCTCGCACATGGTTATAGCAGCGCAATCGCGCATCATTCTGGCTAGTACATGACACGAAGTAATGATCCAGACAGTTGTTTGCCGATTCCAACTTCCCTCAGCTGGAGGTTTCGCACCTTACCACATTTTCGCAGCTACGCTTTTCTTCCATGTCCCACCTACCATACCTGGTGCCAAAATGTCTACCCCGCCAGCACCAGAGTCACTGCTCCAAACAGATGGCCTGAGCGCCAAATCCCTCCGCCCACTATCCGACACTACAACCGATAATATGGAAGACACCCAGATGAATCTTCATGCACATGAGGAGCCGCGGCAAGATCTCGAGATAGTCTACCTTACCGGGGAAAACGCCGCGGGCAAAACGTCTCTAGGCCGCTACATCGCGGAGAAGTACAGCAGCAGCAACTGGCAGTTTATCGACGGCGACGAGTTCGTCGACAGCGATCCTGAGCTAAACTCATGGATGAAAGCAGCGAGCGGCAAAGTGATTTCGAAGATGCGGGGAACGTTTGCTCCTGGAGAGGGAGACAATGACGAAAAGGATGCGCGTATAATCGCAGAAGTTAAAAGACACGACGAGGAAGTTCGCGCGGTTATGGAGCCCTTCTTCCGTGCGGTGTTTTCGAAGCTGAAAGAGCAAATAATTCAAGAAAGTATGCCAGAGTCGTCAAAAAAGGTCATCTTTTCCTACCACATCTGGCGGAACTGGACGGTTGATCTTTTCCAGACGTTTTTCCCAGAGGGGAAAATCATCGAGGTCAAAGTGGACCGGAGAACTTTGCTAAATAGGTTTGTCCAACGTGAAATCGCAGCCGGCCTAGACCACGAAGCCCGCTGGAGAGAAGACCCGGGCGAGCGGTTTGCGATGTTGCGAAATTTTTACGGGCCTGAATGGAAGGGGAACGAGGAAAACTACAAAAAATTCGTCGAATGGCGGTTCTACTTCTACCGAGAGCCTTTTTGGGATAAGGATGCAGACGAAGGAATTATGAGAGCAGATGTTGGTGAAAATATTTTCGTCGTTAATAACGACAATTTTGATGCTGCTCGGGAACTGGAAAAAATTTTGGAATTGGAAAAATCTTGAAAACGTGAGCGCAGCGACCGCGTTTATTATCGACGATTCAGCGCTCCTCTTAAGTTGTTTGAAAGTTTGCGTGCATGGCAGATTTTGAAAAAGATGTTTTTTATCGTGCTTTTCAAGTAGTAGTGCCACTTAATGAGCAGTGCGTTGTTCTCACTGGCATCTACACTTCGGTTAACTCTCGTACTCACTGGCTTTTAACTTCGGTTAACTCTCGTACTCGTCACTCGCATCTAGCTTCGGTTCGTGGTTGTGGTGGAGCAAGGAAGTGTTTCTTTTCGTAGAACAGAGAATTTCGTCGGTTCTTGTACTTCTGTAGCTTTCGTCCTTCTGTCCTTCGGTGCTCGTCCTCCTGAATTTCCGGTCGTTCACTTTGAGGCAATTTCCTCAACACGATCGGGCGTAGATAACATTGGATTCGCTTTGTCGTCCCGTTTCGTGGTCGTTCCTCTATCCATTTTAGATGACCGTTTTAGTCGTGTTTGCCTCCTCAATGTCGCAAGATATTGAAGGGTAAGTTTTCGTCAAACAATAGACTATCGCACCAAAATTACGACCAGCAAACACCTCGCTCTAAGAGTATCTCTCAAGCACCTAAGAACAGCCTCTCCGCAACAAGCACGAAAGAAAAACTCTCTTCTCGCATTTCAAAGGAAACACTCCCCGACGTCGAACAATCTTCAGAAGCTTTTGCTTGCGAGAAAACCTTGACCTTGTCTACTCTAGTAGAAGTACGCTTCTTCCCCTTACCGTAATAAAGAGTTCCGTGGTAGAAGTCGACTCTATCAAAATGCCTCTGTGCCCGTGCTGTTCCTGCTGTGGTGGTGCCCCGGCCGACGCCGCTACGGCCGACGAGGCCGCGCCGATCGTGCGCAAGTCGGGCTCCAAGGCAGACCGAAAGTCCCGGAGCAGTAAGGCCGCAGATGGGGAGGAAAAGACAGAGGAGCGAAAGTCGCGGAGTAGCAAGGCTGCAGACGCGGAGGCAAAGAAGCAGGATGAGGAGGAGGAGGACGATGAGGAGGAGGAGAAAGAAGAGGTGTAAGAATGGAAATCTTTTCAACAAAATAAAGCACTAGCTGCGCGTTTTGTTTTATCACGACGGAGCGGCGCGTTGGTAGCCTCTAAAATTCCGAATCTGGTTTACCGCATGCGAAGTAACTTTAGAAATTCAACATTCCAAGATTACGATTTGACTTTTGCAACCTTGACTATACGTAGCAGCGAACATGGAGACTTTCCTTTCGTTGATATCACACCACTCAGAGGAGGCTGCGAGTGCTGTCTTCGACGCAGCGCTTGTTTCGGCCACCGTCGGTAGCCCCGGCAAAATAAAATTTGGATATATAATCTAATATACCATTTCTTTGAGCTGCCCTCAAACGCAACTCTAATATACTCGCAACCGTACAACAACAACTGAACTCCTAGAGAACTTTTCTGCGTGCTTTTTTCCTGTTTGTGATGTGCCCCTTTCTAGACAAACGAGAAAACAAAAGTGCGCTGCCGCTTGGCGAAAGGAGATAAAAGGTGAGTCTTAAGCTTGCTTTGAATATACTACGGTATCCCCGTCAAACTAATTTGGTACTTGTCATACTGTATCGAAAAATAAAAGCGAGGCGTTGCAAGTAACCGTAAAAGCTTCCCGCTGCGGCAGGAAAAGAGAAGAGATTTCACGTGTTTCGAATTCGTCTGGGGCTCCTCGAAAAAGTTTAAAGAAGCCGTAATAGTTGTTTTCATGCGGCATCATGTGAATGTGTAGTACCGGGGCAGATACACTTCTCGTTTGTCTTTCAATCAGACGTCGTGGGGCAGTAGAACGTGAGAAAGAAAAGAGAGACAGAGCGAAGCCAGGTAGATTCGTGTATCCTCGTGACATGCAAATCAGGCGCAGGTGTGGGACGCTTAAATGACCCGAGGACGGAAAGCTGCTCTGTTGGCGCTTTTCGAGCGGTGCAAAGTCATCGACCTGACGGGAGTGCTGGTTTCATTTGAGGCATTTCTAATCGAATTGCAGGAAACCTAGCAGAGAAAAGCAGTTTTTTTTTTCGGCTCGAGAAAAGATGCCCGCCCACCAGAACAAACCGGACAACTACAAGTCCGCTCCGCGTTTTGGCATCGTCAAGCGCAACTGCCTCGGGGCTTTGACCGCGAGTGCCGGTGTCGCGAACATCCTGGGCGCTTCCGCGTTCGACCAGGCGTCGAAGTCGGGGAGGGGTGATTTCACCCTGACCCCGGATGGGGAGACGGAAGGCACCGACGTGACCAGCGCCGACGGTGGGGAAGGTACTTGATTGGAAGTAGCAGGAGTACTAGCTCAATACATACTTACGCTGCACCTGCTCAGCAAGCTCGATACAGCAATGAAGAATTCCACTACGTGATAAAAAAATATGGATGACATACATGTCGAGCTGTGCATGACCACATTCAATAAACAATACTAGAATACACAAACGTATTAACGGATCACACCAGGTATGTCGTCCTTGCAGCCGAATGGGGAGAGCGGACCCGTCGTCGACACGTCGTGGCGGAGAACGGATTCGTATAGGGGAATGGGCCCGCTGAACGAGATGAGGGAAAGTATAATGTTATAATTGTTCTTCGTTATTTTTTTCTAAATATGATGCATCAAGTCATTTGGCTCAAGTCTTTTTGGCTCTGTCTTGTTGCCGTATCATAATAGAGCACACATAGGGATAGGAGCGACTGGTGTAGAAGAGCAGAAAAGATCCTCTTTTAGCGCTAAAGAGCGACGGCATTTTTTTGGCTTTATCAGTTTCTACATTGTCCGCGCCACCAGTCGCTCCACCGCACTAGGCGGGTTCACAGGTCAACACGTTTATCGCCCTCGAATGCGGCGAGGTAAGTTTATGCCATTTACCGTAGAGCTGGTTCTTGTTCTTTTTTTGTCGCCGCGGTACACACCAGCAAAAAGTAGAGGCTCGTCAGCACCGCCGAAAAGGAACATGCTAGCCCCCTCCTCTGGACCAATCAGCAGGCAGCACTGCCAGGCCTGTGGCTGCCAGCCGTGCGAAGCGTTTCAACAACATCCCAAGGCGGAGAACGGCCGGGGCCGCTCCCCCCACTGCCGGGGTCTTGGGTGCCACATCGGGTTCGGGACCACGCTGAAGGCACGTAGTAACAGGCAGCAGCAGCAGCGTCACGAGACTGCCGCGGCCCGGTGGTCGGCCGCGCTGTTGTCCTCTAAGAGCAGAACCACCCTCAGAGTGATGCGCCTCCTTCTCGAGTGTTCCGCTTGGAACTACAGTCCCGCCTGGAGAAAGGCGGCTGGGTCGATTGTCCATCGCTGTGGGAGGCAGTGTTAGTATATTAAATTGATTAAGGGGTGGGGCATTCATGTTGTTGCGTCTGTTTCTTTGCATGCCGTCGATTGCCTTTGCATGCCGTATTGTAAGTACCTGTAGACCATTGCTTGTTAAGCTTTAGATTATTTATTCTTGCCCACACCCTGTTGCACCACCCCTGGGAAGAAAAAGCTTCTTGTCAATGACGCAGTAGTGATCGGGAAGCGGGATGGAGGCCGACGCTTGGGGAGACCCACGAACGAGCATGCGACTCCGCATGAAGGGCAGATTAGCAGTGGCATCGCATCAGCGTGTGGTGAGGGACGCCACGCGCTACCTACCACAGTAAGTAGGGGGCGGGACTTTTGACGGGAGGGCATCAAAGCTTCGCGTGAGCAGCGGGGCGGCAGAGTCCAGGAGCATGCGCGAGGACGGCTGGCGCGATGTTGGTTGGAGCGCCCGGCCCCACAAAACGAAGGCCACAACTCGCGCCACATTCTCCTCCGCGCGGGCGAGTTTTTTTCTGGGCGCGCCTAGCTTGGCGACCCACACCCCGCCCGCACGAATACTTGGTTCTTTGATAGCCACCGGAAGGAATAAATGTCATGATTGCAGCCCCGCGACGCAGTCGCGGCCGCGGGGAGTGGTTCTTTCATACAAAATAAGAAGCAACGACAACAGGATCCAAGTTATTCAAGAAAACGCACCTTCGCCAGAGTTGTTATGCAGATTTGCAATTAGCGGAACAAATGCAATGCGCATGCCCATGAGATGCGTTCGCGTTCGTGTTTTGGCATTTGTAACGCTGTACATTCATAAGGAGATGGCTTTGTGATGCGGCTCGCCTTGCCAGCCTGCACTGCAATTTTAGGGAAAACAAATTTTCATGCGTGACTTCAGAAGCTTCTGGCTTTTTGCAGAGTTCTCAATTTGATTATGCGGCGGGGGCGTTTTTCTGCAGGATACAAATGGAAGTACACGTGTGCGAAGGATGGAGCGGGTGTGTGCCGCGCTTTCCTAGTCAAACGTTCTAACGCCCGTCATATGTCCCGACATTGAAGATAGTAAAATCCGTAAAACTGAAATAAAATTTTGCATCGCACTTCTGGAAGCCAGGAACCGCAGCAGAGCCCGGATTTTTCTTGAAAATACCAAAGAGCAACTGGCGCGAGGAACAGAAGCAAACAGCGAGAACCTTAGCAGGCGGCCGTGGAGTACCAAGTGAGTCGGTTCGATGTTCTTGGGCGCTTGCTTGCGCTCCCGCTTCGCTCGTTTGGTTGCAAAGCCAAAATCAAGATCTAATCGGCCTGAGCAAACGGCGGGCGGAGTCGCCACATGCATCGCGGAAACGAAACGCGGCGCCGGCGCTTTGTGTTTGATCGAAAATTGCCGCGCGCCGCCCGCGACAGTTTTTCCGCTTGTGGCATGACCGAAATTCAGGCTGCCGAATTCACGGGCGCGATTGATATGTGCCGGAGCGCCGGCAATTGTTGCCGAATCAAAAGGGCCCCCGGCCATCTTGCCACTGTGGCGGAGCTGAAGGCCAATGTGCCTGAAAAGCAAAATAGCGAAAACCTTGGAAACCCCACAAAACCTAGCAAAGCGCTACGAAGGTCTGTCGCCGTGCTTCAGGCCGTTTTTAGTTTTATGGCTTCCGTGCCAGGGGTTGCGCCTAATTAGTTTTGGGAAAAAGCTGCTTTAGATCTTCACGAGCAAGACGGAGGTCTCGCAGATTTGCATACTTAAGCGTTTTTGTCGTTCATGTGGCCACAATCGTACCAAGGCCAGGTCTGCAGCTTCGCTAGAGATCCGGGAGCGGCTTCTTGAGGTGTGTGGCGTTCTTTGTTCTTTGCGGGGTGTGTCCTGGCAGCCCTATGCGTTGCCTCTTGTCTGCACCCTACTGGGGGGAAGTGATGGAGCCCATAGCGATGGGGCCTTGGTGAATGAGCCGGCACAGGATACAAGGCAGCCCGAGGCCCCCGCCCCGTGCGTCTTTCAGTTCCCAGCCCGGCTGATTTTGGTGGAAAGCACCCCGCCGGGCAGCCGTGGCATTGGTTGCCAGCCCGTGTGGGCCTGTGGGCAAAGGCCGGTTACTGGGCGGTCGGTGTTTTGTGGGCGTAGCCAATAGTACGCCCAGGCCCAATGGCATCCGAAGCCGAAGAGGCGGCGCGGCGTGAAGATATTCAGGCGCGCCAGTTCGCGCATCTCCCACCCACGCACCCTCCCCTTGCTGTGTTTTCCACCAATTTCGGCTACGTCCTCTTGAGTTGTTGTGCTACTCTATTTTTTTACGGGGTATGACAGAGGCAGAGCCCCATGCCGCGTCGTCTGGAACTGGATAATAGGGGTTGGCTCCGAATGTGCCAGCGAGCGTTGACACCTCCTGTAGCCCGGAGACAGACGGATCCCCGAGGACGATCATCCCCAAAGGCGATCATCCCCAAAGCGCGAAAAAGCGTAGCCTACTACCTTTAAAGCGCCCGCGCTTGAAGGAAATAACAGCCGCGCCCCCATGGTATAATTTGCCTGCCCGCCTTGTTAAGTTGGGTGCTCAGTCTCTTTCGGGCTGGGGGAGGGGGCAACTAGCGCACAGCAGCCTGCGAAAGAGCGCACTGCCAGCATAGTCACCAAAGCGCGCCAACCTCCTGGCAGTCGGTCGCCGGCTGTACATATGGGCACGCAGCTTGCCGGCCCGGGCTGCGGCATCGGGACGCCCTGTATTTCACCCGCGCCAGGTTGATCAACAACAGCGGCGCCACTAGTGGTGCCGGGGCGTGGCTCGTGGCCGTGCTGTGCAGAGAGGGGGGGCACGACGTTGGCGGGGCCTGTGCGGTTGGTTCGGTGGCCTAGAGTAACACTCTGGTAGGATTTTTTGCGCGATTTCTGTTGTCGTTTTTCTATTTTCCGTTTTGCGGATTTCCCTGTCTTGGTTCGCCGGGACACATCAGCAGATCTCGTTTGAATCCGAGGAAGAAATGACGCAGAGGTGCTGCAAGCCCGAGACCTGCGAGTGGGATGAGGAGAAATGCGGGCAAACTGATAAATTGTAATTCTAATCAGAAGTCAACTAAATCTAAAAGACATTCACGACCCGGAACGCTGGACAGGGCGAAATGCAAAACAAAAGTGCAGGGGGCTTTGGCCTTATATTTAGCGGAATTAAAGGCGTACAGAGCGCATTCGCGAAGTCGTCCTGAAAAGGCCCCCCTCTAGGCACCCCCCTAGGGTGTGCAGGTTTGCGGATGGTCTAGGCAACGCCGGAAATCCGCCCTGCTCACGGGCTTTAGTTCAAAGGCTGGCCAGCCACATCTAGCGCCAATTTAAGGAAGCCACATCGCATGCCTCGTGGCCAACCCAGAAAAACGCGCAGCGCAGGGCCGCCCCAGACTGAGTTTGCCGCCCCGCGAGGCAATGCCATGTTTTCTTCCGTGTGTGTGTGTGTGTGTGTGTGGGCTTCCTTGTTTTTGGTTGTGCCTATCGAATTTGCCGTCTATCTTTTTCAAAAGGAAAGGCCCCCAGCGGCTTTGCCCTCCGATAGGAGCGGGCAAGCCTTTAGGCTTTCGCAATGTCCAGATTCCACCAGTTGTGATTTTGTATCATTATATATTGTAGTGCTGATGTGGATGTCGCTATGGCTGTAAACCGAGATTTTTGTTTATAGAAGCGTGCACTTCATTGTCTTTCCCGTGCTAGTTCGTGCCCACACAATTACTACTGTTTCCAGGCATCTGCTTGATAAGATCGATCCTACGAATGCAATGGAGAGTTGTGACAATAGCCATTAATTGCCAAGTTTCGTAGCGCCTCTTCTCAGGCACGTCGGAAACAATACACACTGTAGCCGAGGAGGGCACTCAGAGTATACCACCAACCAACCAACCAACCTAAGATTCTGTCTCGCATTTATTCTGTTGAAGAAAGAACTACCAGAGAATTATGTTTGTAACACTAAGACATCCAACTCCCCCTCTGAAACCACCAGAATGGAGATGAGTTTGCGTGGATGAGAACTGGTGGAGGTGATGAAACAAGTTCAGTCGTACAATATTTATAATGTTAACCTAGAGTAGTAATGTAAATTCAAAGATGAAAATACTCAACACCTTTACTTACAATTTTCTTTTATACTACAAGCTCAAATTAACTTGTTATCATTCTTGCAGTTACTATCTACACTAGGACGAAGATCCACTGTTGACGCTGACACTTTTGGTGTCGTGTCACCCTCTAGAGACCTGACATGCACGCATGCCAACGCGGAGTATTTGTGTTGTGGTCGTAAGTGTCTCGTCTTCAACGGGATAGCTTTGCTACTCAAACGGTCTCCTCTTCGTGGGGCGACTTTATCTTTGCTCTTCGTAGAAAATGCAGTTTCGTGGTGACACAAAACTCGACCTGGATATACGTTTCCTATTTTTACACTTGCCTCAATTAATTTTATGCAGAGAACAAATTTGAAACTCGTTGAAAATGCACATGTCAAAAGATTCCTCTCTCAACTGAATGCGGACAAATAGGAAAATCGTTTTCTCTTGTTACCCTTGTATTGGAGGAAGCAAAAGCGAATCTCTCCAAGGACCCTTGAAAGAATTGGACGGAAAAGCCTTTTCGTGCTTTTTGCTCTTTCCACACGAAAAGTTAATCGGATCGTGTCCACATGAAGATCAAAAACAAGAGCAACAGCATGACAATGAAGATCTCGACACCCAATATGAGAAACAAAAAGATCAAGATGACCACCGCTGACCGAGCTTTTTGGATGCAAACTCGAAGACGGTCTTTTTCTGAATCATGCCAACGTAAAGTATAGCAGCGCCTTGTCTTCTGGCTGTCCATGTGTTTGTTGGGTTTCTGGTTTCTTGCTGCTTTGCTCATCAGAATGTCGAGAGATTTCAGCGCGCTGCTAAGGAGCACAATCAGTGCGGCATTGGCTGAACGCGATCGACGCTTACCAGATGTCCATTGGTTTATAGAAATTTTACCTTCATCAGCTGCTTCGCTCAGAATCGGTATCGGATCGAAATCAGTTTCGGTTTCAAATCCACTATTGTAGCGAGGTCAGGATTCACGAAAATGTCGGCCGCACCAAATATTCTCGTGGCTATGTCCGACTCTGGACAAGCGTTGATCGCTCGAGCGCGGGCAGCAGGCACGCAGAGGATATGTTGTCTTCCTCCACCTCGAATAAATGGTACAATCGACTGCTGCAGAACCAACTCTTGCGCCAGCAGCTCAAGCGAAACACACCACACGTCAACGAGAACTCACCGTCGTCACTTCAGTATCGTTTTACCCTCGATCCCCGGCCGTATCTTGTGCAATGCGGAGCTCGGCGACAAACTTGGACTGCTTTCTTGGAGGAAAAAGTCGAAACTTCCCTTGGACCTTCTCATGCTCCGGGAAGAGGAAACGACGAGGGATAAAGCAATCGTGGCTTTAGCCCGGGGGCAGATACAAATGAAGCTGCAAGACAATGGCGGTGAACAACAACAGACTGTTCTCTCCGAGACTGAGTCTGCCGACGCGTGGCCCCGAGCAGGACGAGAGGAAAGGACAAGAGATATTGATGCTACTATCCCCGTGATGTTTGCCTGCCTGAATCTTTCCCTCGACCGGCACAACCGCGATTTTTGGGCCGAGCAGGGCCGGAGGCTCTGCGAGAAGGTGGCGGGCCAGTACTTTTCCGCGGGAGGAACTACGACAAGTGGTCAGGAACGACTACAGGCGAACCGCGTTAGCGTAGCTGATTGTGACGCGAGTTCAGTGCGGAAAAAAGGCGTCATGCTTCTCTGCCACCACAATGTGGAGGCATCTGTAGGGAATGTTGGATGCGAGACGACAAGTTCTGGCACTAATGAGGAAAACGCCGTAGCTTCTTCTTCCGCTACGTCAGGAATTATTTCGCGCAAATTGCTGGAAACCGGAGCGCACCGGATTCTAACGACCGTGCAGTCGTGCACTTTTAGGAAAAGCGTTTTTTCTGCGTTTTTGCCGGATTCTTGGGTTTTATCTTCTTCTCGAAGGAGAAGGACGACTGCTGGCGCTGGCTGCGATGCTGATGAGCCAACCGGTGCGCCTGATGAGGCAGGAGACGGAAGCGAGCTAGAAGACGATGCCGATCGGCTGAGCATCTTTCGTGAGAACGTTAACCAGGTGCTGCCGGCGCCACGAGGAGCAGCCGAGCATGCGGAAAATCGTCAGATGGACCTCCCAACCTGCTACTTCTCTACGGCAGAGGACAACCATTCCACGCTAGGCGTCGAAGTGGTCGGGCGCCTCCCCTTTGGCCAGTTGGTGTTGGTGCCTCGAAGTCGTCGTCGTGGCAGTAATTCTGCCGCTGAGACCACTACAGCCAGCGCGACTACATCGAAGCTTTCTTTAGGGCAACAACTCTACAAAGCAGTCAACCTTGCGTTGTACACCGAGCGGAACTGTTTCTCCGCCCGAGTCCTCTTCGACGAGCGGGACCCGGTTTTGCGGGAAGCACAGCAGCTGCTCCAGGCGGCGCCTATTCCGAGGGCACAAAGCGAGAAAATCGCCATCACTGCGGTGCCCTTCGGATTAACAGTTGCGGAGGAGAAAGCGCTGCTGGCGACGCCACTGTCCATTCCCGCGGAAGTGTTGCGGTTTGACACAAGGAAAGTGCAGTTTTTGTGATCCTGTTTGCGGTTTTCCTTTCATGAATCATGAGCCTCCGAAGCGCCTATCTTGCAACACAAAAGAGCACGTGAAGCAAAAATTGGATCTGAGCAGGGTAAGTAAGTACAATCACGACGTTGCGGCATTTGATGCGAGTACGAATTTAGTAGTTTTACTGTTGTTCAGCACAACTACATATTGCGTTCTGCGGCGTGCCAACGCAAGAGCAAGAGGGAGAAGAGGAGAGGGAGTGGTTGAAACACGCCCTGTAGGTCATTCTGTTCTCGCTTCTTGCGTTTCGTGGATCGGTAAAAATAAATCTTAAGAAGGGTTGTAGCATCAGTTTTGACCACGCCACAAATAAAACCATTCACTCCCACCATGATGGCCTGGCCTAAGGCCAGAATGCGGCCTGGTCGTGTACAACTATTCGCTGCGTCTTTTTCTGCCACAATGCTTTATTTCCTCTCGTCGTCGTCGCTGCTGAGTCTCCTGCCAATCCAGCAGGTTTTGGCCCAGTCCGCGCCCGTCGGCAGTGCCGTTTCCGTGACCGACAGAACGGCGAAAATGGTGGAGTCGCTTACCGACACTGCGCAACAGACGCGCTCGATGCTGCAATCGCTGCTTCTCGCCAATTCCCAGTCCATGTTTTCCGTGACCAGTATGCAGAGGGCGTTGTCCGCGATGCGGAAACAGCTAGAGCAGCACGACCTGAATTTAGCGAAGTGCAACGCGGAACTGGCGGAGTTCAAATCTTATCAAATGCAAAAATGTCTGGGTCTGGAAGGACGCAACTTGTGATGCATGTTGCGCATCATACAAAGATCTGTATTGCGTGACTTGCAAAAGGTGCTCATTTCTGGCCATGCTGAGGGGGCATTTCTCATGCAGAACAGGCATCAAAAAGGGGCTGCAGATCCTGTGATGCTAGGTCCTGCATTCCAGACTTGGTGGAGCTTGGAAAAACTTGCATGACAAATCTCGGAATTATCTATCTTCCAGACCCAGACATTTTTGCATTTGATAAGTCTGCGACCAAGTACTCGCAACAGACCTGGGCGCAGCAACACCAAATCAACACGGTGGAGTCGCTGTTGCAGACGAGGGCGAAAACCACGGGGGCGAAGATGGCGTTGGAGCGGATGAAGAACTCGAAAAAGCTGTCGAGTAGTAGTGCCAGCACTTTGTCCTCTTCTACTAGCGCCACCACAGAACAAGCCGAAAAGGAGTTGAAGAATTACCAGTTCATGCAGTCGCAGCTGCGTTCGGAGTTGAAACAGCTGAACCAGCAGAGGTCCGTGTTGCTGCAGCTGGTGGCCGGAACTTCCAAAACGACGAAATCGGGGCTGAACAAAGGTGGGGAGAATGAAGGTATGAAAAAATGAAATGTTTTCAAATTTTCTGCAGGATATGCGAAAATGTTGTGCGAATGGGATGCTAAAATATAATTCAACATGGAGAAATAGGCTTACTACTATGTTTTGCGGCATTTTTCTCCACATTGATTCATCTTCATGAGTTGTACATTATTGACAGCAGCAGCCTCCGCGAGCACCAAGGCAGCGTTTTTGCAAGTGGAGAAAAAGTTTTCCACCACGGCGAACACGGGCGGGGACGAGATGGAAGGTGAGCAGGAACAGGAACAGGTTCCGGTGGTTACGAACAACGTGCCGCCAATGTCGGATGCGGACCGGCTGGCCGAGCACGAGGCCTTCACGGAGGACGATGAGTGAGGATGATTTAATTTGCGAAACAGTGAATCATGTGGCTGATGTGATGTTTTCCTTTGCATTCTTTCACGGCGTGTGTGAACATACAACATAGGACCACCGCTTATTTTTTTTTTCCAAAAGATAGATCCTCATCCTTCACTCTTCGTAGACGAACCAGGAGATGAAGCATTCTCAAGATGAAATTTCAAGTACTTTGCCAGATGACAGAGTTGTGTGACCCTTTCCCCGCTGCATGTTGCTTTTCGGTAATTTAATCAAGGGCACGACCTCCAGCAGCTGCGAAATCGCGATGATCCGCTTGGTCCAGACGATCCAGAATTTTTTTTACGATTTTTCAACTGCCGGTTTTAGATGCAAGAAGATTTTCCCATCCGCATTACCTTCCATTTTTATTTGTGAACTTTCTCTTCCTTTTTCTTTTCAGCGACATCTTTACCCTACGAGCAGATCTGGTCCTCGTAAGCAGGCCGGATCAGAAGTCCATGTGTGTGGAAGTCCATATTGTGGCTCGGGCTAAGAGGTTTTTTCTTCCCTATGAAGATCTGAATTTCCATTGTGTTTGAACAGAAACGCACTTGTACAGAAAATACTTTGTTTAGCCGTACTCTAGTACTACGAGCAATAGTACGGTCAGAAGTTTTTTTTTCATCAATGAATAGATCCAGCATTTGAAGAGTTCTGGGAGTCTATCATGTCGACTTTACAACATATCAAACAAGATGAAGTTGTTGTGGTCTCCTTGTGATGAACACAACTCGCCGCATAGTGCAAAGATTTCAACATTTTTTTTGAAACCCTTTTTCAACGTTCCTTTTATTTTCAACATTGATTTGTAAGCATAAAGTAAAGGTATGAACAAAAACCCGATGCCAACATTCATAAAAAGTGACTGCCACACGATCACATAAACCCATCACCACAGAAGTACCTTGCCCTCGTTTCAATACAGTGTAGTAAATTTGTCACGAAGTAGAGAAGATTCCAAGAATTCATTTCTGTTTTTCGACCTACAACAAGCATACCGGCGAAGATGACGTGGTAGTGGTATTTCTGCTCTCGTCATACATTTATCCCCCGCCGACTTGCTCCGCTCTGCCTGCTTGCCGCGAACCAAGTAAACCCCGCCGGCCGCCCTGGGGTGCCGCTAAGAGCACAATAAACGTCCATGAGCGCCAGCGCGACGACTACGCCTCGTAGCGCCCCGGGAAGTGCCCGGGGGAAGAACAAAAATGAGCAAGACACGGCTTCTACAGAACAAGAAGCGGCCAAGGATGTTGTCGACAGGATATCGGCGACCACGGAGACATCCTTTCTGATCACGAGAATTCTTGGCGTTTGCTTCCTCTTCGCCTTCGCGTCGGTATTGCAGCATGTGGAGGGACTGTACGGGTGCCAAGGGATTCTGGGTTCGAAATTGGATGCGGTCTTTCCGTCCTGGTTGAGCCCGACAACGATGAAGGATATTGTGGTAAGTTAGTAAGTACTTCTTGATTGTCGGAGCGGCTTCATTTAGTTTTTTGTGCTTTTGTTCACCGATCAAACTCACCGTCACACAGGGAGGTTGCAGAATAAATCACCACAATCATAATTTCTTAAACTATCAACCAGGGCTACGCCCTCGTCAGCGGCCTCGTTTTGAGCATCTTGCTCAGTCTATTGGGCGACTATGAGCTCGGCGTCAATGGGCCGCGGATAATTCTGCTGTTTAACACCATCGTGTACGCAGCAGTGAACGCAATTTCCGGGCCCATGCTGTTTTGGAAGTACAACTTTATTTGTTTACAACCTGTTCTTTCAACATTTTGATGGTCATAGATGATCGGCATCGGTCGTGTCAAAATTTGAAGTGTATAGTAGATACAACCTCTTTCAACATCTTCTAGACGAGCAGCATAAATCTCGCTTCTAGATGTTTTGCAAATTATTTTATCAGGGACTACGACAATCTGCTGATTGAAGTGGGGCTTCTCGTTTCCGTTCTCGGTATCAGCACCGCCGACTGGAGCCACTGCACCAGACCCGCCCTGAATTTCTGTTTGTTCCGGTTTCTCTTCACCTTTTTCTCCTCTTCCACCACCGGCAGCCAGGTGCTGCCCCTTTTCGGCAACGACCAGTTTGACCGGACACCGCTGGTGTGCGCGTCGCTCTGGGACTTTACGTGGCTCACCTACAGCTACGAGTTCCCGGAGCCGAGCAGCCTGGCCTGGTACCTGCGGTTGGACCCGCGCCCGGTGTTCGTGCGGTACCTGACCTGGTTCTGGATCGTCTCCGCGACGGTGTTGCTGCCCATCGTGGCTTATGCATTGCAAAAGTATCGTACTCGTACCGATCGCATTTCTGCATTAGAAATTTCTTTGTTAAGTTGAACCCGCATTACAAATTTCATTTCTCCTGCTGAGCTAATTTGTCATGCGATTTATACTAGTACGATGCTTTTGCAGTGCATATGGCGTTGTGCGGGAACAGCTGGACCTCGAAATACATGTGGGTGAAGGAATATCCAAGAAAAAAACACCATCACAATCACTTTTGCGCAGTTTTGCAATACAAAAATTTTTGTCATGCGCAAAACTGCATCACAGTCAAGAGTTGTAGGCGATTTCCCTTTGTGTTTTTGCAATACAAGAAAAATTTAGTATGCGAGACAAATTTCTGATGCAAAACTTCCCAAGTGTGATTGTGATGGTGTTTTTTTCTTGGATAAGGAAGTCGCCCTCTTTCTCCTCGCCGGGAACGTGCTCATGTACTTTGTCGGACTGCAAGCCTCCGCCTGGACGCCGCTCCTGCTGATCGCCCTCTTCATCTCCATCGGCTGCCGCTTAGACAACCGGAACGTCGGGCGGACCTACCACTGGCTCCGTCTCCCCCGGGAGGTGGTGAAGAACTGGGGCTGCTTGGACGAAGAAGCGTTTGCCCAGCAGGTGGAGATCGCGAGCAAAATCGCCAGTGGTTCATCGGGCAGTGGTGCTACAGGAACAGGATCAAACTCGGAGGGGGAGGGAGTACAACAAGCATTGGAGAACAAGAAGAACACAACGCTATTAAATAAGAGAAAGAACAACGAGCAGGAAAAACTAGCAGATTACGACGAAGAGGGGGAAGTGAAGAGCGTATCGCTTCATTTCGACAACGAGCAAGTAGAATATTCCTGGGCGGAAATGCGGCACATATTCCTCGCCGTCGTATGCTTCTACCCAATACTGTTCCTGGTCGCGCGGCTCACGACAGCCAATCTGAACACCCTAACGACCCCGGACGAGCTGCAGACCGTCTTAACCTTCGTGTTTTTCCTGACCACCATCGTGTTTGGGTTGAAACTGTTTCGCACGGCGAGGAAGATCGACGAAAAGGCGGGCAAAGTGTTCGGTCCCGGCGGTCTGTCGGCGGTCGAGGCCGCGGGGGTCGGGATCTTGTATCCGGGGGGGCACTTTGTGAAAAAGCAGGTGTTGGTTTTTGTCTATTTGCTGACCAGCTTGCTTTCCTGGTACCACCACTTCCATGTGGTGTTCGATACAACTTCAGAAGCATTTGTATGGATTGCAAAAGTGTCTGGGTCTGGAAAGTTGGAACTTGTGATGCTGCATTTGGATTCTAAAAAAATCTGTATTGCATGAGCAGCAAAGAGAGTCCAATTTTTGCTACACGGAAAGAGCATTTGTCATGCGGTATAGGCATCAGGAAGTAAAATCTTTTTTCTACGAAAAAAGATTTTAATCTGTGACGCTAGGGCATGCATCACAGAAGTCAGGGGTCATGGAAAATCAGCATGACAAAGAAATCTCGCATTCTTCCAGACCCAGACATTTTTGCAGTTCATAATTTGACGCGTTAGACAAAACTACAACTACCACCTCGGCCGACCCGCCTTTCTCCCTGAACGTGCGGCAACTCCTTTCCCCGCCCATTTACGGGACCGAGTTCTTCTGCCCCAACTCCGTTTCCCTGCCGCCGAAGAAGCAGGCCGCGCCGGGGCAGAAGGCGGCGGTGAAGAGCCCGCCGCGAGTGGTGCAGTTGGAAGAAAACCGGGGGACGCGGAATAAGAAAAAAGACTACTACGAGGTGCCCGCGATGGGGGTGGAAGCTGCTGCTGCAAATGCGCAGCAACATTTGTCGAAGGAATACACGGGAGGGGGTAAGTCGCGGGAGGAAACCGGAGCTGCGGCGGCACAACCGCCGGAGGAAAAGCCGGCGTATAGGAAAATGCTCACTTTCCGGGTCGCGGAATCCAACAACTGGCTGGCGATGCGGAACAGAATCCAAGATGACGAGGATCGGCCCAGTGTCGGGATCGTGCCAACCTTATTGTGAGGAAAAATCCCCCCTCCCCATATCGAAAGCGCATCCTTCTGAAAATTTGTCATGCAGATTTGCGGCCACAAATAGGGTCTGTCTTGCAAGAGAGCAAAGCCAGGTCCCTCCTCCCGCATTACACAGGCGATTTGTAGTGCTATTGTGCCAACAGGGCAGACGTCTGCCATGCGAAGCGGCCACCTCTAAGCGCCCCTTTCCAGGCTTTGCATCTGCCTGCAGTCCTGTACTGCAAGACAAAGCTGATTTGTGTACGCAAATCCCGCAACACAGATTTTCGTTTTGATAGGGGGAGGGGGGTTTTTTCATTTCGATAAACCTCCTCGCGGGTAGAGACCACGCTGCACCAGATCGTGCCGCGGATGATTGTATGAACTGCACATATGTCTGGGTCTGGAAGATTGCCAGATTTGTCATGCTAGTCTGGCATGACTCTGAACTCTGTATTGCGTGCCCGCGAAAAGCGCTTCCTATCTGTCATTCAAAAACGTGGTTTCTCATGCGGATTACGCAACTCTGAACCACGGAAAAACTTGTCATGCTGGACAGCGCATTACAGTGAGCTCCCTACTCTTCCCTTTCTTGCATCACAAGTTTCCAGACCCAGACATTTTTGCATTTGATAGATTGCGAGTCACGGGAAGGCGCCGCTACCCGGGTGGATCAAGAGGTAGGAAACAAATAATAGTTGTGCATGGTAATTGTTTGGATGCTTGCTTTTGGACAAAGTAGATGCGCAGAAACATCAGCAACGAGCAGCACTGCTAGTACTGCTTGTTGCTCACGGTTCTTGCAAATTTACCGACCGCTTCTTCAATGGGCTCAGAAGTAGTTGCGTGCTCGAGGTATTTTTAGTAGAACACATGGAGTTGATGTTTTGTGATCATGTGAAAAACAGCCTCGCCTCGCTGCTGGGATCCCGAGCGCCGGAATCTTGGAGCCTTCTCCGGGGCGATCTGAAGGAGTTGCAGGATGGCTATGAGAAGTATTATCGACATAATTTTTTTCCCATGTCGCGCATATGAATTGTGGTACGCACGAGTAACTCATTTTCTAAGGGTAAACCATAGTGCACATGACAAAAAATGTCGGACTGTATGCAATGAAAACAAACTCCCAGTTGAGAAAACTGACACTGACCTAAAAACTTGTATCCAAAACAGTAACCGCAATGCCACCCAGCGAATTCAGCTGATCTACCAGTACCGTGACATAGAGTATGACATCCGGTCGAATCGATGGTGGGATGTACACGCGCACCGGGTCACTGGGATAGAACTCGCTCAGGCCGCGGCAGAGCAAATAGAATGTGGGGAACAGCGCTGGTGGGGCCCCTACGCAGAGTGGGGCGCGAACTCGAAGTTGATATTCCCCTGGAAGGACGGCAGCACAACAATAATTGTATTAATTGAAGATTCTAGATCATTTTCATCTTGCGATAGCGATTTCACGTTTTTATCGACGTGTCGGTTTGCCATGTTGATGACGCTTTGGAAGTAGACCAAGAAATCACATACAAAAATGATCGTCATGTACTATCAGGCCCTGATTATGTGGAAGCTGTTCTTTGTCTCGATGCGCGTCGGAAGCGAAAAGCAGGCCGAGCGCTTGGAACGCCGGCAACGCTTCCGCGAACGGCAGGAACGGGAGGCCGAAATGCGGGAAAAAAACAAGAAAAAAGGGAATGCGCAGAAAACCCCTCCGAACAGCCGGCGGGGCGGAGGCGGAGGCCGGGGTTGAAGAAGTTGCGGCGCAACTAAACACGAACGTACTCTACGCGCCGAGCCGTACGAATCGTATCGATTCGTTGAACGGATCGATCGTGGTTTGTACGACTTTCTAATGATTTTTGCAATTGCAAAGCACACGCTTTATTGTCTAGTCTAGACTTCTTCAGTTTATCTTCAAGAGCATCAACTCAAATTAGAACCGGGAGGCAGGGGCTTTGTGCTGCTTTTACTAGCATGGTTCCCTGTAGTGAAGAAGGTTATATATTCACACTTCCAAAGAGACACTCTGTATTCAATTAAGAAGCACGCATTGACGTCGACAATGAAGTTTTCAAACGAGAATAACAAGAAGAGAGAAAACCAGTCAAATATAGAAGTTGCTACACAAGAACCCACAGCGTAGTACCCGCATCGGGTGGTTCTCTGCTTTGCATTCCAGCACTGCTGTTGTGGATTTGGGGTCCGCAGGAACCCAAGACTGGGTTGTTCTTTTCCGATGCTGCCCTTGGCAGGAGAAATCTCGCGAGGAGTACTTACCACAACCAGTCGGTGAATGGATTTATAAAGTAGCGCCTCCGTGGTCCAGAAACATGTGAAAGACGCATCGACCTATCTAGACCCACAACAAGCGTGGAGACTACTTTTCAACAGATCATGAGGGAGGAAGTAAGAGCCAGCAGGATTATAATGTCCATGAAGAACTAAACTATGGCCGCCGTCCCGTGGTTTACTCTGGAGTTGTTGCGCACTTGACAACATCTCCACACGCAGTGTGGTTCCTCGCGTGGTTAAAAACCAGTTACGTTTTGATCGGAGAGCTGAACCAAGGTGCTACAACTTGAAGTCAGCGAAAATGTCCTCGTTCCCGGTGGAATATCAGGATTGGCTGCTGCTCATCATTACCTTCGGCTTCTTTGCTATCGTCATCCTCCCCTTCTACCTGACCGGGCTGCCTACCCCCGCCGCACGGAAACTGGGCCAGCACTTGCAAGCGAAGTTACTTGCGTTTTACACCCTTGCGTTCGTTGCGAACTTCGTGTTTCTTCTCCTGGTGTTGGCCATTCTGCCGGACTGGAACGTCGGGCAATATTTTGAGTGGGTGGGAATTGGGTTGGCGGAAATCGGCGTGCATTTGAATGTTTTCGCCAGCTCGGGGCTGATTCTCTTCGCGTTCTTTTTGCTTTTCATCATGCGGGAAAGAATCAAGATCCTGCTCGGCATCGAAAACCAGGTTTTGGTCAGGTAAGTTCATGAATTTGGATGTTTTGTTTGCGCGGCCGTGGAGCTATTTCAGGTTCTTTTATTCGGAATGAAAAATGTAATTTTGTTTATTCGAGAAGCACTACGTACGACTAGGACTACGACTAGTACAGTTATCGTGTCAACATAATTCATCTCTGCGACTCTCCTCTATCAGATTTAGCATGAAGGACGTGTACGCCTGCTGCGGACTTGGGACAAGCGAACGGCCAATAGAGGTATACGTTTTCAAAGTCGAGGAGCTATCCGCGTCATCTATCATGAAAACGAACGACCTCTTCGTGGAACTCAGCCTCGCGAGCAACGAAAGGGTAAGGACGAGGGTGCACAAGAGTGCGGGAAGCGGGGCGGTATACTACTATAGTGCCTGCGAAGGAAAAGATGCGTCTGACGTGTAGCATACGAATTCGTGGCGCGCCGGGGAGCTCAGTTTCAAGCGTGTTTCTGTTGCATCAAATAATGTCGACGTTGTTTGTGTTTGTGCATGAAATTATAGTAGAATGAAAAACAATAACAAAAATTCCGTTAATATCAGGTCCTGAAAGAGTGTCTGCAGCTGAATTTCGACCCCACTGAGGAAGAGGACAAGCTGCACATCACCTGTCGCTCCCAAGATCTGCTTGGTAGCAGCGAGATCGGGTCGCTTGAGTTGATATGCGTTGCAAATATGTCTGGGTCTGGAAGGTTCTGAGACCTGTCATGCACGTTTTGCATGAGCCATGATGTCTGTGATGCATGCCCTAGCGTCACAGTTTTTCTGAGGGCTTCTTGATGCCTGTTCCGCATGACAAATGCCCTTGCTGCGTAGCAAAAATTAGACTCCTTTTGCTGCTCGTGCAATACAGATTTTTTTGGTATCCAAATGCAGCATCACAAGTTCCAACCCTCCAGACCCAGACATGTTTGCATTCGATAGTTGAGCTCTACGGACGTGAAGAGCATCATCGAGATGGATGACGTGCTATCGTGAGGAAAAATCGCCCCTCCCCATATCGAAAAGGCGCCTTTCAAAAAATTTGCGATGCTGATTTGTGACCACAAATCGTCTCTGTCTTGCAAGAACGGAACTCCACAGGCTCCGCCGCATCCTGCAGGCGGTTTGTGATGCTGTTGGCCGTGCAGACTAGACGTCTGCCATGCTCGGCGCCTTGCCCAAAACCTCTCCGCTCAGGCTTCCTATAGGCCTGCAGTCTTCTACAGCAAGACAAATCTGATGTGTGTACACAAATCCAGCAACAGAAGCTTCCGCTTCAATATGGGGAGGGGGCTTCTTTCACTTTGATATGTGCAGCAGTTTAAGCTGTTTCCGCAGGGGAAGATATGGCTGTCGATAGTCTACGTGGACGAAGAGGAAGATGACGGGGTATACAGAAACGGCGAAACATGGAAGTGGCGGAGACTACTGAATGCATGCTGATAGATCATGAATAAATGTTGATATGGGCCGCGATAACAGGACGTCCTGTCTAGTTGTCATCTTCAAGAGCTTACTTGTCACGTATAGTGGCAAGGATCCTGTTGATGGTCGTACTGGTCGCAGCATTTCTATGAGTTTCGAATTACTGCATTGTACTACACCTTCCTGATTTGTTGATACTCGCTCGCGCAATCGAATAAAATGAGACAAAATAAGTAAGTTGACGGTGAGTCGGAAACGCACGACTCTTCGTGGAAAAAAAGCAAAACGGAAGATGTTCAGACGAAGCAAAGTACGAGGATACTCGCTCGACGAGAAGTGAGCAGAAACTACAGCCAAGAACAATCTAACACATCGAGTCGCGTGCAAGGTTGTCTCGCTTTTGATGATTTGTGAAGTAATTTCATCTAATATGACAGGACCGCTGTAAAAGTAAAATCCATTGCGTAAGGCCGTAGGTCGTGCTAGGAAGTGCTTTGAAATATTCTGATGCCTAGAAATTTTCTTATCCTTTTCTACTTTTCAGGTAAAGAACATCTTAGGTGCAGTAGTAGTAGAGTATAGAATACAGTGTTGTTGAGTACTTTTTCAAGGAATTTTTATCCTCGCCGGATCTTGACCCATAAGTTTTCGTTGTTTATTTACAAAGTGTAAGAACTGCGTACACGATTGGGAGGAGCAATACGAAGAAAATCATGGCTGCACCACGACCGTTCTGGCGTCTGCAGCCGAAGCACCAGAACTAATTCTGCGGAAACATAAAACCGGGGCTGGAGTATCAAAATGACGAGGTGGAGAAGCACGACGTCTCACTTCAGTTAGAACGAGTTCATCCCAACACCGGGTGCTGTCCGGCCCCGCAAGAACGACATCCAGGCGCATCCCGGCGGGGTTGCATCAACAGCATTGAAAAATGATAGACGACAACAGGAAGATTGGCATGGGGCTTTGTGCCCTTGGCCTGGTATAAAAATGAACTTCTTGATTGTTTTGCTTCATTTGCTCCATCCACGATAATCATTCTATTTGATCTAAAACCAAAAAGATATCTCAGAGTCAGAACGCGAGCGTGGTATCGTATGATGAAAGTATGTTCCGTAAAACTCGAAAAACAGCTCCTGATATTCCTCGGCTGCCTCTTCCTGTTCGACCGAGCACTCCTTACACTCGGGAACCTCGGCTTCCTCGCAGGGCTGGTTTTTCTGCTCGGACCGGAAAAAACGACGAAGTTTTTCGTGAAGAAGACCGTGCCATCACTCATATTCTTCGGCGGAGTCATAATAATCATATACGGCTGGCCATTTGTCGGTATAAATGATTATTTTTTTTTGATTGGCACTAGGTAGCACCAGCGCCTGCTTGCTGATTCCTTGCATAGTATGCACGCGACTCATACAGCCATTGAAAGGGATGTATAAATTAGTTCCATGCAACGACGTTCGCAAACGCGTGACAGGTAAGTGTAAAAAATCACGAATAAAAAAAATCTAGGTTTCCTCCTCGAGCTGTATGGCGTTTGGAAATTATTCGCCACTTTCCTGCCCAACGTCGTTGCAACGCTGAAGATGGTGCCGGGTGTAAGTACAGTGTTGGAGACGCCACCAGTTTCCTACGCAGTGGACTACATAAACGACAACCGAAGACTACCGGTGTAGCGATTGTGGTCGTGTTGTTCTTCGAGACCTGATTGAGCTCGCCAAAGAAAAACAATCTACCCCAACCCCCCTCTCCCAGCGACAGTATCAATGTACCTACACGACGTTCGACACACGACAGTGCGGCCCCCCCGCGAGCAACGCTGCCTCGCAGCTGCGACAAAGGTCGTATATGTGTCTGGTTCCGTCTTTGTAACAGCATAGTATAATTTCGCTAGCACGCGCGCTACGGAAAATTTCAAAAAATGAACGACAGAAGAAGATAAGTTTATTTCCGAAGCATGTTGAACATGCTCCGCCCGAAAAAGTAGGAAGCGCGGAACAGTCCCGCGCTTCCTACTTTTTCGCGCGGCTGACGGTGCTGCTTGGCTCCTCTTTTCACAGTTGTTCGAGTACAGCTGTTCGAGGACAGCTTCAAGTGATTAAGCAGTAGCCGGAGCGAGTTTGAGAGTGAGTAAGGCACACTTACCGGAGCAGGGTCTCTTGGCTACACATTCTACATTTGCATCTTTGAACGAAGAAAGGCATGAAACAACAAAGAAGTCATTGACCTTCGGTCTGCAATTCTTGCTGCTTAGTCCGCTTCAGTAGCTTAGATTAGATATTTTCAGCGACAACTCTAAAGCGATTTCCCTAGGGAAAACACAAGATGGTCGCGCCCACGACGTCAGCCTCCGTTTTGCACGGCCAGCTCTGGTCCTCTTTGCAGCGCTACTTTCAACAACATTCTGGACCACGAGACAGCAAAAACAGCAACACGACCACAGGCGGGATCAGTATGGAACCTCATGCAATCATTGGTCTTTCCCCCCTCCACATTGCGGTCTTTGTCTACTACGTCACGATGAGCAGCCTGGGACCGCTATCCTGAGTAAAAACGTACCCACACCAGAGTCAGGATGGGGATTTTGCAACACAAACCTAGGAGTTTTGTGAGTCACGCATGACAAGTTGCACTCTGCAGCGTAGTGCAGGTTAGCAAGTGCAGCCGCATCACAGATTCATCTGCTCATCCTGTTCACAGCATCACAAATTCCAAAACACAATTGGAAATGAATCTCATGGGGATGCGCATTACAAGTCTTCCTGTTTTTGCAAATCTGCATTACAACTCTGGTGTGGGTACGTTTTTACTCAGGATAAACGCTGTTGATCCGGTTTTCGGAAGAGGACAGCGGGATATCAAATGTAAAAATGTCTCGGTCTGGAAGAATGCAACTTGTGATGCTGCATTTGGATTCCAGAAAAATCTGTATTGCATGAGTGCCAAAAGGAATGCAATTTTTGCTACGCGGAGAGGGCATTTGTCATGCGGAATAGGCATCAAGAAGCTCTCAAAAAATCTGTGATGCTAGGGCATGCATCACAGACATCAGGGCTCGTGCAAAACGTGCATGACAAGTGTCAGAACCTTCCAGACCCAGACATTTTTACAGTTGATGCGGGAAGTTGGAATACAACACCGCGTATCAAATGTAAAAATGTCCGGGTCTGGAAGATTGCCAGGTTTGTCATGCACATTTTACATGACTCCTGATGTCTGTGATGCATGCCCTAGCATCACAGATTTTGTGAGGGCTTCCTGATGCCTATACCGCATGACACCCGTGTAGCAAAACTTGGACTCTCTTTGCTGCTCATGCAATACAGAATTTTTCAGAATCCAAAATCAGCATGACAAGTTGGATTCTTCCAGACCCAGACATTTTTGCAATCCATACCGCGTCGGCGGTTCTTTGCATCGAAGCGGTGAAGTTGGCGGTTTGCTACGCTAGCGAGCTGCGGAGGGAAGCGGACAAAAAAGGGAATAACACTCCCGTTCCGAGAAAACAGCAGTTTGGCAGTAGTACGGGAAAAATCTCTTGGAATCAGTGGGCGGTCTACGGGATACCCAGCTTCCTGTACAAAGTATTGTGTTTTTTCTTCCTTGCTTATAATTTGGTGTTGCTTCTTGTTCTACTGAGATGATTTTGTATACGATTTGTAAATGTCAGTGGTGCTATCCCTCGAACGGTACTCTACTTGTTCTAATTATGCATGCCAAAAACCTTTTACTTTTTATTGCCGAACAACCTATACAACTCAGGTATGCAATTCTGAACAACCTGACCTTCTACGCCACCTACGGCCTTGGTCCCCACTACTACGCGCTTTTCTCGACCGGGAAGGTCCTTTGCGCCGCCGTCGCTGCGAGAGTGTTAATGCAGAAGAAGCTGAATGAGATCCAGTGGGTCGCGCTCGTTTTGCTTGCGTGCAGTCTGTGCGTGGCGAAAGTGGGGAAGGACAGAGAACTCCTAGTACACCACGACGAGCAGATGAATAAGGCGATTGTAGAACAACCACAACCAGGCGTAGTAGTAGAGCAGGATGTTGGCACAGCAGCTACAACACCAACGGACAGTGCAACAGAAAACGCAAAAATATTGAGCTCGCAGCAGCACCAGAAGTTCTTTTTCGGGTTTCTGGCCGTGATCGCGACCTGCGTTCTGAGCGGTTCCAGCGGGGTGGTAAACGAGTTTTTGCTGAAGCGGATGGACAGTGAGGAAAGTTTTATGAAGAAGAACCTCTGGATGTACCAGTGGGGCTGTTTGCTCAACGGGACCGCGTGCTTCGTTTCGCTAAACAGCAACCAAACCTTCTTCCACGGCTTCAATTTACCAGTGATACTCCTCATCCTCGTGAAGGCCGCCGAGGGGTTGGGCGCGAGCTTCCTACTTTCCTACTTCGACAACATTGTGAAAGGGTTTGCACTATCAAATGTAAAAGTGTCTGGGTCTGGAAGAATGCATGTTTGTCATGCTTGTCTGGCATGACTCTCAAATCTGTCATGCGCGTTGCCCAAGCGCACCATTTTTCTGTCATGCAGAGACGCAGTTTGTCATGCAGAATAGGCAACACCTAGAGGCTCAGAAACTTCTCATGCTGAGGCAGCACTTGCGGCCTCCTCATGATACGCCACCCAGCATCACAAGTTTCCAGATCCAGACTACACTTTTGCACTTGATATGCAAGCTGCGTGCAAGTGCTGGCGGTCACGTTTTTCAACTACTTGTTGTTCGCCGGTGAGGATTATCAACTGCAAAAATGTCTGGGTCTGGAAGAATCCGAACTTGTGATGCTGCATCTGGATTCCAAAAAAACCTGTATTGCATAAGCAGCAAAGGGAATGCAATTTTGGCTACGTCGCGGAGAGGGCATTTGTCATGCGGAATAGGCATCACGAAGTCTGTGATGCTAGGGCATGCATCACAGACACCATGGCCCATACAAAACGTGCATGACAAACTTCTGCACTCTTCCAGACCCAGACATTTTTGCATTTCATAAGGATGTGAACATCTCCTTCTGTCTCGCTCTTGTGATCTTCTTCTGCAGCAGCTATTTGTATAGTGGAAGGCACAACGCGACTTTGCTAGCGAGTGGTGCTGGTGGACAGCAAATACAAATAGGACCAGGACCACCACAGCGCGGTGGAACAACAAGATTCCAACCCGTTCCAACGGTGGATCCGGAGGAAATAAGTTCCAATGCGAATAGGAGCGAGAAGCAAGCTGTGGGGATGAATCCGGACCAGCTCTCTGATTTGGAGATGGGGCGGGTCTCGAATCATGAGAGGACCTCCACTGAAGGAACATCAATAGGCAACTCCAGTTACAACTTATCCAGCGGTCCTGGAATTATTACGTCTTCAGACGAGCCCCCGAGAGGAGCATCAGTGGCACCGCACGTTCTTGCACAAGATAGCCACTATGGAGTTACAACGGATCAATCGCAGATGAACAAACCCAGCCTATTCCCAACGTTTTCGCCCATGAAAACGAGCGCTGTCAGCGGCACAGCGGCCTCATCGCAAGAACAGCCGCATCAGTCCTCACACAGCAAGGGCGCACACTCTACCGGGTCGGTGAGTTCTACCGGATCGTCTACGAGTGCGGGGTCCTCCGCTTTTTCGACACATTCCGTCACTTCGTATTATGTCGCGGAGCATCACGGGGAAATTGCACGGCCCGTCAGCGACAATTCAACCTTTTCACACCTGTACAGTGGCAACGATCCGGCGGGGGCAGCGACGTTCGGCACAGAAGTGGAAGTGGATGTATAGATACTAGTTTTTGATTTTGTCATGCGAAATTCGCACTTGCAGTGCCGTTTGTCTTGCGCGCTCTTCATCACGCTATCATATGTCTCTATTATGTTCATTTTTCTATCGTCTCAGATCGCCGATGTGGACATTGACGTTCTCGCTGAGAAACACCAAGTTCCAGTAAAATCTGACGCCGCGCTATCCCGAGAAAAAACTGTTACAGTTACACACTCTACTGATGGAAGACAAGCAAGACAGACAACCTCTGTCATGCAGGAAATGCATGCCAGCCTCATTTGATTCGTGTTTTCCCTTATAGTCTGCGCATCACAGGTTTTCGTTGCCATGTCGAGCAACTTTGTGATGCAGAAACTCCAACAAATGTCGTGTAACTGTAACACTTTTTTCCTGTGATACGCGTTATTTGAAGAATTTCTGGGCGGGAACGGCGATTCCGCCCCGATGCCGGAGTTTATTCTGAGTAAGAACGTCCCCATGCAAATCTGCATGCCAAAAAAGTTTCTCATGCGGAGTGCCTTGAGAGGCATTTTCCATTCGTGTTTTGGAATTTGTGATGCTGTGATCAGCATGATATGCTAGACCTGTAATGCTGCTGAACTACCTAAACAGGACTACACCACGACGACAAACTTGTCATGCGAAACAACCAAAGCTGGCTGATTTGTCTAGCAGATTGCCCATCTTGACTCTGGTGTGGGGACGTCTTTCCGCAGAATAGAGTTTGGATCTTACCTGGGGGAAAGCGGGGAAGACGAGCAGAGATCAAGCTGGATGACGAGCGGGTATACCGGTGGGAGGTCGCCGGATGATGATGAGTACTGAAAATGATCGACGAGGCGACCGGACAAGAATTTTTGCGTGCCACTCACATGCATGTTCGTTTTGAATTTGATTTTGACTTGCGCTATCACTTTGAAGACCACCAATGACTCCTTTGTTGGGTGTACGCAGCACCAATCGCAACCACGATTTTGAGTGGTGCAAAGTGCACATAGGCATACCATCACTGCTGTGCTGTGCATGCACTGGTGTATTACGATGTTCAACTTCACGTAACTTGTATCCGCGACAACGACGAATGAAGACTGCAAGCGCAGTATGCTTTTTACAGATTTATCCCGTTGTAACAAGGTCAGACGGTCTTTTCCGGAACAGATCATAAAATTTCTTTCCTCCGTAAGACTGCACTAGTTCAAGTTCACCACGACCAAAAGCTTATTTTAGTGCTAGACTCGGATGTCACCTCAATATCAGCGACGACATCACAACAACCGACGCCTTAGTTCTTTTTGACTCTTGAAGTAGAAGTAGTTGTAGCCCTGTATCAACAACGAAAATTTTTCTATACTTTCTGCTCTAGCGACCTCTTTCATGGTACCGATAGATAGACCCTCATAAAAGTCATTCGACGTTGTTCATCATCCCTCTGGACCATTAGCCGAAGTGGTTTTGTGTTTGGATAATTGTGCCGTTTCAATAGATAGAATTGTACCAGACTACGTTCCTGACTACAGCACCACATCACAAGAATGACGGACGAGAACACTTCGCAGATCCTGCACATGGGCTTGGACAGCCTGACGCAGGATGCGAAGGCCACGGAGGACTACACAACCGAAGTGAAGGAGCTGCTGGAAAAGAAGATTCCCCAGCTGATATCAAAAGGAAAAATCCCCCCTTCCCATATCGAAAAGATATGTATCCGAAAATTTGTGTTGCTGATTTGTGACCACAAATCGGGTCTGTCTTGCAAGAAGGCACACTCAGGCTGTCCGCCGCGTTATGCTGGCGCTTTGTAATGCTGTAAGGCCTACAGGGTAGCCGTCTACCATGCTAGGCGCCTACCCCAAAAGGCCCCCGCCGAGGCTCAGGATCTGCGTGCATTCCTCTACTGCAACACAAACTCGATTTGTGTATCCAAATCCAGCATCAGAAAGTTCGTTTTGGTATGGGGAGGTGGGATTTTTCCTTTTGATAGCAGATCCAGGCGAAGCGGTACGACGACGCGGTGGAGGAGATTTTGCTCCTGGAGAAAAAATGCCGCCAGGCCTGCGACGCGCTCAACTGCAGCAAGCTCTGCCAGAAGGTGATCCTCATGTTATTACAAGGAAAAATGCCCCCACCCCTGCACTTGGCAGCATTTGTATTGCAAACCTTTCCAATAGAAACATTCCCCGTCTTGCATATCTCAGCATCACAAATTTTCCATGCTGAACAGCTCAAATTTGTGTTGCGGAGGAGCCCAACAGCAGCCGGATCTGTTATGCACAAGGCACCTTGCGCACCTAGATTCTGCATCAGAAAGGCTCGCAGTCCTTTCATGCAATACAAAAAGCTTTCATTGGGAAACTTTGCATGACAAACTTCTGCAAATTCTGGGGTGGGGCCATTTTTCATTGTAATACATGTACAAAGACGACGCGAAGGACTGGGGCAAGATGCTGGACTACTTCGTATCAAATGCAAAAATGTCTGGGTCTGGAAGAATGCAAGTTTGTCATGCTTGTCTGGTATGACTCGAGAATCTGTGTTGCATAGGCACGAAAAGGGCCTCTTGTCTGTCATGCAGAACGCAGTTTGCCATGCGGAAAACGAAACACAAGAGCAGCTCAAAAATTTGTCATGCTTGGCTGCGTATTGCAGTGCGCCCACCACTCACATTTTAGCATCACAAGTTTTCCAGACCCAGACATTTTTGCATTTGATACTTCGGGATTCTGTGCAAAAAACGCGGGCAGCTGCGGCGGTGCATCGTGGACCTCACGCACCTGGGGATGAAGTGGGTAGAGGAATATGGGAAGGAAAAAAACAAACCGAAAAAGGAGGAGTTGATGAAAGTGTTGGACAGTATCACCGAGGGAAAAATCTTTGTTGAAGTGGAGCGGGCGAGGTTAATCCGGATATTGGCGGACGACAGGGAAGCCGAGGGGAAATTGGACGAAGCCGCGCAGTTGTTGCAGGAAGTGCAGGTAAGAAATATCGGTGATATTAGGTAGAGAGAGAGTAATATTAGCTACGTGATGACTGTGATTGTATTTGTACCATGCGGAGAAGGAAATAGAATTACGTACAATTCGGCAGCATTTTGTCAGTAATCTTCGCAAAAAAAATAAAATTGGCATATCGTGCAAACAGCTTCGCAAAAAAACTGTATCAGGTCGAGACCTTCGGCAGTATGGACAAGATGGAGAAAGCAAAATACATCTTGAACCAAATGCGGCTGATGCTCCTTCGCAAGGACTACATCCGGGTGCAGATTGCGTCCAGGAAAATCAACGAAAAGTTTCTGGAGGCGGACGATTTCCAAGAGATAAAACTCGAGTTTAACAGTAACATGGTCAAGTACTACCTCCACGAAGAGCAGTACCTCGAGGCCGCGAAGTGCTACCAGAAGTCGCTCTCCACAAAAATTATAGCAGACGGGGAGCAACCGAAATGGGAGCCGATCCTGTCCCACTTGCTGTTACTAGTGCTGTTGGCAAAAAAATCCGACGAGCAGACGGAGCTGATGACAACGTTGTTGGAGAAAGAAGTACCAAGAAAGAAGTTGGAGGCGGTCGAGAAACTGAGGGACTTGATGCAGCAGTTCCGAACTTCGAAGTTGATCGCATGGCCACTCAAATTTGAAAGTTTACTGAAGCAGCACCCGCTCTTTACCGGTATTTTTTTACTATTGAGTATACGATTGATGTTAGTTACTAGCAGACCCATCGGATTTTTTTGAATGGGAGCCGCCCGCGTTCTTTGCAACAGTGAGACCACAACGAACAAGTTTCCTGTGCAGCATGACCGGAAAGAACGCGGTCGTTATAGTCTTGATTTCCATTTGAACTACCTGACGAGTGGCAGTTTGTCTGATGCGCAACATATTCAAAAATCTTGCTGCAAAATCCTAAAACACAGACTCCAGCTTCGGCGAACTGAGGTGGAGCGTGATGCGCAAGCGGGTGATCCAGCACAACTTGCGGATCGTGTCCCTCTACTACACCAGGATAGAAACCAAGCGGCTGATGCAGCTGCTCCACCTAACCCAAAACGAGCTGGAGACCGAACTTTCCGAACTTGTCATCGACAAGATGATCCACGCGCGGATCGACCGACCCGCCGGCCTGGTGCGGTTTGGGGACGAGCCCAAGCCGGAGGACAAACTGAACAACTGGGCCGGGTGCATCGACCGGGTTCTGGATTTGGTGAAAGAAACCGGGCATCTGATACAATATCAAATGCAAAAATGTGTGGGTCTGGAAGAGTCATGCTGTTTTTGCAGGACACAGGGTATCTTTCCTGGAAGCCCTAGCATCACAGATTTCGAGAAGCTTCCGCATTGCTTGTTCCGTATGACAAATCCCCCACTTTGGTGACAGGAAATGGACATCTTTTGCTGCCTATGCATGAGAGATTTGTCTGTGTTCTGAAATGCGCATCACAAGTTCACATCCTTCCAGACCCAGACAGTTTTACAATCCATATACAAAAGGAACGCATGATTCAAGACGCAAAGGCGAAAATGACGAAGAAAAAGTGAGTATAGCTGAATAAAGAAGTGCTGTTGATTTATTTTTATTGCGGTAGTCTACAGTATACTGCATCAAGTCAAACAAGTCAACGTTGCGACGTTTGATGCAGGGCAAACAACTTACTCGTGCCTTGCTACGCTTAGCAGTGAGTGGTGCAAGCATCGTGTCTACCTACGTCACAAATATCATACGACAGGTAAAAATGCCGCGAAGGACCTCCACAGCGGCGTGTACGACACGACCCTGCTTGTTCGGCGGCTTGTCTAGTATTGCTTCCTCTCTTTCAGCGACACAGCATGACGATTTTTTCAAACCTCATGAAACAGTGCGTAGATGAAGCTGTTGACTTTCACAGGCGAGCTATCCCCTGCGCGTTGTGACCACGGTAGCGACTCCTCATGCGCTTTATCGGATGCTACGACTGTCATAAGGAAGTAAAAAAGTCGGAAACGGAGAAATTTCAGAAGCACATCAGGCAAGATCTGTATTTTGGTGTTCGCGAGGACAAACCTATTCTTGCCGTGCGGTTAATACACTACTTTAACCGTGCTTGGTACCACGACCTGGTAAATCGTGCACTGCATCATATTGGCGGTTTTTCTTTCAAATTTTCGTCTTTGGTCCTTTTGCTTTTCCGTAGCTGTTGATCGCGAAAGTTGAAGCGGGAAATTCGATATAAGAGAGTTTTTTCACTTTCTGGAGAGTATCGTCATGGACGCACGTAGTTCAAACAAAGGAGAGGAACGTTCTCTACTCAAAATGGCAAAAAGAAGCGTGGAGGGAAACAGCTGCAAAAAAGCTAGAATGTGGCGTCGTTTGGGCGTGTCTGGTGCAGTAGTTGTACGGGTTCTAGTGCTTGGACAGCAGGTTTTTCTTTTTTTGACTAAGCTGTTACAACTACTAGTGTTCTTACGGAACTAACAACAACCTTGAAAGTCTTCAAGAGTACAAGCACACAGGGATAGGCTAAGTAATACTTCAATACATCCACGATGTCGGCGGAACAGGACATCGAAATGTCTCCTGCGCCCGCGGCCACGGAAACTAGCGCCATTGCGCCGGCACTGCAACGAGTCACCGGCTGGAACGCGGACATTGGCGTGTTTCCCTTCGAGGAGAGTCTCATTTACGCGGCGTCCAGTGTTGTCGTCGTGCACAACATCGAAGACGACTCCCATATGGATGTGTCAGGATCGAAGTCGTCAAAATCGAAAAACTTGTCATGCATACTTAAAATGTAGAGCATGAGCACTGAAGGCCTGTATTGGGGAGCAGGCATATGAGGCCGATTGTAAGCCTGTTTAGGGGTATGCAATGTGCTGCCACAGTAGCATGACAGGAGCAGCCTTCTTTCCCCAAAAAGCATGACAGACTGGATTTTGATGCTCCCGAAATTTGTCATGCGCCACTTGAAAACTGAGGCTCCAACTGACATCGATTTTGTGCATCGCAAATTTTTCGATTTTGTCAATTTCGATTCTGACACTCCCATATCCCAGGCCTTTCTGCATCTGCAGTCGCCGGTCGCCGCACTGGGGTTCTCGCCTTCAGCCAGCTTTTTGGACACCTCGGTATAGAACTTTAGTTGAACTTCGAGGAACAGGAATCAACTAACTTCTCGTGAGGAAGAAGAGCGGCTCGCATGTAGACGGTGTTGATGTCTGAGCAGCATGACACGAAGTTTTATCCTGTGAACCAAAAAATTGCGATGATCTTTACATATAGGAACAAGAGATGAAAAAAACCAAAGGCTCCCCTCTCCTCTGCCACGCCGTTGATTGCCGCAGGCGGGGTGAAACAAGCAGATCAGGAGTTTACGGAACTCGTCGTCTTCAAGGATTTTGGCCGCGAGAAGGGCTACGGTCCCTTCCTCTACCACCTCACCGATATCGAGCAGGTCGCCTTCGTAGCCGACGGTTCCAAATTGATTTCCATCGAGAAAAACGCAAGTCACACACTCTGCGTCTGGGACCTGGCACGGCTGCGACGCGGAGTGGTGATCAAAGGTAGAAGTTCTTGCAGGGCGGGGTTACTATTTTGGTGTGGAGTTGTTGTACTTTCAGAGCTGTAGAAATGTTGATGCGGGTTTCATGTGCAACGAGCGATTTGAAAAAGGATGAATGATGTTTCAATCCCGACATTGGTAACAAAAAGAATACGGATGCTAAAAGTACTAGAAGAATTATACGACGAGACAGATTTTGTTCAAAATGAAACAGAGAAACCGCTGTGGCAAGTGTCCGGGATGCAGAGTGCGCTGAGCGTGGGCGCCGTCGGGATTCGGGGGATCACCGCGATGCCTGTCGTGGACAGTTCCGAGAAGATCATCAATTTCCACACGCTCAAGTACAAGCAGAACAACAACCCGGGAAATAATGTGGTCGACCGGAGCATTCGCTCCGAATCGACGGCAAACGCAGTGGAGCAGAGATATTTTTATAAGGTATAGAGGTTCAGTTTCAGGAGGGCAAGAGTGGACAAATGCATTATGCATAGCACATGGCACCACAGCCACAGGAAGAGCATGTTCGTGTATCTGAGCCCGGCGCGGCTGCGCATGTTCTACATACAGAAATTTCGAAAGTCGGCGTTTTATCTTCAACGAATACCATGAAAAGGTCAAATCGCCGGGTGAGAAGCCGCCGCTCCGGTTTATCACGTGGGGCGCCCAGTGTGGCACGCGCTTCTACGCGTTGGATCGCAGGCAACCGAAACTGAACCTGTGCTGTAGCAAGGCAAGCTTCAATTGCGAGGAGCTGAACGTCTGCAACGCGAGCATAGAGCACCGTAAGTTTTTTATTGTTGGTGATTGATTTGGTGCGTCGCATATGCGCTGCATCCGAAGTCGCCTTGTTTGTCATGCAGAGTTCGAATGATTTTGAACATGATCTGCTCAATTCTATATCAAAGAAATTTCTTCTCTCATGCTTTCTTCTAGATTCCGTCACAAGTTGCGTGGTTCTTTCCGACGGAGTGCACACCCTTTTCGGCACCACAAAAGGCGAAATCTTTTTTTTCGAGGACGCGCAGGCCTTGCGGGTATTCACCTTGAACAACATCCGCGCGGCGCCCAGTGCCCCGATTCGCGCCTTGGTCAACGGCGCAGTCAGCGGTACGACGGAACAGAGCGAGGTGCTGATCGGCGACCAATACGACGTGCACCGGGTGTACGAATCCGCATTTTACGAGGAGGTCACCAACCACCTCAGTATTCGGGGGCCCAGTGCCACGACGAAAATTGCCACAGGGACGAGGCCGGCGAGCTCTAGTAGGCCAGGTATAATTCTTCAGCACGCGTCTCTACCTAGACGTGCACTTTGATTTCTTTTCCCGATAGTTTGCAAATGTACAACCAACGGCGACGTCGAAGATCCCTCAAAGCATCCTCATCACATCAGAACTTTAATTAAAGTTTTATTCCGACGTGGTGAGTCGGAGTCCTGCTCTTGTCCTCAAGATCAACTCCTTCATATGTAAATGAAACCGCAACATCAACAGGCACTGCCAGGTCGGCCGCTTCGTCCCGGCCTCTCACTGCCCAGCCGCTCTCGAAAAAACCGGCGGCGCTGAAGCGTGAGAACATTGCCACGATTTCCCTTGGCGGTGTGGTTTCCAACCCGAGCGTGTTGGTCGCGGGGAGGAAATTTGAAGTCAATGCCTTTGAAGTCAACGAAGCGGAGATCTTAGTCGAGAAGGACCGGAGTCCGAAGAAAAAGGTGTTGCGCAACATGGAGAGAAGGGCGCTGATTCACAGAGCAGGTAGTTCTATGATATTTACAGATCATTTTCATGCGCTGTTGTTGTACTTGTAACGCGGTGACTCATAGTACAGTTACTTGAGATCATGCTGTTAAATTTGACACTTCGCATGTTGACGGAAGTACAAGTAGAAAATGAACATCAAACGCTCATCAATAGACGCCGCCAACCTGCAGAGCACCATCAACGACAAGAAGTATGTGACCGCGACAAAAGTCGTGCGGAAAAGCGTATGACAGGGAAAATCTGATGTACAACTCTCATGATTTGTTGGTTCTGCGCAGAAAGTTTTTCATTTTTTGTCATGCGCGACGAGCACGTGAGAGCGGAAGTCGTCGTAGAGCCAGATACAACTACTCACCGAAACTTTATCAGGATTTTTCTACCTACTCCATACCAGAAAGCAAGAACGTACGACTATCTTTTCGCGTCAAAAGGGCAGCTCTTCCTCCTAAACGACGGAGATGCGGCGGCGCAAGTCGTCGCCACGCAGCCCTGCCAGGAGTGCACAGGTATTAAAGAATTGACCATCTGCAACTGCAGCTGCTCGCATCATCTTCCGTGCTTCGGCGTGCTGACGACGTGTCTTGCATGATGTGGCACCAGCATCCGCAAAGAAATGTTTCCATGCACGTAAGGAACTTCACCAGCACCACACGACTCTCCACAGGTATCTGTCCCCTCCCCGCCGAGGCGAAGTCCGGAGAATACGCCATGGGTTCGACGGACGGGTGGGTCCACTTCCCGAAGCAAGTGCAGGACCCCATCCAGATCCCGGGCCGCTTTCCCGTGTATTCCGTCGCGGCCTCTAACCTCGTGAAGCCCACGAGACCGACGAGTGTGTTGCCGCACTACGTCGCGGCCGGTTGTGCGAACAGCAAAGTGTTCGTTTTTTCCCTCCCCAGCCGGGATCTGGTGTTCAGCCGGTCGCTCGGTGTGGCGGGGGACGTGAACATGACGAGCTGCGCCTTTTCCGTCTACAACGCGATCCAGAAGAACTACAAGCTGGCGGTCGGGGGGCAGGACGGCGTAATTTTCCTACTTACGTTGACAAACCCGGCCTGGACGGAAAACCCGCGGTGCATTCTCGCCAACAATCCGAGCCTGTCCATCGCGCAGTCGGGGCTGAAGCGAGCCACCCACGCAAGCGGCACCGCGGTCCAGCAGCTCCGCGGCCACGCTACCGCGGTCACGTCGCTGGCGTTTAGCGACTGCGGAAATTTCCTGCTTTCCGGCGGGTACGACGGGCAGAAAATCGCCTTCGAAACGCACACGGGGCAGCGGCTGCCCAGTCTGTCTCTGGTCGCGGACTTGAAGTTCGCCCCGGGAAGGTATTTCTCGAAAGATGGAGCAGGACGTGGTGTGGAAGTGACTTCATCAAGTGCTGTCTCGCCGTCAAAACCAGCTAGAGGACAACCAACTACCAGCAGCAGCAGTACCTCCGCGAAGTTTGCTTTTGCGCCGTCGAGTCGAACAGCAGGATCTTCTTCCTCTTCTTCCGGGGCTGTTGTGGTACAACAACAGAACGTTAACAGCAAACCGGGAACAACATCCCTCGATCTCGCGAACTATCTTCACAGTTCCGCGGTGCACCACTCGGTTCTACAGTACAACAAGAAGAAGCTCAACCTCTCCTCCACCTACAATCAGCAGCAGCTCGCGGCGCGCCGGCCCACGAGCAGCTACACGACGCTGGCGACGGCCGGGAAGCGACCAATCTGCCCGGTTTCGGAGAAGTTTTCGCACGGAACTACAAGCGCAAAAATAGTAACCGGTGGACTGGGGAATAAACAAGCGGGAAGAACGAAACCCGCTGGACCACGAACGTCGAGTGCAGTGGCATCCAAGAAAACGCTGGAAATCGAACTCGGGTCGGGTGGCGGAGGCTGCATTTCCGCCGGACAGGGGCTGGTCACGTTTGCGGATGGAGAGTTGGCTGGGATCAGGTATTTGTGGAACGGTTTAGATATTAGGAATTTTCAGGTACAACCACGATAGAGGCGGTCGTGCAGTTCTTTTTGCAGAAGTTGTGTAGTAAATTTGTGTGAAGTTCGAATCAATTGGAATGATAAACGAGTTTCACATGGTGAAAAACTTGCAAAAATAACCCCAGCGGCTGCACGAGCGCGATTTCGGGGGAGCAGGGCATGGTGGTCTCGGTCGCCGGGGCCCAGCACCAAATGGTCTACGGGTAGAGGGTAGAGTTCGGAAAGAGAGAGAGACGGGTTAGGATAGTAGCAAAATCAACATGCAGAAAAAATTGGAATAGGAGTAGCTATAGTACGGATCACACTGGGAACAAGAACTGGCTTTATGTTCAATGGATTTGAAGATGTTTTTAACGCATGGCGGTGCCTGCCACTGGCACATTATGTATGCCTTGCAGCGACGCAATAAAAAAACAAAATAGTGAAGGGAGAAGATGAACAGAAGAAGAATACATAATACCACCTCTGAATAAATCTAGCGATCTTTATTTGAATTTATAGGCCTGTCGCACGCGGCTCGAAGGTCAATCATGATGCCCGTCGGTAGCTGCTGAGACAGTTACTGACCCGGGTTTTTGCGCTGGGCTTTTAGGACCGTGGTCAGCAAACGCAAACTTTTAATTTGAATTGTGAAACTACCGGATTTGTTTTTGAACTCTGCCACAAGGTTGACATCATTGATTCAAGTTGCAAAGGATGGATTTTTCTCTATTCGCGAACTTCAGTTTTTGGAACTATTTGAGGCCGATCTATACTAAGTGACATTTATTTAAAGGGGAAACCAAACGTGATGAAGAGGTGCTGAAAACAAGGCGTCAGAGTTCGGCTTCAAGCTACGAAGTGGTGAATGTCGTGAATACGGTGAAAGAACGGAAATAGTGAGCTTTTTTACAATATGCACAGTATTGGACTATTGGAATTTTGTTTTCTACCGGATAATTGTTGTAGTTGAAATGATATGAACACTGAAACTTCTCAGCAGCGGCTTTGTGTCGCTACTCCATGGAATTTCGCTACAAAAAAGCAAGTATGTGACAGGGATATTTGTATTTCCGCATTTTGCTGGAATCAGACTACTTCTGTTAAAAACGAACATTTGATTGGTGTTCGACTCAAATTTGTAGTTGCGGATACCCACGCTGTCTGCCTCTCGCCTCGTCTCGTCGAAAAAGTTTGTGTCGGTCTAAGTATCCGAAAATCAACCGTAGTTGTTGCCGTCGACGACTTCACGACATCTGCAAAAAATCGTAGCAATTCGTATACGTATCTATAATCCAAGCAAAAGTAATGCACTTTCGTTACCGTTCCCGTTGGTGTTGGAAGAGATAGAGAAGGGAAACGAAAAACGCACAGGAAAATCTTCGTACCTTCTCGCTCTACATTATCGTCTCCAATTCGTCGGGAACCTCGTGAGTGTTGATCGTTTTCGAAAAGCTTGCCTGAAAGGAAAGTGACTTTAAGGTACGGGGGACAGTTGAACAGTCATTCACACCGCATGTGCCGTTTTTAATATTTTTCGTTTTGATAATGAACCCAACTCTAGCAGTGTCTATTTTTTCGGAATCCGAGATACGGATTCCGCATTTTTGGGAAAACCCGAGAATTGTTGGAAGAGAACTCACAAAACATCCTGGAAAGGCGAGGAAAAAAACCTTGTCCTCTCCCCTCTTTCCGAGCGCTACGTGGGACCGCAGGAACGCCACGGAACACTGACTTGTGTGTCGGGGAGGTCTTCGTAGCGCTCCAGGGGATAAAATTATCAACAAATCGTATTCATTAAAAAACAACGTCAACGAACAAAACAACATCGCTTTTGTCCATCGTCGGCGCCGATCAGCGGATACCCAACTACTCACGATGTCAACGCCATTCTTCTGCGTCAAGAACAGGCTGCAGCTCCGGGTAGTCGTTGCGTTCTTCGTCTCCCTGAATTTTTCCGTCTTCGCGGAGGAGCAGTTAGCGGTTGGGCAGCAAGAACAGCAGCAGCAGCCGCAATTGCAGAACGGAATAAACAAGGAAGACGCAGACTCTGCCGCCCCGGTGGGCCTCAGCGAGGAGTTTCTCCAACTGGATCTGAGACCGCGGAAGTTCTATTTTGCTGGAGACAAACCAGGTACTTACAAGAAATCGTAGAAGTTGATGAAGTGAGAAAATGAAAATGAGTTCTTCTCCTTTTTCTGCTGTCCTCATGCGCCACCTACTTTTATTTAGTTCACGAAATAAGAAAAGAAAAACAAAAATCGCAATACAGAAGCCGGACCGAAGGGCGACGAAGAGGAAGAAGTTTCTCGCCGCCGGGTTGTCACTGCCGACGGGGAGCAGTTGGATGAAAAGACGAGCGCGGGCGTCGCGAAGCAGCACGAGAACGCGGAAGAGCAAGATGGTGATGTCGATATCCCAATCAAAAAGGCAAGCCTCGTGTCTCAACAACTCTGCGTTTTTTTCTACGGTGATTCTAGAAGTACTATAAGTATTTCATCAAGATCAAGACTATGGTTGATGCATGACGAGAACAAATATCGTGATTGCGGGGCGGGTAGGGTTTGTCTTCTGGGATATCGCACCAGGAACTCGACGTCGAAGCAGCCGAGGTACAACAGCGAGACGATATTGTGAGGAAAAATCTCTCCTCCTCATATCAAGACGAAGTTTCTGAGGCTGGAGTTCCGTAGACAAATCAGATCTGTCTTGCGGAAAGTGCTTGGCGGCATTCTTTACGCCTGTTTGGGTATGCAGAAGGCTAGTGCTTAGGTATGTTGGCAAACAGGTTTGCAGTAGTCAAAAGCGCGTGACAGACTGGCTTTGGAATGCGCCATATTGCTCCCATTATCCAATAGGCGAGAAAAAGGCGAAATGTGACCACAGACCAGGATCACAAATTTCCATTCTGATATGCGGAAAGGGGATTTTTCCTCACAATAGACGAGGACGCCGGTCCCGAGCGAGGTGACAGTTATCTGGCTAAGGCGGATGGAGGAAATGGTCTATGGGCGCGAGCAAGAAGCCAGATGGCGAGATTTTTGCCTGGGCGTTCCCGCACCACACGTGTGGAAGAACTTTCACTGCTAGGCGGACAAGATGATGATCACCATGCGAAGTCGGACCCGTCATTCCACGATGTCGTGGCCGCAGGTGGAACTGGATCGTCAGGTACTGAATTATTTTATGCAAAGCGATGTAGTTGCGCATCCGCATGCAAAGACAAAGTGTTGCGCAAGTATGATGGAGAACGTAACGAAAGCGAAATCCTAGAGATGGTTCTAAACATATTTTATCGCTCGCGCCAGATACCACACATAGCGGCTCCGGTTCGCCTAGCAGCGCCTCCGCCAATTCCGCGCCTGGCCTACGACTGCCGGGGGCGGCGTTTAACTCGCCGTATGAAGGACGTGACAACGCCGGTGAGAGCGGGACTCCAACAGCCATGCGTGATGGAATGACAGGGGCGCAGTGGGACGCGAAGCGAGCACAAGAGGAAGAGCACGACAAGTGGTACGGCGAGAAAACTCTGCGGGGGCTTACAACGGTAAGACATCCGGACGAACCGTGGCGTCCACCCAATGCGAATAATCGGGCGATACCAGGTCGCGAAATTGGCTGATTGTGTGCAATACCAGCACGGTGATAGCGATGTTGGAAATGCCTGTCGGGATCGGGAAGAAACAATGACTGCGTTGAAGAAAATTAGTTTTACTCGTCTGAAGGTATCGGAAAGTGTGGTCGAGTAAAAAACGGAGTGGAGTGGATTTTGATAGTTGATACATCATCGACATTGTATGTAGATCTTTCCGAAGTCGACGCGCTACAACTACAATGCCCCGCCGTCGGTCTGTAAGGCTGGTGACTGTTCCTCTCATCATACTGGCTTGAAGTAGAAGTTTTCTCGCCAGGGAGAAATTTCCGTAAAAATGATTCGTTCCTCGTTGGACTCAAGACTGCATTCGTACGTACACGTAGTATCTGCGGCTTTGGACTTCCTCGTCTCGAAGAAGCCTGTGTCTCTTTTAAGTACAGTGGACTTGTCGTTGTGGTGATGCTGTCGGACTAAAATTGAAACCGCATGCGAAGCTAGTTGTAACAAGAAATAACATGATGAGAAGCTGTACTGGCATTTGCTTTCTTCAAACTCATCCACTTTGATGCCGTAAGGAGAGATATTCTCGGTGTAACCGCGTTGCCGAAATCAATACGTGACTCGTGATCAATGCAATGTAATTGCTCTGCAAAAAAATGGAGGTGGTCGTGATTTTTGAGAATCTCGTTCTCGAGCTTTTGCTCCTGTGGCGATCTTTCTTGATTTTGATTGAAATCAGCAGTGGAGGAACAAAACAAAGGATCGACTTTGCATTTTCGACGAGAAAAAGGTCATGCTGGCTCATAATCAGAAATCGAAAAGTGTGTTGTGTCCATGATCAGAGTGTAGTTCGTGATAGAATGGTGATCCGCTTTTGCAAATGTTCTTTAAAAATCGTTCAGGAAATCGACGCGCCCATGTTCATGTTGCTGTAGATCTTTGTTGAGATCGACCTGAGATGAAATTCATCAAATGCTTATGCTTCTTCTAAAGGTTGATTTGTTTTTATTCGCTTTCATCCAAAAGCTCACCAGGAATATCATGGTCGCAGAAAGAATGCCGTGTGAATTTGAGTTTAACCGAGAAGCAGAAAGGCGGAATGGTGGAGACGATTCCTTGTGATTTTTCATTTCGATAGCCGAAGCAGTGGAGGTTGCATCACCAGCTTATTACCTCATTCTTGTGCGACTTCGACCCCGATCTATAAGTATGTCGTGCTCAGCAAAGTAGTTTTTTCTGTCTTGTCGCAAGTGATTTTATTTCTTGGAAGTGAAGAATTGTGCGACTAAAGAACAACCTGCTTCTACTTCATTTGATCATTTTCCGCCACCATGGACTCCTCCGCCGGCGGCGGCGCCGAGAAGAAGTCCGCCTTCCGCGGCAAGAAGAGCGGCAAGAAGGTGAAAAAGAAGCAGGAGAAGGATGGGAAAGAGCGACATAACCGCAAGGCATTTACCTTTAGTGGGGGGAAGAAGTCGGTGCAGCGAAAAGTGCAACAGTCCGCGGACCAGAATGCCCGGAAAACCCACGCGCCGATTCTGGATAAAACACCGGACATCGCCCCGCCGTATGTGGTGGTGGTGCAAGGTATAGAATTTGGATGCTTTGCTGTAGTTTCTTCTGTAGGTACGTTTTATTTGATGGCTCAGGAGACGAGGGCAGGTCGTCGAGATATTGATGGCACTGCCGTATTTTCGCATGATGTAATGGTGAGCACAAGCAGCACTGTACAGGATAGCATGGCTATCCCACGGAGCAGACTAAACTTTATTTTGTACGTACATGATGTTCTACTTCTATCCGTAACCGTATCCACCAGGTCCCCGCGGTTCCGGTAAGTCCACCCTGATCCGTTCGCTGGTGAAGCACTACACCAAGCAGAACATCAGCGAGGTGAACGGCCCGATCACCGTGGTCACCAGCAAGCACCGCCGGCTGACCATTTACGAGGCGCCCAATGACATTGCGAGCATGATGGACCTGGCGAAAATCGCGGATTTGGCACTCTGCCTGATCGACGCGTCCGTGGGGTTCGAAATGGAAACCTTTGAGTGGATCAACTTACTGCAAAACGCGGGGTTCCCGAAGGTCATGGGGGTTTTGACCCACCTGGACAAATTTCCGGAGACGAAAATGATCCGGAAGAAGAAGAAGGAGTTCAAGGCCCGGTTCTGGGCGGAGATCTACGACGGCGCGAAGCTGTTCTACTTCTCCGGCCTGCAGTATGGGGTCCGGTATTTGAAAACGGAGGTGACGAACCTGGCGAGGTTTATCGCGGTCCAGAAGGTGCCGCTGCTGTCCTGGCGCCAGGCGCACCCGTACTTGGTGGCATTGCGGTTCGAGGACCAGACGGAAGCGGTGGATAAAAATTTATTTCTGGAGGATAGAAGAGCATCAGAAGATCAACAGGCTTTAAAAATATTATCCACGACTAGTAAAACATCAATAACAAAAACTACATCTCCTTTCCGCAAGCTCCATCTCTACGGCTACTGCTACGGCGCCCGCATGCGCGCGGGGCAGTTTGTACACGTTTGCGGGGTCGGGGACTTCCCGATCGCGTCGATCGAGAAGTACACGGATCCCTGCCCGAGTCCGCTGGCGATGGAAGTCGCGGAGGGCAAGCCGAACGCGGAATTGTTGTCGTTGAATGATCCAAAACGGAATAAAGCGACGGGTCGGCTCGAGAAGAAGAAGGTGAACAATTTGCGCACCTTGCAAGAGAAGCACAAGGCGATTTACGCGCCCGGGTGCGACATCGGGAACGTGTTGATGGACAAGGACGCGGTGTACATAAATCTACCGAAGCACAAAAAGGGGTTCACCAAGCGGGACGACGAGTCGGAGGATGAGGATCAAAATTCGGACGAGGAATTGGAAGGCAAAAAGGCCAGCCACTTACCGGAAGCCGTGCAGCTCGTGCGCGAACTGCAGCAGAAAGTGGGCGCATTGAATGACGTCGGTAGCGGAAGCAAGCTGAGGCTCACGGACAAAGCGAGGAAAGTGTTGGCGAACGAGAGTGCTGCTGGGGGGAAAGACAAAGAAAGCACAAACGGCTTGAGGCGCCGCGTCGCCCCGGATTTTGTCGAGGGGGGGGATGCGGAGGGAAACGGTAAAGACGAGTGGAAGATAAAATCTGGAACAAACTCCGACTCGGAACAAGAATATGGCACCTCGTCGGGCGAGGAAGAGGAGGGCTCGGAGGAAGAAGACGATTCCGACAAAAATGACGCCGAATCTTCTGCGGACGAAAACGACAGTGAAGAGGAGACCGCCCGCGACAACTCAAAAAAGCAGTTTTTCGCGGAAGCCAAGCAAAGATTCGCGAAGGATATCCCGCTCGAGGAGCTCGTGTACGGGAAGCAGTACCGGTCCCAACACGCGCGCAACCTGCAGGCTGGCGGGAGCAGTTCCTCTTCCAATGGAAATGGTCCGAAGCGGACCGTCGATTTCCAAGACGCTGCCTTTCTGGCGACATCATCATCTTCAGCTGGATCTGTTAAAAGCAAAAGCAAATCGAAATCTACCGCTTCCGACCAACAGGACGAGGATCCAAGCAAGCCGAAGAAATTGAGCCTCTTCGCCGATGACTCGGATGAGGACGGAGATGAGAATGATGAACTGATGCTCTGCTCCGCGAAAGGTCGTGACGGTGTAAAGGTAAATGCAAGTTCTAGTAAAATCGTCGACGACGGCTTGGATTCCTGGCGGTTGAAATCCTTGCCCTTAGACGCGCGCTGGCTCTTCGACGAGGAGCTTCGTGCCGAGCTGAAAAAATCGAAGTTTGTCACCGGCGACTGGAACGCTGACGGCGGGATAAGGAGAAAAAACGGAGGAGCACCCGGCGAAGGAGACAACGATAGCGATGTGGACATGGATTTGAATGATGACGACTTATATCAAATGCAAAAGTGTCTGGGTCTGGAAGAGTCATGCTGCTTTTGCATGACACAGAAGGTCTGGCATGGAAGCTCTAGCATCACAGGCTTCGAGAAGCTTCCGCAATGCCGAACCTGCGTCACAAATGCTCGACTTTGGTGACAGAAAGCGGGCAGCTTTTGCTGCCTATGCATGAGAGATTTTTATGTGTTGTGAAATGCGCATCACAAGGGTGCATTCGTCCAGACCCAGACATATTTGCAATGCATAACTTAGACGACGACAACGTCGATTATTCCAAGCTCTCCGCCGAGGAGATCCGCGAACGCAAGGATAGGATCATGCGGAAAAAGCAGGAAAACGAAGAAAACGGGCTTGGAACAACAAACTCCTCGTCCACCAAAGCGAATTCCACCGAGCACCAGGACGAATTTGGCCGACGGAATCTCGTGAAGAAACTGAACCCGAACGACATGCTAGAGCACCAGGATGCCATCCCGATTGGCGCGTACGTGCGAATTGTATTGGAAAATGTCCCCGAGCTCTCCGTTGAAGCGTTATCACTCGACAAACCCATCGTGGTCGGCGGCCTCCTGCCGGGGGAACTGAAGATGGGGGTGATGCAGTTGCGCATCAAGAACCACCGGTGGGCGCCGCGGGTGATGAAGTCCAACGATCCGGTGTTCTGCTCCATTGGGTGGCGACGGTTTCAAACGCTCCCGATGTATTCCTTGGAAGACCGGAACGAGAAACGCATGAAGTTCCTAAAATACACCCCCGAGCACATGCACTGCCACATGACGTTTTACGGACCGGTGGTGCCGCCGAAAACGGGCTGCATTGTCGTGAAAAACATGAAGAACATCGCGAACTACCGCGTGTCAGCCACTGGGCTCGTTTTGGAGTCGAACACGGGGTTCCAAGTCGTGAAGAAGCTAAAATTGACTGGCGAGCCCTACAAGATTTTCAAAAACACGTGCTTCGTGAAAAATATGTTCAACTCAGACTTGGAGTGCAACAAGGCATTACACGCAAAATTGCAAACCGTGTCCGGGATCCGCGGTGAGATCAAGAAGGCGGAAGGCACGGAGGGACATTTTCGGGCGACGTTCGAAGACAGATTACTCATGAGCGATTTGGTCCTGCTCAAAAGTTGGGTGCAGGTACAACTATCAATCATGCTTTTAGAGATATCATCAGCACTTTATTCCTATTCGCAATTTGTTAATTTATTCCGTTGCTCCATCGTCCCTTGCATGTCAAGCAGCGATCTCGGTATTGGGTTCATTCTCAAGTTGTATAGATACGAATGATGTACTTGTCCCAGGTGGCAGGATTCAAAAGAATCTTCCACACGACTTCTGAATTGCAAAAGTATCGTACTCGTATAAATGCATTCCAAATTTCCTCAGCATGAGAAACAAGATTTGTAATGCAGATTTGCCTTGGGAACAAGATTTGTAATGCAACACTTGCATTCCAAATTATAAATCCTATCAGGTCGAGCCGAAGCAGTTTTACAACCCGATGCTGGACATCGAGGACTGGCGGCGCATGAAGTCCGCGGGCGAACTGCGGTTCGAGCAGAATCTGCAAATCCAGCACAAGAAGGACAGCCTGTACGGGAAGCAATTACTCCGGCAGCGGCGGAAGTTCAGCAAGCTCCAGCTCCCGAAGTCCGTCGAAGCGAACCTACCGTTCAAAACCGTGCCGAAGAACGAAAGCAAGAAATCCATGCCGAAGCCCGGCACCGAGTCGCGCAAGATCAACAAGGCGGTCACGGCGGTGATACGGACGGACGAGGAGCGGAAGCAACGGTCGTTACTGGATCGGTTAAACGTGGTGCGGAAGGACAAGGTGAAGAAGAACAAGGACCACAAGAAGCAGAAGTGGGCGGAAAAGGCGTCGAAGGAAGCGAAGATCCAGGCTTTGCGGGACGCGCACACGAGGAACAACCGGAAGATGAAGCACGTGAAAGCGGGGCAGGCGGAACAGAAAAAGAGAGAAAAATTGAGGCTGGAATAGAAGTGAAAGGGATTGAAATTCTTCACTTGATGATGTTCTGTGTCAAGTTTATCGCCACGCCTTGGTTGTTGTGTTTAAGTATGTCCCTGCACCATGTACAATGCTTCTGCGACGACAACGCTTGCCGTTTTTCTATAGGTAGATGACGGAAATTATTCACCTCTTGCAAAAATACATTATTCGACGCGATCCTTGCAGTACTACGATAATAGCTGAAGGGGCTGTTTCAAAAACAGGCAGATTGGTTTCAGCTTTCTGTTGGCCTGTGAGAAGCTTGTTCGCTGCTTTAGGGCAGCTGAAGATCATGCAAAAAAATTGACGGTCACCGTCACATATAAAAATAGGTGCGTTTAGAATGTCATTGCAAAAATTTTATCGGTTGCAAGCGTGCCTTTTGCTGTAGGTGCAGATTTTCTATCCTTGGATGCAGGCCTGCAAATGACATTGAGCCGTGACGCGAAACAAAATGAAGATCTTCGTGAGCAGCCTATAAACGATCACAAATCGCGTCGACTCGCTTCCCCTTCCGCACAGATCTTCGTTCGCATGCAACTATGTGACGCAGATCAGATCGTTATCGTGCTCGTAAATCAGCAGGCAAGACCGAAATCCAAGATTGAGATGATCTCTGATGATCATGCCTGTACGGATCTACAAAAGGAGGCGTAGATGATGATGCTAGGCTGGAGGATCCACCATTCCTGTGCCGCACTTCTTAGGCACGCACATTATCATGAGACCCTTCCTTATCTACACCACAGGCTGATGTGCAGAAAGAACATTGGTTGTACAACTATGTATACTAGTCGCTCGTGAATTGCACATTTGTCAGTACGACTACGAGCTTCGACCTAGAAGATAGATTTTATTACTTTCAGGGTTGTATTAGAGGAAGAGTAAGAGACCAGGCCTGGTATTTCACCAATACAAGTTGTAGTAGTAAGCGACCTGCACGCCGCTTTTCCACAGACTCGTACGTTAAATCTTTCCAAATCCTTATTTCTTCCCATAGAAAACGACCAGGATCAACATGGGTAAGTTCCGCAAGCACGGGTCGAAGCACGACAAGGGGCCGAAGAAGAAGAACAACAAGGGCCCGAAGAAGGATGCGATTCACGGGATCAAAGCCGGTGCCAAGGGCATCGCCGCGCAGTACCTCACCCGGGCGCAGAGTTTGAAAAAGCTGCAGCTTTCCCTCGTCGACTTTCGGCGGCTGTGCATTTTGAAGGGGATTTACCCCCGCGATCCGAAGAAGAAGCCGCAGGGGAACGACAAAACCTACTACCATGTGAAAGACATCCGGTTTCTGCAGCACGAGCCGCTGTTGATGAAATTCTTCGAGCTGAAAACCTACATGAAGAAGTACAAAAAATGTTTGGGGAGGGGGGATAAGAACACCGCGAAACGGGTGCAGGAAAACAAACCGGAATACACGCTGCATCATCTGGTATTTTTTTCATTCTCGAAGGTTTATTTTGGGCTTACTTACTTATTTTCATTTCGATTTCCCTTGGTTGCAGCACGGGATTTCGATGTGTCATGGAATCGAGCAGGAGCAAGAAGACCACGACTCGCATTGCATACTGATGTAGTGTGTTGAGGAACCAACGACGTACTTTGTGATGCTGCATTACACATCAAGACAAGAATTTCGAACATCACCATACCACAGGTCCGCGAGCGCTACCCGACTTTCAGCGACGCGATCCGGGATTTGGATGATTCGCTTTCCATGGTCGCGCTCTACGACTGCCTGCCAACCGACCAGAAAAATGAAATCCGTGGCGACGTGGTGCAGGAGAGTGCCAGGCTGGTGCACGAATTTTTCCTGTACGTGATCCAGACAAAGTCTTTGAAGAAGTGCTTTGCGAGCATCAAGGGCTACTACTTCCAAGCAGACATCCAGGGGGAAACCGTCACCTGGCTCGTGCCGCACAAGTACACCCAGGAACTGCCGGCCGAGGTGGACTTTCGGGTACTTACGATATGATAAATTGCTTCGTTTTTCTGCTGTTTGTGCTCGTGGCAGTAAAAATGATCGGAATCATCTCCTTACTTTGCCTCATTTGCAGCATGACAAGAAAATGAGTGCTGTTCATCAGGTCTGTTGTTCGCATTTGGAAAAATAAATATTTATATCTTGCACGACTGGGAAGTCGACAAGACAAGAAAAATCTTGATGAAAAGACCCGGAAAATTATTCAAATTCAAAAAACAGGTGATGGGCACCTTCAACGAATTCTACCGCACCATGCTGAAGTTTATCAACTTCAAGCTTTTCGTATCAAATGTAAAAATGTCTGGGTCTGGAAGATTGCCAGGGTTGTCATGCACATTTTGCATGACTCCTGATGCCTGTGATGCATGCCCTAGCATCACAGATTTTGTGAGGGCTTCCTGATGCCTATACCGCATGACAAATGCTCTTTCCGTGTAGCGAAACTTGGACTCTCTTTCCTGCTCATGCAATACAGATTTTTTTAGAATCCAAAATCAGCATGACAATTCCAGACCCAGACATTTTTATAGTTGATATTTCGCGGAGGCGAAATTTGAGTACCCACCAAAATTCAACTACAAACGGGATGCCGCAGACATGGCGAAATTCTACGTCAAAAATGCGGACTCGAAGAAGGTATTTACTATTGAAGTACAAGAAGCCTGTAGTTGCACACACTACTAATGAGAGAAAATAACCATTTTCAACATCTTTGCACCTGTAGGAAGATAAGTAACGACTGACACGTGCGGGGTAGACTGCTCCTGTACAAGAATGCTAGTTCTTACTTCTAGATAATGTACTAGCGCAAGAAGCGTGCGAGTGCAACATGGCAAAAATATTGATACATTAGGTTCAGCAGACCGAAGAGCAGCGACAGAACGAGAAGCGCGAGGTGGAGGCGGCGACAATCCAGGATTTCGCAGCCGTGTCCGATATCAAATGTAAAAGTGTCTGGGTCTGGAAACTTGTGATGCTGGGTGGCGTCTCATGATGGGGCCACAAAGGCTGGCTCAGCATGACAAGTTCCTGAGCCTCTAGGTGTTGCCTATTCTGCATGACAAACTGCGGTTCTGCATCGCAGAAAAATGGAGCTCTTGGGTAACGTGCATGACAGATTCAAGACTCATGCCAGACAAGCATGACAAACATGCACTCTTCCAGACCCAGACATTTTTACATTTGATATCCGAAGAAGTTCAGCAACTACAGCTGCTGAAGCAGCCAAGTAGTTCTAAAGGCGTCTTTTCCGGCATGCGGGTTTTTATCCAAAGGGAAGTGCCCTTCCACTCCATCTACTTTGTGCTCAAGTCCGGTGGGGCGGAGGTATCTATACTTGTGAAATGATGGAGGAATTTTTTTGCATGATGACAGACAGAGTGATGAAAACGGAAAAAAGAAGTAAAGCTAAAGGTGTTTTGGTTTTGTTTGCTGGATATAAATGCACTATGTGAAAAAAAACCGAAATCCAATCCCACAGGTCGGCTGGTCGCTTCTCCCAGCCTCTCCCTTCAAGGAGAACGACAAGAAGATCACGCACCAGATCATTGACCGGCCCTCCAGTCAGTTCACCCAAATCCCCGGGCGGGAATACGTGCAGCCGCAGTGGGTGCTGGACTCCTTCAACGAAAACCTGAAACTCCCGGTGGATCCCTACCTGCCGGACAAAATCTGCCCGCCGCATTTGTCCCCCTTTGTGGACGACAAGGAGGAGGGTTACGTGCCGGAGAGACGGGAAATCTTGAACAAACTGCTCAGCGGTGGATCTTCGAGCAGTTCATCCTTCGCAGGCGCGGAGAAGAACGTCAATGCAGCTGACAAGAACGACGAGGAAATAGACCACGAAGCACAATTTCTGAAGGAACTGCAGGCCGAAGCCAAGGGCGTCTGGGCCAGTGAGTTCGCGAGGCAGAAGGAGGCAGAGGACGATGATGATGCGGAGGACGATGGCAGCTCAACAAGCGCAGAGGAGAACGAGGAGGCTGAAGATGCAGCGTCAAATAAACCGGAAGCAGCAAGCTCAGAGATGATGTTGAAAAATGAAGACGACACAGCAGGACCAGGAGCAGCAGAGAAAGCAGCTGCAGCTGCAGGCACAACTAGTACAGCGCCTCCTGTCGAGAAGAAGCTGACAAAGGCTGAACGGGAAGCCGCGGAGGACTTGGCGAGGAGAAAAGCGATGATGCCGAAGAAGCACCAGCGCCTGCTGCAGAGAATCGAGAAAACGGAGAAGGACAAAGTAGACAAAGCGGTCTTGCTCACTAGCAAAAGGAAAGAACTCAAAAAGGGGGGGAAAAAGAAAAAGCAAAACAAAGCCTGAGTTTTATATCCTCCTCCTGAGCTTATCCGATTTGTATATAGACGCAGCGCATAATTTTAGTTGACGATTTACTTTCAACGCGGTCTATCGTAATGGCAATGATCATGACGTGACTTCTTGCTGTTGAATTGTGATGCATAGAAACGAAAATACGTCTTGGTATTCTCAACGCGCGGCGGTGCTAGTACGACGCACAGAAGTTGTGTTGGGGATGGCGAGCAGAATTATGCACGTGTTTTGTTCAACTACAGCTCCGAAAATTTTATTTCCTGTGCGATCACGTTATGCAGCAGCGCCTGGTACAGGAACTAGGGCAAGCTTCTTTAGAAGTAGTACAGCGCTCCATTCAAGAACCGTGCATTTCTACTTCTTCATTTTTCGTGAACGTGCTGCTTGCAGCCCCTTACTTAGCTGCCGTTGCGTACAAGAAAAGTAGAAGCATCCGTCGTAATAAAACGCTGTGTCGTTGTGATCAATCGTGCTGTTGTCGGAACTGTCGTCCGCTGATGAAATAAATCAAAATTTCACCTCGTGTCGTCGTCGTCGTCCAATGTTATTTCAGAAGAAGAGGAACTGCTGCTGTCGCGCGTGGTTACGGCGTTTAATCTCCCCCGCTTTCGTCTGCGGTTGCTTTTTCCCGACGGTGCTACAGGATCTGGGGGTTAAAGATGTAACCCGGCAAGCCGGAATGTGCGCCGGCGTATAGCCTCCGCCGCTCGTCTTCAGACCCAGCGGCGTGCTCCAATTTCGCTGCGTCTCCGGGTTGCGCCCTCGGCATCAAAGAGTCGCCCGGTCGTGTCTGGAGGCAAACGCGCTTCTGGGGGCTGTGTCTGGTGTTTCCGTCACCTGCGGTCGGGTGGGAGGCTGCGGTCTACTTTCCTTGCCGCTTCACACTGTTGCTCTAGGTCCGCTGCGCGGACTCGGTTCTTCCTACCTCGGGGTCCTATATAGCTGTCCGCTGTTCCAGATGGTAGTAGGCTGGCTGTCGTCTACGCCATGGTCCGGCGTCCCTCCCGTGTCCCCTACGCGCTTGCTGCTTCGCAACACTTCTATTTCCCGCTGGACATCTGCGATTTCCCGTCGTGTCTGCCTGTGCCGGTCCTGGAAACGCGTGGTCGCCTCCTCCTCCGCTGCCGCTTCGATTCTAGATATCAGGATGGGGAGTGCGGAATCGCCCCCAAAAGGCGAATAGATCAGGCTGACAATGAGTGGTCGTGCTTTGTCAATCGTCTCGCCGTGTGCCTGCTGGATCGCCTCCACCTGCACGAACCAACTGCGGCCCTCCGCGGTCTGCCGGAGGAGATCCTTGACGACGCCAGCTATTCGATCGCTACCGACGAGAACGCGCTGCGCCGGCCTTGTAGTGATAAGCTGAAGGAGTGGGGCGATGTTGTGGAACTCGTAAAAGAAATTCGCGAACCCTCCGCGAAATGACGAGAATTCCAACAATCCCTCCTCGCGGTGCTGCAATCTCTGCTCCTTGCTCCCCAGCGCCTGCCCCTCGTGGTCGCGTTCTCGCTTGATCAATACCGTTGGGCAGTGGTGTAGTAGGAAGGGGATGTGTGACAATGCCGGTAGGTGCTGCTTCGTATCCCTTGTTCTGCATCGATGTTGCTGTACCTCTTGAGGGGTTACGAGGTTCTTGGCCTCCAGGGTTTCAAGGAGAGACGGGTCTCGTCTGCACGGCATTTGGTCATGCTGGTTCGCTCCGTGCTTTTGCGTGCCCCACTTCTATCTGTTGTTGCCTGTTGATGTGGATGTCGTTGCGTGTTCCGCCGAGGTAGGGCTGCTTTAAATCACCAACAACGGACCCCAGACGAGGGCGCCCCAGTCCGGACTATGGCGGTTCGTTGTGGATCACTCTTTCGCTCGGAGGGGATTCACTCCGTTTCGGCCCGCAACTCCATCAAATTGTTGTATTGCTTTCGTTGTCGTCAAGTGCAAGTTCTCCACTCAAGTACTTTCCTGTCGCTGCTCCAGCGTGTGTCGAGCGAAAATCACCGCTGTCCGGCCCTGGTCGGCCTCTACCTGGAAGGAGTGAGGTTTGCCCAGACTATGGCAGCCGGCGGCGGGTCACCGATGCTTCTTACTGATGGAGCAACTGCGCCCCGATTTTGGACGCGCCTTCTCGTGCGTCTGCTCGGAGGCTGGTAGAGCTTCGTGGCTTGGTGGGAAGATGTATGCTGGCTCGATGGATGTCGTGGTATGTGTCGGCGTCGATGTTTATCGCTCGCTACCCCTACGATGAAAATCAAAATTTCACTTCGTGTCGTCGTCGTCCAATGTTCTTTCAGCCCTTCTTCCTTGGCGGCGTACTTTTAGAAGAGCAAACGCGGGTACGGAATGGCGGCGCATTGTTTTGGAAAACAGCCGAATTTTGCGAGTTTACCACGTTCTCCGAGGGGGATGAGATTTATTTCATTCCGCCGCAGCATTTGGAGGATGGAGACGTAGCAGCCGTCGGATTTTGTGCTTCCACACTGACAGCACACAACCTGCCGTTCGTGGTTGAGGCGGAAAAGCTTGTGGGGGGCAGGGTGCATAGTCGTGACCAATCTGAGAACCGGTCGGAGCACCAGCACGCGCGAAGGGTGAAGGAACTTGCTGCGAACATTCGTCGTCAGCGCGACCTCGAAGCTTATGAACTGCAAAAGCATCGCACTAGTTCATAAAATGCATGACAAATTTGCTCTGCATGGGAGACAAAATTTGTAATGCAGGTTTGCTCTAGGATCAAAATTTCACCTCGTGTCGTCGTCGTCCAATGTTATTTCAGTACTTTCGTCCGCTCAGGCAAAACTCTACAAATTACGTACAAGAACAGCTACCCCCGTATTAAGGTACACATATCTTTTTATTCCCCGGACACAAGACTGCGGTTTTTGCTGTCAGTTATTTAAGTAAAAGTTAGCGAAACAGCACTAGCAAAAGCACGACCACGACCCCGTTGTACACCAATCTGCCCTTCCAAACCAGTGCAAAAATCGTTCCTGTTGCAATCTTCTGCAGGATGAACTCAACTAAAAATCCGCTTCTACCTCCAAGCGTCATGTTGCTAAGCGGAAGCGTTCGACGAGTAGCGCTCTATTTTTCCCTGTTTCTGCCCACGCTTCAGTTGTCGCTGAAGGTCGTGAACAGTGAAACAACAAGGAAGAATGCGCGACATCGTGACCAGATGAGGAGAAAAATCACGCGGTCGCCTCCATGGGAGGAAAGGGAAACTACCCAGACGCGGGACGATGCCGAGCAAACGAGGACCACCCGAAGTGGCAGCGGGTCCTCAAGTGCTTTGCTTTTGGCGGAACAAGCGGAAGCTGCTGCGACTGCTAGTATGCACGAGAAGAAAGTAGTAGAGCAAGAGGAGCAGCAGCACCAGCAGGGGCGCCAAAGAACTACGTCGAGTCGTGCTACACTGACGACAAATAAAGGAACTGACGCGAAGACCATCAAACTGCGTCCTGGTGATACTCTATCCAGTTACAAAACAATCCCGAGATTTACGATGGCAGCCTCGGGGACAGGCTGCAGAACGAATTGTATGCGTTTTCCATCGAGAACTCAGCATTGAAGTGCAACGACGGCAGTGACTACGTGTTTTACTGGAATCCCTGCCGTGCGTTCGAATCTGAAGCTCGGATTGGTTCCAGCCTCGGGAAGTGGCTGTTGTATCTGGATTGGCCTGGCGGCAGCGCACCCACACTTCAGAACTACAAAGATTCCCGAACTTACACGGTGAAGACGACGAGCTCCAACGAGCGAACAATCAGGAACAACCACTTCTGGCTCTTCCCTCCGTTCAAGCCAGGTTATGACGATACCGTTTTTTCGGCGTTCAACCGGATCCACTTTTCGTACTGCAGCAGCGACCAGTGGTCCGGGGACACTGACAAAGGGTTCAGCGATGGAATCTACTTTCACGGCCACAGAATCGTGAAGCAAGTGGCCACCACGGTTCGCAACGTGATAGAGGAGACGCGGGCCAAGGTACAATCGCAGGAGGAACGTAGAAGCACGCCGTACGAAGTTGTGCTTGCTGGGACCCTTAGCGGTGCCGTCGGAGCGGGGCTGCAGGCCTGCACGGTCTTTCACGTTTTTAACGAATTGAATACGCGGTTTTTGGCAAATGTCCATGGAAAACAAGAACAGGGACCGTTGGTGACGGACGATGATGTGAAACAAATTCTCACCACGCAAGCCCCATTTAGAAAGTTCGGGATATTTCAGGACTCTGGCTGGTCGTTGCGCGGGCCACCAACCGCAAAATACGAAACGCCGGAGGAGTTGCAAAATGACAGTCATATCAAATGCAAAAATGTCTGGGTCTGGAAGAGTGCAGACTTGTCATGCATATTTTCAAAAATACCCCATGACATCTGGAATACAGGACCTACCATGACAGATTCTGCGAAGTGTCTATCATGCCTATCCTGCATGAGAAACTCCCGCTCGTGTTGGTCAAAAAAAAACAACTTTTGGTGATCACGCAACACAGATTTTTGTGTGACCCACAGGAAGCATCGCAAGTTCCATCCTTCCAGACCCAGACACTTTCGCATTTGATAAGTCGTGCCAAAGAGCTATTGCCTTTCGTCACTGCCCAAGTGGGCAACAAGAAGTTGAGCGGTGCAGAAGAGGAGGCTGTGGTCGGCGCAAGCGCTTGGAACGCGAAGCTGGAATCGGGGTGTCCGCAAGAAGTCGGGGCTGGAAATACGTGGCAGTGTTTTTTTCCGCGGACAAACGCGCTTTTTTTCTTGCCGGACAAGGAGAACAAATTGTGTGGCGTGGAAAATAGTGCCATGGTGAAAGTGCGGCACTTCGTTTTGAATCATGGATACGACGATAAAATATGGACCAATGACGTCGGAATGGAATATGCACTGCAACCAATGACGTCCACTGAGTTGAATCCACGGAAACAACGGGGGTGGCAAATTTTGGACGAAATGAAAACATTGACAGCCAGCGTCCCGCTCTCCTCCGCCCCCTCGTTTTTCGTGTCCGCGTCGTCCGGAATGTTATTCTTGTCTGCGTATGGCGGCACGGTATTGTGGGACGGAGAGGTGATGGACAAGTCACTAGATCAAGTGGTCCGCAACTGGTGGGAAACCGACGGTGCCCCCACACAGTACGCCGACAGCTGTCTCTGGTTTCAAAACGACGAGAACTGTGTTGACTGTCTGATGCTAGCCGACACACACTCATCGCAGATGAGACTGTACGGCGCCAATCCAACATTGGGGGAAAACCGCGGTCTTCCGGAGCAAGAGCCGAGGTGTCAGGAGGAGAAATGGAAAAACGAAGTCCTTGCTCCAGCAATCGATGCAAGCGAGCAGAAGGAAAAAAAGCTCCAAAAAGCGCAGAAGCGCATGCGGGAACAATTTACAAGCACGACGACGACTACGACGACTACGAGCACCACAACTGTAACGACCACTAAGACCACAACTTCAACAACGACGACGCTGGGGATTAATCTTGGAGGAGCAAGTACTGCTACAACCAAGCCCAAGCGGCCTCCGGTGATTTGGATTCCCAATTCCGGCGTGTCGAAAGAACAGGGCGGAGCGGGAGGAAATACAACCATTTTTGAGTCGAGCGACGCCCCCGCGGAGCCGACTCGCATGGGGCCGCCAGGAGGAGAGGGGGAAGTGGGAGGCGGTGGGTGTTGCTAATTATATGAATTCGATTTTGTTTCTTCTATTCATGTACAAGATGATTATGGTGGTCTGTTTAACACCATGTTCATGAGTTACGCTACAGCAGCTGAACAACCCGAAAAGTTCTTGTCGATTATACTATTCACATGATTTCTTGTAGCATAATTTTGTTCGATCGTTTAGGTTTTTGTCTTTATCCTTTTATTTTCCATGGTCCCAGAGAAAATTTTTCCCAATCCCAGATTTGCCTTCGACCATGCTATATGAAGCTGAGCCGCACGATTTTGAATTCTATTTCGACCATGGCGCTTCCTTGGCTTGTATGGTGATTTTGTTGAATGGAGCCTGACAGCTCAGCTTTTTTTGACGTCTTATTTGTGTTTTTCTTCTGCTTGCGTTCCATAATGTTGCCGTGCGTGGTCGTCCGAACAACCAACGAGAAGAATGGGTTTGCAACAATCGTAATCATCGTCCTGAAAAGAATCTCGAAGGCAAGAACTCTTCCAACGCCTGTAATCGTTATCGTCATGCTGAAACGGATTTTTATCAATGTGAACTCGTCTCTGCCGTCGTGAAGGAACAAGGTGATTCACCACGCATATTGCTTTATCAGGCTCATCGTACTTGCTACACCTATCGTGAACGAAGGTCATCGTCAGTTAAAAATAGGATGTAGGAAGTGTAGCTACAACTAGTCGAATGTTGCAGACCTTTTTCCCGCCAGAACAGAACGAAAATTTTCAAGAAAAAACAATAGCAGGATCATGATCATCCGGCGGTAGTAGACCCTGAGTAGAAAAAATCCTGTTGCGTTTACTGTCTTAATATCTTCTTGCGATTTTACTTTTTCTTTGATAAGATCAACTCTTCAATCATTTCCAAAAAAACCCCTTCACCATGTTGCGGACATCTTCGCACCAATCTGGTCGGGTTGTGGCGAGTTACTTATTTTCATCCACGTTCCTGCCTACTTTTCAATTTTCCCTAGTGCAGGTTGAGAGCCGGAATAAGAATCTCCGGGAATGGAAGAGGACCACTGCCACCGCATTACGGTCCTCGCGGGGATTGATGCAAGAAAGGACCGACAACTCGTTCTCTGAAAGAACGCAGAGTCGTGTTGAAGACCACACCACCCGCGGCGGCGAGACGAGAATCACGTTGCTACAACAGAGCAAAACCTTTGGAAGAAAAGGCGCGACCGCAGTTGTAGAACTACCACGAGCTAGTCGTGGTCGTCAGGATGAACAACCACAAGGCGCTAGTACAACGGAACTACCACTTGCAAAAACAACGGAAGCAGATACGACGCTGACGACACGAGATGAAGTAGAGGGAGAAGTAGACCAGCGAGCATTTCTTCAGGAAGTAGAGGCTTCTAGAGCTGCCACAGCTTCATCTGCGGCGGTCACGATCGAGCTAAAGGAAGCGGACAGCCTGGAAAGCGCCTGCAACCGTCTGAAAGACGTGAATCCCGGGAATCAGTACAGCAGCGCGAAAAAGAACCGCCTGTATTTGTTTTCGCTGGAACAACAACCGCAAGCCAGCGGAACTACGATCAACGACATAAAGTGCAACGACGGCAGTGACTACGTTTTCTACTGGAACCCCTGTCTGGCGCTGGACAGAGCTGATTACCTGTCCACTGTCGGCAGGTGGGTCTTCTACCTCCAGTCTGGTGGGGACGCGCCGACTCGCAGCAGCTACGACGGTATGGATTGCAAATATGTCTGGGTCTGGAAGATCGCAACTTGTCATGCTAAATCTGAATCATGCAAAAATCTGTATTGCATGAGCGCCAAAAGCTGCCCACTTTCGAACAAGTTAAGAGGGAGTTTCTCATGCAGGATAGGCATGACAGTGACCTCACAGAGTCTGTCATGCTAGGTCCCGCATTCCAGACCAGACCTCATGGGTCATGGAAAACCTGCATGACAAGTCCACACTCTTCCAGACCCAGACATATTTGCACTTGATAGACGGCCGAAGCGAAGGCTTGAAGTCGTCGAAGGGAGTATTACAGTGAAAAATGCGCTCACCCCGGACTTTGCAGAAGTTTCGCATGCAAAGTTTCCATAATGAAAGCTTTTTGTCTTGCATGAAAGGATTGCGAGGCTTTCTGATGCAGAATCTAGGTGCGCAAGGTGCCTTGTGCAAAACAGATCCGCCTGCTGTTGGGCTCCTTCGCAACACAAATTTGAGCTATTCAGCATGGAAAATTCGTGATGCTGAGATATGCAAGACGGGGAATGTTTCTATTGGAAAGGTTTGCAATACAAACGCTGCCAAGTTTGGGCTGGGGGCATTTTTCATTGTAATACGGAGAAAGCTTCAAAATGGACGTCGACGCCGACCGCTTGCTCGGATCCACGAACACCGAGTTGGTGTTTCACGACTTATCCAAGAAAAAAACTGTGTAAGTGTAAATTTGTGTTGCAGAAAATGCAAAACTGTTACACTTGTCATGCTGGACATGCATCAGAGACAATTTTCGTGCATGTTTTCACGTACTAGCTACGCATGACAGGTTTTCTGTGTCATGCAGAGCAAACTTGTGATGCTATTCCTCCAAGAAGCTTACACTTACACAGTTTTTTTCCTGGATACGACTTTAACAAGGTGTATTTCCCCTACTGCAGCAGTGACAAGTGGGCGGGGAACAGCGACGTCGGGTACTACAATACCGATGCCGCGACGGGTGACGGCGTCTTCTTCCACGGCTACCGAATTATCAAACAGGTGACCACCGCAATCCGGAACGCTGTCGTCCGACAGGAGGTGGTGGATCAACAAAAGGCGCAGAACGACCTTGCACTTCCTGGTGCGTCGTTCACGCTCGCGCAACGACCGTTCGAAATCGTCCTTGCCGGCAGTTCCGCCGGCGCGGCGGGCACGGGGCTGCAGGCCTGCACGGTCTTCCACGTCTTCAACGAGCTGAACCTGCAGTTTCTGGCGCAGAAAAAGGACGCGACCGCCCGGGGCGGCTTCGAAACGGAGGCGGAGGTGGACAGAATCCTGCACGAAGTGCCGTTCCAAAAATTCGGCATCCTGCAGGACTCTGCCTGGTACGTCCGTGGACCCCCGAGTGCGGCGTTCGCAACCCCGGGGTACTTGAAAAACGACGCGCGCGCCACGAGAGTGCTCGCGGCAAACACGCCACTCGAAATGGACGACGAGAATTATGGTGATACAACAACTTACGCTCCGAACGGACTGGAACAGGATTACATGGTCGGTGCGCCCGTTTGGAATGCGAAAATCGAGTCCGGCTGTGACCATGAAAATGTGCGCGGAACGAGTACTACTGCAACTGGTGGCGCCCCTGCTTCTTGGACGTGCTTTTTCCCCCGGAAAAACGCCCTCTTTTTCCTGCCGAACAGCCGCAACGAGGTGTGCAATACCGACAACCTCGCCAACGTGAAGGTGCGGCACTTCGTCGCGATGCACGGCTACGATACCTATTTGATGGGTAAGGACGGGGTGTCGAAGAATTTGAGGGGAGAGGTTGGCCACGCGAAACAACGGGGAAAGCAGTACCTGGACGAACTCCGGGAGCTGACCGCACTTGTCCCGCTCTCTTCCGCCCCCTCGTTTTTCGTGTCCGCGTCGGTGGGCCACGTGTTGCTCGGGACCTGGAACAAGGAAATTCTCTCCGCGAAGGTAAAGTGGACGAGGTTGAATGACGTGCTGCGAAAGTGGTGGGAAAACGACCAGTCTCCCACACAGTATGCGAATGGTTGCATTTGGCACGAGACGGCGCAGTGTTTGCGATACAAGTCGGGGTTTGTTTACGGAGACAACCCGACAGTTGGGGAGAACAGGCAGTGGCCCAACTCTGGGGGTTGGGACGAAGGTCAGGACGCATGGGAGGCGTTGTTGGAAGCCGCGCAAGATTCCGGCAGACTGTTGGAGCGCGATTTGCTCCTGACCCGGGAGCAAATGCGGAAGGGGCCGTTTTTCCTGGCCAGCACGGGGGATGGAGGTAATGGCAGTACAAGAACTTCTGGGCCCGCCTCTTCTTCTAGCACAACAACGACCGCGAGCGCTGCTGGTGACAATCACAACCCACCACCTTCGAGCACGACACGAGCCCCGATCATATCAAATGCAAATATGTCTGGGTCTGGAAGATTGCCAGGTTTGTCATGCACATTTTGCATGACTCCTGATGTCTGTGATGCATGCCCTAGCATCACAGATTTTTAGAGGGCTTCCTGATGCCTAATCTGCATGACAAATGCTCTTTCCGTGTAGCAAAACTTGGATCCTCTTGGCTGCTCATGCAATACAGATTTTTTTAGAATCCGAAATCAGCATGACAAGTTGGATTCTTCCAGACCCAGACATTTTTACACTTCATAGATCACGTGGATTGACAATTCGGGGTCGACGCGTAAACCCGGGGTTGTCATCGAGGACATCGAACGTGGTCCCGGAGGCGGTATCCTGAGCAAAAACGTTCCCAGCCCAGAGTTGTAGTCGCGCAGATTGGATGCAATTATTACAGGAAGAGTCGTAACAAAATTGCACATATCGCCCAGGAGAGCCGTGCTGATTCAGTCGTGTTTTGGATAATTATTCTATGTGTAGTAATGCTGTAAACAGTTACAGGAGGATAAGGAGCTGGCTTTGTGATCCGGCGGTCCTTGCTATAACCTCAACCTGCACTACAATACAGAGAAAAACTTTTTATATGCTTGTTGACTCCCCAAACTTCGGGAGTTGCGTTGCAGAGCTCGTCCCAACTTGACTAGGGGGAGGTGGGGACGCTTTTACACAGGATACGGGGCGGCCAAGGGTCTGGAGGCCTTGTTCATGCAAGCAACGCACCAACTTCGGAGATCGGCAGTTTGGAGGGGTGTTGCTAGGCGAAAGGGAAGTTGCGAAGGTGCGACGAGAAATCGTGGAGGAGGAATATGTGTAGAATTTTGGTTCATCATCAGGCTATCAACTACATACTCCTTTACTATTTCGGCCTGTGATGTGTTGCTAGTTCGTTGATAAAAACAGCTAAGAGGACGAGAAGTTTTTATTTTTTGGTTTTGATAAATGTCTACTAAGTACTAACACTAAGGTGATAGATCGCGCCAACATAGACATAGGAAGTTAGTACATGCTAGCAGTTATCGAAACAAGCTTTGAGTAGCTATACCTAACTAAGTATCTTACCCCAGTTTATTTTAGAGCATTTTTTTCCTGATTATGTTGAAGGCCTGTACAACCCAAGTATTTTCATGAATGAGACCCAATACATATATAATTTACTTCTCCTGAATCCCCATAGATACCCAGCAATTTTCACGAACGCATGAAAAGTTTCGTTTCCCATTTGTAGCCCACTTGTTGTCTGCTGATGTAGTTTAAGCACCGCTGTCTGTCGTGCGGCCGTGTTCATCTTCATGCAGCTCGGTTGTGGCGCACGCCCACGCGCTCGCGTATTGATTGCAGATGCAGCGTGAAGACTGTCCTCTTCATCGTTGATAGACGAAGATCTTCTGCTGAATTGATAGATTCTCGTGGCAAGAAGATTTTGAAAAAAAACAGCAGAGAATAATATGGACAACTTGTTGACGTGGCCAGCCCGTTGAAGTTCTTTCTGGAAGCGGTGTAAGTACGTAAGTACACAACTCTACTTAGTCGAAGTCTTTGGACGAAATTGTTGAGTTTCTCGAGTGCTGTGAGTCGAGCGTTGGAAAGCGATCGTGTTGAGCGTCGCAGAGCGATCGTTACGAGTGCGGGAGAACGAACACAAACGGAGAGGACGAGACTAGAAAAACACGTTGTGAAAACAAACGGGTGCAGCGTCGCTCTCGTTCTGAATTCGTCAGCATCGACTGATAGATACCACAGGTGCGTTATTTCATGATATTTGTTTGGGTTGTTGTCCATCTGGTTGTTCCACTCATGGGCATCGTGCCGCAGCAGTAGAAGGAATAATTAGACTTCTATTACCTTGCACGTACAACTTTCGCTTCTCTGCTTTCCACACTTTCGCTCTTGCCGGCTGGGATAAGAATTTGGAAAAGATGGCGAACAAGATGGACCAGGGCATCGTGGCTCTGTTCAACCGCGAAAAGACGCAGTATCCGCACCATTCTGCCGCAAGGAAGAGCCCGTCGGAGTGGCAAAAGGACATCATGAGCAAGGTGCGAAAGTTGGATTCCCAGAAGATTAACATGATCGGGCCGAAGCATGGCAGCCTTCTCAACCTGGCCGCGAAGCACAACTTTCCGGAGCTGTGTACCTATCTGCTGGAGACGCGGGCCCATGACTTCTACGAATTCGATGCACGAGACGAGCACGGGCGGACGGCCGTGCATTCTGCCTGCGCCGGACGGAGCAACGGCACAGAGGTACTTGTGCGCTTGATGTGGACGATTCGGGCTCTTGTCCGAGCCAGGGTTCTCAGCTTGCACAGCGTGGACGCCCCGTTGGCTTGTTTGGTTTCGTTGCGCAGTGCTGCCACACAGATTAGCGAAAGATATACTTCCAGTTGCCGATGAAAGAGGGACTCATCCATCAACTGAATGATGGCCGCACAAATGACGAAACTACTATCCGGATACGGTACAAAATCCAAACAAAACAGGTGCACAAGCTGAATTACCTGGGTGAAAAAGAGCGGCTGGTAAGTGGGGCCGCCCTGGTTCCGTTGTTGAAGAATAAACACATGCGAGGGCTGGCGCACTCCAAGTCCAAGTGCAGTAAGAAGGAGGGCACTTATCCGCTGGCCGACCTCTTTGCGGAAGCGGGCCACGTGTTGCGGCGGCAAATGACGCAGGATCAAACTGCGGAAGGAATACGTCCTTGCTTCGGGTCGTTCCCGTGGAAGCAATATGAGAGCACACAACTTCCCCGCCCCCTCATTTGTCATGCAAAAGACCAAACTGTAATCTAATTGACCTTGACGTTGACCCGTTGCCTTTTGGTGCCGCTTGCGTGACAGATTCAGGAAGCCGAAACAGCAGTAGAATCGGTCACCAATTTGTGGTGCAAAAGCTGCATCTTTTCCAGAGTCTGTGTTGCTGTGGATGCCACCCAAATGAGGGGGAGGGGAAGTAGTTGTGCACTGTCATAAGCCATTAGCGGAGAACAGTCCGTTCTTTGCGTTATGGACGTGGTTCCAAAACGGCCGCGGTCCGGTGCCGACTCCGCTCGAGGTCGCAGAAGAGATATTCCGCGACTTATGCGGCCGCTTCAACTACGAAAATCCGCGGGCCTTCCGCTACGGTGAGGGGAAAGTAGACTCCGTCATGTACCCGCTGGCCAGCTGTCTGCTGCATTCGCTCGACGAGGAAGCGCGCCGCGAATTGGTCAGCAAGGATCTGAAGCAGCAATGCTTCCACTTCTGCCCCGGGCATTTTCGCATCAAGAATGACATCTTGCAGGTAAGTACAAGACTCATTGATTCGCGTTTTCCCGGAAAATGAGAAGCGCATCCTCGGTCTATCCAGGCTGCTTCATCCTTTTATACATAGTACTAACTTAGAAATGCACAGGAATTGTATTGACTTTCAGGTCGCCTACGCTTCGAAGATATTGTTGCTGCGCAAGTGGAAGAGGAACAACACTGAGGTTTCTCTGCCGGGAGAAGCCATTTTACTCGTGAAGGAGTATTTGGGTTTCGAGAAGGAGGGTCTCGTGCGCGAGGAGAAGCGGCTGCTGCGGCTGAACAAGAAAAAGGAGGAGGATCGCACCGTGCAGGAACACGCGGAGTTTGAACGCCTCTGCAGTCGGTTGCTGGATTCCGAAGACGACGTCATTGCGAAAAAGAAGGAGTTAGTCGGCTTGATTTTTCCGCTGAAACACGAGCGCCACGGGGGCTACTTCCACCCGCTGCCCGCGCCGGTACCGGATCGCGTGTTCGAACTCGCCAGGGAACTGTTTGGGGACGAGTGGATGACGAAGCAGGGAGACTGCTCCAGCTGGTGGTCCGCTCCGATGCTTCGGGTAATGGACAAGGAAGTGGAATGTCCCTCCACATGGTATGTACCGACCCGACCGGTGATCATGGACGAGAGAGTCCGTAAAATCCCGGGTGTGCTGGTCCGCAGTTTGCACCAACTGGAAAGTGACCAGAACTCATTCCAGAAGGCAAGCTACAAAGAGTTTTTGGGTTCCGATGTTGACGCCGGTCAGCTGTAAGGAACATTTTCAAAATAGAGAGCAGCAGTTGACATTTGTAAGTAGGTAGATGAAGCGGAGTCACTTCTACAGAACAAGTTTGTTACAACGACCTATCCAGCCGAGCAGCAAGTTCAACCGGAAAGAGAAAAGAGGGAGTCGCTTTAAAATCACCGTCGCAGTACTACAAGAAGCAGTGCACAACTTCTCGACAAATATCAGCAGTAAGAAAACTTCAATAAACGCAACTCTGCAGACGGAAAATGAGCTTTCTTGATTTACATCCTTATTCCGAATTTTCTGGATCCATCTGTTTCTGATTCAACAGGGCAAAAAATCTCTATTCAAACGTGAGAAACTGGCTGAACTGGTAGAGCTACAATCAACTTAAACTTTGCAACTAGAGAAAAATGAAGTACAGGTGCGCACTGGAGCGGCGCCCTTAGCTGGCCATGAGCGACAATTCGTTTTCGCTTTCTGGACGTCCATTTTTGCCGGGCTTGGTGTCATACGCGTCTTTGTTCTGCGGCGGGTAGTGTTGAATTCCACGCCGTGGCTCTACTTGACTTTCGTTGTTACTTGTACCCCCCTGCAAATTTTGAGTATGTCTCACCACGCTCAGCATTAAGACTACAGTTTCTGTCGTTTGTATCGATCTGCTTATTTGAGATAATTGGTTCATCCACTGAGGAAGTGAGGTTCTCTATCGAGCTAAAAAAACTCGCCATCAACCCACAGACATGCCTGTTTGAGTTTTGCGTCCTGATCACACTTCGCTCTGCTTCGTCGTCTTGCGACGAAGTTTTCCTCGCGCACTGCAGAACAACCCTCCACCTACACACGAAAAATGGAAGCTGACGATCAAGATACGGAAATGGACCCGGCGCAGTTAAGTGGTGAAGAGGAGGGAAACGGATCGGAAAATGACAACGAGGCCGAGGACGACAACGAGTCGGAAAATGAAAGTGACAACGGAAGCGAAGCAAACACCAGCTCGGACGAGGAAGATAACAACGACAACTCCGATGACAGCCAGCAAGAAAACGATGGAAGTGGCGAGGAGTCTGAGGGCAGTAGTGTCAAGAGAAAGAAGAGAAGTCCCCTCTACCCCCTCAACGACGATGTGAGTGAAGTTGGCCAAGCCAAGCTGGCCAAGATGAAGAAGATCGTCGGTCTCTTCGAAAACGTCGTGAAGAGCCAATACCCCGGCACATGCTTCGAAACCGGCAAACCGAGCAAGAAGCCGAAAGCATGGCAGGAGGCAATCATGAAGGAGGTCAGACTGCTGGACTCGGAGCAGATAAACATGAAAACGAACCGCCACGGTTCGCTGCTGCATTTGGCTGCAAAGCACAACTTTCCCGGGTTGTGTTCGTACTTGCTGGTAGAGCGGAACGATTTTTACGAGTTTGCCGCGCGGGACGAACATGGAAGGACGGCGATACACGCCGCGTGCTTGGGGCGGAAGAAAACGGAGGTGAGGACTAGTTATTGAGCTGTTTTTTTGTTCTGATGCCCATCTGATGTAGTTACTGTGGCGGCGTTGCGCAAGATGCATCTTGTCTTCGCGGAAGAAAGCGTGAAGATGCACGAACAAACTCAGCTGCATTCTGAAACTCAAAACACCAGACACATCGCATGAACTATTTTCGCGACGATGAGCGGATGGTGAGCGGGCCGGCTTTGGTCCCGTTGTTAAAGGATGAACGCATGAGGGCCCTGGCGCACGCGGCCTGCAACAAGGGCCGCACACCTTTGGTTGAGCTCTTTGAGGCCGCAAATAGCGTGCTCGAACGCAAGCTACTCACTGGAAGAAGAGCATTGCATGCAAATTGCTTAATCTTCGCAAAATTCATGAGAAGACTTCAGAAAGAGTGCCTTCTCCGTCGGGAAAACCTCTGCCATGAAAGTGCTTTTATGCCTTTTGGACAGGAAAAATGTGTCTGCGATGGTGCTTTTCTTCCTACCGGATACGGACAGCGAAAAGACGATCTTGCCGACGACTGCAGGCCGAGTCACGGGTCTTTTCCTTGGTGCCACCTGGCTGACTATGGGGCGCAGTACGCGTTAGAAGTCTGGTTCAAATGCGAACTCGGTGCGGTTCCGACGCCAGTGCCGGTCGCGCGCCAAGTGTTCTTGCAAGTGAGTTTCCGCCTGTGCTGGGATAACCCGCGGGCACTCCGTTACGGGACGGCGAAGCCCGACGCAATGACGTGCTATCCACTGCTGAGCTGCTTCTTGCATTCTCTCGACGGAGGCGCACGGCGCTTCTTGTTGAGTGAAGAGATTTTGGAACAATGCAGCTACTTTTGTCCCGGCTATTTCCGGATTAAGAACGACCTGCTGCAGGTACTTAGTTTTCGTGCTTTCTGATTATATTGAGAAAACATGGACACCCGTCTACGTCTTACATGTTGTTTCAGTTTTGTTTTAGTGTTTATGTCGCGCCGTTCTGTATCTTTTCTATCTTTGATCTGGTTCTTCTGGTGGTGAAGGATGCAGGAGCAGCCATGCTATGGTGTCTGAAAATGCTACATCCAGATTGCCTACGCCCCCACAATTCTCTGCCTGCGGAAGTCGCTGAATCTTCCGGATTTGGTCATCTCTTTGGTCAAGGAGTACCTGGGATTCGACAGAGAAAACATCGCTCGCGACGAGAAACGGCTGCTGAAGCTCGAGAAGAAAAAGGAGGAAGACCGGACGGACGAGGAGAAAACGCAGTTTCGCGTGCTGTGTAGCCGCCTACTCGACAGCGAAGAAGTAATCGAGAAGAAACAGGAGCTCCTCAAGTTGATTTTTAAATTGAAACCGCAGCCGCTCGGTGGTTGGCCGAGGCCCAAGCCCGCTCCGGTTCCGGACCGGGTGATCGAGTTGGCGCGTGAACTTTTCGGTGACAAGTGGATGGAAAAACCGTATCGAACGATCCACGAATCGCATGAGCACTGTTCCTATCCACTGCAAAGATGTTTGAGCTTGGAACTTTCATAGACCTTTTCGTATTGTGCTGGGGACTCTGTTTGTCACCCACAGTGTGAGTGACAAGCAGAGTCTCCTCGGACATGGCTTTTTTTGGCGTCCCGAAGTGTGACACCTCGGCGGGCCGAGTCTCCAGCCCCAAACGTATTTGCATTTCATAGTTCGAGCTGGTGGTCGACGTCGCACTACGCAATAATCGATCCCCAAGTGTGCCAAATTCCGGGCGTGATCCTGCGAACCATGCGGCAGCTCAAGGATGATTATTCGTCCTTTGGTGCGGGTAGCGAGAGCCGTAAATGCGAAATCTGGCCAGACGATATTGATTGCGGGCAGATGTGATAATTGCAGTGATCGGTCCTTGTTTTGAATTCTTTCCGTTTTACGTGCCGTCGACGAAGCTTGGCCGATGTGAATTCATGCCGGTATACCATTAATGAGTAAAGCTAAACTGTTTTTATTCTTTTCGCAATGAAGATTATCATTGTTATCATCCGACCTTGGTGCCAAGACGGACATGAATCCTCTCATGGCAGTGAAAGGCTTAAGCTGCTCAGTGGCTCTTTGAGCGTTATCCCAAGATCGCACGGCGACGGTTGTTGGCCCCGGGAAGGAAGATCATGGACGACGGTCTCGCAGTCTCCTGGTGGTAACAGTACTAGCAGATCGATAACGAGATGAGAGTTCTTCCGTTCTCCTCAAGTCTTCGTCTCGTCGATGGATCAGGATCGATCGTTTGCGCAAAGTCCAGAAGTTAAAGGAGACAAAACCCTCCAACGTCAGCCGCAACTGTTCCACCATGTCGTGTGCGGCTTTCTTCATTTTTTGCAAAATGAACACTATCGGTGTCGTGAATTCGGAAGAGAATCATGCCCAAAGAAACTAAGTAGCAGCGCTCTGGAGTTGTTATCAAAAGTCCTGCTTTTACATCAATTCTGTGCAGCGAAACTCCGGTCACTCTTCTTTCGCTTCGGTGGTCGTTGATTGTAGTTTTTGCACAAATTTGGTTCACACGGCGTTTAACTCCTCCTTAGTTGGAAGGTTTGATCAATTGGAAGGAGCGAACGTTTGTATTTGTTAAAACCTACGGAAAGCTGCACCTGCATAAAGAAACTGAGTTTAAGGCCTTCATCAAGTACTTATTCGCTTTTCGGCTTTACATCAATTTGAGCATGGCCGCTCCACGCCGCACTAGTAGTTCTTTTGCCGACGACATGGCTCGTTTGCAGTCCATGTTCGTCCAGGGCGGGAGGCAGAAATCTTTGCCGAACAGAACTACAGCACCCACGACCGCCGGCGCTACCCCCGATCGGACCAAGTCGCGGGTGTTGAAAGGCGAATCCATAATCAACAAGCGGATTGATAATTTGAAGCTGACAGAGCCCTCAAGTTGTAGCAGTGCTTTTTCATCGTCGTCGTCTACTTCACGTGGTGGTATTGTTCCTCTCGCCACGTCAAATAGTACGAGTTACTCAAATTACAGTGGCTCCTCAAGCAGTAGCTCCTCAAGCAGTTGTAGTTCCTCAAGTAGTACTAGCTCCTCAGGCAGCTGCAGCTTCTCCGCGACAACACACCGTACGTCCGACAGGAGCGGCAAGCTTTTTACAGCAGGAAAGACAATGGGAACAAAGCAGCCCGCACTGCAGCTAGTGCCAGAAATAAAAGCCGGAAAAATCCTCGGGAAACAAGGAAAGGCATCTGATGCTGATCACGAGGAGAAGCGACCTGTGGTCCTCACCGAATTCGAGAAGCTCAAGGCTAGCTTTGTCCACCATCAAAGCAAGATTCCAGCGCTTCCAACAAATTCTACCACTGTTGCTGATGCAAAGAAGTCTTCGAAGCCAAATAGAATGAGTGGGAAAGCAAATCAAGATCAAGATCAAGCAAAGAAAAAGAAAGGAAGAAGAAACAAGCTTTCTACTCTCGAGCACCTGGTCACAGATTCGGACCGGCACGTATTAAGAGGAAAAATCCCCCCTCCCCATATCGAAAAGGTATGTTTCCGGAAATTTGTGTTGCTGATTTGAGACCACAAATCGCGTCTGTTTTGCAAGAAGGCAACTCCACAAGCTCCGCGGCATTGTGCAGGCGGTTTGTGATGCTGATGGGCCTACAGCACGGACGTGTCTCATGCTAGACGCCTAGGCCAGAACCTCGCTACTTAGGCTTAGTATGGGGCTGCATTCCTCTCCAGCAAGACAAATCTTATTTGTGTACGCAAATCCTGCATCAGAAACTTGGTTTTGATATGGGGAGGGGGGATTTTTCCTTTTGATAGCACGGCGAAATTCCTGCCGCCACTGACGGCTTGCCGAACCACGATCTTTTTCGGTTCATCGGATTTCTCGCAAAGAAAACCACGCCGAGGATACCTGCAGAGGTCGTCCAAGCTGTTGTGCAATCCACGGCGAGTTTGTACAGAAATTGGAGTTCATCTTCAGGTGTAGTTTCAACAAACGGAAATCAAATTCTTGCTGGACGAGGTTCTGGCGCGTCAGAAGATCTTCATGCTGGTGAGGATCAGATTCAGAGCGACCGCAGGATCGGTTCCGCTCGTGTGGCGTCAGAAGGAATCTTCGCTGAAGAGAGGTCATTTTTCCCCTCTTCCTCGTCGTCTTCCACGAATAAAGCGCAGTATCAAAGCCCCCATCAAGGTGGTCAGCCGATATTAACAACGGTGGAGCAGCTGTCCCTAGTTGCGCACTTGTGTGTAAAGTACGAAAGAGAACTTTACCAGCAGGCGAAAACGGTGGCAGACGGATTTCTCCCGGTACTTAGCAGGGCCGCACATAATGGAGGAAGCAGCCGGAGCAGCTGTGGTGTTCCTGTGGAGACATCAGGCAGACGTGCCGACGGGATGAAGGAGGATTTCCACGGGGGAACAGCAAAAAGCAAAAACGGTGTGAACAAACTGATCCACCCGATGGATGTGACGCGACTGGTCACTTTTGTTTCACATTTCGCTTGTCACTTTGCCGCTAGTAGTGAGGGTCACGCGCTTTGTTCAACATCAACTGCATCCCTGCCCGCGGTTTGGGACCATTTCGCCGCGCTGGAAGTGAAAGAGCTTTCCTGTGTAGCGCAGCTGGCGGTTTTGCGAGGGCTGGCGAAATGTTACAGCAAGTGCCCGAAATTTCGGAATTATTTTCCGAAAATGCGGGCCAGTAGCGACTACATGGACCAATTGGCAGGAAGCTCGTCGGGAAATGAGGCCTCCTCACGACGGGTGTCTGAAGTTGTAACATCGTCAGAAGGACCAACATCAACATCAAGATCAATGTGTGAAGACATCAGAGCTGCCGCGATTTCTCTACCACCCTCCACTGGGGAGAAAATGTCCACACAGAAGACCAGCTCGGAGGCTTCTAGCGAACTACCCGATCATAGGACTTCTTGGGGTGTAGCAGAAAACGCCCCAGACGGCGCCAGTATCGAGTTTTGGGACGTGGCTCCTAACGCCGAGGAGGAAAAGTGCCAACATCGTTCCAGCTCGGATGAACAACAGAACACCAGAAAGCCAGCTCCGGACCGAACACAACAACTCGATTTCGACCTCCTCCGCCAAGCCCACGATTCCAAATCCTCCGGCTACGGGCGGTCTGGGAACACAACTTTTCTCCCCACCCTTGCGGAAGCGATTATCGAAAAACTCCCACTGTTCGGGCCTCGCGAGCTGGCGCAAGCGGTAGCCGATTTGCAGCAACTGGATCTGCTCACTCTGTACGGAGGCGGGAATTATGTTGGCACATCATCTGCTGGTGGCGAAGGCTCCTGTCGAGGGCAGCTTTTGGCCTTGCAACTGAGCCATACGCGTAAAAACAAGCCGAAACTGCTCTTGCCAGTTATCCACCGAGAGGTGTCCCGCTTACTCCCAGCTTTGAAGACAACCAAAGACAAAAGGGACGCCGTGTCGCTTTTGTTGACTTACAGCAAGCTCCCGCGCCTGTCGCGCGACGAGTATTGTCGCGAAGTTTTCGGCGAAATTTCGGAGAAGATTGTCTTACCCGCGTTGCGAACGCTGGATTGCGCAACCTTCGTGGAGTTGCTCGGCGCAGTGGCTAACTTGAATCAACCCGTGATCGGTCACTCCGGTAAAAATGGGCAACGAAGCACACTGTTTCAAATCGCTAGCGGAACAACAACTGGTAGAAGTAAAGCCTACCGTCAGAACCAGCTGAAAGCCAGAAGCCTGATGCAGGAGCAGTGGCGAACCGCGTTTCGGAAACAATTGCCAAAAATGACGCAGACACAGGTAGCCAAGGTGTGTTGGGAATTGCGCAGGAGCGGCTTCTTAGTCGACGACTTGCGAGAGACCTTTCTGCAGCCTTGTGTGTCGAGGCTGCTACAGCTAGGGACGACTTCGAGGTCAACGGTTGGCATTTCCGGTCAAGATTCAACTGTGTCGACTGCAGGTTCGCTGCCTGAGTCAAAAACTGCAACTCCGCAAGAACATGTTAAAAACATCGCTCCTGAAATACTCCTGCGCCTGCCCGCGCTTCTGACATCGATTGCAAAGGCGAAGAGAAATGTTTTTTCGCTTGGTAGCACAGGAGAAACGACGCAGAAGACAATAAAACGGGGCGGAGAGGAGCAGGACCATGAAGATCTTCTACCCCCCACCCTCCGTCACCACTTTTTTTCCTTCTTGCAACAAAAATTCGTCGACGTGCTGGCTACCAAGCAGTCACAGGAAGTTTGCCCTTTCACGTTGGTGGAAAGTGCGAAGGGATTTTACAACATAAATCATCTTCAGAAACTACAACTCAGAGGTGGACATGGCAACGACCGCCCGGTGGAAGCTGATCAGTTTGAAATAACCCCCGACCTCCCGGCTTTGCTGTGCCAACACGGGACGAGAGTGTGCACAGCTCTTCCGGTGAAGGAATTGGTTGACTTTTCTCACTCGATAGTCAAATTGGAGGAAAGGTCGTGTGCTGGAGGTCCGTTGCTGATGCCCAGAACTTCTACAGGGAGTGTGAATTGTACTGAGGACAAGTACTCCTTGCCCTTCCATGGTGGACGGGGCAACTGTGGTTACAATTTGTCGTCTCCGTCTGACACAACATCAACAAGTTCTCCACTCAGCTCCAGGGCGAGGTTGTGGTCAACATCCTACTTTTCGTCGATGGCGGCCACAACTCTGGTAGAAACCCGGCTGCCCGATGTGTTGCGGCAGCGACTGGAGCAAAGCCCGGGGAAGTGGCAGCCAGACCAGATTTGCAAGGGCCTGGAAGTGTTTGCGGCGATAGGCGGTCCGCGTGAGGGAAGTTTAAAAACAAGTGATGGGCAGCTAGAGGATTTTTCACATAGCAACTACGGAAGATCCTACGCCAGTTCAACATCATCTGCCTCGGAGGTGGTCACAGTCGAACAAGTACATGAAAACGCGAACCAGTTTCTGCAACTGGCGCAGCAGTTTTTCAAAAAAAACAAAAAGCAATTTCGCGCCCGGGAAACCGCGGTGTTTGTCAAGCAAGTGCAGAAACTGGCGAAAATGTCTGCGGAATCTTCTTCATCAGCGATTTTTGCACCTCCCTCCGCTCCATCTTGGGGCTTGGCCCGGTCCCGACACCAGCTGAGGGTTGCGGGATGGAAGGAGCGAAGTGCTGCGGTCACAAGTGGTGGCTTGCTAGCGTCACGTGAGACTTCTGCTGGTCTTCACAGCGGACAGGGACAAGCGGAGGAAAATTTACGATTGCTACGGATTTTGTGTGCCAAAAGTCGAGAAGAGGAGGAAAAAATGCGACCAATAAATAACCGCAAGAACAACTACATCACTTTGACAGAAACGAATTCTAGCGCAGGACCTGCGTTCTTTTTGAGCTTGTCAGACCTGCTAGACTTGATCCAGTCGCCTGAAGATTGCCGTGGCTTGGCATCGACGCTGTTAGAGCAGGAGACTATCACGAGACAAAATCTCCTGAGACGGAGCTCTTTCGCGGAATTGGCTAACTTCGCGCACATCTTCGCGCAGCACGACGTGGTCTTTCGAGAAGATTTAGCACTGGAGATCTGCCAGCGGTTGGAAGAGCTGACTGCGTCGTCCGACCGGTGCACACGAGCAGCTGCAACCAGTGGCACCAGGCTAGAGGAAATTTTTCCGGCGAGAAGTAAAATGAGTTCCTCCTGCGGTAGCAAAGAAGAGGAACAAATACCGACCGAGGTAGAACTAGATCCCGCAGCACGAGGGCCTGCTCTGGAAGTAGACTTCGCAGATCTGGGAAAGATGCTGTACGCTTTCGCAAAATTCGGAGTTTTCAGAAAACGCGGGACGATCATCTGTAACAAGGTGGACGAACATCCAAAACTGGGTCGCTCCCCGGCGCATCGGGAGGGGGTTTTTGTCGTCCACACAGTGCGACGAAGATTACTCGTCGAAGTAGAGAAGCAATTGCGAAGCTCATCATTCGAGGGCTTGTTTTCCGAGGAAGTACCTCCTGCAGGAGTCCGCGACAGGCCGCAACCACGACGACCCCCATCTTCACCAACGCAAGCCGATCTGATCCGTGTATGTGTTGCTGCGGCTGTGTGCGAAGAAAAACCGCTGGCCATGCTTGGTCTCACTCACTTGGAAAACACGTTTCTCGTGACGAGTAGTAGGTCGCTGACCTTTGCCCGGGCGCTACTCGATAGTAGTTTTTCTACTCATGATAGTACTCATTGTTCTTCTGCTTGCGACAATGCAGTTTATTCAGATCATGGCACGAGCAGCGGGCGCAAGAACGGGAATGCAGCAGCGTATTTCTCCTGTGTAGAAGAACAAGCTGTAAATGCTGTAGTCCCGCCTGACAAACAAGTCCCCCTCCTGTCCCACGAGCGAGCGGTTGCAAGGAATTTGAAGAAAGCCTTGTTGCAGATCGGGGAGACGAGGCTAAAGCACTGGTTTGAAAGAGCTTCTACTCGTGTTACTGCAGCTTCACCACGCAAAACAGAATCAGAAACTGAAGGTGGTTCATTCCACCACGACGCAATGTTGAAGCAAGTACCAACACCTACTGCGAGAAGCAGCCGAGCGAGCAGCTCAAGCCTCCTGGAAATCCGGCAAGTCAAAGCCGGACCGTGGACCTTGCGGATGTGCGTGGGTCGATTCCTTGTTGTGGAGGCGATCGGTGTGAGTGATGTTTTCCTCACTGCTACTGGCGGGGCCGGGGGCGGCGGTGGATCTTCTTCGTTCGGTAACGTACGCTGCGCGAAAAGTAGAGGACATCAAACCGCATTTCACAAGGAAGACACCTATAATAGTAGTACCCAAGATTATGTCCTGCGCGGGTTCACCCGCGCGCGGCATGAAGCAATAAGAAATTTAGGATTTAGGATCCTCATCATCGACACCCTCGCGGATAGCTGGAAGTTGCTAAAGACGGATACTGAGCGAGTAGATTTTGTGAAGCGCATGGTGAAGCAATGCTTGATAGCCTGATAGCCCGACCTCGAGCTTCTTTCCTACCTCTCTCCTGCATCTTTTGTCTTGCATTCATCTTTTCACGAGCGCGCAATGAAAAAGACAAGTGCTGCTGTCGTGCTGTCCTACTAGAACAAAGACAAGCACAATAATGAAAGGTGTTTTCACGATCACGCCTTTCCTTGTGCTGATGAATTTCGTTTGTGTGTTCACGCCTGCCCCTTTGATTCCTTTTTTCGGTCAAGTGCATACGTACGATTTAGATCGTGACTTTCCCGTGAGGAGAGAGATAAATACACTCCAGATGGTGCACCGCTCAGATAGCATGTGGAATGATAAGTACTTACAACGAGATGGAGGCAAAGAGATTGCGTATATTATGGCTTCTTGATGGGCTTTTGAACACTACTTGAAGCACCACTACAGACGCACACAGGACTCCTAATCCACATTTTGCGATTAGTCTCCTAAAGTTCTTAGCGGTCTTATTGAATTCAATTCACAGCTGTAATTGTAAATTATCTCCAATCTCGATGGAAGTGTTTTTTTCAGTTTTTACATGTTTTCCGCTTACTTTTTTTTTTCCTGAGCTTTAGCTTCCAGCTGCAGCTGCTTAGTGTAAATGCTAATTCACTTATGTCTAGCCTGATATAGCACGGCCGGGCCCCGGGAAATATAGCGGACTTCATTGTTCTTTTCCGCCTTACACTATGTGAGAAACCACTTTCGACGACTTCACTTTTCGATTTCGCTTTATGCTTGCGCACCATGTAAGTAGTTAAGTTGCCTCATCACTTGATAGGAACCGACCTAGATTTTTACTCTCTGCTTAGCAGTAAATACCGCCGCTCCACCTCCTGCCGCCCGCAGTCCGTTTTTTTTTACGAAACTCGAATACAACCCAGCATTGCCAATCCTGTCAGAGCCGCTCCCCCCTTTGTTCACACAACAAAGCGCGGAGCCTGCTACTTGCGGATTGATGAGTGTAATTTGTTGACACTACGAATTAAAGCGTTTTGACTATTTTGCTCATTTTTTATTTCGTTCCACTGAACAACTATATTACATTTACAACCCAGCAAGCAAGGTAGAGGTCCGCCGTCGGATCCACCTTGGCTTGCGGGGCCAATTCTTCTAGGTACTTACTTGAAGATCCGGCCGTTGGCACAGGTTTTGTTTAGGAGTCCCTACAAGATGACCTCCCACTGCGGCCACGGATCCATGTAGATGAGATTGCAACTACCGAAGATTTTTTCTAGAACAGTTCTTGGAATTTGATTTGTTCTTCAGCTCTACTGCTCATCTTTTCGTCCAGGCGAAATACTACTAGAGCCTTGGAAGTAGATACACTCCCGATTTTTTTTTTTTAGCAAAATACCACGCCGGGTTTGCTTGTTCGGACCCTGCTGTGACACCTTGCTTTTTTCCACCATTATTTCGAAAAAGTAGGCACGAAGTAATCGAGATTGTTGAAAGAAACACGACCTTTGTACTAAAGTAAGTCTCGTCTCACAACTCTGGTTTTCACCCACTTACCTCCTCGATAGTACCTTACTTTGTTTTCTGAGAATTGGCTCTGGATTTTTTAACTTTTGTTGTTATCACGACATGAACGTAAAGAAATTCACTTTTTCTCACTGAAGACATAGTCACAACACTTTTTTCAAAATAAGTCATCACCACTAATAGTTTGCCAGAAAGATATGCGCGTCTCACCGATGCATTCTCTTGTCTCACCGCATTCTCATATTACGTTTTCACCTTTTTCCTTTTCACCCTAGCTAAGATACAACCGAAAATTAATGAAACGGCATACGGACGATTTGTAAGGAGCACGACGAGAATTGAGATTGAAAAACTTGAACTGTTTTTCCGATTTCACTCACTATTTTACGAGGACGTTGTAAAAACAGAGAGTCAGAGTTCTAGAAGAAGTAGCAGGCAGCCACTTGCTGCAGCACGACTACATACTGTTTACTTTTTTCATTGTGAAGCCAGCTCTGTTTATTGTCCTTTTTCCTTAACCAAAAAAAGTCAAACTCGTTGATAGCAGGTATAACTTCGAAACAGTAGAAAAATCAGATGAACCGTAAAACTTACTCTGATTCATACATGTACTTACATATGGAGGCTGCAGTAGAACACAACCAAAAAGTAGCGGCATGAAACAAAAGTTGGAACTGAATTGTTCACAAAACTAATAGTCCACGATGAAAGTTTCGTCTGGAAAAGAAGTACGTGTCTGCCACGTGATCGCGTGGCATTTGGCACTAAAACTTGAAGCTGAAAACAAGCATCAAACTCGGTGTAAAACTTGTTAAATATTATCGTGCGTATTGCTCGATTTTTACTGAATCTTGGTACATCGAACACTTGTACCATCTTAAAGGCACCATCAAGATGTCTGCCGCAACCGCAGACGTGTCCTCTCAGGACGATGATAGTGCAACTCTGATGCTCCGCCTGGCCTCCATGGGCTACAAAGCCGATGCAGACGCTCCGGGGACCAGCGGTGGGATAAGTTCCGGCACAGAAAATCATCCAACGAATAATGCGGGGGACGAGGTGGATAATGCGAGTGGCGCCACGAAAACAGGCACCGGCTCTCAACTGATCGGGTATAACATGAATTTTCTGGATAAAAATGTAAAGTTGTAACCTTTCGTGAAAGATCTTTTCTTTTCTTGCGCAACGTACGATAATATGCATTTCGTCTCAACCGTCGGCAGCACGTGCTTGTACGCCTCTACCTCGCTGAGATTTTCATTTGCAATGGCGTAGGACGTCTGCGAGCCGCGTATGATTGTCGGAAGTAGAATTAGAAAATGTTGGAGATCTTCCCTGCGATAGACAACTAGTGAAGTGGTCCGATTGATCCGCGAAATTGAAATACTAGAGCGAACCTGCTCAGACGTGGAGAATTCAGATTTTTTGTAGGGATAAACAAACATCACTTACATTCCGTTTGGTTATAGTACTGCACGAAAACTACAACTGCGCGCCCCGGTCGCAAAAAAGGCTGAGCAAGAATGGATTAGAAGAAGATCATCTTGAAATTATCATGCGAAATTGGAAAAGAAATTCAAATTCTGGGTCTCCCCTTGATCTTTAGGAAAAAAACACAAAAATCAAAATTTGAAAATCCAAAAAATCAGATCGCGTGCGAAAGAAAGCGATGATCAGTTGAGGATGCTCAAGGAAGGTATTTACGTATTGGGTGATTTTTTTTGCTTCATTTTTGTCATGCGTGTGTTAATTTCTACAGCCCACAGGAAAAAAATGATGGATTAGAAGACAAAGATAATACAAATTTTAGTCGGGTTGTCAAGTGATGATAGAGATTAACGATTTGTACAGTCTTTATGTGTAAAATAGAAGTCTTACTTTCCCACAAGATAATAAGCAGCATTGACCAGCACATTGAGTAGTAATTCATTGATGTTATCTTCAAGTAGAACCTGTTAGGTTATTAAAGAGTAGTACCAAAATGAATGCTGGCGCTGTCTTTTAAAACTATCAGACACAGCAACCGTTGCCCATATCTTTGTAGATTCTCTTTGAAAAGTCCGCTTTTTCTTAGAAGATTAGTATGAGACGTGAAATTATCTGGATACCATCGCAATAATCGCGATACACAAAAATATCGTAGTACTTGTGATTCGATGTAGACGAGTCAGTCTCAGGTCCAGCTTCTCCCTAGCCTCTGGAGAAGAATCACGAAAACCAGCAGACTCTGTTATTTTGCTAATAGTACCCATTTCTATTTATCGTTCGCGAACAACGAACAAAATCACCTGCCTCTTACTTTTCTTGAAGATCATCATCACTCAGGCGCTTTTTGATTTGTCGTCGAGGCGTTTGATGTTTTGACTTCTTTGACGTGCAGTACTTAGCTGAGTCTTACTTTAAAACTTTTATCGCGAAATTATACATTTGCCGCACGGGTACAATTTTTGCCTCACTGATTATAAGTGCCGGAGTAGTACAACCGTTTATGTTGCAAATCGTAAATGCAGTCCCGCCAAGAATGGGACAAGATTTTTTACTCTAGCCTAGTCGTTTTACTATGATCCGGTGCGGTTTTCGCCAAAAAAGTTGTCAACAACGAACCAATGTTGAAAGTTGACAGAAAGAGTTAGATTTCATCTTTCGCAACAAGTACGGTACCACTTTTTCACGTGCGACCGAGCTCGTTCATCGTGTAACGGTAACGTATATTTTTTGGAGTAGCAGCTCCTCTGCAACTAATTTGCGCCACTTGTTTTTTGTATAATCGAGCAAATCGCGTAAGAAAGCATCGTTTTTCCATACGCCGAACACGACAACAAACCGGTCCACGTAGATCGGCCGAGGCCAATCAGTCTTTCCAGTCACTACATCGGATTTTCGCCACGCGCCCTGCAGACTAGCATGGCCCACCGCGGCGAGGAGCGTCGGAGAAATATCCAGAAGTACTATCACGACGACGACGTAGTAGACCACCATGGAGGACTAGTGGTACAACAACCTGGTGTCACACCAGCACGAGGAAATAACTTTAACCAAGCATCGACACCACGACAGCACGGAGTCCGATCCGCGAGTTTGAGCAATTCCTTTTGTTACGAACATGTTGACCAGGTCCGGAGCGGACAATATTACCTCGTTTCTAGTAATGGAAGCGGTTCCAACATAACATCTGCGTCGCAACAGCAGAATCTGAGGGAGTGTGGTGGAAGCGGCTTCGATAATAATATCCCGAGAAAGAACAGCGGGGGTTTTTTACCCACGACCAATACAGGAAGTGGGAGACAGCGCCTGGCTCACTATCCGTCGAAGCAGCATCTTCAACCGCATTCGTACGGGAGTTCTTCGGCGAGAATAAATTCTTCCAATCAGGATTTTCGCGAGCGCACGAGGTCGAAGTCCTACGTATTGTCAGACAACGGAAAATTGAAAGCCGCCGGGCCGCTTGTATACCACAGTAAGAACAACGCGTCGACAGCACCAGCAACTCCGGGTGGTTTTAGCTGCTCGTCTACTTCGAAGGGACAGCAGCAGCAGCAGCAGCAGAGTTCTTCTTGTTTACCACCGAGAAATCACAGCAGCAGCAGCAGCAGCAGTTCTCTGCAGATGATCCCACCACCGCCGCCGCCTAGCTACCCACCGCCGCCAGGAGATCTTCGAAGAAAAAGCAGTGGGAACAGCATCAAGATGAACCACCGTTCTTATTCCAACGCAAGTTCATCCAATGGAGCTGCATCTTCGAGCTGCAGCTACAACACTTCTATCAGCGCTGCTGGTGCACCACCAGCACCATCCCCGGGTTCTTTACGCGGGACGACGAACGTTTTGTTCCCCCGCCCAAGCGGTACAGCTACTACCCGAGGGCCGCAGAGTCACGGTAGCGGACGGTCGCGGTTTGGTAGTTCCTCGTCCACGTCCGCGGAGGGCAGTAGTAAAACTTCTGTCGCGGGAAGTGGACCAGCAGCTGGAGCAGGTGCGCCTCCGTTTACCACCTCGCCCCCCGCCGCGCCTCCAGGGCTGCATCCTCCGTCGACGTCGTCGTCGGGGAATAATAGCACTACTTCTGTGCTGCTTTCGGGATGTGGAGGTCATGGTCAACATCTTCCACCGACCAAGATTGTTCCGACGGTGCCGAACCCCCTGTACGACCATTTTAACGCGGTAAATCCGAACCCGGGAAGTAGTAGATTCTCGCCGCAGGGGCATCATGAAAATAGTATCGAGGTCCTCGTCGCGCCGCACGGGCAACAAGTACAACTACCGGCAGCTGGTGCGCCGGTGGTAAACAAACAGAAACAAGCTACGAGGACGATGAAAATGATGGATATGAACAACTTCTGTACAATTAGCGGGAGTAGAAGATCAGCCGGACACCATAGCTCTTCCAGTTCCTGTGGCACGACTTCTGCTGGTGTAGTGGATCATCTTCGAGACCGGCACGACGTAAAGAACATGCGAGGCTGCTCGGAAGAGGATGTTGAACAAGACCACGAGCACGACCTCCGCGACTATGATGACAAAACCCCACCGCCGCCACCGCTACCGCCGGGCGGGTTTTTCAGTGACGAAGAGGCGATGAATCATCGGGAGGACTACCCGACGTCCGAGAAGCATAGTGGAGGACAACAGCTGCAGCAGCACCAGCACTCGTCGATGTTGTACGACCAGAACCTTCTCCGCGGGACAAAGAATTCCGCTGACAGCGCTCTTGATCCTTTTCATGACAAGAACTACCCTCTGTCTATAAGTAGTCAACGCCCTGGACAAGTAGACCACAACCACTGTCGCGAGCGAGCAAGGACGTCGTCGTCCACGTGTCAGACAAAGAGAGCAGCAGGCGTCGACGTTGTTCCGCCGCCGCCACCCCCTCCGCCCGCACATCTGCTGTACCCGACGCTGAGTCAGCAAAATCAAGTCGCAGCGTATAACGAATACGAAGACCAGATGAGCATGCTGCACTCCAGTGGTGTAGTACAACAGCCTTCTCATGATCTTCTCGGGGGCGGCCAGCAGCACCCGATTGATGTGGTCTACAGCGGTAGCCAGCACGGTTATCCTCGTGGACCACCTGCTTTAGAAGTTGTACACGGAGGCACTAGTAGTTCTTCTACGGTGCAAGAAGTACCGGGAAGTAGTTGCAGCGCTAGTTCGCATAATTACAACATCGGGGGACGATCCCACGTCGGGTCTGCTGTTGGAGCTGCACTGGGTTCCTTTGCTGCTGCTCCTTCGGGTTCTGTTTTCGACCGCATCGGGCAAGAAGAAGACAATGGTTCCAGACGGCATTATGCAGGACCACCGCCTCCACCTCCTCCACCGCCGTTTTATTACGATGACAATCTCGAGGGCGAGCGGCACAAAAACGAAGTTAAAGAATGTCAAAATGATGACCTCGTGGTCGTGCCGCCGCCGCCGTCCTACAGCCCTCCGACAAGCTCTGTACTGTTCGAGGAACAGGAATTGCTTCCCGTTTCCTCCCTAGTGTCCTGTACGAGCCCCACTGCAATTCCTGTAGCGCCGGAACAGGCAAACAACCCGGAATTGTGTCCTTATCACTTCCAGTTGGCGCTGCCGCCGCCGCGGGACCAGGAGGTCGACCACGTGCAGGGTGGAGTAGAGCAGTGGCCATCTACTTCCACCTCTCTGGCCTCTGCATCTGGTGAAAATGTTGAACTAGAGCGTAATGTTTTATTGGAGAAGATGAACAAGCAGGCAGACGCGGACGCGGTGGCTTTCGACAGAAGCAATCTCGATGTTGTAGCGAAGCAAGCTTCGTTGGAGACGAGCAGGAAAACAAGTCCTGAACAGGATCATCAGCGGCCCCTTATCCCGGTTGTTCGGAGCGAGAATGATGTTGAAATTATTCCGCCGGAACAGCTGCTGCCCACTGCCAGTTCTTTCAACAACACGCCGCCTCTAGTCACGACTCTGTGGGAAGAAGAAAGAACGCCAACGCCGATCGGCAGCATGAAGGCGTTGCTTCGGAAGGTGGCCGGTAAGCCGGAAAAGAAGCAGAAAAAAAAGAAGAAAACTAAAACTAGTATAACATCTTCACACGACGAAGGTGGGGCAGAAGTAGATGATGAAGCTGATGTTGATGTTGATGAAGAAGAGCCGGCTCGTCTACTTTTCGACGGAAGAAGAAATTCTTTTCAACAAGAAGGTCCTCGTCCTCGTGAAGATGTTGTGCAAAATCGTACCAATGCCAACATCAAGCAGTTTTCCCACGCGTCGAGTTTTCAAACTGCGAACTCGGGAGGTGGTACCACGGCGCGGAACAGTCTTTCTTGCAACCCCGACCACGCGTTTGACACCACATTTGCCGGCGACGAAACAAAAACGAAACTTGTTCCTGGAGTTCTTGCAACGGTCCTCTTGCCAGGAGAACTACGACCGCAAGTACAACAAGTTGTGGAGCAGCACGTTTTATCCGCGAGCAGCAGTTCTTCATCTTCCTGCGCTATGGAGAGCTGTTGCACTTCGTCTTTGTCCTCAATGGGAGACGAGGTTCCCGCAGAAGGTGGAGAGGAACGACGTGGTCAAGGACATCCTGCTTCTCCCTCCGTGAAGATTTTTGCTGCTGGCGGGGGAAAAGGAAAACAAGTAGATTCTTGTGAACATGCTGCATTTTTAAAAACAAGCGATAGTAGTTGCACCAAGGTGAACGACGTGGTGGATATTATGGATACCTTGACCAGCACCCCGGATGAAGCGCGAGCAGAGGACGACGAGGGTATTGTAATTGCGGAAGAAGTATCAAAGGTAAACGATTGTGAGCAAGCGGATGTTGATGAACAGTCCCCAGTGATAATTCCGAATCATCCCCCAGCACTGGAAGAGCTACGTCAAGGTGCTGTTTCACCCGTTCTTGCTGATGTTGACGAAATTAGTCCTAGAGAGGACAACATCAGCACGACAGAGCCGCAGGCTGCCGCGTCTTCTATATCAACGTCGCAGGGAGGACGAGACTTCGAGATGCAGGCCGAAGTAGAGGAAACGAACCAAGAAGTAGATCCTGAGGACCACGACAACAACTCTCCTGTTTACCTGATCGACATTCCCGTGTGCAAGGACGGAGCCAACATCCTGCCTAGTTCCGTCTTGCAAGAGATGCCCGCGCGATGCTCCGAAACGATCAGCGTTGACAACTTGAAGAGTTTTGTTGAAAATAGTATTCCAGTGCAGCTGTGCGACAGGGATGTTGACGGGGTCGTGTCGACTGTGTTGACCCGTTCTTCATCTGGCAAGGTCAATGTCGTGAACATGCCGCAATCAACATCGTCTTCAAAACAACGGCAGGTGGAGCACAAGAGCACCAGCACGGAGATCGTGGAAGAAAGCACAACTGCACTTGATGGCGCCGACGAGAAAGACAACGAAAAAGCGGCTGTTCAACCTGGTGCTCCGGAAGGGGATGGAACAAATCATGCTTCTGCGATGAGCTCGATCTTACCAGTAGAAAATACTATCATAAACAGTGGCAGGAAACATGTTGGAATAAACCTTAACCTAGCAGAAGACCGCACCACTATCGTAGAGAAGGACAAAGGCGCGATTTCTTTTTCTCCTCCGGTCGCACAGCAAGAACGGCCAGAGCAGTCTTCCAACGCTACTCCAGCAGGAGAAGCTGCTCTTGGTCGGCGTGATGCTTGTGAGAAGGTTGGCGACGTTACTAGTGTCAAAAATATCCCTGCACCAGTAGAGGAAAAATTACAAGTTACACCTGAAATCGTTATTCTAGAAGTAGAGCCGGAAGAACAAACTAAAGGTTGTACTAAGGCTGCGGAAGTTCATCTTGTTGAAAAGAACAGTACTGAAACTACTACTTCAGTAGAACCTGTGCTGCCCGCGGAAGTTCTTGTTGAACAGCAGAACAGGGCGGTGGAAATTAGCTCTACTACTACTACTGTTATTGAACATACTTCTAACACGACGACAACCCTAGAAGAAGTAGAGGTAAAAATTATTGCGAAAGAAGCTACGACAGTTAGTGCAACTAGTAGTGCTGCACCAGAAGTAGAACAAGCTAAAAATTCTACCAGTGCTAATACTACTTCGGAACAAAGCGCCGGCACCACTACATCAAAAGGTGTAGGTTTTATGACAGTAGCACCCGCTACTTCTACTGCTCTCACGACATCAAAAGCTCCAACTACCCTGACTCCTGAAGGTCGGCGCGAGATTAACATGCAGAGCAAACTGAAAGGCTCGGAGGACCACAGCGCAGCGACCGTGGAAGGCGATCGCTACTTCGCGTTGTTCGGCGAGAAAAAGCAGGCCTGGGACGCCTCTCGCCAAGCGAACATGGAGGCGAAGCTGGCTGCCATGGGGTGGAACACGTCGGGGAACGCGATTCTAGAAGACGACGAGGAAAACCTTGCGGAAGGCGAGGCAACGACAGTCGTGCAGCAGAACCAGGCCGGGGGGAGCTCTAGCAGTTCGTCCACTGCGGAGAGGAATAGGAAAGCAGTAGACCAAGGCACTTCATCTCCAGTTGAGAATGGTCCTCGTGCTGGACGAAACAACGAAAATAACAACAGCAGCACTTCATCGTCTGCCGGAGGTTCCTCTTCCAACAAAAACACTGCTTCCCGCGACTACCAAACCGCGCTGCAACACCCGCAGCCAGGGTTATTTGTTGGCGCAGGTGGAGTAGAACAAGCAGATTTTGATCGACAGATCACCAGTGATCTGAATCCGACCGATCGGGAGTTAGAGTCTTCCTTCCGATCGGAAACCCCGCCACCCCCGCCTCCGCCGGAGCTGGACAGTAGCATGGAAAAGTCCTCAGACATTCTTGTAGCGGGAACCCAACAGCACAAGGAACAAGCAGGGGAAGATCTACTTCGTGGCGACATTGTGGCCGCGGTGGACACAGAGAACAACCAAAACAGCGACCCGACTGCGGAACAACAAGGACATCATCATCCCGACAGCGCCGGCCCGTTAGTACTTGAGCAGACATCTTCTACTGAGCAGGGAACGACTGGGACCGGTAACCCGGAATCTATGGGTACCACCATGCAACCGGATCCGCACAGCTTCGCCCAGCCGGCCACCACGACCCAAAGCACGGCGAATCAATCCGGCGGGGAAGTAGATGGTGATAATTTAGAAGACGAGGACCAAATTCTCCTCTCTTCCTCCGAATACAAAGACGGAACGGAAGGTAATTCTATGGGTGGACAGGAGCAAAAAATAGACCCGCACGGGCAGCAGCATAACATGGACGAGTCCGAGATGGCTTCGCAATTCATAATGCGCGTGAACGAATTCTCCGAAAGAATCGTCGGAAGTTCCGGCAGTCCGGAGGAAGGTCTATGGATTGTAAAAATGTCTGGGTCTGGAAGAATGGAAGGTCTGTCATGCTCTGCCAGCATGACCCCAAAGTCTGTCATGCACGTTACCCAAGAGCCCCGTTTTTTTCTCATGCAGGAACGCAGTTTGTCATGCAGAATAGGCAACACCTCGAAGCTCAGAAACTTGTCATGCTGCGCCAGCACTTGTGGCCGCCTCATGATACGCCAACCAGCATCACAAGTTTTCAGACCCAGACATTTTTACAGTTGATAAGGTCAGCCGTTGAACAAATCCTTGTCCCAGGATCGCCAACAACAACAGAGAAGAAAGCGCGACCCGAGTAACAGGTCTTCGTTCGACGACAGCGCGGGGAGCAATGTCGCCGGGAGTAACGACAGCTTCGAGCAGCATCAAAGAGGGCCGCCGCGCAAGGGAGGCCGCGGGCTTTCTCGGGACGATCGGAATGACGACGACGTTCTGGATGAAGAGGAGGAAGAGGATTACTCCAGCGGGAGCCTGTCCTCCGAGTCGGATTCGTTCCACGATGATGATGTCCTCCGCGAAAACGGTAAATTGGATCATTTCAACCGATGTTGACAATTCATTTTAGCATAAAAGTAGGACAAGGGCTTTTTCATCTTTTTATCATCTCTTGTCTGTTGATGCCCTTATGTTTTGATGTTGCGATAGATTTACATCACGGCATAAACATCTGAATAAACATTTTCGCTTAGAAGAAGTATTTACCCCCAAAAAACAAACTGAAAACAGAGGAGACGGCGCCTTTGTACAGCTTTTACATGCGGGATCCGGTTTACAACCCAGATAACAGCCGCGCTCTTGCAGCTACGGTACAATAAGTTTGCAAATGCTTGGGTTATTCTATACTTAGTTCTCAACATGCGCACGATGGTATTAAAAACATTAAGCACGGCAGATGAGCTCTCATGATGCGTGATGCCGTCGAACAGGACGAGCACTTTTGAAGAACCTTACATGATCATCTTCAACTGAAAACTGTACAACTTGAATCTAAAACAGTCCACCCTCGCAGCCGGTCTGGCGCACGACAAGCCGGAGGACGGTTGGGATGACTTGACGCAGCAAGACTTTTTGAACCCGGTCGGCAAGGACTACAAGAATTCGTCCTGGGAGGCGGAGCGACTCGCCCGGCAGGCGGCGGACAATGTCATGAACATGGAAACCATGCGGGAACTGCTGGACTACGGGGTGAAATACTTCGCCTGGTACGTGGAGCGTCACGGGCCGAATTCCGTCCCGCAGGGGAATCCCTACAGCCAAAGTCCCCCGCAGGGCGGTGGTGGGCCACCGGGTGCAGCTGTTGCGCATCAGCATCAAGGAGGACAACAACTTCCAGGTGGAGGACCAGCCGGGATGAACAGTAATTACCCAGGTCCACATCAACAGCAGAACTTGGGTCCCTACAGCGGCGATCTGAGTAGAGCAGGACCACAGCAGCACATGAACAACCAAGCCGCCCAACTGCAGCAGATGCAGCAGCTTGCCGCGCAGCAAAACTGGTCGCCGCAAAGACTGGCGCAGATGCAGCGACAGCTCGCTTTGAACAACCAAAAAGGCGGCGGGTACAACGTAGGAGCTCCAGGAGGGAAACAACAAGTGGACAACCGGTTGTTTGGAGCAGGTAAGGGGGGCGGCCCCATGGGGGCGGGTGGACCACTTGGAAACAAAGGCGTGGCCCTCGGAGCAGGGGGTGGTGTTCCACCGCCGGGGGGCCTGAACCCCGCGGCGATCCACCATCTGCAGAAGGGCGCCGCAGCGCAGCAGCAGCAGCAGAATCAGCATGCGATGGCCCAGGCGCAAGCGGCTTACAACGCAGCGATGCAACAGCACCGCATGGGCGCAGCTGCCGGCGGTGTATCTGGTGGCCCCAGTCCGCCTCCGCAGAATGTTGCGATGTATGGAACAAACAATCCCGCCGCGAATCCCAATCTCGCGGCTGCTGCAGCTGCACACTCGCCCTACGCCACGCAGCAGGCTGCGCAGATGTTGTACAATCAAGCACAACAGCAGCGGGGCGGCTTCCAGATTCCCGTGCGGGAGATCGGGGCTGCCGCGGGGGGCCAGTCCGGACACAGTAGCAAAGATCCGAACTTTAGTGTGTCTACTCCGAAAGGTGGAGGACAACAACATCTTCACAACGGCATGAACTACGGCGATCCGAGAAATAATATGCAACATCATCATGCAAGATCTCCCCGCGTCGATTCCGCCAGAGGTCATGGGGGTCAACATGTAAATCCTATGCACCAACCTTCGTTGCACCATTTGCAACAGCAGCAGCGCATGTATTCTCCGGGAAACAGTCCGCGCGGGGGGAATAAGCTCGCGTCTCCGCGCAGTCCGCGGGGACTCGGGAACCCCGCGACAACGACGGTTTTGCCTGTCGGGGAGGCGTATACCCCGACGAAGGACAACGCGACGGCAAATCCGCAATTGCAGAACTTGCAGAACCCCCTGAACCAAATTGCGCCGATGAATGGTGCACCGGGCCCCCCTCCGCAGCAGCAAGTTGCTGCAGGAGCCCCGGCAGGGGGTAACAAGCAGGACGCGCTTCGGAACATGCTCAGAGGTGGGGCGAATAACATAAATAACCCGAACAACACTTCCATAATCGCCGGCGGTGCTGCTGGGCCAGGACATCAGCAACATCCAGACTTGGGAGTCCAGAAAACCGAGGTTCCTCTGCTTCCGCTTGGGTCCTCCACCCGCCCGTCCGCGGCGGCGAACGGCCACGGCCCGTCGCAGACCAATATTAACGCAGATAATGGTAACAATATTAACGCGGCCAGAACCACCGCCGGGGCTGCTAGTGCTAATTCTGCTGCTGGAGCTGCTGCGCAGGCGCAGCTACCTTCTGGGACGACCGCGACGGGAGCCACGACGACGCGCATGAGCGGAAGTAGGGAGAACATCATGGTCTCCGCCTACGACGCCCTACACGAACAGTTGCAGAAGGCGGCTGAGCAATTGAACAAATCGAATGCAAACCGTTTGTCGAGAAACAGTAATATGAACAACGGTGGTACAACCGGCGGACATCAGCCTCAAATGCCAAACCACCAACAAATTGTCCCGCCCGGTCCCCCCGCCGGGCCGCCGCCGCCGGAAGACGATTACGAGGTGTTTCCCGCGAGAAGCCCGCCCTCCGGGCCACACGTTCCCTCGGTGCAGCCACCGAGGCTGCCGGATAACGCGGTGCACAACAACATGGGGTCAGCACAGGAGCAGCGAGGACACAACCGAGGAGAGGTACAAATTATGCAGTCGGGAGGTGTAGTAGGTGGTACTAGTTCCGAAAACCCGAGTCTTCACCTCGACCTCCAGAACCCCCCGCCACCGCCGCCCTCCTCGGCGCCGCACCCCGATATGAGCCCGACCAGCGAACGGGACCGGCTGTTGGCGGCCATCAACGACGCGCAGAAAGTGGAGGCGCAGCGGAAGACGCAGGTGAGGCCCGACACGGAGTTGGAGAGAATGACGCAAGAGGAAATGAAAGCCGAAGTCAAGAGGTTGGGACAAGCCGTCAAGCGATTGCAGGACGTAATATTTTTTGCAATTTTTGATAATGGTTGTAGTTGTTTCTCATTCTCTAAAATTAATCAGAGTTCTTGCTGATGTGTTGTTAGCCGATTCTTGTGCAAGTAGGTTGATCGGGTAAGAAAATGATCTTCACGACTTCTCTAATCTTCTTCTAAAGTGGAATAAATTTCCAAAGCTTCTTCTATCAGGGTCAACAAATTGGAGGTCCGACCCATTCTCCTGGTCTTGGCCCGGACGTTTCATCAAGAAATAATGCCCCGTACGCCAACGAAGCAGATCCTTTTTTCCTCCAGTCGTCGCGGAGCAACGACGACTACTTTCTGCCCCCCTTCCCCTCGTACGAGGACGCGGAGGGGTACAACAACAATTTCGGGCGTTCCTCCGGCCATCATCTTGCCGGGGGTGGTGGACAACATCAATCGTCCTCGGGAATAAACAATCGCCGGTCCGGTGGGCATCATCACGGGGGACACCATCATGACCGGGCCTCGGGGAACACGAACAAGCAAGAGAAACACAACCGGCGGGATTACACGAAGGAAGAGAGGCGGAGGCTCCGGGAAGAGCGGGACCATCGAAGGACGCAGATGCGAATGCAGCAGGCGGGACAAGATGCAGCAGCTTTGGGGGGGCAAATCGATCCGGAAATGAACCCGCTCGGGCCGAACGGAGAACCTCTGTACGCCCGCCCAACCAGGGAGCAGGATACCCGCGATCTTCACGATAGGAGAGGTGGTGGACCACGCGGCGGGGGTCGAGGAGGGGCCGAACATCAACCGGGTCGAGCAGGAGATGTCGCACGGGATCAACATCTTCACGATAGGAACAACACTATGATGCGTGGATCCGGTGGTCAGCAGCAGTACAACCAAAATGTTGAGCAGACTACCGGCAGAGCTGCACGCGGGGACCGCGAGCAAAATTACCGCGATCACGATGTAGAACCACACCAGCAACCTCCGCGACAGCGCGGCAGCCGCGGCGTCGCGGATCATACATACGATCAAACAGGTGCAGCTGGGCCATCAACCCGTGGTGACGGCCACCGGCGGGGGCATCAAATGCGAGAAGACGATAGGAGGCAGCATAATATGCGAGAGGACCGAGGGTCTCGCGGAGGTGTTGACCAACACGGCCGGTCGTATAATTCGGGAGATCCGAGAAATACTAGAGAACAAGGACAGCACAGCAATAGGGGGCCACCAGACGAGTATGACTACGACTACGATCACAGGATAAGGATGGAGCAAGAGCACGACAGAAACATACGAAGACGGGAGCAGAGAGACAGAGACCACAGAGGTGGACCTCCAGACCACGGTGGTCAACATGCGACGAGGGGTGAACAGCAGGGAATGAATATGGGAGAACATCAACAGCAGCGACGGGGGGACCAAAATCACCGCGAAAGGAGAAGAGCTGACCGTGATCAACATGGGCGCGGAGGCGGCGATCAAAATATTAGTAACCGCGATCGGGGAGTAGGACAACAACCCCCACCAATGTACAATGACCCAAGAGCAGCAGGTGGTAGCAGAGGCGGGCCCGACCGGGGCATGGATCATGCGAGGGAGCAATTGCAACGAAGAGGAGACCACGTCGATCATCACCGCGACCGCGTCGAAAACCACCCAAGTACAACGTCTAGAAGTGGTGGTCCGCCGGGGTATGGAGTCATAGGAGACAATGCCTATCAAGAGCAGCAGACCACCGGAACAACGAGGGGGCAACGTGGGTCGAATAGGGACCGAGGGGGCGGAAATAATACGAACGATCCGCGCGGCGAGGTGGGCCGGCGAAGCGACCCGCGCATACAGGCTGCAACGTCGCAAGAGATGATGCGGCAATCTGGAGGTGGAGATCAAGCTGGATTGTACAACCAGGTTGGTGGTGGAGGAGGTCCTCCACCACCAGAGCAGTCGTCGCATCGCCGAGGGGACAGAGACCGCAGAGAGAATGCTAACCGCGGAGACCGGGGCAACGACCGCCGCCATCATAACCGGGGCGGTGGGGACCGAGGTGGGAACAACGACCGCGGTCAGCCCTTCGATTGGACGCCCCCTGTGCGCCCAGCGAACGAAGTCCAGTAAGGGACCACGAAGTCCAGTAAGGGACCACGAACATTTCTGCCCCTGCTCTTGGCGGGAGTCGAGTGAGATTTTTTGAACATTGTAAAAAAATGAACAAGGAGTCTTTGATAAGATTAAAGTAGAAGCACGCAGCGGGGGCCCATCATTATAGCTTACAATTCAGAACGAGAACAGTCGGTTTTTATACCGGAGAATAAAAAGATGCAATCAAAAATAAAAAACTGTATCTGTTGTATTAAGTCAAAAATGGCTAATGTTGGACTCAGCTAATGTTGGACTGTAAATGCAACTTTTCAAGGAAAAAGCGATTGATGTCTTTCGATCATTGTACAAGTATCGATCCAACAGCTCATTTGATGGTGTTAAAAATCTCATATAATCTCAAAAAATCTACTAGTGCAAGCACTCTCTCATATTTCTCTCTCCGATTATTTCAGTTGAGTATCAATCTCGGTGCTGCCCAACCGTCTCCAGGGTCAACATCTCCGGTGCCTGATTGACGGCTCTCGGACTGTACAATAAAAGGCTCAGGTTTAATATTGTTCCTAGTTGCACCTCGGTTCTATGGGGGGACAAACTAGCGCCGCGGAACCGAGAACGGCCTTTTTTCAGGGCCCACATATTCGGGGGGATTTTAGGTTTCGCGAATTGCACAACATGTTGCCGCTCTTCAGGTAGCGCGCAACATGTTGCCGCTTTTCGTTGGAAAGGGCATGTGTCTCCATGAGAAATGCACCCACAGCGCTTCTGGCTCTGGATGCTTCGGCTGATGCCGGGCGCCACTAATGTAGTAAGTAACGGGGCTTGTTAAACAGACTCGCTACAAATATTGGCGCCGGCGGCGGCCTCCTGTGAAGCCGACCTTTTCGATTTGCGTTTGCCCTCCATGCACGTGCAAAGCAGTGAGCGCCTAGCATGGCGCTGCGGGATTTTCATCAATTTCCCCGGAGTGACCTTCAGCCACAGCCGAGTGCCATCGCGGCGGCTCTCGCCCTTGGGGCGATTCCGGCGTGGCGGCTACGGCTTGGGGCGCCCGCACGAAAACCAAAAGGGCTCCGCGTGTGTGTCGGCTTGGCCGGGGGCAAAAAGGAAGGCGGCCGCGCGACCTGTCTTGGTTGCCCGTGGGCATACAGTCCCTACCCTGCGGGTGGTTTTTGATCCGTCGCGCAGCTCGCCGCACGTAGCATACCAGCGGCGGCGTTGTCGCCTTGTTGAAAAGCCTTCGGGCTTTGTGAGGCCCGTCCACAGGTCGGCTTCGTTTCCGTCTCGCGTCGGTTGCTGGCGCCGGCGCTGCTCTCCTTTTAGTCCTTTTAGTGACTATGCGGGCCCCCTCCACCCCAAATATTCAGTATGCCGCCCTGATTGCGAATATGTGGGGTGGTATAGCCCCACATATTTGCCATACCCCCCGGCATATTCACTAAAAGGACCCTGCGGCGCTCCTGTTTTTCATCCCTTCTCAGGGGTCAACATCTCCGGTGCCTGATTGACAACTCTCGGACTGTACAATAAAAGGCTCATTATTCTTCCTAGTTCTATACCTCGGTTCTTATCCGCGGTCGTTTGATGCATTTTTTTGAAATCAGACGGTCGGAACCAACAGAACGGACAGCACGATAGAATTTCTACTGTAAAAACTTTACGACGTCTTTGCGTCAGCTTCGCCAAAGAAGAACCTCCTGGGATGATTATGCTTATCAACGATGATGAATTTGATTCTGCTATGCGCACCGGCCCGAGCTGGCGAAACCTAGTCAGCCTCGGGGCGGATGTAGTTGTCCTACATGTCGTGTTGTAAACACTTTTATTTTTTCGTCCGAGCTTGAAAGGCAGTAGATCCTGCCTTCTTGTGCTTCTAGAGCTGTAGTTTTGAAGATGCCTCGAGCTGGACTTCTTGGCTCGTCGTCACAAGTTTTCTAAATAGGGCAAAAAAATAAAAATAGAAGGGGTAGAATTTTTTATCAAAGCAAGACTACTGTGCTTTTTTTTCTTTTTCTTGAATCGATTCCACCGCGCGGCCCCGATATAATAGAGACCTAGTACTAGTACGACACTTCTTATAGCTGCAACCTTCGCTTTTTCTGGGGGGGTTCTTCAGATTCTCAATTGCTTTTTGCGATTGCCTATAGCTTCTTTTTGATTCAGCTCTCAGTTGTATTGAAGTCGATGAGGGCGATGATGTAGCGAATTTTTGTACCAAGTTAGTTCCGGAATCTGTACCTGCAGAATCACAGCCGCAAGACCCGCATGGAGAATCGGACGTAATATGTCCTGGACAATGTCGTGCATCCTTCCATTGCAAAACCCTCCTGTTTCTAGTATAAGTCGTCCAATAAAATAGAAGGCCACAAGGAGAAGGTTTGTACCCCGCTTACTACGTACATCATGAACCCTGTTGTACTAGCGCATGTCCATGCTTGATATTGACAATTCTCGCTACGAATAAAAAACAGAGAATACTAGTACCAGCTGATACCCTCCAGCATAAAAAGAGCCTTTGCCACGGGAAAAAAACTTCCACTTGGACGAGTAGAGTCACGACGACGGCGAAGTATAGAATAGGCGAGCGACAACATCCAAAAGTATGCAGCAGAGCAATTTGAATGCGTAGTATGAAGCTCTCTTTCAAGAACTAATTCGCTGCTTCATTTTCATCTGTAAAGCCTGGCCCGATCTCGTCCTATTGTTGACGTGCGGCCTTGGAGGTCCTCGAAACAATCTATCTACTGGTGAGGAATCCCGATAGTACCTGACAAACTATCAGATATGGAGATTCAACATCTTAGCTTTTTATCCAGTAGATGGTGCAGGAATTTAGACGTAGAAGTAGATGATGTTGGGCAAAGTAAGTTGTAACTCTTCCACACCGTACCCATTTTTTTCCACCAGCAAATGTAGTTTATCGTGAAGATGACCAGGATGCTGGTCAACATAGCAGCCTGAATAGCTCAGCAGTATTAATATCCACCAAGCCCATTCAAAATATTGCTTTGTTTTATTCAGGCTGGAAGCTGAGAAAACGATCGACAAGTGCAGGCGGGCTGAATTATAAGCTGCACAACAACTACTATGCAGTGACATAGTACTGCAGCATGTTGCACCACGACTGCAAAAACTACCCACTTACACGCTTTAACACGACCAAATATCGATACGTTTAATACTATTTTGCTCCTGTACATCAACGCAAACGCGATCGAAGACTATAATTTAAGGCCACGACTATTGGTATTGATGCAAAAATATGCATAGACTACGTGCGGGAAATTAAACGAAAATGGTACGCAAAAAGAGAAAAGCATTAAGAACCCCTAGAGAACGAAGTATTGATACTCGTTATTGTTTCCATGCTACTTCTACTTGCAGAAGATGACAAAAGTCCGCCAAAGATGAATCCTATATCCCTGCCCAACATATGTACTTAAAGAAACAACTAAAAGCACATGTACTTTGTTGAAGTTAGAACGAAACACTACTATAAACGGTTCCGTTTCGCTTTCTCTACAAACGAAGACCTGCTTTATTTTTTCGCAAAAAATTTCAAGTACTGACACTGACTTCCAAGTAGGTTGATCGCCTGAGAGACGGATCGACCAAACCGGAATTGTTCGTGACTGATGTTGTTTCGCAGAAGCCTACTGTGAAATGCTATCGGTATCGTCCTCGTTCTTTCTGCGAGAAGTCTGTTTGCGCGCCGTCAGCTGTGACGAAGAACTCGGTGCGTTTTTTGTGCAGTGTTGTCATTCGTTTCTCATTATAAATTCATCACCGTCCTCTCCGATGTTCGTGCAGCGGGTGTTTTTGTGTGATTTCGTTTCGTGCGCCTACGACACCGTGAGAACTCCATCTATGTTTCGAGTGTGCAGCAGCTTTTCGTGCTTCTTTTGCTTTTCGTTCTGCGTTGAATTAAATCCATTTGGATGAAAACAAAGACAAACTCTGACAGAAACAACTGCGTCGTCTACTTCGCAGCCCAGCTGTAACATTTTCGTTTTAGTTTCCGAACCGCCCCCTCCCAAGAAAACAATATTGTTCTGCCCTGATTATAGGATACGACCGGCGATCATCTGATACTACTACCACTCATTGTCACTCCACGCGGGTAATAGAAACCTTTCTAGCTTTTCTTGTTGTGTCGACTTTGAATTCTTTGGCAGCAAAATAGTGATCAAAAATCAATCATGCCGAAGAACAAGACCTCGCCTCCAGCAAGCGCATCGTCGCCGGCCAAAAACGCGGAGACGGCTTCACTCAGTACGACCACCAGCTCGCCTCCAGCAAGCGCATTATCAAATGTAAAAATGTGTGGGTCTGGAAGAATGCATGTTTGTCATGCTTGTCTGGCATGATTCTCAAATCTGTCATGCACGTTACCCAAGAGCTCCATTTTTCTGTGATTAAGAAACGCAGTTTGTCATGCAGAATAGGCAACACCTAGAAGTAGAACCTCAGAAACTTGTCATGCTGAGCCAGCATTTGTGGCCTCATCATGAGACGCCACCCAGCATCACAAGTTTCCAGACCCAGACACTTTTACATTTGATACGCGGAAACGCCTCGCAAAAACGCGGAGACGGCTTCACTCAGTACGACCACCAGCTCGCCCCGCTCGAATCCAGGCCTGAAGCTGAATTTACCTTCGCTAGACCAACGAGTGCAAGCAAACACGGAGAAATCTACTTCGGGGCTGAGTTATTCTTCACCAGGAGGTAGTAGTAGTAGTAGAACTGCAGGAGAACTACAACAGGCCGCTCCTCCGAGGAGCCCACGCCGCAGTGCGAGAAGTTCTACTTCGGGGAATGACGACCTTTCTCCGGAAACGCCGAGGACGCCGAAGTTGCACATGATTCAGGAGCTAAATCGCAACATTAATAACGGGTCCTCGAAGGGATCCGTCGATTCTGCCGATGGCTACGTCACACCGAATTTTCCGGTCAGATCGCAGTCGCCCGCCGCTGGGGACGAAGATGCGGAGCTTTTGATGTTCCATGATAGCATCGAGGGTGACCACTATGGCAGTAGTATCAGTAGTGCTGGTCCTCCTCCTGCAAGGCAAATGCAACTGCAGCACGACGAGTCGCTAATCATCACGCCACCCGGAAGCGCGCAGAGTTTGTCAGGGATGGCAGCGACGTCGACTTCGCACCAGTCTGGCAGACATCATATTTCGCGGAAAAACTCGCAAATTCTAACAGCCGACGACTTGCACGTGGAGTTCCAAGCTGATAGAAACAGCAGCAAAAACAAACAATCCTTTCTGAAGTCGCAAGCGCTCCGTGGGGAAACGTTGCACGGGGAGGGAGAAACGGTGCAGCTCCAGCAGCCTAGTGTCTTGATATCCTCAAATGGGGCAGAAACTTTCAGTACGGGAGCTACTCCTGGTGCAGCTGCTGCGAAAAATAATAAACCAGGGATGATGATGATACAAGGCAAAGGAAAAAACTCTAGCCAAAGAGGCACAACTCTGCCGTCCAGCGCTCCAGCCTTGGGAAGTAGAACAACTGCAGCGGGACATCAGGGGGATAAAGATTCGCGGTTCTCCGACATTTCCTTGGGCAGTCGCGATAGTAACACGAGGCAGACGGCAACGGAGCAAGTGGATGTTGACGCACCAATTCTTTTGAAGAACGTCGGGAAGCTTGCGCTGCCAGGAGTAGGAGTCTCGAACGGTGGCAAAAATAATAAAACTTCGAAAGATAGTGATAGTACATTAAAAGTGCTCGCACATCATCAAGAATCGTCTTCGCCTAGAAGTCCAAGAGGCAGAACACCTGCGGCGGGGACTACAACTTCTTCTACACAGAAAATGTCAAGTGGTGCCCCCGCGTTCTTCGCAACCGGAGATGAAAGTCTGCAACAATATGTGAACCCGCTGGACACCGCGAGAACGGAGTGGCTCGACTCCGCAGCCAACACGCCCAGGGAAGGTCACTTGGCTGGTCGTACTATTGTTCCAAACACGACGAGTGGGGACTCCACCAGTTTCATTTCCAAGCAACTTTTGGAGTCGGCGTTGCCGAGGAATCCGCCCTTTTACAATGATTTTCTGGAATATGCAAGGGAAGATCGAGAACAGCAGGACTGAGAGGTGTTTTATTTGTGCTGTCAAGCAGCTGGTAAGTCTAAGTACTTAAGGAGATTGCCTTTGCATGATGCGGTGGACGTTACTGAATCGTCTGGAATGATAAAGATATGCATGGGCACAAGGTGCTGCTGATGCCATTGCCAAACGGCTTTTGATGTATTTTTGCAAGTAGTGAAGAACAAAAAACATGACGAACGAGTTGTACGAGGTACTATCTATCATGGAAGTGAAAAAAGGATGCCAATCGCCTTGATGTCTAGATTTTGTCGAATTCTCCAACAGGACCACCCGAACTAATATAAGCAAGACCTCTTCTTGAGTGCTTGTTAGACGTCTTAGAAATTCGAGTTTTCAACACAAACACGACCCCTGCTGCAAGTATGCTCTTAGTCACTCATCACGACTTATTGTCGAGTGGACCATTCATTTTTCCGCGCAAGAAAGGGTCAAACATCAAAGCACATAAAAAACGTGTAGCCTTCCATCATTCCTGGCTGTTTTTCTCCCCTTGCATATGGAACTTCGCAACCTTTCTTCCCTCAACGCCACGCTCTGGAGCGGGTCGCTGCAGATCATCCCGCGTCAAACTCCCTCCGTTGTCGCGAATCGAAAAGCGAATCCGGAACACACCACGATCCCCGGACTGAATCCTGCTTTTGCCCAGCAGTACCAAATTACCATCCACGCGATTGATAAAGCGACAGGGATTGTCTCTGGTTCGCACGAGTTGTTCGCCGGGACGGTGGTGTTGAACGATAATGACGTCGACGAGGTCACCACCGCGAGCCCTGCCGGAACAACTTCTTCTGATAATGTTTCTCCAGTAAGAACTACCTCTCCCCCCAGTCCGAAGAACAAACTGGCGCCCTTTAAGGAGCCGCTAGAGGGTTTCGCACTGTACGACGAGACCAAGGACTTAGTCTTCCTGCAGCTCCACAGCGCGTCGACCAGCAATAGGGAAACACAGAGTTCGTCGAACCAAACAGCTGCAGGAACGAAGTCGGAATTGGAGTTGATTCTCGAGCCGCACGGTACGACCAACCGGTGCCTTCGCGGGAACCTGCAGCAGCCCATGTTCCCAAAACAGCCTGTGTTGCTGATGGAAGCTGAAGAAGACGGCCGAGAGGGCAAGTTTAAGGACGGGAGCTACTGCGGAATCTGCAGCAGCTATCCGACGGGGAGAATGGGCAATGCGTGCGTAATCATGTGAAGAGGCGGGCTGTTTATATTTTGATAGTAAGTTTTATTACGTGATTCTGTTCGTGACTTTAATTTTGATGCTTAACCTATAAGCCGGCCGCTTCCGGTTGTATTTGTTCTTCTTCTTTTCACTATGTGCCTCGCTATGGCGTTTCGACCAAAGACGAAGCATTTTTCTTTCGAAATAAGGTCGGTACGGTTCTCTTGCATTGAAGCAATTTGTAGTTACAGAGATCTCTTGTAGCTTTCGTTTTGAGTTATTTTTTAGCAATTTTTTGCATTGATTCGTATTCCATCAATCTGTTTACGACCAGTCCACACAGCAAAGTTTCGCATGATCGATCAGTCCACACAGCAAATTTGTTTCGCCTGAATACTTGTAATTCTATCTTCTTCAAGAAAAGTGTACTAGCAACCATATCAATCTCGTACAGTAAAAACATGGTTAGAGAGTGACCCCTTTGAAAGACCAAGACCGGTGTTCATCAATAAGTAATCGATCCTAAACTTTTGTTGATGAAGAAGCGCCCCGCTATTGATCTTCTTTCGTAGACTACCTCATGTCTCGATCCGCACCTAGGCCCTTGCAGAAGCGAGGGCAAAGCAATCATTCCGCGGAACAGCTTTCGCTTCTTCGTTTTCTTCTTTCAAGCAGTTTTCTCTCAACAGCCAGTAGCAATCATGCAGTGGATAAAGACAAAGAAAAAGTGAGTCATTCAGTTTAGTAAATGCGTCCACCAGCAGCTGCGCCAGTCGCACCAGTCTCGGTAGTTCATTATCATCACAATACGTGACGCAAAATTTGCTGTTTTTTCTTTTTGTTCTTAGAGTAGTACTGTAGCAATCTCTCAAAATGGACAACGACCCGATGCGGGCGCTGGAACGCCAGATAGAGGAGGTGGAGGAGGCGAAAAAGCAGAAGAAAAATAAAAAGGACAAGAAGTCCAAGAGAGAAAAGCTGGATTTGTCCAGGCTGCCAAAAGTGAAGCAACGACCTTTGGAGGATATGACCCTCGGGAAAAAGAACCCGATTTTGAAATTGAAAGAATTAACCACCGAGGAAAAGATTTTACTCGACGCTGAAAACGAACAGCTGAGGCTGGAAAGGGAAGAAGCCGCGGGTAAGGTTATTCACAAGCCAAGCATCACGAATCTCTCCGCAGCGTCTATCCTGACACTGCCCGGCGCTGGAGCGGGCAGCGCGAACAATAAATCCGGAGCGGAACTTATGGATGTGTCAGGATCGTCGAAATCGACAAAATCGAAAAATTTGTGATGCATAAAATGTAGGGCACTGAAGGCCTGTATTGGGGAGCAGGCAAATGAGACCAACTGCAAGCCTGTTTAGGGGTAAGTATACAATGTGCTGCCAGAGTAGCACGACAGGAGGAGTCTTCTTTGCCCAAACAGCATGACAGACTGGATTTGGGTGCTCCCGAAATTTGTCATGCGCCACTTAAAAACTGAGGCTCCAACTGACATCGATTTTGTGCATCGCAAATATTTCGATTTTGTCAATTTCGATTCTGACACTTCCATAGAACTACAACGAGCGAACGTGCTGGATATCGATGACGAGGAGCAAGCTGCGGACTTGAACCCCATTGAAAGGATGTTGTTGCAGAAGGAAAAAATCGTCCAGAAGTACCAACTGGGGCCGAATACTACCAGTAAGGCAGCGGCAAGGACGACTGCGGCTTCCGGGATGAACAAACACAAGGATGGAACTACCAATGTTGGTTATTCAGAGGACGACGATGCTGATTTACTTGACGACGGCGGGGGTGCACCTCCAAATGAAGATGCAGCAGGAGTAGAAGGAGCTGCAGAGGAGCCCTTCATCCCCGAGGAGGAGAATGATTACGAGGTGTACCGAAAACAGAACCAGGAGAAGAGTCTCATCGACGATCTGGCCGAGGAGATTTTGAAGCGGAGGATGCAGTTGCACAACGAAAAGGGGGAAAAGGTGAACAGGCAGCGGGAACTGGACGAGGAGTCGATCGTATCCCGTGCAAAAGTATCGTACTCGTATTGTAATCCTTCATTACAAATCTTAATCTTTTTTTCAAGGTAAATCCGCATCACAAATTTCACTTCTCATTCTGACGAAATTTGTAATGCATTTATGCGAGTGCGATACCATACTTTTGCAGTTCATAGATCGACTTGTCGCCGATGAAGAAGGAGGAGCTGTTGAAGGCGATTGACCGGAAAAACAAGCGCAGTCCGTCGCGGGAAAGGCAGCGGAGCCGGTCCAGGTCCTCGGAAAGGGGGCGACGGAGGAAACAACAACGGCGGGATGCAGATAGTCGGAAGAGAAATGGAGGCACAACGCGTCCTCGGAGGGATAACAAGTGGACCCACGACAAATTTGGAGATCTGGACAAAGAACCAGTGCGTGAGGATTCATCCGAGGAGAGCAGGAAGGACCGGAGGTCGCGTGACAGAAGTAGGAACGACTCCCGCGACCGAAGGAAGAAAGATTTATCTTCCAGGCAGGGTTTGCGAGATGCTGTGCGCAGCCGGAGCAGGAATCGAAAGAGTCGCAGCAGAAATCCGAAAAATTATGATCGGAGGCGGCGTTCTTGTAGCCGTAGCAGAAGTCCGAAAAATAATCAGAAAAGCCGCAGTCGCAGCGGCAAGAGGGCCGCGCCGCGCGATCGTAGTCGCAGCCGAAGAAAGGACTCGAAAAACCGGCGTAAAAATGACCAAAGCCGCGGGAGAAAAATCAGGAACTCGAGGAGTAGATCGCGGTCAAGGAACAAGAGAGAGAAAAACTCCAGACCCAGGCAGAGGGCAGCACCGGTGAAGAAGCCTCAGGGAAGCCACTTTGGTGTGGGCTACTTGAATAGAAACGTGGGATTTTTCGAGGGGACGAACGAATCATAACGATGTTGGACAGGGGATGTGGAAAGGAAGCCATGTGATTTTGGTATTGTTGTTGACAAGTAGCAACACGTGTCAGGAAAAGAACGAACGAGCGACAAAAGAGTAGAAACCTCATGATCAACTGGAGACATTCCCAACCGAACAGTGTTGAAAAGGCTAGCACATGTTGCACGCAGGCGCAACGCCACAGGCGTGGCGCTGTAGTAAGTGTTCTGTTGTTGCTGCAGGCACTACAACTTCTACTTCTACTGCCGGATCGGAGAAGAGGATCAGCATAGTGCTGGGGCCACCACTGTAGATCTTTGGAGACCGGCCGGGGGCGCAGGGGCGGCGCACCCGTTAACGGACCCACTGCGAGCGCAGCGCCGCGGGCGCCCGTGCCATCGCCGGCGGGCCGCCGTCTTGGCACGCCGGAGCGGCGGCCCGGATTGTGTTCCACAACACTGCCAAAGCCTTAAAGATGCCCCGCCTTACGCGCCGCGAGCTCCGTCGCGAATTGCGTAAGTGCGACGCCCGCGCTTTCAGAATGGAGCGCGCCGCGGGGCGCTGGGCGCGCCGCTGCCGAACTGAGCGGCCAAGGCCGGCGGCTGGGGGTTTTGTCGCTTGGGGGTGCCCGGACCATGCGGCCCCGGGGAGTCAGCTGTGGCGGAAGCAAGGACGGGCCCGGGGGCGGATTCTGCAGAGGATTGGGCAACCTCGACGCGCCCGCGGAGGCGGGGCGGGGGCGCCGCCGCAGCGGGCAAAGAAACGCACGGGCCGGGGCGCGCGCCCTGTTTTGCTATTGCCCCAGCACCGTGCGCGTTTTTGGGGGTACCCCCGGCGCGGCCGGGTCCGCGGCAAGACACGGCAGCAGGGGGCATACAAGTATGGGGCCCCAAATCAAATCGCGGGCCCTCCTGCTTTCTGGGAATGGTCCAGAACAGGCACGACAGGGACCAGTCCGGCGGGCGGCAGAAAACAGAACCGGCGACACAACTGGGGCGGGAAGTCCAAAGGCTGGAAAACGGCCTGGGCCGCGAGAAGCTGTGGGCCACAGCTGTGGGCATGGCCATGGCCGCGCGCCTCCCGTCCGTCCTTGGATAGCAGTGCGCTGGCCCCTCTTGCTTTGGGCCGTAGACGCCTACAAGTGGGTGGCGAAGGGAATTGCCGTGCTTGGCGGGGCGTGTCTTCTTTGTTGGGGTCTCCGGAGACGCGGCCAACCTCCCGGGGCACGGACGGGCAGGGTGGCGAGGGCCCCCCGCAAGGGGCGCGCTGCGTTTGTGGACAGGCGCAAGCATATCCAAGCAACACGCGCCGAATGGCGTGCGCCGCCAAGAGGCTTCGCACGCCAGCCGGCCGCAACAGGAGCGCGACGACGAAAGTGCCGCGGCGCGCGATGGTGGAGCAAGCGAGCTGCTGACGCAACACCCACGCAGCCGCCGGGCGGCCGCTGGCAATGAATTTCAGAAGAAATGGGGCGAGAGGGCTCGCAAAATGGGCAAGGTGCCGGCTTTCCCCCGGCGAAGGAGCAGCCGGGTGCGTGTGGGGCGCGTGCGCGCCTACTTCCCCGCGTGTGCCAGTCTCAGTCTGCTTGCGCGGCGCCAGGGCGTGGCGTTGCCGCCCGCCGCTTCCGCTTCCGGGCGCTGCCGCCCGCCGCCCGCCGCTTCCGGGGGCGCCCCGGTAAGTGCCTGCCGGCCTGCGCGGGGACGAATCCCGCAGGACGGGACCACTTCGCCGGCGCGATGGCGCGCCCGCCCGTCTTATCGGCGACGGCCCGCGAGAACCCCGAGGCGCGGGAGCTGTTTGCGCCGCAGCTTTTGGCGGTGTTCGATGCTGGTGGCGAGGGTATTATGTGCGCCACTGATAGCCCGGCCGGGCCGGCGGGTTCACTCTAGCCGGCAGGCGCTGCGCCGGAGCCAGTGCGCCCTGCCTCTCCCGGCACAAGCACGGCACCGGCGCCGTCGTGCCGGGCCGCACGCCCTACACGGGAGGAATGTTAACCACTACAAGGGGGCATGCTAGTGTTTGAGGAAAATGCGCGATGTTTGTGAGGAAAATGCGCGACACCGTATGGTGGGAGATCTCATGTTCTATTTGGATTCATCACCACGCCCACGGGTAATTGACACGATCTAAACGATGAGATGATCAACAGCATGGTAACTACTTCGATGCAAACATGGTTCTGTTACTGGCTTCTATTCAAGTCGGTAGCCAGGCAGATGGTGAAACAGCTCCGGGATCAAATAGTAAGTTCTTGGTGAGATCGAAGCTGTAAAGACGATGCGTTGTGGCTCTGGCTGCACTTATTTAGAGAAGTTTCGCCTCGGATCATTCTGGTTTTTCCTATTTTAGCCGCGCGGCACCACGCGCACGTCAAAGCTAGCAAGTGCCGTCGAGCTGCTGTAAGTATTTCGTTGGAGTAATGATTTGCAGAAAGAACCAGCACGATCGCGCTCGTCGACAAGGGCTCCACCTCCTGTGTAAGACGGGGAACCTCTCATTTGCCACACAGGGAAGATGAAGTGACGAAGACAACTATCAAATTTTGTTTCTTGTTTTGTGTAGTATCCGCTGTGTAGAAATATTGTTTCTCGGACAAGATTTTTTTGAAAAGGTTCCAGTTTTATAATCCTTATTTTTTGTTTAAGCTATGAACGCGAACGACAACGGCAAGTACAACTACAGACAAGACCAATTTGAATTTCAAACGGAAACGTAGCAAATGCAAAGCGTGAATCTTTTTTAGAAGTCCCTTATGAATGATAGATCTAGCACGGAGGCTATTGCATCTGGTGTAGTAGAGTTTGCTACGTCCAGGCTGCAAGCGCTATAGCTAGTGCCGCTTATTTTTCGGTTTATCTGTGGTTGGTCTTGGTATCAACCTGCATCGACTGAATCGAAGAAATCTCCAGGACGGAAAGTTCAGAGTCTGCGCACATTGCTACAGTTTTTCATCAATGTCATCATGGTCTACGACAACTTCGCACATTTAGAAAGATCCCTGTAGTTGTTGCGACCAAGCACGACCATCGCGCAGCATCGCCCTGGCAAGCGGAGACGGCGAAGCACGATCGGTTCCGACGACGAAGCACCAAGGGACCTCCTGCGCCAACACCAGTCGGACCTTCGGAGAAGTTCTTTTTATGGTCTTCTTGTCCTCACGCCTCGCAGTGCAAGTGAAGTTTTCCACTGAAGAAGGGAAGAACAAACCTCCTGAGAAAGAAGAACACTACAGTAACCACTCTCAGCAAGGGCATCAAAATGCAGCTGATGAGGAGTATGATCATGGGCGTCTTCTTCGTCCCACACTTTTGTTTCTTTCTCCAACCCTTGTTCAACATCCCGTCTCTGTTCCTACCGGCTGCGGCAACAACTCCGGTGGCCTTTAAATTCGCACGGCAGGTGGAAAACTATCTGCTAGGGCAACTAGGAGCAAACACGGGAAATAAACAGGACCACGAGCAGCAGGGGCAACGACTTAGAGGGCACCATCAGCGGGTAGAAGTACTTGTAGCAGCAAAAGTTTCATCATCAGCGGCATCTCGCGTTGCCGGTGGAGGTCCTGTGAAGAACAATCTGGAGCAGCTGCACCAGGTTCGAGATGGAAGCGGAATCCAACACCAGGGTGTACGAGGTGGAAACAAACTGCCAAGCCGAGGAGCGCGACCGAAATCAAGCAACCGCCGCAAGCGATTGCGCGCCGCGACCGAGCCGCAGCCGGAACCGCGAGGGCAGGACCAGGAGACCTCAGGCTGCTGCATGAACCCGACAACACTTGCGAGCAATGGTTGTCGGGTTACACAAGATGAAACAAGGGATCATGCGCAAAGAAGTCATCTGAACCACAAAAATGACCCATCTGGATCTGCTGCTGAAGTAGGAGTAGATTTACCAGAGCAGCAAAGTGTAGCTGAAGAGGAGCTACCTCGAAGTAGTTCCTCGCCTCCTGCCCGCAGCACAAGGTCTACTGTTTCGTTCTGCGACGTGGCGAGTCACGTTTTGGGGCAGGATCTCAGCTCGTTCCTGACCATTCAGGACCTCGGGCGGTTGAGTGCGGTGGGAAAGAATTTTGTTACCCGCGGAAGATCTGGATCTGGTCGTAGTTCTGGGAATACAACCCCGTCGTCAACAGCATCATCCACCTCTTCTTCAAGGGGACCTGGCGCTACTCCTCGTTCTACTTCTTCACAAAAAAATCGAGAACGAGAACCGGAGGACGAGACTTGTCCCGACAGTACGGGTTTAGCGGCTTTGTTTTTGCAAGAAACGTATAAAAACATTAGTGAGGACGAACATAGCGATCCCATCACCGGCACTACAAGAACTATAGCTGACCACTACAACATCCAGGAAGACGAAGATGTTGATTGCGACAACATTTCTAGAGCATCTACTCCGTGCAGTGTGAAGACAAGTGGCAAAGCTCGCCACATCGAAGAGACCGCCGCGTCCACACGGGCTTGCCTGGTGGAGACGCTGTTCGCCTTGAGTCTTCCAGAAGTCTACACGGAAGCGCGGCGTCCTGGGGAGGTGAATGCTGAGGGAACTGTGATGGACCCACCTGTCGTGGAGCCGTGCTTGTTGAGTTGTCACGATCATCTTGACCACCTCACGGGAAAAATGGAGGAGCGGTGCGCGGCGTGCTACAAGTTGAAGCCGTGGATGGTGGTTCCTACGAAGGCGGAGTTCATGGCAAAGGCGAGAATTCATGGAGTTCATGGCAAAGGCTACGAAGGCGGAGTTCATGGAATTGTTCCCCCGCCGCCGCCCGGGTGGACTAAAACTCCGCCACACACGTCGGAGGTTGCGCCCGGGGTGTTTCTAGCGGATGAGAATACGCAACTCGGCGCGCGGCCTGTGGATGCGAAGAAGAGACAGGCTTTGTTCCAGGATTATCCGCCGTTTCAACACAACCAGGAAATAAAACTGCTCGAAAAACAGCTGGAAACGTGGTCGCTGCGCAGTAGGGCAAGTGATAGAAGTAGTTTTCCTCCTGCTCCTGGTGCGCGAGGAGCGGCCGAAGGTGTAACTAGTACACCAGTTCGTGGTCGAAGTAGAATCACTAGTCCTGCTCCACCTCCTGAGGATGTTGACACGCCTAGAACCCCGCCACCGCGGCCTCTATCTTCCCGCCGGGGGAATTATCTAGTGGAAACGCCACCAAGAGTCATTGCGCAGGAGTCCTCACGGGCGTCGAGGGGGGCGGTCGTGAACAACCACAGTAGTACAGCTGTCCGCAGAAGTATTAGTCCTCCTTTGTTAACGCCTGTGAGAGCTGCAGGAACGCCCACTAGTTATTGTCCGATCTACAATCCGTCTTCCTCTTCACCCGTAAGGTTGCAGCGCTCCGTCCTCTCTGCGCGGATAGCGCCGCAACCCCAGCGTCTCCTCGATCGGTTTGAAGACGTCGCTGCGATGAACGACGAAGATGCCCCAGCACCTGGGACGATCGAATACCCTATGTCGGAAGGAGCAACTTCCACTCCGAGGTCATTATTTGACACGAGCGGTAGCGGGCTGCTTTCGGACGTGCAAATGGACGACGTCGGTGAAGAAGTTGTGATTGAACCAGGTGGACCTCAACCTCCCCCGGCAAGTCGAACTGCTGGCGCACCAGCAGCTGCACACGACCAGCAGGACGGGCAACCAGAGCAGCGAACTCCTGCTACCACAGTTCATCTTCCCAGTCTTCGAGCAATATTCACGGCAAACCTTGCCGCGCAAGACGACCGGGATCGATCACGAACACCACCGTTTTACTACACTTCCTCTAGTACTACAACTAGCCCCCCACCTCTCCCGCGGTGGTATCAGGTCCAGCCCAGCGACGAGGAGACTTCGCCCTCGCCGCTCTCCGTTGCGTGCGCTGCTGGAGAGATCCTGACCAGAACGGCCGCGGAGGCGTGCCGGGAGGCGGCTTTGTTTGAACTGTTGCAGCTCGGTACCAGGGGCGAACCGCACGCGCGGGCTTTGTTGCAGGAGCTATTCCAGCTTCGGGGGTCACTGTTCGCAGGCTCGCTGACGCGACTTGTTCATGCGCTGGGCAGAATGGCGGAGTTCGAATTGAAGCGAAACAGAGACAACACCACGAAGTTGGAGGGGCGGTTTCAGGAGTTGCATGTTCTTGTTTCAGAGCGTTTGCGCGATGTGGTGCGGCAGTCTGCTGCGTGGGCTGCACCTCGAAATAGTACCAACCATGCAGTGGTGAAGAGACAAATAAAGAAAAACCTTTCGCAAACAATTCTGCGGACGTTCGGACGGTTCCTGATCTGCCGCGAGCTCCAAGTCGCAGGGCTCTTTGAAGTAGGTGCCTTCCACTTGGCGGCTGGGACGTCGAAAAAAGAAGACCTGCGTGGTCCGGCGGGTGATAGCGCAAGAACTGCTGGCACCAGTACTACAACACCGCTCGTTCGTCGCAGCACGACCGATGGAACACGAACAATGTCAAAACCAGGCGGTAAAAGCGGTAAAAATAGCAGGCCAACAACAACAAAATCTGCGCTACAAGAAAATCACTCGATGATGACAACAAAACTTTTGACAGACCATCTGTGCAAGGGCGTATTAAAGACCTGGGCGGCGGTGGCCGCAACATCGAATGATCAACGTCAGGATGGTTCAGCTGCGCCGCCCCAGGCGTCGTTGAACGAAAGAAAAATAAATCCTGTCTCATCCTCCGCCTTTCCGAGGAACACGAAGAAGGCCACTGCGGGGGGCATGAACATGAAGAAACAGAATCACGCAGCTATTTCGACGACGTCCCCGCTGGAACATCAACATCCTCTTGAGCAGGTGGACAGCACGCGCAGCTTTTGGGACCGCTATGCGGAGGACCAGATGCAAAAAGCTACCAAAGTACTAGATGACCACGGTGCTCCTGGGAGCTTTTCTAGTACTTTCGAGACCAAAAATTATCCGCTCCCCGGTCGTGGTGAACAACAAGCTTTTTTTTCAAAAGACTCCTACGCCGCGCGACTCCAGCAACTTATCCAGGTGACGGCGGTCATCGGGGAAAAATTTGAGGAGTGTTTGCATTTGATACGCGAGGAAAAACGGAGAAGGGGAAAGTTCTTGGAAAACTGGAATAACGCCAAAGTCTTCTCCTTCCTGGAATCTCTCTACCACCGGGTGAGTGACCTGGCGGTAGTAGACGGCTCCGACGCAGATGAGCTCCAGGCCGCGGTTACCGAATTGCTCGAGAACTTGCAGGAGAACAGCGGCGCGACAGAGTACGTCGTGCCGATCTTCCTTCGGTTTTTGCAGAATAAAGACACCGACCTGGTCGAAGTGCGTAGAAACGACCGCGACCAGCCGTCTTCTAGTACTACTTCCTACGTGAAAATGGCCCGTTTGCCGATCGAGTCGCAGCGATTTGCGCGCAATCTGTTCGGAAATCATAATTTGTTGGCCCAGCTGAGCAGCTGGTTACGCGCGACCTGGCGGCAAGAGGTAAATCAGATGGACAAAGTTGCGGAACTCTTCCTGCGGTTCTTCGACGAGCGCACGCGGGAGTGGCCAGCGCTGCAACCACGGCGACCAGCGCAGCGTCACTTCGACACTTTTGAAGCCTCCAAGTCGTGGCTCCAGAATGTAAACATCCTAGAGCTTTTACTGCATGCGAGTTTGAAAGAAGAAGAAGAACAATCCGAGGGAAAGTTGGTGGATGCAGTGGCTGGGCAGCTTGATTACGATGCAACTTCTTTTCGCGCAGAAGCAGCAGCAGGCCGGACCAGCGAGATGAAGATGAAAATAACAACAAGTTGGGTGGAGTTAGCAGGTGGAGTGGCGGCCACGCAGGTTGTACATGAAGCATATCAGCGTTTGAAGGAGTTGGCTCAGTCGTCTCTACAACATCTTCCATCCACCGCCCCTACTCCCTTTGGAGGTATGATGACTTTTCTGCAAGCCTTGCACTGGCGGAAGGTTTCACTGGGTGCCGCATTGGAAGAACAGAAATTATCTCCAAATCAGAAGATTTTCAAACCAAAAGGGACGAAGAACAAAGCACCAGCAGAGGAAGTAGATGAGCCGGAAACGGATCATATCTCGAAGGCCACGAGTAGACCTCCGCAGCATAGTCCTCAGTGGATGTTGGAGGAAAAGCAAGCTCTCGACGGGATCAATTTCTACCCGTTGCAGAAATTGTTGCGGGACTTGGAAAATTTGTCTACGGCTGCGCAGGAGGGCGGGACGGAAGAGGTAGTTGTAAAGACGGAGCAGGCGCCGGGACGAGAAAGAGAAACAATACCAAGGCCAGCTGGCTTCGCGCTCCAACCGGAAGTCGACCTCCTGCAGAAGTCCACATCGCAAGAAAGTACTTCTACCGCATCTTCAAAGGTGGCAACAAGGCCACGAGGACCAGTCAGCTTCCAAGGTGGACCACCTCCTCCGGAAGGATCGCAAGCATTTTCATCTGATCCTCGTGAGGCAGCAGCAGCTCCTGGCGCTGCTCCTGCTTTGCGCACTATTTCTAGACCGCTTTGGAGCGAGGTAATACATGAAGAGTCACCTCATCTGAACTACAAGGACGATGAAGAGGATCTTGTCTTGAACGACTTGGAGAGGATCTTGGATGCGCCTTGGATGCACGCAACTTCAGCTTTCGAAGGTTCTTGTTCAGGCAGCTCCTCCGAGGACGAAGAAGATGAAGAACTCGATCCGGGTAGTGCTACCAGAACGAGTAGCGATTTACCACGGGGAAAGAACACAATGAAAATGATAAGAAGGAATTGTGTCCCTACCATCCCCACCGCGTTGAAAGTGTTGATCAACTGGATGGAAGATGTCAACCTCGATCTCTTATGCATTGCAAATGTGTCTGGGTCTGGAAACTTGTGATGCAAGGAGTGGAATCAATACTAGTCAGCACACTGTAATGCGCTGTCAAGCATGACAAGTTTTTCCGTGGTTAGGAGTTGCGTACTCCGCATGAGAAACTGCGTTTTTGCATGACAGGCAAGAGGAGGTCTCTGCGGTGACGCAACACAGAGTTGTTCAGAGTGATGCCAGACTAGCATGACAAATCTCGCAACTGCCCAGACCCAGACATATTTGCATTTGATATCTCTCCTTTAACCTCCGTTCGCGCTTCGTCCGCGACGCGATTGAGCATTACGGTGAAGATCCGACTTGTTAATTGACTGCCACAGAAAAGAGAGAATAATTACTACCCGTCAACATTTCGAGCATGGAGGTAGGGGAGATTTCTGCTCCGTCTTCATCTGCCCGGGAGAAGGTCGCGAAGGTAGCGGAGGTGCTGGGCAGTTTTGTACTGGGAACGATATAATTTTGGGTTGTCCAGGCCGCGGCCATGAAAATGGTAAATGAAACTCAGGACGACTGGGAAGCCCCATAATGGAAGGATTGTATCAAAGGCAAAATGTCCTCAGTTTTGCAGCTGTAACATTAACATTTTGTACATGTAGGAAAAAAAGTGATGATCTAAGATATGACACAGACTGTAGGATGTTTCTGGTGCAAAAGATGAACACCCGAGCGCAATAGAAATTGTGCGGACAACATAGTATATATGTCCTGAGGAACAACCATGGACTTACCTTTTGTAACATGAAAATAACTACTGCTACTGCCCCAATGATATGGTTTATTCATCCTTCTTCCCGTTCGTCATTACTCACAACTGAGAGTTCGTTGTAAGTACTTACCCCTGAAACTGAAAAGAAATTCACCCTCGAACTTTAGTTGTGTGTCGCTGAATGATTGTTGTAAAATGTCGTAAATTACTGGCCGGAGTGAAGCAGGAACAGATTCGCAACGGCGGCCGCTTTTTTGTCAGCGTTTTTAGACTACATTCACGGTCAGTGCAGATTTCCTATTTTTTGTGCGATGGTTGTCGTTGTATCAGTATCTATCATGGTTCGAGCTAAGGCCGCACTATCCAGTACAGTATTGTTGTCATTGTAGCGGGGACCTGATGTCTTTGCGGGAAAGCTCGCTGGATGAGCATCAGGTTATTTACATGTGCTGCAGAAGTAAAATGCAACGATAACGAATTGGTTTTGAGCAAGCTCCTGTCATAGATATTTTCGAAAGCGGCGCCACATTTGTCAGGCAGATCAGAAGGCGAAGGGTAGAAGTTGACTCCAGCTTTAACACATTCTAGTAAAGTTGTTGTGGGTCCCCCGGACTTTTCATTCTCTACAGAGGCCGACGCAGTGTAATGTACCGCGCTGCTTCTTACTTACTCGTCAAATTAGGCCTGGTATTAGGAAACTGCACCTTTCTTGTTTGGGACAGACTAGTATCGCCATGATCTTCTTTTGAAGTCCACAGAACTCGCATCAGCTTTACGGATGATGTGTGATGATGACCTACTTGTTTTCATGTCTGTGAAACGCAAAAGATTATGTACTTCAGTTTGTGAGTCACTTCTATAGCGATAGCGGCCTTCTCGTGCTTGTTTCATTCTCACAATTTATTACCTCTGCAACGCCAAGCCTTATTTGAATATATCTCGGACAGATTCAGAAGTATTGGTCAGCGGGCTAGGACCTAGATCCGGACAGAAAGAAGCCTCATAAATTAGCGAAATCGAACAAACAACACTGGAATGTTTTTTCCTTCGATGCGAGGACGTGTCATGTGTGATTTTTAGGAAATTAATTGTGAATGTTGAGAAGACCGTCGAGATTGCTCTTATTCTTGCGGACAACCTCCTGCCTGTTGCCAAAGCGAATAAATATTCCGCTGCCAGCCTCATTGAGATTGAACTTGAAGTATTGGAATCAACGTGGTGGATCACATCCCGTTTTGTCGCAAGGTTTTGCCCAGGACTGTTCTCTAAATCTGAAGAAAAAATCGGTCTGGCCACACAATTTTCGGTGTAGTACTGCTTGTTGATTTTCAACACTGAGGTTTTTACCAGCTACGCACTAGCTACACGATCGTTGGAGTCGACTGCTTTGCATACCAAGAATTCTTCTTACATGGATAATTATTTTCAGATGGTGGATATGGATACACACTGTCCCTTCGTCATGCCCTGAAACTTTTCCAGTGCTCCTATCCTGAATTATTCGCTATCCGGATAGTACAGGCAACAAAGAAAAAGCGCAAAGATATGAGCATGTATTGTTAAGTGTACCACTTGGCACAACAAGAACTTCCTGGACGTTCTTCGTTCACTAGAACAACATCTTATAAATAGAGTTTAGCTTATCGTCGCTTTCAACATTCAATTAACATCGGAAAAACAGCACGAATCAATCTAAGTAAAGTAAAGTCTACCAGTACCAGCAAAACATGTTCGACGACGCGACCCCGAAGGCGCCGCAAATGACGGTGTTCGGCCTTTCCGCTGACATTCCGCTCTATGCATTGCCAAAGTATCGTATTCGTAGTATTGCAATACAAATTAGCTCAGCATCTCAAATGAACTTTGTCATGCTGATTTAGCTTGAAAAAGAAATTTGTATAGGCATAAATGCAATACTTTTTGCAGTTCATACGTTCGTGCCCCCCGCGATGCTGGTGCTGCTAAACCTCTTCTGCGGTCTGGTTCTGACGCGGATCTTATCAAATGTAAAAATGTCTGGGTCTGGAAGAATGCAACCTGTGATGCTGAATTTGGATTCCAGAAAAATCTGTATTGCATGAGTACCAAAAGGAATGTAATTTTTGCTACGCGGAGAGGGCATTTCCATTTGTCATGCGGAATAGGCATCAAGAAGCTCTCAAAAAAACTGTGATGCTAGGGCATGCATCACAGACGTCAGGGCTCATGCAAAACATGCATGACAAATCTCAGAATCTTCCAGACCCGGACATTTTTACATTTGATAGATCCTGAAGTGGCGAGCGCCGCTGTTCCAACCGTCCGACGATGATAAGAAGGAACGAAAAAATCAATGGAGTTTCTTGTTTTTATGCATTGCAAAAATGTCTGGGTCTGGAATAATGTAGGACTTGGCATGCTTGTCTGGCATGACTCTTAAATCTGTGATGCGTAAGCAGGAACGGGGCCTCTTGCCTGTCATGCAAAAACGCAGTTTGCCATGCGGAAAACGAGACACATGGCAGTGCAAGAACTTGTCATGCTTGGCTGCATATTGTAGTGGGCCCACCATTCAGCGATTTGCATCACAAGTTTCCAGACCCAGATATATTTGCATTTGATAGCTTTCCGGTTTCGATAAGTGGAAGAAGCGGCTACCGTACGACGCGGAAAAATCCGCCCCAGCCAAATTTTCGAAAATTTCACGGCGCGATCCTTCTACCCCACGCCGCTGCGCCGCCTTCGTCGCTGCTCCGTGTACCTTCCCAGCTTCGCTGCTTCGACTGCCGCCCCCGACATTCAGGCGAGATGGTTATCGCCACCTGCACAGCTGAACAAGGCCGTTTTTGCCTTGCTTCATAATATCAAACTACGACAGGATCGCCCCTGGTATGCCACCCTCCGGCGCGGTCGAAGTGTGGCTCTCTCCGGCATTTTGTACCTGCAAAAAGTAGCTATTTAATTAGCGAGTTTGAATTCTAAGAACGTAGCTAATTTTCGGTGAGTACGCAATGACTTAGGATTAAGATTAAGAGAGGCATTTTCCAATCGTTTCGGGCCGGCGCGGAAACTCGGTTAACCAAGGAACGGAGCTGGGGTGAGTCGGTTCTTCTCCACGAAGCCGGTATGTTGCACCAGTTGGTGCAACAGGTCCTCCTCATGCCGCAGTACCGTGCGGCTTTGGCGGAAATCTACCCGAAGGTGGCGCGGAGCCGACACACAAAGACCGATGACGAAAGCCTCTCTTAATCAGATTCTAAGTCATTACTGCTTGCAGAAATAGCTAGCTGGGCACGTTTTGAATGCAGCCCCGGCACAATATCAAAATAGCTAGTCGATTCACATTGACATTCTTTCTTCAAACTAGCTAGCTTGATTCATCACATAAGAGAAAAAAACAACGATAGTAAGGGTCGCGCCGCATGTTCGTTTTGGACTCGGGACGCGGGCGACAGCGCATTTTTCGACACGATGGTCCACATTTGCCGACTGCTTCTCTGCATGCAACGACCGCCTCCCTCACCGAGTTGCTGCACACCGCCTGCTGCTAGGACAACCAAAATGACGAGTTGAAATTTTCGAAAATTTGGCTGGGGCGGATTTTTCCGCGTCGTATACCGTTTTCTCTCCTCGTATCCAAGGAAAAAAGTGTATACTTACAGTTACACATTTGTAGGGAATGCAGCATCACAAATTTGCCTCGCATGACGGAGAAAACTTGTAATGCAGAGATCATAAGGCAAAACTAAACACACACGAAAAGAGACTCGCAAGCATTTTGCGCATGACAGAAGTCGTCTGTCTTGCTGGCCTTGCAACACAATGCGTAACTGTAAACACTTTTTTCTTTGCATACCTCGGGTTTCTCCTCATCGCCGCCTGGTTCTACGAGTGTCACCTATCGTTGAAAGCAGCGGGCTATGGCGAGGATAGTATACAACAACTCCCCCTGCAGCTCTCCGTCGTTTGCCATGCAAGGAAATGATCCTAGATCTTTTTTCCGTAATTATGCTGTCTTGTGCTACTGATCGGATACTTTTTACGAATTTCGAATTTACTGCATTTGGCCCCGCATGAAGAGCGACTTGTCATGCGCCGGCTCCATGTAGTTCGCTGGTGTGTGTGTTGCTCCGAACAATGCAGCTCTTGAAATAACGGGAGCAACGGCGGGACGATGTTGTGCACTCGCATACGGGTAGCGGGATTCCGTTCACTCCAGTACAAGGGATTACAACCGTCGGGTCCTACAAGTATTCGCGGAATCCACTGTATGTGATGGCGCTGACGTGTTTCATCCCCTGGATTGCGCTTTTGGTGAATTCGAAGAAGCTATGAATTGTAAAACAGAAATGTCTGGGTCTGGAAGAATGCAAGATTTGTCATGCTGATCTGGCATGGCCCTTAAATCTGTATTGCGTGGCCACAAACAGCCTCTCTCGCCTGTCATGCAAAAACACAGTTTCTCATGCGGGATACGAAGCACAGAGGCACGAAAAAACTTGTCATGCTTGGCGGCGCATTACAGTGCATTTGTTATTGAGTGACTTGCATCACAAGTTTCCAGACCCAGACATTTTTGCAGTGCATAGAAGCCCTTGTTGGTCACACTACCGGGCATGTTTCTCTACCTGCATTTTGTGGTGATACCTGCGGAAGAGAAGTTTCTCATGCAGAATCACCCGGCAGCATATGAGAAGTATTTCGCTACGGTGCCGAGGTGGGTGTTTTTTTAGACAGTTTTTTTTTGCAACACAGTCACCTAGCCGACGAGTCAGCATGCGCTACAGACTGTCAGAAGGTGCGAACAAGAATCCATATTTTTAGTCACGCAACATTTTTGCCGGAACTTAACTACTCTTTTGATCATCAACATCAGCTCCTGCATCAGAACATGAAGGGATCTGCGGAACAAGAACTGGTACTACGTCCGAACCAGAAGTTCCAACCTGTGTAGTTCGTATGCCGTATGTATTTTCAACATCGAGAAAATAAAGTACTAGCGGCAAGAAAGGCACAGCCACCTGTTCCATCAGCTTCACAGTACTAGGTTTTGCACAACTTCTTCGCACGACCGCTGGCTGACAAAGAGCGAAATTGACAACGAGGGAACCTTCCTCTACCAAGCGTAAAATTTGTTGCGACCTACATCAAGAGTCGGTGGCTTTTGTTTTTTGCCCAGGCTGACGAGAGTGATGATGCTAGTCGCAAAGTTGTCAGAGTCAGGCTGAATTTAGAAATTGATATGCATATTAGCAAAAGTTGTAAAGCACATCAATGCAGCAGACCTTTTGTTGATGGCATCAAACAAAACTTTTGTCCCACGGACCCGAACGCGTGACCCCAAAAAACTGCACCTGCAGTAGTTTTTCTACTAGTGGCTCCTGGAGATTAGGATTACGACAAGCTGCAGAGTTTGTCACAGGGCCTGTGCTTGAAATCTCGTAAGAACAGAATTTGATTTGAACAAATAAACCATACATTGTTTAATCACAAGGAGAACTCGAAGTTGAAATTCAAAACACCGACACAGCTCCTGGTTCTGTGTCAGGAAAAATTATAACTGCATTTTTTGTAAAGAACCGAATAAAGGAAGCAGTTAGTATTTTTGAAGAAAGATTGGCATCAAAAATGTTGAAGGGCGCCGGATTTTTCGCTCTTTGTGTCACGATTTTTCTCCACCCAGCAAAAGCCGCTGACGCCCTCGTTGAGCCGCAAGACGATCATGCCTTCGCCGTGGAACACTTTGCCGCGGGTGCAGCGGGCCGCGCCCTCGCTTCCTATGAGAACAACTACGCGGGCACCACCACCATCACGTCGAAAGACGCGGGCGACAAGACCAAAGAGTGTAAGGAGTGCACCATGGAAGCGGCGAAGCATGTGATGAAGTACGTCTGGGATGAGGTGCAAGAGAAGTGCAAAGATAAATCGCCCAGCACTTTGATGGACGACGAGGTGCAGCATGAAGATGATGACAAGAAGACGCACTGGTGCGCGTTTGTGAAGGCGCACCCGAAGATGGCGGAGGGGTTACTGATCGAGAAAGTGAATCCCTTGGCGCTGGGCTACATGTACTGTCTCGGCAAGCAGGTCTGCGACAAGAAGGACGACAAACCTGCTGGCCACCAGGGTCTTGATGCGGAGGACGAGGACCACGCCGGCGGGTTGTCCTATTTCGATCCCAATGCGCAGGAGTTGCAGTTCCTTGGGGCTGGGGAGCAGATTGTAGCGCAGATGATGGCATCATCCGCGACCGCAGATGAAGGAGAAGAGTCGGATGTTAATCCTGAGGACGGAAAGGGCAAGGGGAAAGGAGGTCCTTACTTATAATATAAAGGACGTTCTTCGTTAATATTTCAGCTCAAGTGCAATTGTTTCACAACTACCAGACATCAACACTAGAGAGTTAATTTCGCAGTTACATTAGATTTTGCAGAAGATCGTGGTGGAACATCAAACATCAAGATGATTCGCGCCACAACAAAAAAATCACCACTACAGGTAAAGGAGAGGGCCCGAACAAGGGCAAGGGGAAGAAGGGTAAAGGAAAGCACCACCACGGCAAGGGTAAGAAGGGGAAAGGAAAGGGTGGCGACGACGATTGCGACGAGGACGACGATGATGATGAAAATAAGAATGATTCCGACAAGAAGACCGATGACGCGATGGCGGACGCCATGCTGGCCATGTCTCCCGCCGCTGCGTCCTCCAGTTCCCATGTCGCTGGGCTGTGTATCAAACTGAAAAATCCCCCCTCCCCATATTGAAACGGAAATTTCTGTTGCTGGATTTGGATACACAAATCAGTTTTGTCTTGCTGGAGAGGACTGCAGGCCTATACTAAGCTTGAGTAGAGAGGTTTTGGGCTAGGCGCTGAGCATGGGAAACGTCTAGTCTGTAGGGCCCACAGCATCACAAACCGCCTGCAGTATGCGGCAGAGCCTCTGGGGTTGCGTTCTTGCAAGACAGAGACGATTTGTGGTCACAAATCAGCATTGAAAATTTTTCGAGACGTGCCTCTTCGATACGGGGAGGGGGGATTTTTCCTCACAATACTGTGCAAGTGCTGTTTCCGGAAGTTAACGCGGAAGGTGATGAAGTTTGCCGTCCGCGTTACCAAGAAGATGTGTGCGAAGGCGGACAAGGGCAAGACCCTGGCGGCGTTCTGCAAGTGGGGTGAGGAAAACCCGTATGAAAGTGCACAACTTCTTCTTCCCCTCATTTGTATTGCATGAACAGCAATACAAACGTCAGCACCCATACAAGTTTTGCATGACAAATTTGGACAGGAGTGTAGTGCTACTTCGGCTGCCCGAACTTGTCATGCACACAGGGCTAAGAGGCAAAGGATGAATTTGGTCTTTTGCATGACCAATTATGAGGGGGAAGGGGAGTTGTGCGCTCTCATAACCCGGAGATGGCGTTTGGCTGGTTGCTGGGAAAAGTGGAGCCGCAGAAGTACGCGCTGCTGCCCTGCATGAAGTGGGGGAAGACGAACATGTGGCACATGCACCACCACAAGCATGATCACATCGGCCATGATCAACATCACGAGTTGATGTACCACTCCCATGTGGAACTACATGAAGAGCGTCAAGCGGGCCATAGTAAGCATAGTTCTTGGCCGGGAATGAAGAACCTGTTGGTCAGCCTGCTGTCCGGTGGTCGCGCGCCAGCTGCTACTGTGCATGAAGAAGCTGCTACTTCCACCGAAGGGGCTCCTCCTTCTGCGGCGCCCGCGGCGGTCGGCGGGGAGAAGAACACTGCTGCGGAGCATGATCATCCACACGCTGAGGTTTACGTGTAAGTTTCAGGAGCAGGCTCAGTTGGAGTTAGCAGATGTACTGCTAGTGCTGGTGCCCTATGCAGTTGTAATGTAAGATGATGATGAAACTACATCTATGAAGAAAAATAGTTGTGCTTCCTACAACGCAAGCACGTTGGCATGATTTCAATGAAGTTTGTATACCACTGCTGGATCAGATGCAACGCAATCGGAGTCCTCGACTCAGATGCAGTGCAATCGACTCGCATTGGTTGTTTGAATGGTAGACGAGCCACTATCTTCCTGAATTCGAAAATGTACAGTCGATCATCCAAACTTGCAAAGTCTACACGTGTAAGTATACGCAAGCCTACTTTAATATTCGAGTTTCCAACCGTTTGTGAAGATGAAAAGAAGTCAATTGCATCGTTTTTTTTTTGCTTCTTCTCCAAGAAACTATAATTATTTCTGCGCTGAAGAAGCGCCTGTTTGAACTGTTTTTGCCGATGGAATATATAATTGTCAACACGACTGTAGTCTTGGGAAACAAAACGTCATCGCGTGAGTGCCATTTCCTGTGGTGAAAACTGTTTGCTCAACAACACTCCGCTCGTTTTGTTGCAAAAAGACAAAGTCAAAATATAGAAAACCAAAACTGAACAAGGCGAAGAGCCCAAAGTCCAAAGAGCTACTCAAGCTTCCCTTTGGGATTTTACCTTTCAATATAACAGCTGTTGAAAATCGGTTCGAAACTAGTAGAACTACAGCCAGCGGTACGCCTGTCGGTACGATTTCAACATTCTACGTGATGTTGTTTTTAAGGGTTGGTAACAAGTCGCTAGATCCCCACAGCGTCAATCGTGCCCATCATTGTGTGCAGGAACAACAAGGTACGACGTATAGAACAACAGAAAGGCTCTATTGGTCGTAGAAAATCTTTGTGTCACGTCCTCGTCACTCGGTCTTCACTCAGTTGTTTGATGTCGCTCTCTGCACAAGACAAGTTCCACCGTCAGATGAGCTTAGTACAACAAGCCTACCTGCAAATAGATCCATCATCGCGAAGAAGCGAAGATCGATAGAATCATCTATCTTCAGGCTCGGTAAAATAAAAGTGAAACTGCACGACCTGAAGCTGATAGAATGAAGCATCTTGTTCGTCCATCTCGTCCGGCCACGAGTTACTTTCCTCGTCGCGATGCTTGCGTTTGTTCAACATCTGGAAGGCGTCAGGTTTGTTCCGCTGCAAGCGGAGGTGCCTCGTCTTCTTCACGAAGATCGCGGCTTGTTGTTGCGGAAAAACATTCCTCTACCATTTTAGTAGAGAAAAACTTCCATCAACATCAACAAAGTTCTTGGGCGGGAATAGTTCCGGCGCGGCGGCGCGCCTTCGCAACCGGCGCCTACAATCGGGAGAAACCGCACGTCAACATCGGCACGATCGGGCATGTAGATCACGGTAAGACGACTTTGACCGCCGCCATCACCAAAGTTTTGGCGAACCAGGGCGGAGCGGAATTTCGGGACTACGCGCAGATTGACCGATATGGATGTGTCAGGATCGAAATCGACAAAGTTGAAATGATTTGTCATGCATAAAATGCAGCCCACAAAGTGACTGTCTTGCTCTTGCAGAGTAGGCAAGTGAGGCAGATTGTAAGCCTGTTGAGAGGTAGAATCTGAGCTGCTGAAGAAGCATGACAAAAGGCGTCTTCGTTACCCAAACAGCATGACAAACTGGATTTCGGTTCTACCCGAATTTGTCATGCGCCACTTGGAAGCTGGGTTACAAGTGGCATTCATTTTATGCGTCACAAATTATTTCAACTTCGTCGATTTCAAACCTCACGCTTCCATAACCGAGCGCCCGAGGAACAAAAGCGAGGGATCACGATCAATCAGTCACATGTCGAGTACTTACATCTTATCATGAAGATAATGATTAAAATACATCACAACTGCATGGCTGCAGACGAGATTTATTTTCGTCGGTTTTGAGTACTCTCAACATGGATGGGCAGTCAGACTCATTTCTTGTTTAGCGACGATATGTAATACATGTTGATCATTCACTCCTTTATACTGCTGGCCGTGGCGTGTTATTATGATTTTTAAATGAATCGAAGGTATTCCACCGCATCTCGACACTATGGACATGTGGACTGCCCGGGCCACGCAGACTACGTGAAAAACATGATCACTGGCGCCGCGCAGATGGACGGCGCTATTCTCGTGGTATCAAATGCAAAAGTGTCTGGGTCTGGAAGATTGCGAGATTTGTCATGCTTGTCTAGCATGACCAAAAAGTTTGTGATGCGTGTCCAAGAAGAGACCCTTTTGCCTGTTATGCAAAAACGAAGTTTGTCATGCGAAAAATGCAACACAAAGAAGCGCAGATATTTCTCATGCTTGGCTGTGCAACGCAGAGCATTATTTACAATTCCCAACGCAGCATTACAAGTTTCCAGACCCAGACATTTTTGCATTTGATACATGGTGTCCGCCTACGACGGTCCTATGCCGCAAACGAGGGAGCACATTTTGTTGTCCAAGCAAATCGGGGTGCCCAGGCTGGTCGTGTTTTTGAACAAAATGGACATGGTGGAAGATCTGGAGCTAGTGGAGCTGGTATTTGATAGAAATTTAGCTCTTGCCATGCGAATGTCGAGCTCTTGCCATTTAGAGCGAAAAAATCAAAAAAAAATAACCAAAAGGTCGAGCTGGAACTCCGCGAGATGCTGGATTTTCACGGGTTTTCCGGGGAAGAGACGCCCTTCGTGAAGGGCAGCGCGTTGAAAGCTTTGAAGGGAGAGGCGGGGGAGTATGGGCCGGACTCCATCACTAAACTGATCGACGCTGTCGATAACTACCTCCCCACTCCGGAAAGACCCACGGACAAACCGTTTTTGATGAGTACTTACATAGATACCATGAATGGTAGTAAAAAAAGATACACGAGGAGATCTCCCGGTCGTAACGTGGGGAGAAGCAGGCCGCATGCTTATCAGGGCAAGCGGTTAGTGGATCTGGTTGAAAGAGTGGCCCCAGTGAATGAGGGCCGCCGCCTCTCATGATGCCACCTCGTAGACCATATATACGCGCTGGCCTTGTTGTTCTACGGAGAGCTAGCAGCAAGCAGCTCCTTGGCCCATGCGCTTGCGCTGCTGCGCAGGTTCGCAACAAAAAGGCACGCCGCCGCTGTGCTGTTTGTTGCCTGCCACCCGGGTGCCGCGGCTGCGCCTCGCGCGTCCACGGGACGCGACGGGGCAGCAAGCCGCGCGGCACCACCGACGAGCGCAGCTGCGCTACCGTTAGGGGAGCGCAGCCACCCAGATGGCTGGCCACCCCACCCTCCCGGATGCCGCCCCTTATCCGAGCTCGGCCAAGCCCATACCGAGAATTATAGCGCCGACCGTTGATAGTGCGCGGCCACCCGGTTGGTCGGTACTATGAAGAGCGCGCCACGACAGGCGAGCCCTGTGGCACCACTGAAACGGCCACACAGCAACACATTGGCGGCGCACAACCGCCCACGAGTTGAGCGCCCCCAGACATGCAAATGCTTGCTGTAGCTACGCAGTGCAATACCAAATCGGACGAAAATCAACGGCAGTCGTGGGGAGGTGTTGGTGTTCGTGAGGCACTACGTCCGACGCGCCTCCGAGCCGTGAGGGCACTCGGAAGGGTAGGAGAGAGGGACCGAAAGTGCACCTACTCCGGGTGCGGGAGATCCTGGCGAGACAGATCCCACATACAATGCACTGAGACCCATCCGTCCCCTTGTACGTGCGATGTTTGTGCACAGTGGTCGGCATCACCTGTGGCTTCGATAATAATAATAATAAAAAAAGATACACGCAGACAAATGCACCGTGTTAATAAAGTATTGTATGTGAATCTTTACACCAATTGTATGTGAATCTTTACCCGCAACAAGTTCTTACACCAATTGTCAACACTTGTTTGACAAGTAGAAATAACACTACAACAGGCGTCGAGTCAGTTCTCCGGATCCCGACTAAAGGCACGGTAGCGACGGGAAAAATCGAAACCGGGCAGGTAAAGGTAGGGGAGAAGCTAGAGTTGACGGGCTCATCGGGCAAGTATCAGAGTGCACAACTCCCCCTCAATATTTTCATTTCTCATGCAAAACACCAACTCCTCACTTTATTCCCTCGCCCTCCTGTCACTATTATGCATGACAAGTTCTGGCAGCTCAGACGGCACCACAACCCCGGGTAAGTTTGTCATGCAAAACCTGCATAATTGCCGACAGCCGACGCTTGTATTGCCGCTCGTCGTGCACCTCAAATGAGGGGGAGGTGTGCACGCTCATAGCAAGCCGCGGAGTGTGGAAGTCACGGGGCTGGAGATGTTTCACAAAACACTCGACTCCGGAATGGCCGGGGATCAGTGCGGTATAATGCAGTCATGCATTACAAATCTTTTTCGTAAGCTAAATCCGCATTACAAATTGTATTTCTCATGCTGATGAAATTTGTAATGCATTCATACGACTACGATACTTTTGCAGGTCATAATAATTGTGTTAGAAGGCCGCGGCCCTAGTACAACAGTGAATTTCTGGGAAGTACAACGATCCTGACTTTTCTACTACTTTATCATGCAAGACGCAACTACACAAGTAGAAGGGCGATTCACACAATATTAAAGTTCCTCCCACAATCGATGATCAACATGTATCCTCCGTGTCAGGTATCATGTTGAAGGGCGTGAAGAAGGACGAAATTGCCCGTGGGCAGGTGATATCAACTGTAAAAATGTCTGGGTCTGGAAGAATGCAACTTGTGATGCTGCATTTGGATGTCTAAAAAATTTGTGTTGCATGAGCAGCAGAAGGATTCTAGTTTTTGCTACGCGGGGAGGGCATTTCTCATGCAGAATAGGCATCAAGAATCCTTCAGAAAACCTGTGATACTAGGGCATGCGCCACAGACATCATGGCTCATGCGAGCCGTGCATGACAAGTCTCAGGATCTTCCAGACCCAGACATTTCTGCATTTGATAGGTGATCGCGAAACCGGGGCACTGCAAGACCTTCAGCAAGTTCGATGCGGATCTTTACGTGCTAAAGACGGACGAGGGTGGAAGGAAAAAGCCGTTCTTCAGCCGGTACCGTCCGCAGGCGTTCATTCGCACGGGCATATCAAATGCAAAAATGTCTGGGTCTGGAAGAATGAGATTTGTGATGCAGGTTTTCCATGACCCATGAGGTCTGGAATGCGAGACACAGCATGACAGATTCTTTGAGGTCTCTATCATGCCTTTCCTGCATGAGAAACTCCCCCGCAACTTGGTCAAAAGCGGACAGCTTTTGGTACTCACGCAACACAGATTTTTGCATCATTCAGATTTAGCATGACAAGTTCTAATCTTCCAGACCCAGACACTTTCACATTTGATAGGGCACTTGTACGGTCGATGTGCATCTACCCGACAACGTCGAGATGGCCATGCCGGGGGACCGGGTGAAGGTGCGTTGCGACCTGGAAAAGCCGTTTGCGCTGGAAGAGGGCCTGCGATTTGCGTTGCGCGAGGGGGGGATCACAGTGGCCAGCGGCATCGTGACGAAGTGTGGATGAACAGAGAAGAACAAGTAGCACGAGAAAGTAGTTGTATTGTGCCGCCGAGATGAATGAATCAATGTACTGATGTCTGTTCAGTGTTCACTACAACAGAAATCGTGTGCCTTTTTGTATTCGAACACATGATACATGCTCTGCCCGCTTTGGCTTTCTTTTCTGTTCTTGACAATCAATGGTCTCCACAAGGAGATAAATGACTTTACTAAAGTACAAATGGAGCATAGAACAGAAACAATGCACCGGTCGACGTTCATGAATTCTTGAATTTCTTCTCGTACTTATACGCGCTGTCGTCCTCCTTGTGCTTCTCATAGTGCTTCTTGTCGACGAGGAGTGCTAATAGTATCAGCAATGAAAATAAATCATCTACGTGCCGTAGTACGAAAAGAAGTGAACAAGGCATGTTGACCTCCAGAACGCCATGCCACGGAAACAAGGGAAATTTGTTTCCTATACATAGCATTTAGAAGTTGTAGATATGGAATAGCAACTTTTCACGAGGGGCCACAGACAGCGAACGCTGGCACCAGCTGCCTGCAGCCGATTCGATCTCATTTTTAGCTGTCCCCCTTTCGAATGAATCGGGAGCACGCGGGCGGCTTTACCAGATGATCCTGCGTTTGTTTCTTCAGCTTGTTTATTAAGATGGTTTATTGCCGTACGACAAGAGCATCAAGAGCATCAGCGGATCATCGAAAGAAGGACCGATTTGAATGACTTCAATATTTTTAATCGAAGAACAAAGACGAGCTCGTGATCAGTTTTTTGCGACTGCTGTAGTACTACCTAGTTCTCTATTTTCTTCGAAGGTAAAAACTAGATCTAGATCCTTTTCCTTGCTTTTCAAGCTCCCGCTGTTCGCTTTTTATGCTCTTTTCACTATCCATTTTTCATTTCCCAGCGGTTTGTTTTGGTTTTCCTTTTTCGTTGTGATCCATCATCTTTTACTTTTATCCGAGAATAAAGCGGATGCCAAATAATTTTCATGCGCCTACATCTCTCTAGAAGAAGCTTTCGTCCAGCCTACAAGTACATGTACTTCTAGAAATAAGCCTAGAAATAATCACATCAAGATACTAGGACCGCTTTAGCAACAGTATGTGACATGCATATCAAAATAAAAACCATCGGAGAACTTCGCAAAAGAACCACGGCATGACAACGACTCCAGCTGGCGCAGCGGCCACATCAAAGCCAGTGGCCGCGGCGGATTCTCGTGCTGCTGCGGGCACAACAGCTGTCGGAGCGGCCGGAGTTGCAAATAAAGCAGCGTCCTCTCCGACGGCACCCGTAGTACAACCTGGTCAGCAAGCCGCCGTCCGAGTGGGCACCTCCGCGGCGACTTCTTCATCCAGCAATGGGGCTGCAGCCGGGACTAGTTCTTCAACCGGAGCTGCAGCACAAGCGGCAAATAACAGCAACGGAAATTATCCGACGAATTCTAGCACAACGACAATGCAGCAGTCAGCAGCACCAGCAGCTCCCCGCCCGGGCGCAGTCTACCTGAACGCAACAAGCAACACGAAGTCCCCGGATTGCTTCGTCGCGGAATCGGCAAATATGATGAAGGTTTTAGACGAAGATTATCCGGTGGAGTCGGAGCAGGGCATGCGGGTGCGGGCGGACATCCAGCGAAACATCGAAAAGCGGTTAAATGACTGGCTGTTTCGGATCTCGCCCAAGGACGGGGTGGAGCGGAAAGGTATACTATAGGGTGTGCTGTTCTTGTGTTGAGTGTAGATGGTAGTAGGACTTGCTTATTTATTTCTACTGGTGAAGTGCTTTTTGGTTTTTTTTGTGCATGACCAATGTCGTTGAAGGGACTACACCAGAACGCATCAGAAACTTTCGATGAAAAATTTATCCGTAGAATCAGAAGTACAGTACTGAATATGGTCTCAGGATCATGAGCGTCGACCGTATTTTTGTTTTTTACAACTAACTCCTACTCCACGTCGACCAAATTACTAAAATTATCAGGCAAAGTGTGCACCATCGGGTCTTCCATGCTTGGTGTAATTAACCACTCCTCCGACATCGACCTGGTGTGTGTGGTCCCCCAACTCCCAAATTTCGGCTGGACGGAGCAGGGCGGCAACCGGTTGCGGGACTACTTCCTCTCCAACTTCGGCGACCTACTGTCCAATCTGCCCGAAGTCCGAGATTTTTACCGGATCGATACCGCCGCGAACCCGACGTTATCGCTGAGATGGAACAACGTTGACGTGGACATTTTGTTCTGCGACTTGGCGTATGCACCGCAAAAGTATCGTACTAGTATAAAATTGCATGACAAATTTTTCCAAGGAACAAAAATGCAATTTGTCATGCTATTTCAGGTAGAAAGTTGGACTTGTCATGCATATCTGCAATTAGTACGAGCGCGGTACTTTTGCACAGGATATGGCGGTGACCAGTGTCGACACGAAAATTTCCGCGTTGCTCCAGTCCCCGGACAACATCGACAGCGACGACTTGTTATGCATTGCAAATATGTCTGGGTCTGAAAACTTGTGATGCTGAACTGTGGATGACTGAAATATTTGCCAATGCAGCCAAGCATGACAAGTTTGCAGAACGCTCTCTCATGCTCATTCCGCATGAGAAACTGCGCTTTTGTATGACCAAAGAGGGCGTCTTTTTTGTTAGTCATGCAATACAGATTTTACAGGAGTGTAGGACTAGCATCACAAGTTGCATTCTTCCAGACCCAGACATCTTTGCAATGCATACTTGTTAATTGATCTCGACGCCCCCGCGCAGCGGGCGCTAAACGGGATCCGGGTGACGAATTTTTTGCAAAAGTACGTGACCACGACGAGTTATGGATCTGTCAGGATTGAAATCGTCAAAGTTGAAATGATTTGCCATGCAGAAAATGCAAGGCATGAAGTGCCTGTCTTGCCGGGATGGCAAGTGAGGCAGATTGTAAGCCTATTTAGGGTTTGGGATAGAGCTGCTAAAAGAGCACGACAAAAGCAGTCTTCTGTGCCCAAACAGCATGACAAATTGGATTTTGGTGCTCCGAAAATTTGTCATGCGCCGCTTGGAAATTGGGCTTCCAACTGGTATCCATTTTATGCATGACAAATCATTTCAACTTTGACGATTTCAAACCTGACGCTTCCATACGAGTCCGTATGAGAAAAAAAATGTCGTGCCGGACTACGAGACGAAGATTCACAACCTGAAAAAGTTCCGAAACGTGCTTCGGTTCATCAAGTGCTGGGCCAAGCGGCGGGGAATTTATTCCAACATTTGTGGCTACTTCGGCGGGATCACGTGGGCGATCTTGGTGGTATCAAATGCAAAAATGTCTGGGTCTGGAGGAGTGCTAGTTTGTCATGCTTGTCTGGCATGACTCGAGAATCTGTGTTGCAGAGGCACGAAAAGGCCCTCTTACCTGTCATGCAAAAACGCTGTTTGCCATGCGGAATACGCAACACATGGCAGCCAAAAAATTTGTCATGCATAGCTGCGTTTTGCAGTGCGTCTATCATTCACTTTCAGCATTACAAGTTTCCAGACCCAGACATTTTTGCAGTTGATAGGTGGCTTTTGTGTGCAAGAAGTACCAAAAATTGACGGAAGCGCATTTGGTTTTCAAGTTTTTCGAATTGTATTCGAATTGGGACTGGGACAAAAAGCCACTGATCCTGCGCGCGATCCCGATGCAGCCGGTGGTGTCCGATATGAGCTACCTGCACCGGATCAGCAAAAAGCACTCCTTTGACCAGGGTAATTTCCAGCACATGGCGGTCGTGACGCCGGCATTTCCCTGCATGATATCAAATGTAAAAATGTCTGGGTCTGGAAGATTGTAGACTTGTCATGCAGATTGTCCATGACCCATGAGGTCTGGAATGCGGGGCTTAGCATGACCGACTCTGCGAGGTCTCTGCCATGCCTATTCTGCATGAGAAACTCCCTTCCAACTTGATCAATAGTGGACAGCTTTTGGCATTCATGCAACACAGATTTTTGCATGCTTCAGATTTACCATGACAAGTTACAATTTTCCAGACCCAGACATTTTTGCAATCCATACATGAACACCTGTTACAACGTGATATCACACAGAAAAAAGCAGGCAGGTCATATGTCTTGTAAACGCAAAAACAAATACACAGAAAACCTGTATTGCGTATCCTAAACAGCATGCTTATATGGGGCCGCCCATGTTGACAAGTTCAAGTTATGTATTTTTGCATTACATCAACCAATATGCCCTGCCAGCTTTTTTCTCTGGGATACGTGACCGAGTCCACAAAGGAGATTTTGATCAAACAACTCACCCGGAGCTTCACCCAGTGTAAAGTGATTGAAGAGATGCTTTTGAAGCCGAAGGAGTTCTCCGAGTTCTCGGAGGAGGAAAGAAAAACGAAAACTCTCCCCTCCTTATGGCGCGAGATGTACCAGCCAGTGCCTTTTTTTCTAGACTACAGCTACTACTTACGGATCGAGGTGCGACACGACATCAACAAGCAGCGGTTTCTGAAGCTGCGCGGGTTTACGGAGGCGAATTATCCCACGAAAAAACTGTTTCACTGTGGTGATTTTGCAAGATCTGCATCTTCACAGCTTTTTATACACATGACACAGAAAATTTGCCATGCGCGCTTCCCAAGGGAAAACACGCGTGAAAATCCAATGTCTTGCAGGTGCAGCAAGACAAACATTTTGGTGTTTCGTTTTCTGCGTCACAAGTTCACAGTGAAACAGTTTTTTCTTGCGATACGAATTTGAGGAAGTTGATTGCGGAGTTTGATGCCTTCCGGTATCAAATGCAAAAATGTCTGGGTCTGGAAGGATGCAACTTGTGATGCTAACTTTGGACTCTAAAAAAATCTGTATTGCATGACCAGCAAGAAGAGTCTAGTTTGTGCTACGCGGGGAGGGCATTTGTCATGCGGAGTAGGCACCAGGAAGCCCTCTAAGAATCTGTGATGCTAGGCCGTGCATTACAGACGTCCTGGGTCAAGCAAAATATGCATGACAAACCCGGCAACATTCCAGACCCACACACTTTTGCATTTGATATCCGGGAGCAAAAGAACAAGTTTATTTTCGAAACTGCGCTCTACCCCTACGAGTTCCAGCAGGACTGCGAAAACTGGCAGAATTCCACGGGCACTCTAGAACGGAAGAAGGCGAAATACGGCACCAGTTGGTATTTCGGAATGAACTGTCACGTCAACAATCGGGCAGCAGCTTCTGGTGGAGGTGCAGCTTCTGGCGGGGACATGATGATGAAAACATCAAGTCAGTCGATGAACAAAAACAACACAACGATCGACAAGTTTCAGTCCGCAATTTCTACTTCGGAACCAATAAACAAGCCGCATAAAAGTAGAAACCAGTATTTGGATCTGCGGCAGACACTGTACAACTGGATCGACCTGGTTGCGCCGGCCTTTGACAAGGATGGGTATGCGGAGTTGGGTATCAACTGTAAAAATGTCTGGGTCTGGAAGAATGCATGTTTGTCATGCTTGTCTGGCATGACTCTTTAATCTGTCATGCACGTTGCCCAAGAGCTCAGCTTTTCTGTGATGCAGAAAGGTAGTTTGTCATGCAGAATAGACAACACCTAGAAGCTCAGAAACTTGTCATGCTGAGCCAGCATTTGTGGCCTCATCATGAGACGCCATCCAGCATCACAAATTTCCAGACCCAGACATTTTTACATTTGATATTGGGGTTTGACGTGTTTCCGATGGAGAAAATCCCGCTAAAGAAGTATGAATTGCAAAAGTATCGTACTCGTATAAATGCATTACAAATTTCTGCAGCATGAAAAATAAAACGTGTAATGCTTATTCACCTTAAAAAAAAGACTTGTAATGCATGACTGCAATACGAGTGCGATACTTTTGCACAGGATAAGAAGGACCGGCCGGACATTCTGAAATCAAACTCCAGTACCACTCTGGTACACATGTTTGGCAACAATAATCAGGTTCTCGTAGGCGCTGCTGCGGGGAACAACGTGAACGGAACTTCTGGGAATAATAATTCGACCACCATCACAAGGAAGTTGGCTGGTGCGACTACGGCTTTAAAGAATGCGTTGACAAATAATGCAGGGGTGGCGGCCGCGCCACCAGCAAATAATAATAAAGCCGGTGTAGTGCCAGCGGCGGGTTTTCCGAAGCAGGTCAACACGGGGGAAACAAGTACAACTGCGAATAAAACGAATATTGTTCCCATTGCGCCCAGTGCTGATATGACCACGACAGGCCCTGCGGCTGGTTCTTCTTCTAACACGACGACTACCAGTGCAACGAACAAAACGCCGAAGAACAACGGTGCTCCCGCGAAGATCTTTGTAGAGTCAACGGTTAAAGATAAAGATGTTGTGGAAATGAATAACGGCGCAGCACTGGCGGTAAAAAAAGCGGTACAACTAGAAGCTACACCAGCCGAGAATCTTCGTAGCGCCCCACGAGGAGGACCTGCAGCGCCCACGGCAAGAACTGTGACGAATGGAACAAAGAGCGTCGAGGAACTACAAATAGAAGTACCGGGCGTAGTACCTCCACCTTCCTCCACAGTTGTTGGTACCTCCATGACCGCCAGCACAACCGCAACACAGACAGCGGTACCTACTAAATCAGGGGGAGCGCCGCCTGGGGGAGCGAGTACGGAGAAAATGAATGATGAAGCAGGTGGAGAAAAACAAAAAGCAGGAGCAGCTTGTTCGGCTGAGGTGGTCGTAGAAGTTGATGTTGTCCCGAAAGTTGTAGAGGCTCCTGCGGAGGAGAATAAGGGAATAAAGCAGGATCAACATGTCGATGTTGTGGGCAACATGGGTACGATTAGCACCTCCACTGCTGACGTGCAAGATGAACAGGTTGTTTCCGCTGATGGCACAACAACAACATCTTCAACGGCTCCTGTAACGAAAATAAGCCAAACTTCATTGAAACGGTCCAAGCCTACTTCCTCAGATGCAGCAGATAGCAGTCCTGGTGGGGGTTCTGGTAAGAAGGAGCCTGCGGCAAAAAGACCCTCGGAAGCGAAAGAGTTCGTGGAAAAAAAAGTAGAAGTTTTGAAAATGCCGGAGACGCAGTAGTAGTTCGAAAGAAAGCGGAGCAGTTGTATACACTTTTTGACTAATTATACCCTCGATGCAGTTTTTTAATCATTACCCACGATCGATGCGGTTCATTCACAAGCCTCCATGATTGAAGCGACACCTTGATTTGATTGATTGAAGAGAACTCAGAATGTGACGAAGATACGCATTCTGACACGAATGAATCTATCAGACCAGCAGCAGAGCGCGACCGTTTATTCGCGCAGCAGCTTTCAGAAAAGGATACACTGAGGCTTCGATCTCTGAACGGACGTTTTTGACAATTAAAAAGTGCATTTGTTGAGTTTATCTATGAAAATCGGTTGAAAGCAACGCCCAATCTTTTGGGTATTTGAAAAAACTTCCTCGGTTAATATGCAGTCTATCGGAGATAATACTCGGTGACTTCACGATCGGTTTTGCTCTCATTCATTGTCCACACCTGGAGATAATGTGTCTCTGTGCGATCGGAATCAATATCATGCACTAAAGTGACTCGGTTTTATTCGGGATAAGTACTACTTCTATGATCACTTTAGGTATGAGTTTATTACTGCATTTATACATATTTTCTCTATCTTTTCCGAAACGTAAACCTCGCACCTATCTCCGTTGTTTCGATATCGAATCTTAGGGTTGATTGTATTTCTGCTCTCTGCCCTCAGCCTTGTCCTTATACGAGGACAGCCTGGATAAAGTTTTCTTTTCATACTTACAACTTACGTAAAATGACGTAACAAGTATTGGCTTATGACATCAATTGTGACCTCGCACCTATGAATCTGGATTTTTTACCCTCCCTTTTTTATCGCCATAATATCGATCTGCATCTGCTATTGCTAGTGTATTAAAACAAAAAAAAATGGCCGACAGGACGAGGAGCGGCTACCTCCCGGCGATGCTGCATTCACCTGGTTCATCTGCAGGCTCTCGTGCGCAAATAAAACGCAAAAGTGCAGCTGTCGACGCCGAGGAACTGCGGACGAATCGCGGAACAAACACGACCAAAAGAGTTGCGCCCGGTCGCATAGACACGACATCGGCGGAGGATGATTTGTATCCTGTAGTTGCAGCAGGAGGTGCTGGTGGTGCAACTACCGGAACATCATCAAGTGGCACTGGAATAAATCTCATTTCCACCCCGGCTGCTCCTCCTCCGCATTACGTCACCCCGGTGCCCAGCGCGATGTTCACACCGTCCTCCCCGCACCCGCGCAGCCCCTTGCTCGGTAACGCAAATCTTCAAACCAACTCCTTCCGCCCGTCTGCCGCACAGGCGGACGATGCGTACCGGGGGCTGGTCATGCTGTCTCAGTCGCCGTTTTACCAGCGACACGCATCCAACAGCCAACCGGGAAGTCCGGCGAGACTGCCGACGTCCTTCCGCATGGATGGGTTTTCGGACGACGGTACTGTTATGCAAGGAAAAAGCTGTGTTTGTGTAAGTGTATTTGTAAGTCAAAGTCTGTGATGCAGAAAATGCAAGGCAGTTCCTTGACGTTTTTTACATTTGGACTTTGTGATGCCCGACTCGTGGTCCCATGAAGTCCTCTTTTCATGTGCTGTGTTTTCACTGATACGAGCTGGCTATGACAGGTTTTCTCTGTCATGCACTGTCATTCCAGGTAGACATCTACACTGATACATTTTTTTTTTCTTGGATAACTATGCCGGACGGACTCAGAACCCTGTCGGGAGATGAGCAGGATGATGTAGCGATTGCAACTAGACGCACAAGCATAGCCTCGCCCGGGCAGAGAAATACGCCGCCTTTCGATACCAGCAGGGAAAGCACCACCTTGCGGACGGACACCGAACAAGATACGAATTATACCCGCGGACTTCGCACTAGAGGACCTGCTGGTGGACCTGCGCCAGATATGATTGCTACAGGTACAGATGCAGGAACAACTAGCAGTACATTAGGAACCGCAAGTTTTGGTGGAAATTTCGTCCCGCAACATCAAACAACCACGAGTCTAAAGACAGGCGAATTATTGGAGGACGAACAAGTACAAGACGACTCAGAGGCGGAATTACAACAAACCGACCCTTTACTTTCCCTGGCACGAGCCAAAACAAGCTTGCAAGTGGGATCACCGTCGAGAGGTGGGCACCAGTTGCTACCCGAAGGAGTAGAGCCGCAGGAGCTAGTCCGGTTTTCGTCAAAATCCACCCTGACTAGGTACCCATCGGACCGCCAGGCGACGTCGCTGCGGTTGTTTTCGAAGAATGGTAAGAGCGACGAGGGTACCACCAGGACGAGCTCTTATCCAGGAGGAGCTTCTCCTGACCAGGAGGAGAGGGATCTAGTGCTCGATTTCCAGTGTGGCGACCAACTTGATCTGTGCCGCCACAGTCCGTATGAACCCCTGGACGAGTCGTTAATGGCGATCTGCTTGCTGGAGCTGATCTCCGTTTCCACGGGAACGGCGGAATCGCTGGGGCGGAAGGACTTAGCCGCGGCGGTCTGCCATTCGAAGGCAAGATTGGTGATCGCGCTGTTCGTGTTGATGCTCACGTTCTTGTTGCAGTTCCTGTTGATCCAGGCGGTCAGTTTTCGGCTGGGTGGCGTAGACTCGAGTACGTTTGTCCGTACTATGATCCAGGAAAAAAGTGTCCCAGTCATCAACACGTGAGGACTTGTTAGAATTCAAAATTATATGCACAAAGAATTCGCTCCTGTCTACAAATGTTGACAACGAAAACTTGTAATGCGCAGTCGGCCACAAATACAAATATGTCCGGCATGGCAGAGGATGTCAGTGTGGCTTGTCTTGTCTTGTCGCAATACTATACACTGTGTAACTGTGGAACTTCCACTTTCTTCTGTGCATAACCAATGTGCACAGATTGGTACCAGAGGGGACCAGGGATGTGACTGAGGTACTTCCTATAGTTGCTAGTAGTTAATATCGATATCCCTTGATGATGATCTTCTTGTTCATCATCGGGGATTCTCCTTCAGGCTTTTGAATTCGACTTGCTGTATGTTTTTCTCTGGGTAAAAACAAACAGCGATGAGGGTTTTTACGGTGTCGAGGATTTTCATTTTTTCCTTTGCATTTGATGTTGTTTGCGGATAATATCAATGAATTCATTAACATGTTAAGCGAAGAGTACGATTAAGTACTTTTATGCAAAAAAAATCCATCAGATTTTCGCCCCGCTCTCCGACGATGACAAACAAACCTTCTGCAACTTGTCCCTCGCGAATCCTGTCCTGACCATCGGTATCAACTGCAGATATGTGCTGGTCTTGGTCTGGAAGAATGCAGGCATCTGTCATGATGCATTTTTATGGACCTGCAATAGAAGAAGGACGATTGGAATGCGCGAAGAGCATGACAAGATCGGCAAGCTTCATCAGGGCTAGCCTGGATCCAAAAAATTGCGTCTTCAAGGGGTAAAAAGTGCGGAATTTTTTTTGACTTCGCAAGACAGCTTTTTATTCAGTCTACTTCAGACTCTTCAGCATCGCATTCGCAAGTTGCCATGAGTTTCAGACCCAGATCGATCATGTTTGCAAAGTGCATAAGGAGCATGCTGGTCGTGTTCTTGCTGCAGGCTAGCAACGAGATCCGTTCCGCCCTTTCCCTCGGTCGCTGGGTGGCTCGCGTCTCCCAGCGAACCGAATACGCGCCTAGTGGGCTCGGACACCTGGATATGCAATACAAATTTACCGTACATTTACAAGATGCATCACAAATTTCTCCAATTTGGAGTGTGAAACTTGTCATGCCAAACTGGGATCGAAGCCAAGTTTTTCCATGCAGAGACGGCATTTGTAAGTGTACAGGAAATTTACAGTGCATACTGGAAGCGAGACCCGGGTGTTTGGTAATCGTGGGGTTGACAGACACGGTGCGCTACACCTATTCCTTTCTTATCTTTCTGCCGCAGATGCTATTACTCCTTTTCCTAACTTACGCATCGAAAAAGTACTAGTATTGTGCTAGGAAAAACTATCGTGTAGCAAATGAATAATGATCTTTTCAAGAAGAAAGTTGTAATTTGTCATGCAGATGGGCGTTCTTTTTTACTGATTTTAGTAGAAGGCCGCGGCCGCCCTGCCATCCTGCCGGTAGATCACCGATATCATGCAGATGAGCCAGGTCGTTTTCGTAATATGGGAACGCAGATTTGCATTTGTGATGCGCATGATTGCGATTAGTTGTACGAGTGCAAAAATTAGACTGGTACTTTTGCAGTGCATAGGACGATATCGGGTCTGGAATTTGTCGCCTCAACGAGCAGCCAAGAAATTCTGGATACGGTGGTGAGTTACTTCATCGTTACCCAGCTGCAAGAATTTCTCTACACGGTGTCCGTCACGCGCCGGCAGAAGGTCGAATTAAGTATGACATTCAAGTACCTGCCGGTGGAAGAGAGGAAGAAAGACCTATCCAGCTTCGCCACCGCATTTATACATGGCAGAAGTATCGCACTAGTAGTAACTGCATCATATTACAAAGAAGATGAAGAATGGATATGGAATTTGTAATGCTGCTGTATGTAATTCTAATTTGGAAGCCGAAGCTGTAGCCCGCCCCTGGTGGGAAGGGAAGTCGTGAGAGGGGCCTTGTGCCCAGATGCGCTACTAGAGGTAGACGCATCAAATCGCGCAAACTAAGCGGCAATACGCCGCTGCTCCTGGCGAGTGAAGAAGGGCGGCGCCCGCAATCCTGCGCGCGATCCCCCTACCCCTGGTGGCTGTTCTCTTGTTCTTGAAGAAGAGCCCCGCTCTGGAAGCGGGCGAGCCTTGCAGGCTCCTGGTGAGCAGGCGAGGCGCCTCGCCGTCTCTGTTGGGTGAGATGGTGGTGGGGTTTCGGCCGGCTTAACCTGAACAGCCCAGCGCCACACCCTGCCCGACCAGCCACTCCGAGGAAGGCCCTCGGGCGTGTTGCCGCGTCGTGTGCGAAGAGGCCCGGCATGGCGTGCCTCTCTCGGCCTTCGGCCGTATCAGTGGGCACGCTCGCACCGCCGTAAGCCCTAGCGCCCCACGCCGCGCGCAGCAGCTGGCGGCACTTCCCGGGGATGGACGGAAGCGGTGGGGCCTGCGCTATTCGGGAAAGCCTTGGCGGGCACCCCCAGCCCCCTGGCGGGGCCGGCGCCGCTCTTCTTGACGAAGGGCGCACAGCAGGGCTCTGCGCCCCTTGCACCGCTGGCGGGCAAACTGCACCCGCGCGCCGCACAGATAGCGTCCGGCCTAAAGTCAGACGACAATTAAGGGACGCGCCCAGGTAGCGCGAATCGGGATCCTTTCGCCGTAGTATAATCAATCTGTGTTGCCCACCTGGTGTGCGCCCTCTGATTGGTGCTACTATACGGAACGAGTGCAAGAGCCGGTCTGCCAAGGCCACAAACCTCCAGCACGCTGTTCTCCTCCAGCTCTCGCCACTTGATGTTGCGACTGCGTAGGAGGGTTACGTTTCGCCGGGCCTCCACAGCCTCGCTGTCCGGCGGGTTGCTGCAAGTATAGCAGGGCTAAAGAGCGGGCGCCGTGTCTGTTTGAAACAAGAGCGGATCAAATACAATACAAAAAGCCGAAGCTGTAGCACATGACTTTTGTGATGCGGAAGCAGAACACTTCATTGCATGATCAAAAACAGATGCATAAAGTACAAGTGCGATACTTTTGTATCTGGGATAGCATTTGAGGCGTGCCAATTTTTGTTGAATCCGGTCATCGTGTTTCTGATTTACTACGTTTTTCTCCCGAATATTTTGGGTAGATCGGAATTAGAGCTGGTGAGCTTTAATCGTGTCTGCGAGGATCATTACACGGAAGAATACTACGGCAACACGCGCGGGATCCGTTGGTACAGAATGTTTATGTTCTTCTCTGACGAAAACTTTAATTGGTTTTTTATATTTGCCGCCCCTTTCACAGTTGTCTTTGTGCTGGGGTTCATAGGTTTAGGGAGATAGAAGTAAGAACTGGGCTATTTGTATGGCTGACTGGTGTCGATTTCTTCACTAGTACCGCAGATATAAAAATTCTTCACATTCTCGGACCTACCTAGCAACCCTTTTAAAGCAGAGGCTTTTTATCGCTCACCTTGTAAGAAGCACGCGCGTCACTCTGATGCTTTTGTTTCCCTACCCGAAGGGGTGGTGGGGAGGATAGCGATTTTGGAAAGCTGGAGGTAGGAAAGCATAAAATGGCCGCACTGTGGTTTATTTTCAGGGCCGCTGCGCGATCCTTTTCAACATCTCGCAGAAGTACGGTAGAACAGCGAGAAATCAAGACTCGTCTGTTGCGCCGATTGTGTTGCGTCGCAGCTTGCGCTTTGTTTGTTCACGACACGATCTTGTACGTAATATGTCACAACTAAAGGGACGGATGCAACTACATGGTCATCTTCAAGATTGCAATCAATGGTGTCCTGGACGACCAGGAAGCGGTCGGTCGCCGTCGTGGTCCGGAAATGAAATTCAGGTCGCAGTGGAGAAATTTTCTGTAGCATAATTCTGGTAGGTCGGCAGCTGCCGTCAGGCGTCGGTCTGGAGTCCTCGCAGTTCGGTCGTATGGAGCAGTTCAAAAACATGAGGCTGTAGGAGGTTGTTCAACATCTTTCATCGGTGTTTACTTTAGTATAGAGAGGAAGTGGTCCACCAGAGGACTCACATATCGTGCTCCTGTGTAAGTAAGTAAGCCGCCGAATCTGCCATGAAGATCCAATGCCCGGATATTGAACAGGCTACTGGTCCTCGGATGACGTGCCTCATATTGTATGAATTTGTCTTTTACACATACGAATCTGATTCGTTGGAAATTGGGTAGAGCAGCCACAGACAGGAGTTGTGCTCTCCGCTGTATCAACATTTTTTCTTGTATCTAAATCTCAAACGCCCGCTATCAAGATGGCAATCGAGGAAGAGCAAAAGCTGCTAAGCGGCACTTCCGGAGGTGTTCCTGCAAAGAAAGCCACAAAGAATAAACCGAAAGCGCTTCATACCTGCGATCCAAGGGGATGCTTGTGTCGAACATTTTGTCCCTGCGTTGCGGTGTGGGCCTGGCAGGGGTGTGACTCAGGAGGTATGTTAGTAGATAAAATAAAAGCACTGTGACCTTTTGATCATTGATTTTTTCCAGCATGAGAATCTCGCCAATGATGACACGCAAACGCATTCATTTTTTCCTTGTCATCTCGTCCGGCAAGAAAAGAAAACCACCAGTCGTACCACCTAACCCTCATCGACATCGTTCAAACTTAAACTTTTCCAAAAAAAAAATCCCCTTCAACAGCCGACGTATCGCTCTCCTTTTTTTGCTGTGTTTGTTTTTACGCGCTTTTCTGCTGGCAGCCCCTGGAGCAGCAGAAAATCTTTCGATACGAGAAGGAAAAGCATTGTTGTGACAAGTGCTGCGTGTGCGATCCGAGAAATAAATCCTGCCGCAATTGGTGCAGCCCCTGCGCATTGTACGCGTGGCAGGGCATGGATTCCTGCGCGGACTGCTTTCTGGTGTTTATTTGCTGCTGCTACGGCTGCTGCTGTTGGCAGCCGAGAAAGGAACAGATAGTGTGGGATCGAGTCGTCGTAGGGTCACCGAAAAAGGCTGCAGCGGGAAGGGACAGCGGAACAACCTCGGAGGCCTTCGCTGGAGCGTACGGAGATATGTACTAAATCAGTTCATATTACTAGAAATAAAAAAAGACCAAGACGATTTTGTCAAGACGACGACCTTCATTCTTTTTCGTACTACGGCCGCCTCCGGTGCCGACGAATGAATAGTAGCGCACCAAACAAACTGTGTATGTGTAAGTGTATGTGTTGAGTCTCAGCCGCGTGAAGATGTTTCGCACTTTTTCACAGCCGTTTTTTGTAGATGTAGGTGTAGTTGTCATCTTCGTCTAGCCTGATGTTCGAGTCACGTGCGGATGGGTTTTCAATTTTCAATTATCATGCATGGCAGTACTTCCGTCTCTTCTTAAAGATGAAGCGCAGTAAAAGTATCTGTATGTAAATAGAGACAGACACGTTGATCGATTGCTACATCAGTCCCTTCCGATTTAGAAATTTTGACCTCCGCCTTGGATCTTTCCTGATAGATCGATCCACCCCGGAATAGTAATTTTGCAGCGCATGATAAGAACAAGAAGTTCGACATAACGCAAAGAACTTGTTGCACTGGACGTCTAGATGAGGATCGCGTCCTTTTCTGTTTCGAACCGCAATTTACAAGAGCAAAAACTTGGACCAGGAGCGCATAATTCATCGCAACGCATTCTGGTTCTTGATTGTCAAAGCGAAGTAGATGTTGAAGATGTACTTACTATCATGTTCCTCCAGTGGTGTTGATGAAAGAAAAATGCGAAAGCCCGATGCGACTGTAGCTGCAGTTTGTTGTTCCTGACGTCCAGTAGTATTTACTATACTGCGACTTCAAATCACTTCTACAATTGAAGAGATCGTGTAGCTGCACAAGCAACCACTCCGAGTTGTATTGCTGATGATGGCTGGTAATATTGAAAGTAGCAGATCGGATCATTTCGTTCTTTTCCAGATGGAGGAGGAGAGGCTCTTCCAGATTTTTTTTGCGAGCGTTGTATGCAAAGAAGCGCCCAGGAGCTGCAAGAGCCACCTGCGCCTTTATTACTTAGCTGGACGACCTTTTTCATCTCTACTAGCTGTGGAAGTACTTATCAAGTGCACCGCAAGAGGGAGAAGATGATGTGAAGAATGGAGACTGAAGACATAGGCTCTACTGCAACTTGTATTCGGATTTTTTTACAATAACTAGACGAATGGAATAAAAGATATCGATGGATGAAGATTGACCTGCCACCACCACTATTACCAGCGAAATCTAAATCTTGGGACACTATTTTTATGTGAAAGAACGTCAGTAGCTCCTACTATTTTTCATCAACTTTTTTCCAATACGACCTCATTGCACCAGGACAGCGAGTTGTATACTAGGTTTAGTTCTCCGCGCACAGAACTTCTTACTATGTGCCAGACATTAGAAGAGCAGAGGTCGTTTTTTTCATATAATATGATGGAAGAACGGCCGCAGCTACGGGATGGACCAGAGCCGGCACTTGATGCAGCAGCACTTCTATCGGATAATATTTTCACCAGACTTCTTCGAGAAGAAGACGAACGTCGGCATGAAGCTGTCGGCGCAAAAATTTTACCTTGTTTTGACTTTAAGACCAGTTCTGAAGGAGCTTAGGGACTAGCATATTAGACTACAGTGTATACTACACTTCACTCATTCTTTCTATCGGCATAAGAAGTAAAAATCGATTCGCGGCTACGCTTCTTGGGACACGAGGCGCGGCTGCCTCTGCCGCGGCTTCTCAACGCAGCGGCACGACGAGAAGCGGCATGAGCTCCGGTTTGGACGTTCTCGGGGAGCAGCAGAAATAATAGCGGTCGTAGTGGGGAACGGGAAGTAGAAGAAAACTACCAAATCCAAGGAAAAAACAGCACGTATTATACAACTTCTCACCGACGCCGTACCTTCGTAAATGAAATCGTGAATCGAATCCGCAGGCAAAGAACGAACACTTTGATCGCGCTTGTCTTCTTCTCGACGAGTCGCTTGAGCAGCCCTGTTCTTCATAGCCTAGTAGTCGAGGTGGGGATAATATTAATTTCTTTTGGTACCAGCAGGTCAGCATCATCTTTTCTGCTCCTGTCAACAAGAACACGAGCGACGCGGAGAAACAGTATTTGCAAACTAACGCCTACGCCGGCGGAGTGCTGCGCAATAGAATCAGTTCCGAGGCTAGTACTGTACAGGCAGCTGCTGCTTCCTTCGCGACAGTTCTACCATATACTGCGGCAAAAACTCGTCCTGTTGGTTTGTAGTCAGAGTACCGCCCAGCAGCATTTTTACTCTTAGCCCAGTAAACAGCTGGTGCTGGTCCACCATAATTTCCAGAGGACGACGAGCGACGCAGACCACAGTAGAACAAGATGCAGAACGCATTAGACCGCGCGTCGCCGCTCGTCGGCCCGGCGGAGCTGGAGAGGCGGCGGAAGATTCGGGTAGACATCGAGGAACTGCTGAACCAGTGGATCCGCTCGCCCAACGTAACGGGCAACGTGAACGCGCCGCGGGGGAAAGTGATGACCATTGGGTCGTCGACCCTGGAACTGATGACGGAAGAGTCGGATATCGACCTGGTGTGCTTCCTTCCCTATCTCGGACCGCACCAACACTTGCAGATAAACGGGCCGGACCCGGTACTAATGTGATTGATGAAAATCAAAATTATACATGAAAGGTGACCAGGTGAGTGTTAATAGTGATAGTGATACTACCCGTCGCGAATTTCGCAAAAATAATGATAAAACCTTTCTGTAGTTGAACTTGAAACCAAATCCAAAGCCAAACGACCACTCGCGACATTGAAAAAATAAACAGACCACCGGGGAATTGAACCGGTCCCCTTTACGCGAGATGTGGCTGGAGGACTTTGGCAAGATGCTGCAAAAGCACGAGGAGGTGAAGGATTTTGTCAAGCTGGACTCCACCGCGAACGCAACGCTGTGTTGCCGGTTCCGCGGCGTGGATTTGGACATTTTACTCTGCTGCTTACCCAACTTGAACAACCCACGGGGGATTCCAGAAGACTTTCTGGAATTGAACGAATCCGAGTCCAATTTTTATTAACTGCAAATATATCTGGGTCTGGAAACTTGTGATGCAAGGAACGGAATAGTGAGCACACAGTAATGAGCTGCCTAGCATGACAAGTTTTTCCGCGGTTCTGAGTTGCGCACTTCGCATGAGAAACTGCATTTTTGCATGAGAGATAAGAGGAGCTTTCGCGGCCACGAAATACAGATTTCAGAGTCATACCAGACTAGCATGACAAATATCGCAATCTTCTAGACCCAGACACTTTTGCAATGCATAATTTTACCACCTTCACGAACGACGACGTCCTGGCGGACCTGGACGAGCCGAGTCAACGGTCCGTAAACGGGGTGCGGGTCGCGCGCTTACTGTTGACCGACAGGTCCTTGGTGTCCGATGTGACGTTGTTCAAGAAGGTGCTCAGGTTCGTAAAAGCCTGGGCCAAAGCCCGGGGCATTTACAACAACATCAGCGGCTATTTCGGCGGAATCACCTGGGCCCTCTGCGTCGCGAAGGTATAGTACGTAGTCTAGTTTTGGTGACAGACAACTGTACGTATGTATTTGTTTATTTCGCATCATGACCACATGAAGCATGCACGACACTTTGCGCACGGGTGCTGCTGGCCCTGCTGCTATAAATACATAGAATTTTGATTTTCATACACCACAGGCCATGATGGAACGGCCCCTGATAAAAGACCCGGAGCAGATGGTGATGGCCTTTTTCGAATTCTTCTCGGAATTCGAGTGGCAAGAAAAGGACGTCACACTTCGGGTCCACAGTGAGCCTTCTTGTCAGGACATAACGCTGAAACAGCGAGCGACCAGCGACAATGTGTGGCGACCAAGAGCCGAAGGGGAAGTGAAGCTAGACGTCATGAGCGTGGTACTATATTTTTTGCAGCCCCTTCATCTAAACAGAAGCAAATGCAAACCTGCTAAAGTATCCTTATCCCGGCCGCCGTGCTGCGCTCTACGTCTACATGTACAGCAGAAGCAGCGCTCAACTAGATGATAAATGAAGAAGACCACCTCAAGAAAAAAAGCATACTTTATCTTTATCAACGGCATGGATGGTCGCAGCGCTTATTTCGACTTGATTCGCAACCGCAAAGAAATTCTACTACTTTACCAGGTGACCCCGTGCTATCCGCCGATATCCCACGAAAAAATTGTTTCACTGTGATGATTTTGCAAGAACCGCATCACAAGTTTGCTCCACATGACACAGAAAATTTGCCATGCGCGTTCCCCAAGAGGGAATACCCTTGAAAATCCAACGCCTTGTAGGTGTAGCAAGACAAATAGTTCTGTGGTCCATTGTCTGCATCACAAGTTCACAGTGAAACAGTTTTTTCTTGCGATAGCCGATGAATAGTTGCCACAACGCGAACGGAGAAACTTTGCTCACCATCGATGAGTATGCATTGCAAAAGTATCGTACTCGTATAAATGCATTACAAATTTCCTCAGCGTGAGAAATAAGGTTAAGGTTTGTAATGCGGATTTGACTTGACAAGAAAATTTGTAATGCATGATTGCAATACGAGTGCGATACTTCTGCAATGCATAATGAGCAGTTTTTCCGGTCAGCGGGGCTCGTGAAGAGAATACGGGAAACGGAAATAAGCAGTGCTGGGGGTGCAGCAGAGCAGAGTCAGACCGCAACGGACAAAATTTGGGACGAGTTTTTCGAACCCTATCCCTTCTTCACGGCGTACCACCACTACGTAAGAATATCCGTGGATACCTTGGAGGACAATAGGGAAAAATTTTGCCGCCTGAAAGGTATTCTTTCATTTATACAACTTGAACTTCCGCCGGAGAGGACTCTGGGATTTAGTAGTTACTTACTTGCACCCTTTAGAAATAGTACCCACGACCTTTGTGGTCAACGTCAACGTCATCTGTTGGTGGTATAACTTGTTTGTTTTGGTTCTCGTAGTAGTACCTACAGCCTGTGCCTGTCCTTGATCATGCCGTCCACGAAGGATCGTTCCGTCGTAGTCTTGTTTCGTCTTTACGAATGTGATGTGAAAAATACGACCCAGGTTCCGTGGAGGCAAAGCTGAAATCGCTCGTGGAAAAGCTGAAATCGCTCGTTTTTTCTTCTGAAGGTCACGCCTTCAGAAGGTTTTTTTTGACCTTCAGAAGAAAAAAATGGAAAATGAGCAAAAAAACCTTCAGAAGGTGAAAAGTGACCGTTTTGAAATCTTCTGAAGGTTAAAAAGCTTCAGAAGGTCGCATTTTTTTGACCTTCAGAAGACTTCCCGACTTTCTCGACAAAAGAAAGCTGCAAAGTGTCGCGATTTTGGCCAACCTTCAGAAGACTGAAAACCTTCAGAAGGTTTTTCAAATCTTTCTCCAATGCGGCAACTTTATGCTTGCGCTTTTTCGTATTCTTCAGAAGCTTCGACCTTCTGGAGGTCATCTTCTGTAGCTTCTTCTGAAGACTCAAAAGCTTCTGAAGAGTCTGCAGCTAGTCTGCTAAAACGTCAAACATTCCGACAAGCGCTGGCGCGCGCTGTCTTCCTGCTCGCCTACAAGGCGCTGCTGCTGTTTGTGTCGCCCTGGGTCTGTGCTGCTTTCTGCATCTGAAAGGCATTTTTTCGCCTGTGGTAAATGCCCTGCCCTGGACGAGAAGTCGGATTTTCTTTTTCTCTTTTTTGCTTCATGTTGGCATTTAAGTGACTGCTGCCTGGAGCTTGGTTAGTGAGACAGGGCGCGGACGACGTCCACTATGACTACCTGTTCCCGTTTTCACTAACCATGCAGAAAGCACCTGCAGACAATAGCTTCAAATTTGGCCCAGCAGCAATTCAAATCAGCCTTACCCCGCGACGCAGTCGCGGGGAGTGGTTCTTACTTACTTCCACCCTTTAGAAATAGTACTCCATTTGTGATTTCACACTTCAAACCACTAGATTTAGGTCATATTTGGGTACAACTTTTTTGTTTTACTTCTCGGATTTGTACAGCCTGTCCTTGATGATCTTGATGCCGTCCACGAAGGCCGTTCCTCAGTGCGGCCGTGGTATTGTTTCGCTCTCGTCTTTACGTCGAACCATGTGAAATAAAGATACATTTATTCCAATAAAAAAAAGAATTACGCCTGACCCAGGTTCCGTGGAGGCGAAGTTGAAATCGCTCGTGGAAAAGCTGGCCGCGTACCACGAGGACTACATGCGCGCCCACCTGTATGGAACTGTCAGGATTGAAATTGACAAAGTTGAAAAATTTGTGATGCATAAAATCGATACCATTTGGAAGCCCAATTTATTCTAAGCGGTGCATGACAAATTTCGGCACCGTCGAAATCCAGTTTGTCATGCTGTTTAGCGAAAGAAGGCATCCCTTGTCATGCTACTTTAGCAGCTCTATCAGAAACCCAAAACAGGCTCACAATCGGCCTCACTTGCAATCCCTGCAAGACAGTCACTTCGTGCCTTGCAGTCTATGCATCACAGACTACTTCAGCTTTGTCGATTTCAACAATCCTGACGCATCCATAACCTGTATCCGCACAATGTGGCGGACCCGCGCGCCAACGAGGCCACCTGGTTCATCGGGATCGAGTTCGAGCAGGGCACGAGCGGGCAGCATCTGGACATCCGGCACCCCGTCGCGGAGTGGGTCAATACCGTCGCCTTTGAGTCCAGACGGGACGGCAGGATACACATCGCACTGCACGTGCAAGAGGAAACGACAAAATTTAGGTATACTTTACAACAGATAAAGGTGTACGTGATGAAAAATCATACACAAATCAAAAAGAAAAAGTACTATCTAGATACGCTTCCGTGGCTAGAAGTTGTATTTGTCTGCATATATCAAAGACCACATTCGATTTTTTGGTGGATCATCCACTTCTACATCACAAGTATACAACAACTTCCCAGGCGAAAGTCCGGCGAAGGCCCGGCAATAGCGAAGCCGAACCTGAGTCCCTCCAGCTCTTCCAAAGACGGCAGCAGCACGGCCCAACCCACGCTGTCAGCCAGGTCAAATAGCGCAGCAGCAGCAGCTGCTGCTGCAAACGGGGGCCCACCAGGAGGTCCTGGACCACAGTTGCAGCAAGGTGGGAGCAGTAGCAGCAGTAGTAGTGCTGCTGGACGAGGAGGTGGACCTCCTTCTTCACATCAAGCGACGTCGCAGAGTAATTATACTTCTGTCGCAAACGGAACAGCAACAGCCACCTCTGCAGGAACTACTACCGCTGGCTCTACCACTTCTAGCACAGGACTACAACAAGCTGGAGGTGGTAAAAATTATATGAGAAAGAACAGCGACAATTTTCTAGTGGACGCCAACGGCTTCAGTCTGGTACCACAACAGGGTGCTGGTACAGCTACTAGCGCGGGGATAGGAACTTCTGGGTCAATACCTCCTCCGGGAGGAGCCGCAGGAGGAAATAGTACAAAAATAACGAGGACCACCATGAATAATTCCACCGCATCAACATCAAAAGGAAGCGCACCTCCCATTAATTCCGGAGCTGGCGGTACCACAATACTAACTTCAACTACGTCCGGCGAGCCGCCACCGGGTGGAAGTTCTACTACTTCCAAAGGGTCAACGGCTCCTGGAGCCATGAAAATAAACGGTGCCGGTATTATTTCAACTAGCGGGAAAGGAGGAAAGCCTCCTGCGGGAGCTCCACACGGAATAGTGTTGAATGCTGCTTCGAACGGCACAACATCGACCTCGAAGTCGAACGGCACCACAGCAGCATCTAACTCTAGTGCCGCCCCGGTCAAGATACTCGCCACCTCTGGGCCGCCCGGCGCTGGTGGTCTCTCGAGTTCTGGTGACGTATCCCACTGAAAAATAAAGCAGGCTGCAGGGCATTCATTTGTACTGCAAAAACATATTATAAAGGTAATTTTGATTCAACTAACACACGGAACTGCCTGCATTACCATTAGTATTGCATTCCCTACGCATAATTGTTCCCTAGGTACTTGCTCCCCAAGTACACTGTGGGTTCGCGTTCGCCCATGGCAGAAAAATTTTCTATGTATTCATATTGGCATGTGGCAAAGATGCCCCGCCGGCTTTTTTCTGTGTGATATGACGCGGATGGTACCTCCCAAATGAAACCGCCTTTGGGGAACCCGCTGCTCATGAAGCGCGCTGGGAGTGAGCAGGAAATAGACCCGGAAACGGCGAAAAAACGACCTAAATGAGGAGGAGCTGGAGCTGTTGTCAGCATGGTAGGGGGAGAGTTTTTCGTTGAATTTTAAAGATTAAGCAAAAAACTAGGTTTCGCCGTTCTATAGTTCATTTCTTGTCCCGGAAAAATCTTGTAGAGCTTGTTTGTTGAGTTGACAGTTTTTGAGCAAAAATCAGAACCAAATCTTGTTCAATTGTTATTTAGCACATAGTATAGCGAATAAGTGTACTATTCTAGCGACACTTCTAACTTTTCAACAATGACATTGTCCCTAGGCCGTTTGAGATGAAATTATAGGTCGCTACGTGTACAACGAGACCGAGAGTACTCCAATCTTTTCCCGCACCTCCCCAGTCTACTTTCTCCGCACGATAGTGCGACCGCTTGGAATACCCCCTGCGTCGCCTGTAGGAGCCTCTACTGGCGAAGTGTAGTACCTTCGTAGAGGATGGCGTCCTCCTCTTTTACCTGGTTATCCAGCACTTTTACCTGAAATATATCCTAAGAATAAGTATGTACCCACCTCCAACGCACGACTTTTTTCTACCCATACCCGTCATGGAAGCAGGACATACAGAGAAAGAACCGGCAAAATATTCTTCACCGTTCAACAAGTGCCTTCCGACCCAGTAACGACGATGTCTGAGGTATGAACGACAACTGCCCTCAGAGCGACCTACTCACTTAGGGAAAAGAAAATCGCAAAACTTTGAGCAGCCGGCCACAAGAATATTATATATATCTTCAATCGTAGCTTTTATCAAGTTTAGTATCACAATACAACGACCGGAAGTTGTAAGGTGGTCGGTCGTTCGTATATACCACAACTGGTGTAGGTGATGACAATTTGCTAAAATAGATCAAAAAAAAAAGTCGCAGCTTTTACTTGAGTCCAAAAATCTAAGTCGACGTTTGCTGAAATCACATCAGGCGCCATTAATCAACATTCAAGCGAAATATTGTTACCTTTACGTTGATTTAGTTCATCAATATGCCACCTCTACTCCCTGTGCAGGATGATGGAGTTACTCTTTTTGTTTTTCGAAAAGCAAAAAAGAAAAAAAATCTTTTTGTTCATGATGGGCGTTCCAGTCTGTTGTCGTTGTTTTTTTTTCGTGGGCCACACATGACATAGGTAGCTAGATATTATGTATTGTATGCCCGAAGCAGGCACTCGCTCTCGGTTTGTGAAGAAGCTGAAGTTTTCATGTAGTCGATTTTTGATAAAGAAACTTTCACAGGTCTACTCTGAAGGTCTTGGCGCAAAGAAGTCGAGGCGCCTCTTGCATGTTGCGTATCGTGCTTATCCGTTCGTTTCTCGTTATTTGGGATTTCGTTTCGTGTTGCTGGTACTTACTTGCATTCTTTTTGTGTATTATCGTACAAATTTGTCGCCGTGCTTTTGCTTTACTTCGTTCTGGATGTCCTCGTGCATTAGGTCAACATCTTCATGTCGTTGGATCAATATCGAGCTGTCCTCATTCGTCCTCCTCGCACCTAGGATGGAGCTCACCGAACTCGTCGTGTGTCTATCGCATAGACACACGCAGTTCGGTAGACCGGTTTTTGGGTAGCGTCAGTCGTGTGTCTACCGGTTGGTGCTGGCGATGTGCCTCATCGCACCATCGCACCAACTGGGTCGCCACAACCGCACCAACTGGGTCGCCACAACCGCACCACCGAACAGTCAGTCGTGTGTCTATCGCCACAACACCGCACCATACCGGTAGGCACCGTCTGTGCCACTGGTTCAGCCGGAACCCCTGCTGGTTGATGCACCTCTGTGCGCACTCTGGCAGGCTAGTAAGGATCTAGGATGTGAGGCTGTGAACGGGGTGGGCTTTGCATGCTTGGATCTGCTTATGCTGACGTACTCTGCCAACGAGCAACTACATACGTTTGCGCATGATATAGATGAAGATGAACTGCTTGCATTTATGAGGACGATTGGACACCACACCAGCCGAGCATAGTTGCAGCCACCTCTGTGGCGCGTGGATTAGTTAGGAGCTGCGCGGCCTAGGTGCATACGACATCGGGCCCCGATCTCTGTCCCCGGTGATGTGGCGCAATGCGACGAGACAGGACAGCCGGCGCCGGCGGGCCACCCTGTAGACGCGACAAAGCCGGCGGGATACGCGTGGCGGACAAGGAGCCACAGGGCGGCGACTTCGGATGGAGGTTTGGGCCACGCGATCCCCGACTTGTTGCAGCCTCTGTTGCACCCGGCGCTGTTACCTCTCTGTGCAGTGCTGGAGCACAGTTCGACCCACGTCTGTGGGCGGAGAAGTGCGACGTCCCGCAGCCACCTCTGTGGCGCGGGCGTTGCGGTGCGGTCCCTGTTGCGCGCCCCGCGACTGTATTTAGTTGCACATAGGACGCTGCGAAGCAGCGCAGATGCACTTTGATACAGATCCGGAGTCCGCCATTGTGAAGGGTGTGACCTTGTGAAACATACGAACGAAGGAAGAAAGCGGCGAGCCCTTGGGGCGCCAGCGCTCTGGGGATTTGGGAAGGAGTTTGTGTTCGCGCCACAATAAGCAAAATGCTACCCAAATCAAATAATGGATCAGGTACCAACAGGGCGGATGGTGCTCACCGAACTCGTCGTGTGTCTATCGCGTATTCCGTACAAGTAATCCGACAAGCAGAGGCAGCGCTAAGTAATCCGACAAGCAGATCAGCAAGAACCTCGAGGTGAAGGCCGCAAGAGAGGAAACGGGCTAAGTTGCAATGGAACTGCACTAGCGTGAGCGGCGGAGCTGAGCGGCCAGGAACGGTAGAGACCCACGGTGGAAGAGGCTCGCCTAGTACTGCCGGGACAAGGGCACAGCGAGGAAAGGTAGAGTCCCAGAGAGACTCCCTAGTACCGCATGGACAAGGGCACAGCGAAGAACGGCAGAGTCCCAAAGAGAGACTCCTTAGTAACGCAGGGAGGACGCCATCTTTCTGTACAGGATTTTGACAGGATTTGGGACAATCCTGAGCGAGCGCAGGGAGGAAAAAACTAGACTTGACTAGGAGAAGTAGGACAAGTGAAAAAGTAAGTTTGTAGTCTTTGTTAGAAGTAGGAAAAGAAAAAGCGTTTTTGCTGCTCCCTTTATTAGAAATTTCAAGAAAATGAACGGTCTTCGAAACCTCCTCTCTTCAGAACTAGTGGGCAATAAAGTGGGCAATAAAAGTGGGCAATAAAGTGCCCGGAGGTGGTGAACCAGAGCTCAAGGTGGGCAATAAAGTGCCCGGAGTGCTCTGCAGAACTAGTAGACGTGAAGCAGCGCGTGCACAAGGGCGGCGGCTTCTCGGAGGAATACGAAAAAGTAGTGAGTGCAGAAATGCAGGCGATTACAGGAATGAGGCTAGTAACATCAGGATACTCGCACAACCGACCCCCCATCTACAACAACAACATCGGCGTGGCAACGTGGAACATGCAGAGCGCAGGCCCAACAGATGCAGCGCAGTGCACCTAGGATGGTGCTCACCGAACTCGTCGTGTGTCTGAAGCTCACCTAGGATGAAGCTCCCCAACCAGCAAGACAAGACCAAGTCTGCCGACGCGTCTAGTGCAGTTCCTGCATCCTCTGCACTGTTTTCCAGAGTTGAGAGTCCGCAGCACCATGGACGAGATCACGTCAAACCGGAAGGCGGAGTTGCGCAACGGTCTCTGTCTGTTACCAGAGGAGCGGACAGGACCGGTCGTGGTAGGGTTGTTCTGAATTGCGACACATTGTGCTGCAACCGCAATGAAAAAGCGCGACTACACTTTGCTACAGAGCAACATGAAAATCCAACCATTCTGCAACAAACTACTACCCTCAGGTACTGCCCCCCCCAATACCAGCAGCGCCAGCAACCGATCTGCATCCGGGAGGCCGATGCAGAAATTTGTCAAAGGACCGGGACATCAGGACGTCGTGGCATCCTCCAAGGGACCAGTGCTAATAGCCTCATCCGAGAAACCAACGACGTCGGAGATCAACAGGCAAACGACGCAGTTATTGCAACCCGAATAGGGAGTTCGAAGCGTGCTCCCACATGGTTGGCGGCTTTTCTGCAGCAGCTCATGCTCATCGCAAGAGGGCCGGGAGAATGTGAAACGCTCCAGGCCTGCTTTCGCAGGTTCGTCCAGATCAACGAGACAAACTGCGCCAACCCCTTTGGGCACGCTCGGGTCGACGCGTGCCTGGTTAGTGAAGTGTTTTATGACAAGGCACTTGACGAGGGCGGCAAGATAGGCGCGGTCAAGCGACAGCGTCATGAGGACTATGAGGTCTTTTTTGTCAATGGCGCTGCTGTAGTGGTGTATAACAAGGTCTGGCTGGCCGATATAAGGCGGGGCCGCTACGACTTTTGGTGTTCCGACCGTGTCCTGGTTTTGCGGCTTCCGCGGCTGTCCTTGTCGGCCGCTTATGCGCCAACCCTTGAGCGCGGCAAGGAGATTAACGCGGAAAACTGGGCACGATTCGAACCCAACTGGGCTACGGGTCTGGAATTTGGCAAAACTGTGACGAAGAAAAACAGGCGGTGTGGTGCTATCCCACTCGGAGACCGACCGCTTTTCGCGTATGCGGATAATGTCGGGTGCATAGGCGCCCCGGCGTCGAGAAGGCGAATGGGCTACGAGGGAAGGTGCGCAGGGCCCTTTGGGCTCGACGACACGAACTCGCGGGCGTTACACACCTAGGATGGTGCTCACCGAACTCGTCGCGTGTCTATCGCGTATTCCGTATTTTTCCTTCTGCTGTATGTTATTGTAGGCGGATAGTGAATAGATACTTTACTACTGCTAATCAAAACAAAAACAATTGTACTCCATCCTCTCAAAAACCAACGAACACGACGACAGGACTCCTTTCGGTGATAAGTAAGTAGCCATACATTTTTACTGCGTAATATTTATTAAGAGCCCGCTCCTTCTGACTTGGCGCAAAAATGACGGGCGGTACAAGAACCTCCCGGAGGCCGTGCATTGCACTCGGGCTCCTGGTGCCAGCCGCAAGTGCATCACTCACAACCGGAGATCTTCACTCTCGCGAAGATCTAGGACATTATAGACAAGGGTTAAGAACCTGGCATGATGCCAGCGTTGTTGACGGGGCCGCTAAGTACACGGTTGCCACGAGTAGAGCAAGAGGCATCTGCTCAAGAAGTTGCGGCGTTGGCTAGCCGGGACAGCACTTGGCATTTAGCCACAACACCCCTGTTCGATGAAGTAGATCATGGAATAAACAGAGAAAGCTTGTTCGCACAGCAGATTGCGACCTTACCGGGCACCTCCAGTGGCCTCGCTCCTCTCGTAGAAGTAGAAGATGCGGGGCACCAGCTCGGGGGGACGCAGCCGCGGATCGCCGAAGTGTACACCTTTGGCGCGCCTAAAATCACACATGACAAAAACTGGCTGTCGGATGCCATTCCTGAAAACGCGCCACTACCAGGTCTACGCGTGTGGACGGAGCAGTGCGGGGCCGCAATTGCGCCCGGCTTATTTGGGGAACCGTCCGCCCGCGGCTCTTCCGCGGGGCACTGCGTCGAGCCGCACGACTTGGATTTCGGGGCGCAGTCCAGCTTCCTAGTGGGCGACTGGTACCACCCAAAAACCATGGACGCGCTTCAGCTCGCGCTGGCCAATCCGGTGCATGGGGGCATCACCGGCGGCGACTGGGGCGAGGTGTACGAAAAAATCGTGGAGCAACAGCTGCCGCTTGCGGATCTGGTTCCCGCCACAAACTACCTGGTGTCCACTGGGGAAGCAGCCGATGTACAACTCGCCGTGCTACCATCCGCCGAACAAACGCAGCCCGACTTGATGTACATGAACAAACGCAGCCCCATGAACAACCCGTACCTGCACATGGAGCCGGCGTATGTTACAGGGTTGCTGCGGGCCGCTGGCGCAGCTGGCATATCCGTCGCGACCGCGAAGGATCTGGAGCAAGCACACCGGGTGGAGCCGACCCAGGCGTACACGCATCTGGTGTTCCCGCAAGAGGGGCGCGACCAGGCGCTCATGTACCCGACGCAGGTTGGCGGAGAGGGCCGTGGGCCGGGCGGCCTGATGAAAACGGTTCTCGATCCCGGCCACATCTATTTCCGGGTCCGGCCCATCGCGCGCGTGTCCGTGGCGACGCGCGATGCCCTGACCGACGCGCTTTTGGACGAAGACATCGTCGCGCTCTTCCAAGACACCGCGACCCGGCGCTGCGTGCTCGTTCTGTCCCCGACGAACAGCGTGGATGAGTTGGTGTCTGCAAACGCGCTGGAAAGCACGCCGAAGGGCCAGTGGTGCGGGGCGCTGAAGCAGGTGCACTCGGGCTACGCGGACAAGGCGAGCGTAGCGCTTCGGTGCGGACTACCCCCGATGGCCAACGCGCTGGCAACCTGCTCCGAGCTGGACTTCGCGGGTTATTCCCTCGGCGGAGCCGCCGCGACCCTCCTCTTCGCCTGCGCGCAGCACTATGTTCAGATGTACAGTGCAGCACCGAACTACAACTACCCGGGAGATGATGTAAAAAGCGTCGACGGGAACCTCGCGAAACTGGACGAGCTGCTGCGTTTCCGCTCGGCGGAATTATCGTCTCCGGCGCCGGGGGGTGCACGGCAGAGTGGATTCCTGTTCCCCGCACTGAAGCAAAGTGACCAGGGACATGTTGTGCATCTTCTGAAGAGCTTGAGCAGCGAAGAGAGACTGGCGAGCTGCGATGCACAGCTGCACATTGCGGAGCTGCGCAACCAACCGGCGAGCCACCGGGCGAACATCGACATTGTTGCGCAGTGAAAGATGAAGGAAGTAAGCCGCTGCAGTGAAATTATACCAAAAACGCAAGCTTTCGGTAATGAGAGCAGCGTCGATCATCGATGTAGGGTAGAAGATGCGCAGCTTAGTGAGCCCGCAGAGAAAGATAGACCCTGAGACATGGACACTCGCTGCCATAGAGTCGACCGCTTTGCCGACTGGCTAGCGCTTTACTTGTCCCCAGTGTAGGTATGACTGTGAGCGCACTTGTTCTCCGGTTTATCGGTTTGTGAAGAAATTTTCACGGGTCCTGGCACCCGCCCTCGTTCCTGATTTGGGTCCGCGGATGTTGACATGGCGCGGCATTATGAGTCTTCATCGTCCACCAGCTTGCTCGTCACTGCTTGCCAAATGTGTTCGGTTGAATATCTGCGTCCCAAATCCAAAACAGTTTCGGTTGCTTCGGTGTGTAGCATGAACTAAAGCCACGATGGTCGGTCACTGTCTCTTTGACTTTCTCGTTTTGTGGAGCCGTAGCACTGCGGTGTACTAATAATTGAAATAATTTCTGTCTTGAAGATTTTTACCGTACTCCTTTTCGTGCGACTTTATTCCATTTTCTATGAATAAGTGTTTCGGTTCGTACTCGTTTACGTGTCTGACATTTTCGGTCGTGCTTCGAGTCATACGTATGCTGCCTCGTGCATATTTACGTACGTCCACCTGTCGCTCGTTTCAAAGCGTATAATTTCGCACGTCAATATTTATTTTTGAAATTGAAGATTACAACAACTTGCGTCTTTTCTCATCATTCACAGCAGGGAGAGCCTCCCGTTGCATTCGTTCAGAAAAAGTACTTATCGACCCCAAAAGTAACGTTTCTTTATGTTTTTCTCTGCACGCAGTAAACTATTTTCATTTTGTTTGACGACCCGCAAGATTTTGACTTTTCCTGGCTTGTAGTGTTTTACCACTAGTATCACATTCACAGTGCAACGACAACTCCGTTTATCTTCTCATCAACTCAGTTTCAGCGATCGTCGCAGCTCTCATGAATCACACGACAACGAAAATGCGGCGCTTTTTATTCGTGGAAAAAGAAAGGCGACGTCGTGGAAAACTCCGCCAAGTGTCGTGAGCAGGCGTGGTACAACTTGTTGACGTCGTCGTCGTGGTGCCGGGTGGTCGTTTTCGGGAAGGACCTTCCTCCGGCGCTGGGCATCGCTAGCAGAAATCGAATAGTAGATAGTTCCAAGTCCTCACAGTGCTTAGGGGAGAACTACTCTGCTTTTTACACAAGATAACCAAGAACTACCCTATACCAAAGCAGTCCGTGTGCGTGAAGAAGTAGATCCGGCGCAGAATAGAACTTCGAGGACCAGCACGACCACTATGTCGCCTCGTGGGGAGCGCACTGCGGCTGCGGGTGGTTCGGCCAATTTTACCTACGGGTCTGTAAAAGTTGGTGGGTCCAGGTCCTCCAGGGCGAGCGGTTCCGGACAGCACCAGAAGCGGCCGGAGGGCTCGGCGAACCAGGCCACCCCCTCGTCCCTTTCTGCGCAGGGCAGCGGGATCATGCGGAGCGGCGTCGTCGGCTCCGCCGCGGCCCGTGACAGCGTCGATGCCGGCGCCGGCTGCTGCCCCTGCTTGTGCGGGGGCGCATCGGTGCCGTCGAAGAAGGACGAGCTGGCGCGGCTGGTATGGATTGCAAATATGTCTGGGTCTGGAAGAGTTGAACTCGTAATGCTGTGCGTGGATTCTAAAAATATCTGTGTTGCATGAGCAGCAAGAGGAGTCACCTCTTGGCACGCGGAGAAGTCATTTCTCATGCGTAATCAGCATCAAGAAGCTCTCAAAAAATCTGTAATGCTAGCACCAGCATCACAGACCTCACGGGCCATGCAAAATGTGCATGACAAGCCCCGACTCTTCCAGACCCAGACATTTTTGCAGTTGATAGCTGGCGGCCATGAACACTTCGCGGGTGGGCGCGCCCGTCGCGGCGGTGAAACAGTCCTACTCCGCCATGCCGGTGGGGCAAGCGGCGCCGCAGGTGGGGTCGGGGAGCGTGATTGCCTACCCCAACGCGGCGGAGCTGGCCACCCCAAACAAACAACCGGGAAGCGCGCCGGGGTCCGCCGCCGCCAACGCAGGAGGAGGTCCGAGTAGCACCAATCCGGGCAGTGGGCCGGTCTTCATCAACAAGGACCCGCCCAAGGGGGCGACGCCGGGATCGCCGCACACCTCCGCGTTCCCCAACTCCGTGGCGACGTCGAACAAGCAGCCGAACAGCAATTACGTGATGCCGTCGAACTACTCGCCGCCGCAGTCTTCGGTGAAATCCGGCGATTCGTTTTTGTCCCTCTCGTCTAAGAACAACGCCCCGCCCACGGTCTACCAGCCCGTGGCGTTCCCCGGCCACGAGGAAAATCGGGAGTCCGAGGGGAGCCGCGAGTTCCCGCGGTCGGACCTGTTCGACCCGGGGAGCCAGATCAAGGGGCCAGGCAGCATGGCCGCGCAGCCCTCCTCCACCCGGGAGGCGGCCAACGAGATGAAAAAGAGCCAGATCATGCTCAAGGCCCAGCCGAGCGGCTTGCCCGCCGGGGGCGCGGCGGCGAATAAATCCGTGGGAGGCGGGGGGGCGCAGACGCAGCCGAGCTCCAATTTTAAGCAGGAGGACTTTCTGACCACAACGGAGGAGGACAGCGACGACTGAGCAGGTGTTGGGAGGTCTTGTTCTGTTGTCACACATTTATCATTGTCGATACGAGGAAGACCTTGTGATGAACACTGTCAACCGGAAAGAGATGAAGATGAGGATGAAGTACATCAGGCAAGCGGGTGCAGTCTACAGAAGAAGCTGTTTTTTTTTTTTGCACACAATTAACATTTTTGTTTTCAATTCTAGAATAATATCGGATTTATTTCTAGTGCAGACCCCATACTAATCCAAAGAGCATCTGTATCCCAATGCGTCTCCTGAAATAAAGTCTCAGTCCATGTTTGACTCCTTCCTGAAAAGAATTAACATTTTGTCCTTTCGCATTTTATTTCATGAAGGAAAACGAAAAGGCATTCTGTTCTCATTAAAGAAATAAATATTCTTCACGATCTCCCACCCCAACGAGAAAACCAAGCATAGTAATGCAACAAGTAATTTTTTCTTTAGACCCTGGGCGAGACTATGACTAAAGATCACTTAAGTAGAAACATTCGTGTCCTCCGCGAAGACTTCTAACGCCGGGGAAACTACCATACTTGTGTTGAAGCATGCTATACTGTTCACGACACGACAACGGGCCAGCAACGCAGTGCGGCGTTAGTCCTTTCTTTTCAAACCAAACAAGGCTTTGCCAAAGATTGGATATAATCGGTTTCGTCTCTATATCGCTTCGTCCAACTCCCCTACAGCTTTCTTTCCATCGTCCAGCCAGTTTGTTTCGATCGGTACAAGTTAGTTTCTCGAGATTTTCGGTTTTGATGAAATTAGCATGCCTCTTCAAACCGGCCTGAGCCTGAGGGTGAGTCTCTCTCTAAACCTGCACATACTGCGTTTCAGCTTTAAATACTATAGTATACTATTTCGTACACGTGCCGCTTTTGGTTTGCGTTTGTCCCGGCTCGGTTATCGTTGATGCGAAGTGGTGGAACGTAACTATCGTATGCCAGTGTTTACAAAAATCGGTTATCGTGCCGTGCGCACTTTCGTTCAGTTTTCGTTGATATCGTCTTGCGTGTTGCATTTGACAACAGTGTAGTGATACTTTTCATGATGATTTTCCTTTTCCACCGATAATTACACTGCAGCTAGTTGTACCCTCTTGCAAAATTATGTAGTTTTTACTTCGCTGAAAGAACGTGAGGACCACCCGCCGCACGATGTTTCTTCGTCCTTTTTTAAGTAAGTACTTGTTAATAGCCAGACTGAATTTACTTGGAGCCGCTCGAAAGAGAAAGTAGAAGTACAACAACGTCGTAGCAGTAAGCCTCCTTCATCTGGTACTGGTTGTTTCCGACTTCCTCTGACAGATTTGAACTTTTGTCGCACGACCGTCTAGAATCTTCTGTCAAGAAACTACCAACTTACCCAAACAACCAATATCATGTCAATGGCCGAGACGAAGATGACGGAGGGGTACGATCCCCGCGGCAACTTTTGCCGTGGCTGCTTCACGCCCTCGGCCATCTGGGCGTGGCAGGGCTGCGACGAGGTGTTCCCCGTGCTCTGCAGCACGCTGTTGTGTCTAGTCTTCCCGTATGCATTGCAAATATGTCTGGGTCTGGAGGAGAGTGCAGGATTTGTCATGCTCGGCTAGCATGACTCTCAAGCCTGTCATGCACGTCACCCAAAAGCCTCATTTTTCTGTGATGCAAGAACGCAGTTCGTCATGCAGACTAGACAACACCCAGCACCTCAGAAATTTGTCATGCTGGAGTGCCAATTGTGGCGTCATCAACATTCGCGAACCAGCATCACAAGTTTGTAGACCCAGACATATTTGCATTTGATATCCCGCCCGCCGCCTCGCTGTTCGGTATTTACTTTTGGCAGCCGGTGAAGGTGTATTAAAGTGCACAACTCCCCCTCCCCCTCATTTGTATGGCATGAACAGCAATACAAACACCAGCGCACATGGAGCCTATGCATGACAAATCTATAACTTACCTAATGTAGTACTGTTTGGGCTTCCGGAATTTGTCACGCAAACAGTGCCACAAGGCAGCGACTGGGCTTGAGATTTTGCGTGACAAATGAGGGTGAGGGGGAGTTGTGCACTGTCATAAGGTGCAAAAGAAGTGGAGCGCGGAGCCCGCGGGGGAAAAGTGGCTGTGCTGCTGCAACTGCCACCCCCACGACCCCTGTTGCAAGTTCTGGTTTCCCTTTACGGTGATCTACGCGTGGCAGGGACTGGACGACCTGGCGGACACGCTGATCTCGTTGGTCGACCCCCCAGTGAGCATGTGTTACGCCCTATTCTGAGTAAAAACGCCCCCACCCCAGAGTTGTCGTGCAGATTTGCAATGACAGGAACATTTGTAATGCGCATCTACATGAGAGGCATTGATTTCCAATCGTGTTTTGGCATGTGTAATGCTGTAAACAGGACGAGGAGATGGGTTTGTCATGCGACTGTCCTTGCTAAAGCTAACCTGCACTACACTACAAAGACGAAATTGTCATGCATGGCTTCCAAAACTTCTGGATTTGTGTTGCAGAGTTCGCAACTTGACTATGGGGTGGGGACGTTTTTACTCAGGATACGCCCTGTGGTGCTGGATCCCGCGCAGCAAGACACAACAGAAGATTTGGGGTAGCACCCGACTTTCCTCGGTTGGCGCGCCCGTCATGGCGGCTGCATTATACAACAGCAGTGCCGGGGGGGCCCGGGGCGAAAAGGCTGAACGAAAGGGAAGCAGTGACGAGGACCAGAGTATGATAAAAAGTAACCTGAGCTCGAAGGATAGAGGAGGAGAGAGCACCACCAGTGATGACCAGGATAGTAGTACGACAAAGAAGAAACAAAATAAGAGCAACAAGTCTAAGAAGTCGTCGAAAGACGACAAAGAGGAAGACGTCACAGCATCTGGTGTAAACAAGTCAAAGTCAAAGAAGGACAAGGATAAAGACAAGGACAAAAATAAAAGCCAAAACAAGAGCCAGAAAAAGAAAAAGGATAAGAAAGACGGCAAGACAAGCGGGACGTCCAGCGAATCAGGCGACGATTGAAAAATTGTAAGTCGGGAGGACAGGCTGCTGATTTTCATTATCATATACTTTGTCGTCGCGTAGAAAGCGAATTAGTTCTCTATACACATCAGTACTTTCCACCCGAGGACCCACCATAATTTCAGAACATGCACCACGCTCAATCTATTGCTATTCGCTATTGTTTGAAATGTATTCCGGTGCATAATACCGATTTATCGTAACACGTATTTACGTTGGCTTACTGCCTTGTGAGCAGAGCCAGAGCACTAAAATATCACTTTACCCAGCAAGTTGGTTTGTATCTGAGTTTTATCCACCGAAAGAGCCTGAGAACCTAGAAGCACGGTTGAAGAGAATATTCAGGCATGATCACAATCACTCACGACCCCCTACAGTATCATCACATGACATGGAGCACTAATGTCTAACTTCCAGTGTCAAAAAAGAAAGAGACCGACACACATTTGGTCCCGCTTCGAGAAAATAGAAAAAAAGGCCCGGAAGATGAAAAGGGAGCATCGATTGACACGCTTGAGGTGCGAACTTAACCAGTCGTGTTCAGGTTTATTTCAAGAGTACTGTACGTGATGAAAATAGAAATAAGTACTAAAAAAATAGACGGGCCGTTTAGGTTTACTATCATGCACAACTGGAGTTCTTGACGCCCTCGGATATTTGTTCTCGGAGAAAGATTATATGAAACCGAAGAAGGTGGATTAGAATCGATTTCAGCGCAACTCCCCACAGGTAAGTATCTCTATTCATCCAGTTCTCGTTCTTTCTTTCTACCAATTCAATTGTTTTTAAAGGCTGAAAAACAATCAACAGCAATATGTACAACTAACTTTCATCAGAATGTCCTCGGCAGGCCGAAGTTCTTGCCCAGCCGGGGAACTAGAAGAGCCAAATGCCGCTTTAATACCGCCACGCTCAGTCGTCCAAGGGACGAAGAACCAGGTTGACTTCCAGCCAGTCCAGAACTACAACCGCAGCTCGGAGGGCCAAGTAGAGCAGCAGCCTGTGAAGATCCTCGCAAAAATGAACACCAATTTACAAGCGCACCACGAGGACCAGCAGGACCGTTTTATCCTCTGGAACCCGCCGAAGAGCGGCAAGTTTACCTGGCCCGCGAGCCATTTCTCGCTGTATTTGAAGACTTTTGTGCAGAAAAAGCTCTACGAGGAGGAGAAATACAAGGTGTTTGTTTTTCACGAAAGCGAGGAGTTTGTCACGATTTACGACGGGTATCCGAAAGCGAAGGTGCATCTCCTGGTACTGCCAAAGCAAGTGCGGGAGCTAATGTTAACCCCGACGAGGACAAAAAGTTCAAGTTCATCTGCGCGAAAAGAAGATGTGGGTGGTGTGCAGGATCAGGAAAAGAACGGTGCAGCTGAACAGTGGGCTGATAAAGGAGCCGAAGAAGCACTGGAAAAACTTAAAATTATCTCCACGGTGGCCACCAAGACGGAACTACTCGGTCACAGCAATAAAATGAACTCGTCTAGCTCTAGTTCCCAGACCAAGAGCGACAGTTGTACCACAAATGCAAAAAAGCAGGGAGGTGGCCCCACCAGCGACCTGGAGAGCACTGTAAGAGCCGCGTCTCAACACACCGAAGCTGCAACCAATACCGAAAAGAACATCGACTTCTATCTGCGACTGCAGCAGTACATTGCGCGCATCCAACGAATCCTGCGCCGGCTGTTTCCCACGAAACGAGAAAAAGCAGAAGGGAATAACACTAAGTCCATCGTGAAGGGTACGCATGGAAAAAGTCCGTCTTTGCACGAGTAGGAATTGCGCCGGAATTCGAATTTGGCAATTGAGTATATATGATTTAAGTAGTGGACGCGTGTTGTAATGCCAATTTTTTAGGATTAGGCTGACGCTGATCCTCAGGGTCAGCCTAATGACAGCTTTGCCATGCAGTATTGTTCGTAGAGGTAAACACTGTGCAATTCTTATGCAGATGAAAGGAGACAACTTTTTTTCGGAGCATAGACGAAGTCACCCACTACAAGCACGGCGTCCACGCGAAGCCGTCGCTGCAGCAACTTCACTGTCACATTATCTCCACGGATTTTGTCTCGGCGAATTTGAAAAACCGCAAGCACTGGTTTTCCTTCCAAGCTCCCTTTCTGATTCCAATTTGGAAGGTATGAGAGTGCACAACTCCCCAGCATCCCCCTCATTTGTCATGCAAAATCCCAAATCCAGGCTGTGCCTCTTGGCACTGTTTGCATGACAAGTTCTGGTAGCCCAAATAGCACTACACTCCAGTGCAAATTTGTCATGCAAGGCCGGCACTTTTGCTGATGCTTGTATTGCCGTTTACGCTATACAAATGAGAGGGAGGGGAGTTGTGCACTGTCATAGAAGGTGCTGGAAATCCTGCAGGGCCGCAACGTCGCGTTTTCCACTCTCGAGGGGTACATCCAGTATTGAAAGGGAAAACTCCCCCTCCCCATATTGAAAAGGTATGTTTTCGAAAATTTGTATTGCTGATTTGAGGGCACAGACCACATTTGTCTTGCAGGAAGACAAGGGCAGAAGCTTCCGCCCCATTATGGAAGCGATTAGTCATGCTCTGGGGCCTACAGGGGAGCCGTTTGCCATGCTGAACAACTAGACCCATACGCCCCTACCTAGCGCGGGGATCTGGCCGCAGTGCCTTCCTGCAATACAAAGCTGACTTGTGTACGCAAATCCAGCATCAGAGATTCCGTTTTGATATGGGGAGGGGGGATTTTTCCTTTCGATATCCAGGAGTGCTGCGTTTCTTTCGAAGCAAATCTTCGGCGAAAGCACCTGCACTGCGTCTGCGGGCAGTTCTATCAAATGCAAAAATGTCTGGGTCTGGAAGAATGCAACTTGTGATGTTGCATTTGGATGTCTAAAAAATTTGCGTTGCATGAGCAACAAAAGACTTCTGATTTTTGCTACGCGTAGAGGGCATTTGTCATGCGGAATAGGCATCAAGAATCCCTCAAAAAACCTGTGACGCTAGGGCATGCATCACAGACATCATGATGGCTCATGCAAACCGTGCGTGACAAGTCTCAGAATCTTCCAGGCCCAGACATTTTTGCACTTGATCAGTTCGCAGCGCTGACCATGCCGGAGCTGAAGCGACATTTAGAGGACTGTTGGAAGGTGAACAACCGCGTGAACAAATGGACCATGAGTGTGTTCTATGCATTGCAAATTTGTCTGGGTCTGGAAACTTGTGATGCGGATGGAGAACAAAGACGACGACGGCTGAATTGACTGCCAAGCATGACAAGTTTTGGAGGCGCTACAGTGTTTTGTTCTATTTTGTTTCTGCATGACAAAGACAAAGTGAGCTTCTGCATGACAGAAGGATGGGGCTTTTGGGTAAGAACGCGCATGACAGACTTGAGAGTCATGGTAGCCAAGCATGGCAAACCTTGCAGCTCTCCAGACCCAGACATATTTGCAGTTGATATGCTCCAGCCACCGCAAATCCCTGACGGGGCCGACTTGAACCAAAATCCGTTTTTTCTGGAGCGGGAGAAAGAACTGGAGAAGGAAAAGACAGAGAGGGAAAAGAAAAGGAGCAGCGAAAGAGAAGCAGGAGCGCAAGAAAGGGTGGTTGCAACAGTGGTCTACAACCCCGGTGGAGCACCTTCGTCGCCACACGGTACAGGTCCGAAGAGTGGTGCAAGAACGGTGGACGAAAACGAAAAAGAAAATGCGGCTTTTTCTTCAAGAAAAACAACATCTTCTCTAGTACAACTACCCAAACCTATGCCCGCGAGGATACAACCGCAACAAGGTCGTACAACTTCTGTTTCGGAAGATGACGCCAGTACCTATCTGTTGCGTGATTACAATCTGAAAAAGGAAGTGTTTGTTTACCGAACCAAGTCTCGGAGCCGGAGTCCGAGAAGGAATGAACAAGGCAAAAGTGAGAAGCAGGCTGTGGATCAAGTAGTAGAAATGAAACAAAACAGAAGTGACCCAGCAACGCTCTTTAATAAGACCCTGTCTGCTTCATCGGAAGTTGTGAAAAGAAGTACTATGAAAGTCGACGAGGAGGACCTGTAATAGGAAGATGTTGCTCTTGCCGCCGTGCTGGTGGGTGCGGAAATTTCTCATCGTTCGATCAAGTCGTAGCGCCAAAAAATAGAAATCAACATGAGATCTGATTGTAGAAGTGATACCCAGAGTACCGTGTGTGATGGAAATGAACATCAAGTATATAGCATTTCGATTTCTGTCTGTATAGAACGAGGAGGAGCTCCTGCGTCTTCGCATCACTTCTACCTGCTCTGCGGGTGATGTGCGGAAGCCGCCGTGTGATCGAATTCCTGAAAACAAGACGAAAAATCAAACAAAGACCCGATATATTTCAAAATTTCATTCACTTGATGTTGACAAAGATCGCTTTCAATAAACCCGTTCACTCCGATAATGTCAGTGTGGTGGAATAAATTTGCGCATTTAATATTTATCGCACAGATGCAGATGCTCGCTGCTCGCATTGTAAAAAGGCAGTAGTGCAGGACAGAAGCTACACGATCTTCGACTGTTGACATTGTTCGCCGGCGAAATAATGGTACGTAAGTCTGCGAAACTTGAGATGTCGCGCAGTTCAGTTTACCAAGGTGAAAAACACGGGAAAGGGGAAAAATTCAAAATTTTTGTATGTTGCAAAGGCGGCTCCCTTCTGAAATCTAGTGGCACAGGGATGGCCGGGCCCACCGGTCCGATGGCCCGGCGCGATCTCCTATCGGCGGCGCTTCTGTCTGCTGAGTTCCAGCAAAGCGCAACCACCCACCCTCCGCAAGATCGGCGCATCGTCGCCCATATTTGCGCGCCCCAATTTTTGCCTCCGCGTTCGTGCCGGAAGTCGGGCGCCCGCTTTTCTGTCAAACACGAACCCGCCCGAGGCAGCGGCGGCAAAAGGGCTGAGAGGCCCCAAAGACTTGGCCGTCCCGTTTTTTTTCTTTTCCGAATTGGCGCAAAAGGGCCCGGGGGATGGTGGGCCCTATTTGGGCCGGATCGAGGCCGCCCGGCTTCGGCTGCTGGCGATCGCGATGGGCGACCCCACAACACCGAAGCTCTGCGAGGGCCTTATGAGGGAACGCCCAGAACACGACATAGCTTTGGGACCCAATTCCGGTACATTCAGACTGGGTTTTGCTTTTGTAATGTGCGGCTGCTTCTGCTCTAGTACAAATTCACGGGAATGGACAGGGGGAGGGGTCTGGGAGAGGGGCCAAAACCGGGAAAAAGCTGAGGCCCAAATGGGCCAGAAATCAAGGTAAACAGGTACCCTTGGGGCCACCCCCCCTAGGCAAGGGCCAACAAAAAAATCCCACTTTCAGCAAGGCCGTTTTTTGGCCGAAAACCGGGGTACTCAGGTCGGGTTACAAATCCACGGGAATGGCCAGAAATGGCGGCCACCCCGGACGAACTCTGACATTGTTCGCCGGCGAAATGATGGTACGTAAGTCTGCGAAATTCGAGATGTCGCGCATGGTACGTAAGTCTGCGAAATTCGAGATGTCGCGCATGGTACGTAAGTCTGCGAAACTTGAGATGTCGCGCAGTTCAGTTCGTGTTGGCCAGTTCTAGTGCTCTTGCTGTACCCGCCGAAAACTCTGGCCGTTCATGTCGCGGCTGACTGTGAGAACAAGGGAAGGAAACTGATCATGAATTGAATGAATTCACGTATAACAAAGGTTCCGGAGGTAAGTAAGAGGGAGCACATTCACATTTCATCAGAGATTTCAACAGCGAAACGATTGATAGCGACTCCGGAATAACCAGAGCTAAGTAGATTTTTCCGAAAAATTGCGACCACATAAGGACCCTAGTATGCTATCATTCCTTTCATCTAGATTTAAGCAGGTATAGACTAAAGGCAAAGTGATGTTGATTCGTATTGCGCTCGCGCCCCTGCTACAGGAGTTCTTGTAGATGGCGCAATAGCTGCAAAGGAGCAGGTATATTCATCCGACAGGGACCTGCCCACCCAGTTCCCAGAGCGACCTCTTCGACCTGCAAGTCTTTGGCGACCTTGATCGACCGTACGACAAGCGACCAGACCAGCAGTAAAGCTACAGCTGTAACAAGATGGCGGACAAATACCGATCAGTGTTCCTGTTCTGCCCAGAGTGCAACAATCTCCTGCAGCCCAACGAAGACAAGCACCAGAGAAAACTCGTGTATGATCTATAAAATAACAATGGTTTTTCTCTCTTACCAATACTGTGATTGCATAACTGCATCAATAAACATGAAGACATACTGTACAAATATGAGATTTCAATTTATTTTGCGACTCAATCACTATCACTATCACAGCTACCGCTGCCGCAACTGCACATATGCGCGAAACGCGAACCTGCAGAAAACCGAAGAACAATGCGTGCACAGGCGAGACATCACGTTTATCGCAAAAGAAGACATTGTGGTGCCGGAGGGCGTAGTGGACGACCCAAGTTTGGCCAGAAAGTACAGATTGGTTTACTTCTTCGACGTTGTTGTGCTTGATGTTTCCATTTTGCAAATAAGCAGGCGCGCGCATTAATTCGCATGACAGACCGAAGGAATCTCAATCTTCATATACTCTTTCGATTGTTGAAAGACAACATAAGTACTTAAATAATTGACACCATCCGGAAGATCCATTTCCTTTTCCATGAAATACAAAAAATCACCAAAAAAAAATCAGTTACAACTACGTGTGCGAGTTCTGCAACGGGACAGAAGCGGTTTTCTACCGCTTACCGGAGACGATTGTAGCCGACGCAATGGCTCTCATCTTCGTGTGCACGAAATGCGGCGGCTGGAGAAGAGAAGGCAAGGAAGACCACGCTTTCGTCGCCCGGTGACAAGGTTGTCGTGCTGGGAATAGTTTTTAATGACGACGGCCCTCGAAGTTGTTTCATCTAGGAGCTGCAGCATTGTGTCGTGGTGTGCAGGTGGTTTTTTTTCGAAAATTGTATCGTGCGATAACAAAGCTAATATCGCCGACGTGTAGAGAAGTTCTTGGCAATCTACTTCAGTGAAGCCAACGCGTGGAGATGAAGAACATAGCGGAAAAGGACCGCGACCCGGAACAAGTGGCCCACCTCCGCCTTGAGGTTGACTAGCGTGCTGGTGTTCACCTGAAATTTTTTCTGGGCTCCTCCATCAGAGTCGATGTTGATCCGCTCTACTTGTTCCTTGCGGCCAAATCATGAAATAAACGCGCTCTTTGAATTGCTTAAATTGTTGTAGTCTTCATCCTGCTTCACCACTAGAGTTATGGAATGATACCACGTCGAACAACATGCAAGAAATAAGATCCTGCAGACCGATAAATCTTTGTCCCAGATGAAGATAGATGCTCCTGCGCTTGATGTTTTCTAAATGGAAAAAAATCAATGTAGAACAAGCTAAAACCTATCTATCATGCTAAGAAATCCTGAGCGTCATAATTCCTTAAATCCAAATTGAATGCCGAGCCAGCCGCAGGGACAGCGACTTCGTAGTGAGAATGATGAGGCTTGTTCACTAAGAGACTTTTTCATGAACAGGAATATTCTATTGGAGCAGTTTCAGCAGGTTCAGCTCTCCGCACCAGTTCTTTCGCAATTTAACCAAAGTGCGGCTTTAGAATTTTGATGGAACTTCTTTTTCCTTTTGGGAAAAAGTTTAGAGAAGTAGAAAGCCGTTAGTGCTCTCAACGACATCGCAAGGATAATTATACAGCGACCGCACGACATCAAATTTTCGTTCCCGAGAAAAATAATAAAATGAGCGACACCAAACCGGAGGCTTCTTCCAGCGCAGTGGAGCGCGAAAACGAGGAGACCGAGCAGGAAAACGAGGAGGAGACCAAGATCGGCATCGGGGGGCAGGAGATCCCGCTGCAGTCGCTGAACTTTGAGCAGCTGAAGCAGCTGGCGCAGCAGCTGCAGGTGGAAATCAACCAGATGAATACCACTATCAAGTCCTTCAACGTGGCCTCGGAGCGGTTTCGCTCGTCCGCCGAGTCCCTGGCCCACCTGCGGTCGCACTCGGAGAAGGAGCAGGCGACCCAGAAGCGGGTGCTGGTGCCGCTGAACAATTCGGTGTACATGGACGGGTTCGTGTCCAAGCCGGACGAGGTGCTGGTGGACGTTGGTACGGGGTACTACTGCCAGAAGAACGTGGAGGGCGCGACCAAGTTTCTGGACAACAAGGTGGAGATGGTGCAGGCCAACATGGCCCAGGTGGCGCAGATGCTCAAGAAGAAGCAGCAGGTCTTCGAGGAGGCGACGGGGTTGCTCATGAAGATGCAGCAACAGATGTCTGGGGCATAAGAAGTAAGGAGTACTATACTTCTTCTCTTATCGCTACGGCTTTTAAAATTCTCGTGGTTGTACAACCTTTCGCGACGTCAGAGGGGATAATCTTACCTAGAGGATAAGTACTTAGCCCGTTGTTCTGTCTTCATCTTTCCACGAGGGCGCGTGTCGATTTGATGCACAACGACCACGCACGGCTAGCGACCTAATATTCTTAACGTAGATAACGATACTTACCAATCTGCGACGACGATCATGTTGAACAAGTTGCGATGTCTGCTTACTATAAAAGTTTGACACTGATGTTCTGGATCTGGTGGTAAGGGGGTTTTTATTGAACGAACACCAATTTGACGAAGACGAGTCACCGAATCTACTCCTGGGTCAACATGTCGACAGCTATCTTTATTTGACGAAAAATGATGTTCCACTTCCACCCTCAGCGGCAAGGCGAGAGGAGCTCTGCATCCCTGCAGGTTTTTACAGCCGGGGACGAGGATGTTCTGCAAGCCGTATGACACTGTGTACACGATCTGTGCTCGAGGTTCCCAGAACTAGATGTGAGACCGTGGAGCAGTTCTCTAGATCTTCAACTACTCATGATCGAAGTGTCCTCGCGGTCACAAGTACCACAGAAATGCTCCGCCTTTGTCGTCAGAATTTTTACGATCAAATCTAGTTTTACTCGTGGTCTAATGGAACCGATGGAGATCCGGAAATTCTCCGTCTCCCGCCGTGAGAGTTGTGATGCTACCATTCATTGTCGTGGTTCGCTGCCACTAGCGTTGAATTGCTGACATTTTTTTTTCTTCATTTTCACGATCACGACCTGTTCCCACGTGCCTGGTTGTCTCTTTTCGTTTTCTGATCGATGACTTGAGAACGCGCGGCGCCATCTCGTTTATCGTCCGCAAATCACAAGCACTACCTGTCGAAAAACAAATGTAATATTGACAATGTCTTCCGCGAGCGCTTGCTCCCGTCGTGCGGTGTTTGCCGCCCGGTTTCTGCGTCCTCCGGGCTACATCAAGCGCGCCATCATGCGCGAGAAGCCCCGGGATTGGACCGGCGCCTTCGAGAACCCGGGTCGGCGGTGGGTCCGGTTGCGGGAAAAGGCAAAGCAGTTTTGCCAGCTGCCCCCACCACGGAAGGTCCCGGTGCCGAAGTTTACAACTTCTACTACAAGTAGTAGCAGCTCGTCTGCTTCTGGTAGTGCGATTTTGCGGGACGTGGAGCACGTGCCTGACGTGGCTGATGAAGTAATTGTTGAGGAAAGAATGTACGACAACGACGATTTTTCAACTTGGAGTTTCTTCCATGATGCAAGCAAAGACCAGAAATAGGTTCTTGACGACGTATGGTATAAATAATGATGGTGATCACGGATCATCGGAGAGGCTTAGTTCTCGATCCCGTCCGCATGGTATGAATTTCTGGATCAGGATATTCAAAGAGAAAGGAGTCATCGTCAAAGCAATCTCTCCGTCTTCCCTCTAACTAGGTCCTCGAGCGGCGCCTGCAGTTTTTACTGGGCGACCAGGCGATCCAAGAGCAGTTGCACGCCCCGATGGTCGCCGGCGCGACGCCCTACGCGGTGGAGAGCCGCGTCTGGGAGCGGCAGATGGTAGAGCTCCGGCGGATCTACCGGGCCCAGTACCTACGGAAGCTGATATGGATTGCAAATATGTCTGGGTCTGGAAGAGAGCAAGATTTGTCATGCATATTTCTCATGGCCCATGGTGCCTGTAATGTATGACCTAGCATCAGAGACTTTTCGAGGGCTTCCTGATGCACCTTCCGCATGAGAAATGCCCGGTCTGCGTAGCACAAACTGGACCCCCCTGGCCGGTCATGCAATACAAATTTTTTTCGAATCCAAAAACAGCATGACAAGTTTCCGGACCCAGACACTTTTGTATTTGATAGCTGAGCCAGGTGACCAAAACCGAGCGGGCAAAGGAGGAGGAACTGCAAGACAGCGAACGGCGGCAGCGGCGTATCCAAGAAAAAAACTGTGTTAGTGTAAGTCTTTTGGGAAAACAGCATCACAAGTTTGTCTGCCATCACAGGAAAAACTTGTTATGCGCAGATAGGAAGGGAAAACACATAGGAAGCGAGCCGATCATGCATGTCGAGCATGACAAGTGTAACTGATTTGCATTTTCTGCATCACAGATTTGCACTTACATAGTTTTTTTCTTGCATACGGCGCAAGCGCAAGCTAGAATTGCTGAAGAAGCAGTGCGAGGACCGGAAACGCAGGGCGATCTTGAAGGACCGACTGCGCGTGGACAGCAAGGTGAACCAAATGTTTCAGATGCAGCGCCGAAGCAAATTGAAGCTGCGCCGGCTTTCCTGGGTGGACCGCCTCGCGCAGGCGTCGGAAAAAAACGTGGTGGACAAGCTGACGCCGGTATCATGAGGAAAAATGCCCCCTCCCCATATCGAAACGAAGTTTCTGATGCTGGATTTCCATACACAACTCAGATTTGTCCTGCAGTAGAGGAATGCAGGCATATTTCAAGCCTCAGCCGAGAGGTTTGACGTAGGCGCCTAGCATGACAAACGTGTATGCTCTGAGGCAAACAGCATCACAAACCGGGTGAAAAATGCGGAACGCTTTCTGGATTTGCCTTCTTGCAAGACAGACAGGATTTGAGGTCACAAATGCGCATCACAAATTTTCAGACGGATGCGTTTTCGATATGGGGAGGGGGGATTTTTCCTTTTGATAGCCGGGCGCTGGGGGACGACCACGACCACGACGGGGGAATTATGATCTTCGTGGCTGTAGTCCCTCCTTCGCGCGAATGAACGAGAACAACGTCGCAGAGGGGGAAAAAGATGAGGAAGGCCACGCCGAGGACCAGGGAGATGACCTGGCGACGCGCAATAATTCTACGACTTCTACGCCAAGTAGTGGGAAGAACAGAAGTAAAAGTTCTGCCTTGGGAGATAATAGAGCAGCTTTATCAAAATCAAAAACTGATCTGATAAGTACGCAACATCTCGGGCAGCCGGCGAATCCGCTGCCAAAAGCGTCGACGAGCTTTGCCATCCAGCCCCGCCCGGACTTCCAACACTTGGTGAACCAGGAAGATATGCCTTGCAAAAGTATAATCGCACTAGCGCAAATTTCAATTCGAATTTCACGAGAGGAAAAATGCAATTTGTCATGCTGGAAGATAAGGTGGATTTGCATTTGTCGTGCGTGACTGCAGCAATTTCAATATACGAGTGCGATAAGTACAACTTTTGCACAGGATAGAAGAAACCAACGAGCAACTGTTCGACCGGGACGTGTCTGTTCCGCACTTGATGCGGCAGGTCGGCCAGGCCACTGAGTTCCCACGGCAGAAGTCCCGCCGCATTCCGGAGAAGAAAAACCTGTTCCGTGAAATCCAGGAACAGAGTTACGAGGTGCTTCCCGAAGACCACTTTACCAAACAAGACGCCGACCGGTTGGAAGCGTTCGCGGTGCCGGAAATTTTTCCAGGAATGAGTTCCGCCACGTCTTCAACTGCGTCCATGACGTTTATGGCTAGGAAGAAGATGAACTACCGAAAGGAGGAGCAACCAGTATCTGCTTCAACATCGGGGGTGTTGAATTCCACCGAGCAAGAGCATGATGGGCATCATCAGCTAAAAGACCACCACCGTGCCCGCGCGGAGATGGAGTACGAGAATTTCTCGGTAAGCGAAAAGAAACAGATGTTGGATGAAAAGATCAAGATGCTCAACGAATCTCTAGAAAGAAGGGAGCATTTAGCGGAAATGCCAGGGCAAATGCAGATGGAACGGGTAGGCAAAGTGAAAAAAGTGGGCTGTGTAGTATTCGTGGCAGTTTTTCCTTTCCTCGCAGCAGTAGAGGAATCCGATTCCATACTACTATAGTTCGTCTGCATGACGAAAAGAAGAAAAACCTTGCTGCATGCACAGCTACCAAGTGACATCACACATCGTCGTGCAGTTACCTTTACGATGCGTCTGCAGCGTAGTTGCAAGACCAAGAGTAGAACGAGCTGTCAGGTAGTATACACCAGCATACAACCGCGCAATAGAAATGCGCACTACCAGCCTCACTTTTTTTCTTCCATAGCGGGTTTTGCTGGATCAACTGCTGGCAACAAGGGTAGCGTATCCCAGAGAAAAAAGCCAGCATGTCATCAAATTTGTATATGCTACAGATACACTCTGTTACACGAATGCCATGCTACTGGCCCGCCCGCCCATGGCAGATATTCATTTTTCTGTAGCCTATTTTTGCATTACAAATTTGCTGTGCTAGTTTTTTTTCTGTGTGATATAGCAATGGACGAGGCCGGAGTGGTGGCGGAGCAAGAGGGGAAGTTAAAAATGGAGCAGGAAAGCAGGAGAAAAGATGCAAAGAAGATGAAAGACGTCGCTCTTGCTGCAGACGGAGACGCAACTGCTTTTGCATCATCGGTTGGAGAAGAAACAGAAGCTGGATAGTGTGACTAAGTATTTACATTTAGTCGGAATAAAGAGCAAACAATAACGAATGACAAACCGACCGTAGTTGCGCAGCAATAATCTCTATCGTATACAGCCTGAAGTCGGTGAGTGACACGGACAATGACTGATAAGGACTGTGCTTTAGTTATCGTAACTGAGGCACCACAGACAAAGCGACAGCACTCATTGCTGATTTTACCGCGAGGAGATTGTGTGTTGTTCGTCTTCGTCTTGGTCTTCGTAGAAAAAAACGGAAGGGAGTAGAGCACTCTTGTCAACACGCAACAAGTTCCCTTCGTGGTGTTGCGTTCGTACTCGTCGGTAGGTCCTGCCTGCAAATACTGTATATGCGCAACCGGTTTAGAGAAGGGGAAACAAATTTCATCTTCAGCACAGTCGTTAAGTAGCTAAGAAAAAAAATAGGGAAAACACATCGTCAGCAATGCGTGGGGCAGCAGAGCGTGAGTTGTGGAAGGAAAAAGGCGAAGGGTCGTGTGCTTATACATAGCTTTTTGATAGGCCAAAAATATAAATAAGTAAGCTGAGGGTTGACCTTGAGAGAACTTCTGGACCCCGAAGTCGCATCAACGAATTTCGATTTCCACGTGACCCCACCATAATATTGTCGCACTTCCACCTTTTTGCCGCCGCCACTTTTCATACACGGCAAATCCACTGATGCCAAAGATTTTGATTCTCCGCTACTGCAATTATAGAGATTAAGTACAGAACTCGACCCATCTGCAACGAACCGCGTAAAGCACAGAACTAAAAGCAGTTTTCTTCCAAGAAAAGATGTCTGGTAACCAGAACAAGTCTGAGAAGAAATCCGCCTCGGGCTATGGCATCGTGAAGCGCGGGGTCGTGGGAGCCCTGGCCGCCAGTGTATGAACTGCAAAACTATCGTACTAGTAGTAAGTAATTGCAATACAAATTAGCTCAGCATGACAATAATGGAATTTGTCATGCTGTTTTGCCTTGGGATGGAGATTTGTAGTGCGTGACTGCGATTACTACGAGTACGATACTTTTGCACAGGATACAGTGCCGGGATCAACAACATCCTGGGCGCGTCCGCGTACGACCAGTCGAAGGGAACGGGGGGGGGTGGCTTCACCCTGACCCCGGAGGGGGAGACGGAAGGAACCGACGTGACCACCGCTGAAGGGGAGGGAGGTACCACTTCCTTAATTCGCAGAGTGTGCTTTTATGGAGTATTCATTAATGGCGACTTTCTCAGTTCTCTCCCCGTGCTTTCATCGATTTCAAATAATGCTCCTATGCAACTATCATGATTTAAACAGATGCGACCACTGCTGCGGCTGCTTTGCAAACACTGAAATCCGCATCCGATTCCAGACAGCTGCGCTTTAAAATTGAACCCCGCTGCAAGTGGATACAAATGGAGACCGCGGGTTACGGCAAGTGCCGCCTCGAAGCCGGTGGGATACAATTTTCCGATGAGGAAAGTAGCCGATGCTGTTTTCCGACCAGAGAACGTTTTGGTGCGCCGATGGTCTGCGAAATGTTAAACGATGTCGATGGCTGCGACTTAGCCATCGTCTCTCCGGGTGAGTAAATATTTTCTTATGTCTCAGAACATCGTTGTATCTATAATGATTATAGAACAGTGACCGCACTCACCTGTGGCTTCGACAAGAACAGATCTTCTTTAGACAAACAACAAGCTACCTCCGCCAGTGCTTATGCATTGCTGGAAAAGTAGAAGGGTGCTCTTTTTCGACTTTGCAGGGTCTTCAACTTCATCTACTTTAAATTACTGTAGCAGCCCATGATGTTGGTGCACCAGTTTTGATTTCAGTTTCACGAAGAATACTTACACACGAAAGCTTGACACCTCCGAGATGAAATTTGCGCGTGACAAGGAAGTTGCCGTTTCGAAACAATCGACCCGGAGTCACTCCGGGTCGTGAATGTAAAAAGAGGACACCGACGAGATCGCGCACAGTAATTCTTACGGTCTTGCTGCTTGGCAGGGAATAGTTGTAGAAGTGATTTGATGTTTCGGAGAAAAACATCTTCGAATACAAAAGCAGAACACAAAACCAACCAAAGGGTCCAGGGCTAATCTGGTAATCAACTGATGACTCGGCATATATATCTCAAGCGCAACACTAGTGACTTTTTACAAATTTGATTGTTCGAGGAACGAAAACAGTTTCTACTTTTACAACTTTTACAGATTTATGACGACAGCTTGTGAGCTGTTTCCAGTTTTACTTTTATCACAGCGCCGACTTATTTTATTTGTACTACAGAACTATATACCAAGATAAGAACAGATCCGCTCGATTAGAAGACCCGAAGTTGCAACAAGTGCTTTGACATCTGCAAAGGTGGAAAAGTAATGAAGTTGTGCTTCTTGTCAACTGTAGCACCTTGCATTATGTAAGACATCGCCGCTGGCTCCTCGTAAGGCGGCGAAGTAAAGGAAACATACCGGAGCAAAGATTTCTCCGAGGAATGCAACAACAAATTTGCGGACTTCCTTACACTACTATTTTCCCCGTCGCACTACTTTTACGTCGCCGTAAAAGTAAGTGCCTGTAAATGCACCAGTTTTGATTTCACGAAGAAATAATACAGATACACACGAAAACTTCACATCCACGAGATTGAACTTGCGCGTTACAATTAATTTGCCGTCTCGAAACAGTGGAGCAATAGTGTACATTTTGATTTTCTTCTTTAGTGTGAAATAAAATGGAAGGAGGACGCTGAGTCCGTCCACATGGGCGGATGGAGCCTGAGTGGATAACTTGCAAGGAGCAAGTTTAGAAGAAGCGGATTCTTGTTCGCATGTGGATAGAGCTAGAACATGGAGTAGACATGACCAACCGATTTGCATTTGGATTTTCTCGGTATTGAAAATAATATAAATCTGACGAATTGAAGCCTAGCCGCGGGAAAGAGGCTCCTGGGAAGTGGAAGAACGAGGGTCTTATACGAAAGAGAGTGCAGTGACACTGTGAGAACAAGTGGTGCTGAAACTAGTAAGCAAATGTATCACCAGGATCTGCTGAGCAGGTGTGGTGCGAGGGATGGTTTGAGTGGAGTTTTGGCGATCTCCTTTTTGCTCCTTGTTGAGATATTACATTTACATATCTTCATTCCGTCTGGCTCTGCCTCTGACTGATTTCGGGAAGATTCTTGTAGTCTTTCCAGCACAGCTTGCAGCTATAAGATCCCGACCATCTTCGTCTTCCTCTTCTCGAAAATGGCGGAAAATCAGCTCCCCTTTCTCCGCATCACCGTGATCGGGCTGGGGAACAGCGGGAAGACGTCTCTGATCAACAGTTACGTGAACAAGCACTGCCCAACGGTGTACCAAGAAACCTCGGACCCGGTTTTGTACTACAAAACCATGTATGGATTGCGAATATGTCTGGGTCTGCAAACTTGTGATGCAGGGAAGGGACTAGTGTTGAGCACACTGGTATGCGAGTCCGAGCATGACAAGTTTATTTTCCGTGGTTCAGAGTTGCGTGTTTCGCATGAGAACAACTGCGTTTTTGCATGACAGATAAAAGGACCTTTTTGCGGGCACGCAGTTCAGTGTTCAGAGTTATGCCAGACTAGCATGACAAACCTCAGCAATCTTCCAGACCCAGACATATTTGCATTGGATACCATGAAACTGCAGTCCGAGGACGACGAGGACAGCAAAAGCGCGTTCCGAGCCTTACTCGAGTATGACGGTGGACGACCACTATATCTCCCGTTTTTTCATTGATAAAGCGATGGAAGCGACTGAAAAAATCTAAATCTATACAGCGCGTGCCTTTGCATAGACCAAGAACGCAGTGTCGGACTGTGATTTGCATGACAGATGTAGTTTTTTTGCCTTTCCGAAACTTGTCGTGCAGATTATCACACGGCTGAAAATTAGAAACGCAAGCATATTGCTTGCCGTGTTCCATGCTTACAGATGTAGTGAGGCGGAGCGATGGTGGACGTCTTGTCCACTTTCATATCAAGATCGAGGACACCTACAGCTCCTTTCGCGGGGACGGCAAAAGTTACGGGGTGCCGCTATGGAGTTCTCAACTGTTACATTCTCAACTGTTACACGAATTTGTGATGCAAGAAGAGCGAAAGCGAAAGGGAGGACCTTGCAACTCTAACATCACAAGTTTGGCACAAATTTCCATGCTGTTTAGCCCTTCGGAGATTTGTCATGCGCAGCCGCTTGGTCGTGTGGTTGCTTATCGCAATTTTGCATGACAAGTCAGGCTAAAGACGGTACGGGCAGAAGTGGATCGGTTTAAACGCGCGCTAGTCTGTAGTGTTAGTTAAGGTAAATTATACTTAGTTTAGCTTGGGTTAGATAGTTTATTTCCCGTTTTGGGGTTTGTAATGTAGTTGCTCCGCCCTTGGTTGTTCGGGCTTGTTCCGGCCTTTTGCATGATCTGATGCTGTATCGGTCGGTGGTGTACGCGGTTCCATCTCTGCTCCCTCGGTTGCGGACGTTTTTGCATTTGTCCGCTGCGACAGTTCGCCTTGTTGCGGCTGCTCGCCAGGAAAACAACTACATTACATCTTGCCTCACTTTTTTAAGATGGGTTTTTTCGTAGTTGGGACTGTGCCATAGTAGATGACTTTACCGCTTTTTTACTTTTCTTTTATCCCTCAGCGCTGGTGGGTCTGCCGGCAAAGTTATCCCTACTCAGATAGCTACAAAGCTCATCCCGCGGCCGTCCCAGGAGCTCTTGTGACTGTCTCTCGGTAGAGATCGCTTTGCCCGTGCTTATTCCACTCAGAGTTTGCTGGGTAGGTGGCTACCGTTTTAAGTTTATAAACGAATGGGACGCCCTGCCCTTAGCCTTCCAACATGACAAATCATGTAACAGTGGAGAAGGTAACATTTGAGAACGCCATAGCCGCGGGATATCAAGTTGTTTCTGGACATGACGAGGGAAGAAGATTCCAAGTTAAAACAGCAACTAAACCTGGTGAACATCGCGAAAAGTATATTTTATGACTTTTTATCCCACTCTTCAGCAATTTGGTCGCAGGATTTCGCACGAGAAATGGATGAACACAGTTGAAGTTCTTGAGTCGGAGTGGTACACTGCTGCTGAGTGGTCAAGCTGCTGTTATCACGCCGAAGGAACAGAATCACGTTGCCCTTGCCATCTGATGACTTCAAAAGAAGAAAAAAATCGCATGAAATTTCACAAACATTCAAATTTAAATCACAGAGGGCACCACGCGGCCCTTCGCGTCCTACATCTGCCCCCGCGCGGACCAGTACCGACCGCTGACGAAAGGCAGGATGGGATTTTTGATCGTGTTCGACGCGAATGAGGTATGGGAGTGGATACAGATCTTTTCTCGTCACCGTGGTTCTCTCCGTCATTTCTATATTCAAGAAAGTGCCCAATGATTTTCCTAACCTATTAACCCGAACAAGCTCCTGCTTATGGTACTTAGTTTTGGCTGTGCTTGATGCTTGCAGCACAAGTTCCTGAAGACGTTCGGGTCGGGGCATGAAGTTGTCAGGCAGATGAAGCTGCCGCAGTTTGCAGTTGGTTGCTTTTTCTAGACGTGCTGGTCAACTACATCACGAAATGAGGAGATGATCATGATGGGGACGAGTTCTACTTGCTCCTATCTTCATACGAGACAAAGTCGTACGAAGAAGCGTTGAACCTGCACTCCTTGCTCTTGGACGACTTAAAAAGGAAGAAGATAAAGCTGGAGCCGGTGGTCTACCTGGTCGCGAACAAAATCGACAAGGACCCGCACGTATCCGTTGCAAAAGTACTATTTACGGCACATCTACTACTACTTCACGTCGTACAGGTCGCGTTTTCATTTGATAAAGAAAAATTTATACATTGGATTTCGCGCGACGAGGACAGTCATGTTGAATATGGATGAAATCTGATGAAGCCGATGCTTTTGCAAGGGATATGAGTCGGATACGTTTTGCCAGATCATCGCGAGCGCCGAGCTCTGTATCCCTCAGAAAACTACCGGGACTAGCATTTTTCCGTTGCGTTTCGTCTCAACATGCGAGGAAAAAAACTTCCGACAACTCAGTTTGTATAATGCTATCTTCTGTGTCTGTCACGCAGCATGACAGAACGTTGTTTAACAATATCATGCAAGGACGTCCTAGAAGCTGAAGCAGTACTTAGACCACACAAGCATAGTGTCTCTTTTTGTTGATGACACTATCTTCTTTAGACGAGCTGTACTGGTGGTTTTCAGTCTGATACTGGACTCGAAGGAAAAAATGATCAGGTTTTGGCAGGTACAAAAACGATTTTCTCAACCAGTGCCTTTTGTGATGCACCAAACGACGAGATGAGGAAAATGAAAATGTCGATGTAGATCTAGATTTCCATTTCGCATTGTTCAAACAAGCTGCAACACCAATCCCACGACAATAAATATGTTGCCACACCACCAGGTATCTTCCATGGAGTTTGTTCGCGTCAAGAAGATGTTCCGGGAAATGGTTTCCAAAATACGGCTATGCACTGCAAATAACAATGTCTAGTAGTTCTCGGGCTGGTGATGTCATGGAGTTGTTGTACTAATCAATAACAATAAGTATCTCGTCCGGGAGGTGCAGGTGGAAGCGTTGCTCTTGCTCATCCAGCGAAGCATGCTTGCATCTGGCTCGTTCTCAGGAACAAGCAATCCTCGTTTTGCATGTGTAGTTCTTCCCAAAAATCGCAGCAGTTCATCATAACTGCGCGCCATCAGTACCGGGTAACAAGTCATCATATTTGTGTCAGTGTCAACCATGATCCAGCGATTGAGTTTGAGATATTAGTATTTGCAGGTGATAACTAAGTAACCAAATCCTGTGGCTAGTCGACGACGGTCCTGCAGTATGCTGGTGGGCAACTCCTGGCCTTTTTTCCCTCACTGGAAGTGCATCCGCAGCGTTGGAAACAGCTTGCAACATGCAGCTTCTGCATGAACAATCCCTTCGGCTTCCTTGCGGAACTTGTGATGCAAATCCTGGAAAAGCATATCCCTGTCGTTTTCGACCAGGATTATAGGAATTGGCATTCAGCATAGCAAGTTAGGGATGAAAGAACGAAAGCGAGTCGTCCACTCTCATATACAGCGGCCGGGAACGACGAAGAGACCGGCGAGGGCGGGGATGGGAAGTGCAGCGTGCAATAAAAAAATAAAAAAGAGTGACGCCTCACTGAGCAACGCAGGTCCTCGCGCCCGCATCGGCGTCGCAAGACAAGCTTATTTGGGAGGTCGAACCGCGCAAAGGAGATGAGGGTCTCGCAGTTCGGAGGAGAATTATTGCGAAGGACAACTGGCGTAACCCGCTGCAGGTGAAGACGAGGACTCGAAGGCAGCGCTGTGCGGATCTACGGGGCCGGCAGGCCGTCGTGACTGTTGCGACGCGTCGAGATTGTGGTAGATGTCTTTAACAAGTCAACCTCAACTGCGAGCTCCTGACGGCGGGGATGTATCTAGTAGTTGCGAGCTGAGGGCCAACAAAACAAATGTCGCGGAAAGCCACTTTGCTTGCTATGTCAACATCAGTCTCTGGAACTAGTAGATTTTGATATTGCTCCTATAATATTTATTATGCTATCGGAGCATGACGAGCAATTTTAGATTTTCTTTTCCCTTTTCACCTGACATACTGCAAGAAGTCGTACTGTACTTGAGCTGCAGTTTCAGTTTGGTTCGCACAAACTCTTTTCCGCCGTGTATCAAATGGTAGCTGTACTGGTTTCGCTTTGATGAAAATATCTGGAGATGCTGCCGACTCTTTGAGGTGCAAGTCGTTCCCGCTTTTTGCACATATAGACTTTTGCTGGAAATGAAGCGAAGGTAGGACTTCAAAGATGGGCCCTGTTCATTTTTATCCGAAGATTGCAGTAGAAACAGGAGCTGCGACATCATGGTGTGAGATCTCGCAGCCGGCACGAGGACAGAGAAAAAGGACGACTACATAGTTGCATTGGTTGCACGAAAAGAACGTACATCTTTTCGCAGCCGCGTGTGAATGCAGGTTGGCTTCCTTCACGGTGTACTATTTCTTTTCCAAGCGAACGACAGCGCGGTTTCAGTGCGGTTTTCGGTTTTTAAGATCCTAAGTTAGTATGGTTTCCTATCTTGGTAGCCGTATTTTTGCAGAGATTGACTAGAAGTACCGCCTTAGGCCTCCTGTAGTAAGTAACAGGTGATGTGACCTGATGAGCTTTCGGTTTAGATAAATAAAAGTTATCTGTCGTCCACGACCTGCTACACATCAAGATGAAGTCATCTTCTCGGTTTGGTTTTCGTTTTTCAAGCTCGTTCTGACTCGTACAACATGAAAATACAAGGAGCAGGCGTCGGATGCGAAAAAACAGGAAGAAGTCAGTATTCCTTGCTGAGATTTTTGATATCGGTTTGCAAAAGTTGGCCACGTAAAAAATATACGTCCTCCCTCGTACTCGTCCCTCGTACCAGCCTCGTTAAGGATGCAGGTTACAATTTCGTGCACAGCCTTTTTGTCCTTTTCCTCGTGCAAAGACGTCTGATAAAGAAATATGACATAAAGCACTGAAGCTCTTGCTCTTTATTCTTTGTTCAACAAGCAACATGTCCATTTATTTTACATGAGTTGTTACAACCAGGTCCTCCCTGACTGTGAGAAACGTAAAAAACTTCGACCGCATCAGGTCTAAACAACTTCACAACAAAGTAGGATAGCGATCAACTAACTCTCGCACAACGCGCACCAACCGCTTCAAAAAAAAGCAACTGCAAGAAGACTTCATCACGCAAAGAACAACGATTGAACTTTGACAACTTTCTAAAAGTTGCCTCTTGAAAACTCATAAGTATGAGTGCTGTTTCCCGCTCGTTAGGAATTACTAGAGGCGTGCGGGGCGGTTTTGTGGGCATTAGGGACAGGTACAGAAACACCACCAAAGATGGAAGAGCAGCGTAGCGCGAGCGATGTTGCACTACTATGGTTGTCGCCTCATTTGCGCAGCATACGAGCAGGCAACCTGGTGGCGTGACTCACTGCCTACTGACCGATGTGAACAACTGTAGCATTGTCGCGAGGAGAAGGGGCGAGCAGTCTGGAGCCGCAAGGCGAAGGGGTCAGATGGCATTTACGAACCACGAATAGAGAACCGCGAAGGAACAAGGACGACGAGCCAAGATCATTCCACTTTCCGATCTGAAGTTGTCTATGTGCTAACTCGCTGTTTTTAGTTTGTGACTTGTATGTTAAAAAAAAAAAAAAAAAACTTTGACAACTTTCTTGTTGGCAAAGTCATTCAACCTGCATCGATTTTTCTTCACGACCAGAAAAATCTGGGACAGCTTGAAGAACGACCTCAGACGCACTGTCTGCTTCTGCTCACTGCCGAGTTCATTTCCTGCTTTCCCCGCGGTTTTTTTTACCCAAAAAAACCATGAAGGTCCTGCGAACGGGTGCGAAAGTTCTGGCGGGTGCCGGTCTCTTGGCCGGGGTAGTTCCCGAACCGGCGGCGGCTGTGGACGTCGCGCAACTGCTGGGGCGGATGTATGGAGGAAAAAGAGAAGGCCGTCTGTAAAAATATCAGGATTCCTTTGAAGAAACCGAACTTCTGCATGAGAAATTTATTCTCGCATGGAATAGTACGTAGGGCTAGAAGGCATGAAACACAAGAAAAGATGGAGATCGTGCTGTGTTGATTGTCAGCATCATGCAACATTCTCTAGCTTGAAAAAGAAGCAGTTCCGTATACTTATTTGTCATTGTTGCAGAAAAAAGACCAAGAACTATACTGCCGTGGTAAAAAATAAAAATGGTTTCTGGACGGCCTTTTTTTTCCTTTCATACCACGGGGCTTAGTACCAGCACCAGCACGGAGGCGACCATGGCCTCCAAGAAGAAGGAGAAGATCATATTACAGTGAAAAACGCCCCCACCCCAGAACTTCCCTGGGAGCATCTGTATTGCAAGCCTTTCCAATGGAATATCAATGGAAACATTCGCCGTCCTGCATGTTGTATCAACATCACAGAATTTCAAGCGTGAATAGCAAAAATCTGTAATTGCAAAAGATTCCAGCAAGCGCGGCGCTTGTCATGCAAGCGATGCCGTATACGATTACGACTAGACTCTGCATCAGAAAGATTCATAGTCCTTTCCATGCAAGACAAAAAGTTTTCATTTGGAAACTTCGCATCACAAATTGTTGCAACTTTCAGGGTGAGGGCATTTTTCACTGTAATAGATCACCTGCGAGAAGTGGGCCGAGGGGATCGACAGCGACAAAGTATCATTTGTAAAAACGTCCCCACCCGCCCAGAGTTGTGTGTAATGCAAATTTGCATGCTCCTGAGAATGTTTCTCATGCAGAGACCGCTCAGAAGCAGTTTCTATTGGTGTGCAGTTGCGATTTGATATGCTCAAATTTGCATCGTATGCTAGATTTGTGAGACCCCTGCACTAGCTAAAGACGACTACGAGTTTGTCATTCGCAACAGCCAAAGCTTGGCGATTTGTCTAGCAGATTTCGTCTCTTGACTCTGGGATGGGGACGTTTTTTCTCACCATACAAAGATGAAGCGTGCTCGAAGGAGGCGAAGGACGTGGGCGGCAATTCCAAGGCGACGTTTGCGAAGAGTTGTGTCTCTGTATCAAAAGGAAAAATCCCCCCTCCCCATATCGAAAAGGTATGTTTCCGAAAATTTGTGTTGCTGATCTGTGACCACAAATCGGGTCCGTCTTGCAAGAAGGCACGCTCAGGCTGTCCGCCAGGTCATGCAGGCGATTTGTAATGCTCTAAGGCCTGCTACGGGGTAGCCGTCTGCCATGCTAGGCGCCTACACCAAAAGCCTCCCGCCTAGGCTCAGGGTCTGAGTGCATTCCTCTACTGCAACACAAATTGGATTTGTGTACCCAAATCCAGCATCAGAAGTTTTAGTTTTGTTGTGATATGGGGAGGGGAGATTTTTCCTTTTGATACTTTGTCGAGATCACGGAAGACGACCACCTGACGAGCGCTGAGAAGATATCATTTGCAAAAACGTCCCTACCCCATACTCGTAATGCAATTCTGCATGCTGAAGATGTTTCTCATGCAGAGCCCCATGAGAAATATTGTCTAGTCGTGTTTCGGAATTTGTCGTGCTCCAATCAGCATGATATGCTAGATGTGTGGTGCTGGTGAACTAACTGAATAGGACTAGACTGCGAGGCCAAACTTGTCATGCGCAACAGCAAAAGCTGGTGGATTTGTGTAGCAGATTGCCCATCTTGACTCTGGTGTGGGGACGTTTTATTTACTCAGGATAGAAGAAAAAGCAGCGGAAGCGAGCGGTGTACACGTGTTGCAGTGATTCCGGGATTGACAGTTTCGTGAGCTGCTGCTAGTTGGCGTCGTTTGCAAACCACCGCGGAGACCACCATGCTGATATTTTTATTTCCCCGAGGACACAGAGGGATAGATACAGGATGCCACTCTCCACGAGGTTTTTTTTTCCTTTGTTCTACTTTACAACGCAGCTTAAGAGCTTCTTCTACGACGGAATGTGAACATTTCGAGGAAGGGCTTATCGGATTTTTTACGCACACACAGCCTGCTGAGGAGGGCATTTCAATTTGTACTTCACCCAATTGTTCTCTTTCTTCACATGAAAAAAAAATCAGCGTAAGTTAAGAAACCGATCTCAAGGTTAATCCAAAAACTTTGTTCCGCTTTCATCGATTTTTTTTACGTAATGACCACCACCAGCCCACAACTAAGCACGCCATAACGAAAATCCTCACCTCTCTACAATTATGAAGGTATTTTTTTACAATTTATTTCATGATGTTGTTTACAATTGAACATGATGTTTCGTGTGGATTCGACTCTTTTGTACAATAAAGGCCAACATCTCGATTATTTTCTACATCAACGAGAAGCCAGGGTGTAGTAAGTAAGTAAGTATCCATCACAGCAAAGACTCGTTTTTTTCAAAACTGGTCTTTGTAAGGAGCAGGTTTTTCTCCATTAACTTTTGTCCAACCCCATTAAGGTCGACGAAGCGGACAGAGGAGAATTTACAAATCCAAGAGCGTTAGTTGGCAAATAAACGACGAGTGCCTGCATAAAAATGTGCAAATCGGGTTATGTAGCCTGACGGCCGTTTTATTTCTGTGTGTTCGTAGGAGTTCATCGGTTTCATGTCGTCACGCACCAGAGATGACATGTAGCGCACGAAGTGGTGGTCGCAGCACGTACGAGGAGGTTCAGGTTGCTCCTGGGTAGAAAGATGAACAGCTGCTACACGACCTTTTTCCACGGCGGTGGCGTGTATGACGAGAGTGTGCTGCTGAGAGTGTGCTGCTGAGAGTGCCACAAAATACAGCGCTCGAACCCCACGCGCTTTACGACTGGGGCAAGATCTGTGACGCTGGTTCCGTTCTCACCAGCAACGGCCGGCCTGTCTCGAAGACACTTCGGCGGTTCGTCCAGACCTCAGCCCGCCGAACCGGCGAGCCAGCGGCGGAGACTCAGCACGGAAGATTTCGGCCCCTTCGCCGGCTCTAGCAGTGAGAACAACTCCACGAGCAATCGGAGCGGACAGCAAGCAATGGATGTTGAGGAGGAGCGTGGCTGTACTTCTTCTGCTTCTGATTTGTGTGGCCCGTTCGCTGAGCTGAGAAGTGAACAGATTGCTTCTCCCAGATTGCCTGCGCCATCCTTGAGCAGGTCGTCCTACATACCTGTTGTTGCATCATCAAACCCCACAATACAGAGACGACAGTGGATGTGGTGGGATGCAAGTAAGAAGAACACGACAGACGGGAGTAAAAGTAGGTTTGCTGGTGTTTCTGATGCAGTTGTAGACGTTAGCAGCTCGCCTCCTATCATCGTCTCATCTTCTTCTGCATCGTCGTCAGCCGCTCATCGCCACTTCATCTCTTCATCATCTCTCTATCAGGTACACAAGCGGATTCCGAACATCGCAACGATGCAATCGGAGTTCGACACGCCTGATTGCAGCGAGGATGATGTTGATAGAAAGTCTGTAAGACTACGACAGACTGAGTTTCGCGACACAACTGATGATACAGCGATGAACGAAAACAACTTTCACAAGAGTAGCCTGCTGAACCTGCAGCATTTTGATGATGACAGTGAGGATGAAAATGCTTCTGTACAATTGTGCGATGATGACACAGTCGAGGAGTACAGTGATGAAAGCAGCGGCCGCACGGTCGAGGATGACCGATGCTCTTGGGTAGAACAAAGATGAACAGCTGCTACACGACCTTTTTCCACGGCGCTTGAGTTGTTGCAACGTGCGTATGTATGCTTCGGTTTTGATGTTGATCTGGTAACCACATGCGTGCGCGCGCGCGCAGAGCGCGCGCCGGCCCACGAATTTGCAGAACTCTTCCAAGAGTTGTTGGACTTCTTTTCTTCAGAACTCTTCCAAGAGAAACAAGTACAACACCTCCTGAAGACTACGAAAAGCAACGATACTTTGTTTCCATGTCGTCCAGCAAAGTGACATCACAAACTCGGTTTAATTCGGACGCCAAAAGTACGTCGGTGAAATCAGCAATGCGTATGTATCCAAAGTGCGTCGCGTGGTTGTGCTCGTGGAGTGTCGGTCATTGGAGGCGAGGGTTACTCATCGGTCTCGTTCTTGTGGAACAAATGTAAAACAAAAACGAATCTGTCTTGTCGCGGTATATATAAAATGAATCACATCGGTAGCTGTATTGCTCGTTCGTCTGGGATGTGTGGAATCTCGATGTGATGCGCCGACGTTTAGTTTTTGCATGCGATGA